CAGCAAAGCTGGACCATAAAACTTGCAACAAACACTCATCCGCACTCAACCGCACACCCTAAACGCATCCGCCAAATGCTATCATAAAACACATTGTTACAACGCGTTCAAACAGCGTTCAGGCACGAACACAAAGATATAATTTTGACTAATAAAATAAACTTATATTGTTATCGCGTCCTTGGACGACCGCTGGCATGGTGTGCCGGTTATATGGTCACTGGCCGCTTGCCGGTGCCGGGTGACATTTGATTAGTAATAATGTTAGCAACCGTTGTACAATAATACGGATTACCAGTAATCACACTTTATCCATTATTAACTTGCATTTGTTTTCGAATTTCTGTGCTCCGGTCCTTTACTGGTATTGTCCAATTTGGTGCTTTTCCTAGCATTGCCTCGGTATCGGTGTGCATTCCGCAGATCATCCAGGCGGTCCAGCAGAAAACCATAGCAGTACTCGCATAAAAATTCTATGGTCGGCGAATGGAGTACAGTTTGTACTGGTGCGAATGGGTTTAATCTATTAGTATCAATGTAGCCGGTCCAAACGCATTCATATTATCCATAAAAATATTTAAAGGATAAGTGATGCTCTGTCCTGTTGTACTGTACCTAGTTTTGGTTGTAGCAGATGCCGGTATGCATTATATTTATGTTGGCATTTCTGGTAGTGCAGTGGCAGAAAACCAGACGAAGCTTTTCACGTGTTCTGAGCTAATTTACTCAAAAATCAACTCTTCAGCGAAAGCCGGTCATTTTCAGAAGCGATGTTTTTTCCCAAGCGCAGTATACGCAAGCAAAAGCGGAAATCGGCCAATCGGTCCACGCTTCAAAAACTGTGAAATTATTTGAATGCATGCAATGAAAAAATGAAAAGCTTGCAAGTGGAGCACAGCGACAGTGTAACCTCCTGCGGCAGCTGATCTCATTGCACCGTCCGTCAGCCATTCTTAGCTGCGTGGAAAAGAATACGCCAGAATAATTATAAGTTAAATGCAGGCTCGCAGCGTATACGTACAAAAACAGCGTTTGTATAATAGTGTATAATACAGCCCTGGGCAGCCAAGTTGGGGCAGTTTCTTCCAAAAATTACTACGTGTCTGCTGTTAATAAATAAATAAATATTTATTTTTTACTTTATTGCCGAAGGTGTCCGGCATCTTTTGAACTGTAGGTATTCATGTTTAGAACGTGCCTGAAATCGCAGTGAGCTGAAAACTAAGGCAGACCAGCAGAAAAATACCGCTAAGCTTGTATGCTGTGACGGTTCTCCTCGCACTTAATATTTTCTTTTAAATTCCACTAAGGCTGTAGTGTTAAGATGATAAACCATACTTGTTTACCATCCAATTCTACTAAGGGTGGTGCATGACAACCGTCGATTTCAGTCAAGCCTCAATGACCTTTGCAGTGCGTTGGCGAGCACTGCTAAAATGAGGCATGACCTTATTTCAAAGCTCGCCGCGCACCCGCAGAATGCCAGAGAATGCCGTTTTTGTTAAAATTTCACTCCCAGAGCATTAAGCGTCAGTTTCAGGTTTTTAATCCATGTAACAAGCCGAATACAGTCGGCTCAACCAACCTTCAACAGCCACCATAACTTTTTGTTGCAACAGCTTTGCTGTTTTTTTCTTCCACTCTTCTGGAAATCCCACCTCCCCGTCTACGAGGCGGGTATTCCTTTGCACATGAAAATCAACTAACAGGACGTACAACTTATTCACTGAAAGTAATAGTTTTAGGTTATTTCAATCTGTGCGCTAGGCAACCACAATCTTCGGTAGGCCGTTTTTAACATACAAGTCTATGGGAGATGCCCCTTGTTGCAACGCTAAGCCGACCACTGATCACGCAACATTTTGGTTCTCTCCCGTGGCAAATACCTTTGGGGTCACCCAACAGTTAGCAGAAAAGCTCACACGAAAATATGGATTGGGGAATTTACTAGAGCGGCAGATGTAAACATCCCAAAAAGGACTGCTATCTCTCCCCCTAAATCAATGCTCGGCTCGTTACTGAGCGATCAAAAGAGTCCGATTTTAGTATTTTTGGATTTGCGATAAAAAATTACATGGCATAAGTAGAAATATAAGAACAGAACAACGTCTACAAATATTTGCCAATTGTTTTACAAAAGTGCCCCAACTTGGCTGCCCAGGGCTGTATATAAATATTTCTGCATGTACATGTATACAGCACATAAACGCTGACAGACGTGTAATAAAATGGTGCGCATTCTTTGTTAACAGCGTGTAAACGAGACATTTTCTCACAATATACACCCACACACGTTCGCTTGTCAGTCAGCCGACAATCTACAATGCACTTCCACATTTTTTACGGAAATCGCAGTGCTTGCTAAGAAACATTTATGTTTAGTCAATAATCATTGAAAAATTTTAAGCCTTGGAGAGCTACCATAATAATAACGGGGTTTCTTAATGCTCTCTTTTTCACTTCCGTTAAATCAATACCGAGCAGCAGGCTTGCAAGGTGCAACTGATCTGTACAGATAAATACTTCAGTATGTCACAAAAATTCTTTCTGTTAAGCTTTTTGATGGCCTTAATTCTTCTTTCCCTGTTCGCTTCACGGTACAGCGCAAATACCGGCCAACTTTTTCTCGGCCTTTTTCCACCGACATTTTCCTGGCGTTTCTGCTCGGCGTCGTTTGAATTTCTGGGCAGGCAGTGGAGAATTACGCGAGGCTGGGAGGTGTGCACCGTTTTCATCCGAATCTCCCGGTTCGTATTCCTCAAATGACACCATCCAGAGCATCCTGCAGGACGGCGTGGTAAAGGTCATCCACCATGCTTTTCTTGCGCTTTACTGCGTATGAATCACCACCGCCAGCCGGGTGGCGCTTCACCGCCTTCACAGTTTGAATTGCGACTTCACGATTGAAGAAGCAAAGTTAGTCAGTCGTCTGCCTTCCCACTGCTTCTCCCGATTCGGCGTCTGGGAAGTCGTGCATCACCGGACGTGTGATCGTATGGAGACATGTCGCATAATCGCCAAGCACCGTGCATTGACGCCGGTCAGCACCATTTCCATGCATTCGGAAAAAAACGTACATTCTCCTAATTGCGCATCCTCTCAGTATTTCCAGCAGTACGAGTACTACTACTATAATATTATAGTATTAACTGCCACTAGTGCATACATACTACAGCGCATGTACATGTACTTATAACTGTGTCCGGGCACAAAGCCAAATTCTTCTGAAATCTGAATGGATATAATTTTATATGAGCATTAGTTTAAAAATTCAGCATCTCGAAAATTCCATTTACCCGCATTTGTCTTCAAAACAAATTAATAAAAAAATATTCTCATTTGTCAGTAATTCCTGTTGATGTTGCCGGTATCTTTGACGCTTCGCCTACTGAACAACAAACAAGTTGACCTTTACCCCCCTGAACGGATGCTGCCTGGACGACGGCGAAGCGGAAGACGACGAGGACACGGTGAAAGCGGCGGCGGCGTGGACGAAGAGCCAGTCGGATAGTGTTAGGGGTTACGGGTCACGTATATATGTCAAGCTGGCTGGTTTCAGATAAGCTCGCTAGTATAACTGTTAGTTAACTCGGGAGTTTTCTAATAAAGTCGAGTACCGCCGGGCATTGGCTTAACAGCTAAAACATGTTACAGAAAAGCAAAAGGTAGAAGATAGATATATACGGCATTGCATACCGTATGTAAAATGACGATGGCTCACCGCACAGATTCCCTTGAATTTCGTACGTAAGTACGATGTTTATTACATCAAAATTTGGTCGAGGCTGTAAAGCGAAAACCCAGCTAATGGTAAGACATATACGTATTACGTACTCGCATAGACAGACATATTGTGAATTCGTGACGTATTTCTGCCTGCATGGCTAGTAGCGCAAATTAATAACTTTAGAACTTCGCATTATAGTAAATACGTTCTACTAACTGCACTGCACGCCAGATGTTCAAGGTTGCCGATGTCGATCTGCCGGTCCTACCAGATATGCGTGCAAACCAATTCGGGCGCTTTCATTCCTGGAGGTTTGATTGTCATAATTTGTTTCGTTTATTTCCTGTTTCGCCTCGCAGTGGTGGTAAGTTAATGTGTTACTGATCAAATAAATTGTGGACATTACTGTGGTGCGTGTGATTACTTACTTCGAGGGAGCTAACGACTGTACAGGTTGGAAAAGGATGCAAGGTCACGAATCAGCTAGGTATGATTGCGCTTACCAGAATCGAGCGAAACACTGGTTCACTGTGTCCTGTGCAGCCAGATGGCAGGCCTAATTTGTTAGAACGTCGTCCTGTCCGAATGGAAGCCGAACAAAAATAAAATCAGGTTAAGAAACAGAGTGGGCAGCTTCCGGTAATGTGTCTAGTCATGCTACGCTCATGGCAACCTGGTCAGACACATCCTCTTTGATATATAAGAAACGTGCTGCCTGTTGGATGGATCGATGACCGGCGTCGTCGGAGATTGTTGTTGATGATCGGTGGAACCGGTGGGCAGTTATAGCGTGCACAGACACACCGTCACTGGGCAGCGCCGGCATGTCGTACTGTGCAGCGGCCGTGGACGGCGATGCCGGGTATGCGTGTGCGTGAGCGCGGTATGCCGTGGGGCCGGTTGTGTCCGGTGCCGCATCTGTGCATGGGGATAGCGACGGGGATGTCGTCGACACCGACACCGGCGCGGCATATATAGCACCCGTACACATACCGCTGCACCGTGTCCCGCTCGACCGGGTCGACGGTGTCCTGGCGCGCTGTCTATGCCGCGTCGTTGGCGCGTCTGTTCGTCCATTGCGACCGACTGAACCTGCGCTGAATGGGGACGTTAACGCGGCCCGCTGCCGGCATAATGAACGTACAGCCACACAGGAATTAACACACCTGTACTGTACACAGCCGCTGTGATATCAGTACTAGCGCGCATTATGCCGCCGCATTTAAGCATAACGCTCCTACCTCGGTCAGCATCAGTCTTATGCAATCGGCCATCTTATCCTCAGCAATACCGCAGTGATTACAACAGCTGACTCCATCCAGCGCTATTGTTATATTCATCAGTTTATCATCCTTATCCGCATCCTGTGCGTTATATACATGTTCCCGGCGATACTGCGGATTGCACACCCCGAACTACCGGCATTTTGAGCACTGCTTATCGGGCTTAACCGGAAGTACATCCACATCCGTATCCGCTGGCGCATAATCATGCTCTACCGGTAATTCCTTCCAGTCGAATCTTGTTGGATCCGCCGGTCCCGGTCGGAAGTAATAATTATTACTGGAGTGTACACCTCGCACTCCTGACAACTATCCACATTCTCCCGTCAGCAACGGGCATTTTCCCGCCTCCTGCGAAACAACGATGGCCTCGTCTACACAGACTGACCGACAACGAAGTCAACGCACCGCCACCCCGGCCGACATCCCGCGTTTCCTCCGCCTAATTAGCGCGCTCATCGTAGCGGCGCTCTATGTACCTTTTGCTCATGCTCATGGAAAACAGGTACGTCAGCGACTCAGCACTGCGGCAGTACGATATATACTATATAATGGACAATAATATACCGGTACGTATTCACATATTCATTGACAGTATATGCTCGTAAATTATTAAGCAGCGTATATAAAAGTATAGAATACTATAATTGTATGCATAAACATAAATTATTGATGCAGTAAATTATGGTGATTGTATATATCGTATATAATAATTGATGTGCATCAATTGTATATGAATGAACAAATGTACAAGTACATCCATTAAATATACTAATATCTATATATATTTTTTTTACGTCGCATTGTATAATTCACAAAAGAAACATCACATCCGAACATTAACAAACAGCAGAAACATGCGGGCGGATTACAGAGAACATTTGATCTAAATTAGCCGAGGCCGGCCGGTGCCGTTCCCAGGATGGATGCCGCGTTTCCACGTTGAATATATATATATCGATATAATATACTTCTATATATAATAATATCGTACATATATAGATATACTCGTATTTCGTGTGTACATGTATTATATAACAGTGCGTATAATGGCATAATTATGTGACCGTGGCCTTGTAGGTGGTGAAGCGGCAAGCCGGCGTGCCGGCGCCGGCGCAGAACCCGCCGGTCTTGCAGGCGCTGGACCAGCTGCGCGGCAACGAGGCGCTGTCGGCGACGCAGGTGCAGCAGGTGCTGGCGGGCGCCTACCCCGGCCAGTACCCCACCTACAGCTACATCCCGCAGACCTCCTTCAGCTGCACGCAGGTCAGACAGTTCGGCTACTACGCCGATCCCGAGACGCGCTGCCAGGTCTTCCGCCGCTGCGAGGCCAACAACTTCATGTTCTCCTACATCTGCCCCAACGGCACCGGTCAGTCCACTTATTTCTCATCCGTCTTCAATGCCCTTTATCACATAAAAAAATTACCTCAATTTTTTTTTACCATAAATTTTTATTAATTTATTGACATCGTTTCTTCTAAATAACTGGTTTTCATATAATTTTAGTATTTCTAGCGTATTTTAGTATTTTACTAACCTTTAGTTTGACAGGTTAATTAACCGGTTTTTTATAAGATACGTTATTATACGTACTTGTACATAGAAATTTAATCGTTTACCTGTTTTAATGTACATACCGTATATAGGTTGTATTATTCGGTGTATTTTTGCCGTATCTGCGCCATAGATTTTAACGGAATATTTTTCGCTGCAGTCTTCAATCAAATAACCCTGGTGTGCGACTGGTTCTTCAACGTCAACTGTCCCGTCGCCAACGGATTCTTCGACTACAGCAACCCGCGAATTTACCGGTAAAATCAACTGAATTAACTCCATAGTAACTGGCCCAGTAGTTTCCTTGTTATAGACAAGACCTGCACCTCTTCGACGACTACTACCCGGGGGCGGGCGCCTACGGCGGCGCTGCTGGTTATTCTCCGTACCCCTCCGCTTCCGGTGCCTCCGGCGCGGTGTACGCCCCGGCCGCGCCCTCCTACGCCGCGGCCGCCGCCCCGGCCTACAGCAGCGGGCTGTACAGCGCGACCGGCGCCTCCGGGGGGCTGTACGGCGGCAGCTACGGCATGTCCGGTTCGGCGCCCATTCCGGCCATCGCGCCAGCGGCACTGGCCACCGCCCCCGCCGGCGGCGTCCTGGCGCAGGCCACGCCCAACACCGCGGCCCAAGCCGGCGCCACGCAGTACAGGAACCGGATGGCCAATGTTAATAGCCCGGCGGCGCCCGCCACCGACGGCGATGCTGTGATAATATAGTTGAATCGACAGGCATGGAATTTAATTCGATTAAATTAAAATTTAGTAAATTCAATTTGATTAAATTAAATTGAATTAAAAGATAGATTGATTAATGCGAATTTCGCCGCTGACCTGCGTGTCAGTACTCGGCGCATGCCGGTAAAAACCCGGCTGGCCAAAATTGTATATAGTGCATGCAAGCAATATTTACCAATTATTGTACAATATTTGTGTGGGAGTTTTTTTGGTGTCTGTTTCTTCAGCGTACATACATATATGAGCATCTGTAAGCCGAAATGAACGTAATAAAATTCGCACCGTGATGGCACAAACGCGGGAGAATGCCTGCCGTTCACGATTGCATACCAATGAGGTCAAAACATGGATCACCGGCGTTTTTCCTCAGTCAGCGCACTGCATTCTCGACCTACCTTTCCGAGCAATAGCTTGTGAAGCACAGCGTAGGAATTTTCCCTGATCGATCCAACTTATGTTTTCCCTCAGCTTAACATCATTATTTTTCCCGGATTATTTCAAGTAATTAAATTTTCCCCGTTCAATGTTCAGTTTACTTAACTTAACTTTAACTGATTAGCAATATTTTCCAGTTCGATTTTTCTTAGTTAAAGCCACTAAATTGGATGATTTTAATATTTTCCTGATTACGAGTAATTTGGTATAATTTGATTAAATTTTCCCGGCTGATCGGGGGTCCAGTTAATTTGGATTTTCCCTTAGGAAACCAATTTACAAATTGACTACCGTTAGTAATTGGCATTAATCTGTATTTTTCCCTGATTAATCCAATTTAACTGCACATATATTAGCCACAAGCTTGCAACAGTAAAGATGAGTAAATGAATAGAAGGCTCTGCGACATCACCAGGCAGCTGCAACACAGTGTCATCATCTTCCCCCGATCAAAACACGCCCAACTCTTCGTTCAAGCGACAAATCCATTCACTCGTCGTCCGGCTGCGTGCTGAGGATGCGGAGGAGCTCGAGCTTCTGCTCGGCGGTGAGGCGCGCGGCCACGTGCTGCGCGGAGGTGAAGGCCACCTGCGGACTGGCGTCCAGCAGCGTCTGGATGCGGTGGACGGCCAGGTCGCGCTGGATGGTGCGCAGGTTCTCGTTGACCAGCGAGGCCGGGTCGCGCGCCTGCTGCAGGTACCACTCCGCCACCGTGCGGTTGTTCTCCCACTCCGCGCTCTGTTTCAATAATAAATACAGGATGACAGCTATCAACCGGCAAAACAGACAGCTGATTGGCTGCTACTCACCAACGGCACGCCCACCGACTCCACGAACCACCGCCGCAACATCGACCTATCCGTCAAACACACCACGCTCATTAAGAACTTTCTTACTGACCTACATAATTAATTTTTCAAAATCTGAAAAAAATGTACAACGAAAGCCAGAATTAACGGAATTAAATTACACAATTCATTAAAATAATCAGCTGTAAAAAATAATGCAACACAGTATTAAATGAAGTGAAATTAAATCAATGAATTTTATATAAGTCAAACCAACAATCATTTATTGTAAGTCAAAAGAAATTCATTACAATTAATATTAAAAAATACAAATCAAATATAGATACAAAATAAAAATCGCTATACGAATTAGAACTTACTAATAGCGTTTTAGCTTGGGTTACTGTGTGTATCATAATTAGTAAAAAAAAATAAAAGAGATTTGGCTACAATAACAACAGAATTGGCTACAGTAAGTACAATAAAAATTAATAATATATGAAATAATATAAATAAAATATAATAATACTAAAAAATAATAATATAATATAAAAAATAATAATAATAAGAATAATAATATAAAAAACGATGTGCGTACCGGCACTGGCCGATGGTCAGCTGCGGATTAACCGCCACGGCGCGATCGCGGAACTGATTCTCCAGCAGCAGCCGGTACAGCCGCCAGTGGAAGAAACTGCGCGACGTCCGCCACGGCACGACATCCATGATGACCCCCTTCTCCAGCATCCGCCCCGGCCGGTCATGCAGATCCGCGAAGCGCAGCGCCATCTGGTGGTAGGCCGGCAGCAACCGCGCCTGGCGCTCCTTCAGCTTCTTATCCAGCCGGTCGCGCTCCACCTTGGCCTGCTCCGTGCGGTGCATCTCCTCCAGCAGCTGCACGCACACCGGATCGATCCGCTCCATGATGCTGAGCTGCTCCTTCTTCCTGAAGCGGATCTCGACGGTGCCCTCGGGCTCGAGGACGCCGCCGCGGCTGTCGGGGTCGGCGTACATCTCCATGGCGTCGGCGTTGATGGAGGGGTCCACCACGACCCAGGCGCCGCCGCGCAGCTCGGCGAAGGGCGGCACGTAGACTAGGACGGGCGCGCGGTACTTGGTCAGGCCGTCCACGATGTAGGCGCCGAACTTGAGGACTTGATCGAACATGTCCTTCATGCCGCCCGAGAAGCCGCGCCAGTTGGCGAAGATGAACAAGGGGAGGTCCTCGTGGCTGAAGTCCTGGATGGCCTGCGCCGTCTTGTACGCCGAGTCGGGGTACCACACCTGCCCGGCTTGCTGGATGCTCTAAACCAGATTAATTCTACTTTAATTACATTTCTCTGCAAATTATTTCCAATTAATTTCAATTTTATTCCATTTAAAGGGATTTATTTCCAATTATCGGGCGGTAATTTTCTTTTTATTTGAATGTATTTCTTTTGAAGCAGTTCAATTATAATTCCGTTTAAATCGTTTGATTTGAGTTGAATTTAGAAAGTTATCAAATGAAAGCGGATTCAATTCAATTAGTTTACATTTTATTATAAATAAATTCCTAATTCGGCAATCGCCAGCGCACATTTAAACGAATGAAAATGATGAAGACGAGTCCCATTTAATTTTAAAATACCTAACTGAACTTTTTAATCCGAGATTCGTTCTGTTAAAGTGAAAAGATTTAGATCACCTTGACCTTTAATAATTTTAAATAAACATGAAATATTGACCTTTACATTAAATATAACGCTTAGACTACTTTGACCTTTAACAATTTAAATATATATAAAATATTGACCTTTTAAATGAATATAAAACTGGCGAGGTACGAAGCTGCGATGGCTGTTTACCTTGGCCTCGGAGTCGAAGTTGGCGGGGTCGGCGGGGATGTTGACCTCGACGGTGCGCGTCTCGACGGCGATGACGCCGACGGGGATGCCGCCGAGGCGCGCCCGCCCGCAGACGACGGTCTGCGCCCAGGGGCCCATGATCTCGCGGAAGGAGCCCTTGTCGAAGAACCTACACGCACAACAGACAACCACCGTCGACGCCGGTCAACGTTAAAGCACAACAGACTCTAACCCGTTCAGCCACTTCTCGTAGTCGCTCTCGTCGCGCTTCCCGCTGAGGAACCAGCGCGGGTCGTAGGGCGCCTTGCACGGCACGTAGTCCACCTCGCGGTCCACCGGGTCCGGCGAGTGCACGATGGGCACCATGGCGCCGCGCTCCTACACAGGTACACCCAGTCAGGAATAACTATACAGTGTAATAGTTGTGTGGTTTTGAAATAAATGAGTGTTGTCCTGAAAATCGTAACTATACAGTGTAATAGTTGTGTGGTTTTGAAATAAACGAGGGTTGGTAAGTATGTAATAGTTATCATTTTAAAATGGGTGTATTATTCTTATCCAGAACAAGCTAAACTATGGTAAGTTCTTCTGGGAAAGAAATAAAATTAATGACAATCGCAGTGCATAATTGCATATTCCGCATGGAAGTAAATAAAAAGTTATCATCAGAAAAGCTACCATAATTATTACATGAAATCTGTAAAGTCGTGAGCGTACAGCGTCATTGAGACTTCGCCAGAGGGTGAAGGGAAAAGACCACTGTTCTACAATTTCTACGCGTTTTAATATTTCCAGCTCACAAGGTGTGTGTGAGTGTCTGTAAATGTGTATCAGCAGTCGAATAAAAATCAGTAGCACTCTATTTGTCCGAAAAAGCTTCGAAATGATCGATAATACAAATTTTCAACAAATACTAAAAAATAAAGGATGGAAATGTATTAGACATGTGTCTAAAGTAGGGATTAAATTGGAAGAAATTACAGAAAATTCAAAGTAAAACTCGAAAGCAATCCAAGTGAAAATTAAAATTACAGCCATTCCCCATCTAATACAATTTCTAGACAAAAATACAAAAGAAATCGGCATGCTAGTGAAACTAGTGTTGAAGAAATCAGAGATACTTGTAAAAAATTGCAGTAAATAATGTTGAATGCGGTGACGCCAGGTGCGCGTTGTATTTTTACTATTTTAATGTTCAATTCAAACTGCCCCAGTTTTTCAAATATCCGAATTTTTTCCCCTAAAGACATTTGAATTTAAATGGCTCAAATTTGTTAAATTTCTCCAATTCAAATTTACCAGCTGCTTTTCCAAAAACCTGCCAATTTAAATGTGCACTTTATCTCGCCACGTGTCCCCAAGTGGGCCTACCTTGGGAATGTAGGACAGCCAGGCCAGGAGATTGTAGATCCCCTCGAAATCGTTCGGGACGGTGAGGTGGGAGACGCCGTTGTTGAACATGATCTGCGGGCCGCCCAGCTGGTTGTTGGACGCGTACACCTCCTTCCCCAGCAACTTATTCAGCGCGTGCGCCCCCGTCAGGATGATGTGCGAGCTGTCCACCTGGATGACCCGTTGCCCGAGGCGGACGAGGTAGGCGCCGATGCCGATGGAGCGGCAGGAGACCAGGCTCATCGTCACGATCTCCTCGTAGGCGCGCGACGTCTCGCCGGCGATGGCCGCCGAGCCGCGCAGGTTCTCCACGCCCAGCCCGTTCTCCTTGCCGTAGATGTCCAGCAGGCGGTAGTGCGGCCCCAACGCTTCCGTCTCCACCAGCTCCGCCCGCACCGAGTTGCTGGCGCTCACCTTCTTGTAGTCCTCCGGCGTCAGGTATAGATACGCGAAACCCTGTTGGCAAATTCACGACGGTCAGTTAATGTCGCCCGCCCGCTGGCAGCGGGGACCGGTGTTTTTTAATTCACAGCTTTTTTCATTTATTTTTGCGATTTTTAGTTTGTTATGCAAAATATCTTCCCAATTAATTCCGACCGATGTTTTTTAATTCACAATTCGTTTAATTTATTTTTTCGGTTTTTACTTTGCAGTTCAAATAGTTTTCCCAATTTATTTTGATCGGTGTCTGTCTAATTCATAGTTCTTTTGATTTATTTTTTCGATTTTACTTTCTAATTCATATATTATTTTTCCCAATTAATTTTGCCATTGCCATCATTAAAGAATTGGGCAAACGACTGGAGCAACACACAGGCGAAAGACGTTCCCATGAATTTCTACGTCAAAGACTGTCACTAGTGATACAACGAGGAAACGCTGCATCAGTTTTGGGAACGATGGAAGGAGCAGAAAAGTTAAATGAAATTTTCATGTTGTAAAATTATGTTGTTTTAAGCTGTTGCATAACCGTTGTACCACAGGTAATAAACGTACCTATTAATTTTGATATTTACTTACTTATATGCCCGATTTTTTTCAAAATTAATTTTTGAATATTTTATTCTTTTTAATTTTTGAATACCAGATTTTCGCATATTCATATATTTATTTTTTTCCAATTAATTGTGAGTATTTAATTTGGTTTGTTGCGTACTTTATCGGGATCGTTGGGGTCCAGCCAGGCGATGTGGATCAGCTGTTTGACCTCCTCCGCCAGACCGATGCGCGCGCCCGAATTCACCGCCAAGTACAGGCGCGGGATCTTCTTACTGCGCGCCAATTCCGAGGCTTTCTGTCAAGCAGAAAAACAGACATCAAATTACAGCTATATTCTACACAGATTCACTGACCAGTGACCATTACAGCCACACTCGATTTTCTGTAATGTCCTTAGAGAAATAATTCAGCATGTTTCTTGTCTGTCATCACACCATGCACGTGCAATCGTAGAACAGTGGTCCGCAATCCAAATACAGAAAATCAAACGCCTCCTTTGTGATATGCTGCGCTTGCGACATAATTAATTTATACAACTACAATCATTACGATTTTCCTGGCCGTTCTTTTTTTCATGCTGATGCGGAATATGGACTGCCTTTCTTAGTAAATGTAACTACTTTCTCAGCCGAATCGAATTCGATTGGTCAGTCCGTTTATTTTACTTTAAGGAAAGCACACATTAATTTCTAAACTTGGAAAAAGAATCAAATCAAATTAAAAATTACAACAGTTACTGCATTATACATTTTAAAAAAATTAACAGTCAAGGTTAAAAACTAAAGCGCATAAAAACCTACAAATTATGCAGTTAAATGGAAGATTAAGTGGCAAGCTAAATTGGTAACCACTTAGTTCGAATGTTCTCACTACGCAGTACGCACAAAATTCACAAAAAAATCAGACTTTAAATACAAATTAAACTGCAACAAATTAAGCCAGAAAACGAATGGAAATTCAATGGCGATTATATTAGCAATTAAAAGACAATTAATTGGTAGAAGTGACTGACCAGAAAGAGGACGTCCTCCTTGGGGCCGAAGGAGCCGATCTTGTAGGTGATGTCGTTGGCGATGACGATGAGCTCGCGGCCGTCGGGGTACTCGGGCGTGTTGAGCGTCATGCGCCAGGCCACCATGCCGACGTTGTTCTCGCCCGGGAGGCGGTTCGTCTCGAACAGCGTCTCGTGCGCGTCCAGCACCAGCTCCGTGTAGTCCATCAGCTGCGCCGGGACCGGCAGGCCGCGCGCCTCCCCGCACTCCCGCCACTGCTTCATCAGCGCCTAACCCAACCAATTCACCATCTATTTAACCAACTGGAACCTTATTAAATTTTAATTTAAATTAATTTGTGATTTAATTGTCAATTATTTTGCAGTAATATGAAAATTTAATTGGTAATATTTTTTTAAAAAAATTAATCCAATGAACGCCGGTCCCGAATGGATTACGGACGTTGAGACAGTACCTGTCGGAACATCTCGGGGAAGTCGTAGACGTAGGTCGTGCCGATGCTCTGCGCCGTGAAGCGCTTCTGCTGCAGGTAGTTCTTGGTCATGTACGGCGTGTCCGTCGAGCGGCTGTGCAGGAAGCCCTGCCGCATGCCCCACGACTCAAACTACGTAAGGCCCAAACAAACGCCACGTTAACACACGCAGCGATCACGACGAAAGGTCACTGACCTTCATCAACGTCGTCCGCGGGTCGCGGACTTCTTTGTACAAATGCAGATCTAGGTAATAGCCGCTTTCGTTGGCCACCGACAGCCGGATCGGGATGGAGTCGTCGTTGGCCGACAGCCGGATGTTGATCTTCAATTCCGCCTCCAACACGCGCAGCTTCCACAAACTACATTCAATAATAAACCGCCATAATTAAATTAACTAACCAGTAATTTTTAATTCAGTTACACTGACATTAAATTAATTTTACGCAACGATTAAGCGCATTTACCGGCTGCCGTAGCGCATAATCATCCCGCGCGCGCTCTCCTCGATCTTATTGGGGTCCATGATGACGGTGGGGACGAAATTCAGGAAGATATGATTGCAGTCCGTCTTCTGCGCCAGGGGATGCGAAAATCCCACCTCCAACGCATCCATAGCCTCCAGCAGTACCCGCTCCCCCTCCGTCTGCAGGAACTCCGCCGAGGCCTCCTTCGTCACCAGATCCGAGTGGCGGATAATCGAACGGACGAAAAACCGGTAGTCATTGGCGTTGTTCTGTCCCCGGTCACTCTTCGCCGATCCCAGATACAAATAAATCTTGTTATTCGGCGTGGGAATGGCCTCCAGATCGTACGTCCGGAGCCGGTTGATCTCCAGCTGGAAGGCCAGCGCCGGCTCCAGATGCCGGTAGATTTTGTCCTCGGCGAAGACATCGCGGGCGCGGTACGAGAAGTACTTGGGATACTGCTGCAGTCGGAGCACCAGAAAGGTCACCCGCCGGATACCCTTCTGGCACATGAAGGCGCGGACGTCGGCGGTGGAGCAGAAGGCCTCCAGCATCTGGCTGATGGACTCGTCGTCGTCCGTCAGGCTTTTATGCTTGAACGCGACGTTCAGTATGTGAATGGGTTCGTGGGAATAGGGCTCCGCGGTCCCGGTGTCCAAGCTCGAGCGCCGCGAGTTGTCGTCGTGCGGGAGGCTGTGCGAGTGGTGGAAGGCGTGGTCCTCGGGGGGAAACGCCGGGTACAGCAGCAACAGCTGCTCAAAGTGCTTGCGGAAGTCCTCGAAGGACTCGAAGGCGGCCATGACCCCGAAACGCTTGCAGCAGTTGATGTCGGTGGGGTCGACGGACGCGCTGCTCTCCTCCAACGACCCTCCCTTGTCCTTGGCGTCCAATGGCCGCGGGGGCGACGCCCGGGCCTGGATTAACAAGCGGTTGGGGTGGGAGCTGGGCAGCATGAACTGGAATTGTAGGACGCGCTTGTCCTGCCCGATGACGCAGTGCTGGAGACAGTACAACCCGTAGGCGATGTAGGCGCGCCGGATGTAGACCTCGTAGGAGGCCTGGCGCACGATGGGGTTGATGTGGTAGAAGAAGTCGTGCAGCACGTCGAAGATGGACGTCTCCGAGTCGATCAACTTCTGGAGATATTCCGGGTGGAAGTTGCGCCCGTACATGTCGATGGCCGACAAGAAGATGGACTCCACTTGGTTGCGGCGCAGCTCGTAGCTCGGCTGGTGCGCCGAGATCAACACTTGCCTGCCATCAAGTTCATTACACTTTTCAACTTCCATAATTTGTACCAAAAATAAGAAAAAAACGTAATTAAATTGTAATTTAATTAAATTATAATCTATCAAAAAATGAAAAATAACAAAATAACTAAGCTGTAGTTTAATTTGCAACAAAATTAATTTTTCAAGCAGAAAATAACTGTATTTTCAATTTTGCATAAAACAAATAACAAACTATTAAAACTGCAAATTTTAATCTGCATCACAAATAAAAATAAACAAATTAATTAGCATGTAATTTAATTTGTATCAAGTTAACCGTACTGAAAACTTTTCTTCAGATCAACTAACTGATGAGGTTGTATAAAAACTGTCATAATGCAGTCGGTTTGAGTTGCATCGGTCTGCATTCAATAAACTGCTTTCTATAAAAGGCTTCCCTGGGATAATTAAAATCAAAACCATAATTGGAATAATAATTTTAATTTAAATTATTTTTGGCTTCTTAAATTTTCTTATGAAATTAATTTGTCATGTTTCCTGTCTTCCATCGGAAGCAAGCGTAGAACAGTGGTCGGAAACAGTTACTAACCTACCGCTTGGCGAGCTAGCGACCTAACAAATCCAATAACTGCGATTTTTCCTAATGATTATTTTTTTCTTTACTTTCATGCGGAATATTAATCGCGTTTGTCAGAAATTTGTAAATACTTTCTCAACCGAATCATGCGAATGGCCACAGTGCTAACTGTGTACTGGATTCTCCGATAACTTTCAGTAACATAATAAAATTTAAAAATCAGTTATTAATTACCAATTAATTTAGTTGTTAATTACCAAATAATTTTCCGTAAATTAATCAAATTGAGATTAAATAAAAATACAAGACTGGCCGGCAGCCTTACCGGGCTTTGAGCGCGACCTTGCCGTTCTCGGAGCGGCTGAGCGTGGTCAGTTCGTTCAAGATGGGCGAGAGTTCATCAGCGAGGCCCGGCTCGTGGCTGATGAGGTGGTCGATGAGGGAGATGATCAGCTGGTTCTTCTTGGCCACCTACAGATACCCAACAGCGACGTCTTAACCGGTCGCGGAAACACTTTCCCAAGAAGGTATTAGCACCTGGCTGTGGGAGAAGATGGCGGCGACCACCTCGGCCATGTCGTTGCGGTACTTCTCCATCAGCTTGGACACGCACTTGTCGTAGTGGCCCAGCTGGAACATGAGCTCCACGTTCAGGTACTTCTTCAGCGTCTCCTGGATCACCGACTTCAGGTGGCCGCGGATACCGTTGCGGTACCGCTGCACCAGCTGGATGATCGCTGTTTAAATCACAAACACAAATTACCACAAAAGGTCAACACAGAAATAAAGCACAAAATAATAATATGAGGAATATAAATTACACAGATAAATATGCAAATAAATAAAGGGAAATATATTTACTACGTAAAAACCAGTCAACGAAATCAACAACAAAGTAAAGCACAAACAACAAACGAAGTAGGAACAATCGCAATAAGTAATATACAACCAAAATAAATCTGACATCAACGGAAAAATAAACAAAATACATATACAACAAATTTTTAAAAATCAAGAAACGAATATAAAAAAAGGGAAAAATAAAAACACAGTAACAAGTTTCAAATCAATGGAATTACGAAGAAAAGCAACAAATATACACAAACCCAGTAATTAACGAAGAAATTAAATAAGGCAGTGTAAAAATAAATTAGAAAAAACAAAGTAAACATTGGTAAAGGAAAATATGAAAATTAAACCACGAAATATAGTTATCAAACAGTGCACAAACACCATTTTCTGACGGTCTTAATTACCTTGGGTGTTGAGGAAGAAGACATCGCGATCGGTGCGCTTCTGCAGCGTGGCGGCGTAGGAGTCGATGATGTTGGCGATGGGCTGGCTGGGGAACTGGCAGAGGACGGAGGTGATGTTGTTGGCGTACTGCTGCAGCTGCTGTTTAATCGCCCGGTCCACCGTCACCGGCAGCCGGCCCGACACGGAGCTGATGACCTCGTGCAGCTCCAGCAGCGGCAGGTGCGGGTCGCGCAGACTCCGCATCAGCGTCTCGATCGTCTCGTGCAGGTCGCGCGAGAAGTGCGGCTCGGGCGCCGCGTACCCCGCCAGCACCTGCTCCACCACCGACCGGCACTTCTCCACCACGTGGTTCAGCTTATCGCCCTGCCGACACGGGTGCACATCACAATTTCAAACCTTGCATATGTTGAAATAAAAATTTAAGTTTTTTTTAGTGACTACAGTGTTAAATACATTTACTGCGACAGTGATCAGAGTAAATACTAACTGAGTAAGATATAACGAAATAAACATTAATAATATATATAAAATAGATGCAAAAATAAATTAGCCAAAGTATTAACATCCAACACATTAAAAACATGAAAAATACTAATTATGAAGTAATAAAAAGGATTATCACGTAAACAATCGAAAATGCTGCATTTATTACGATGAAGTCGCAATCGCACGACACCTGGTTGTTGGGTTTTTTATGCGATGTCAAAGCCGATGTTCTACAATTTCTATATGCCGATCACGAGGCGTTTCTGCATTCCCACTGCCAACGAACAGTTACAGCGCTTTTAAGAAAACAGGGAATTGTTTTTCAAAAAATAAACTATCAAAATTTTTTATTGAAAAAATTCCGGAAAATAACTTTGAAAAACCTTTATCCAATTTCACATTATGTTTCCTTTCATTGGAAATAAATGGAAAAAACCGTCCAAAAATGACTGAACTGCCGCCGTACCTGCGGGGACGGGGCGTCCTGGTTGGCGGGGAAGGGATCGCTGTGTAACCGCAATTCCTGGACGCGACTGGGATCGTCCAGCGCCAACCGCCCGATGACGGAGCCGGCCTCCAGCACGGCGCCGGGGCGCTTGACCTGCTCGAGGACGCCGCTGAGGGAGGCCGTCAGCGTCATGACCATCTTCATGACCTCGATCTCGGCGTAGGGCTGGTTGCGGATGACGCGGCCGCCGTTCTCCACCAGGTAGTTGAGCAGCTTGCCCGCCGAGGGCGCCCGCATCAGCGTCGGGTCGTCCTCCTTCTCGAACACGCACGTCTTGTTCCCGATCACCAGCCGGTAGCGGTCCACCTCCTCCTTCATGTACGTACTGTGACTGGCGCCGTCCACCGAGATCAACAGACAACCTGTTAAAAAACGCACATTAAAACACTCCAGGAACATTGATATTTTAATCAAGCATTTTTTATTAATTAAAAAACCAATTTAATTGTAATAACTCAGTAAAAAGTTGGCCAGTTGTAAGAGTGCAATAGACGAACTGACCGTCTTTCAAGCGGTGCACTTCCGCTTCCTTGACCGAGCCGTTCATCAGCAGCAGGAACTTGCTGCCGCCCATTTTGTTGACCTGCACACAGTACTTGACGAGATCGTAGATCAGCTCCACGTCCACGGAATTCGTTAGGGTGTTGGCCGGCAGAATCTGGCCGCGCTCCAGGGAACTCTGTATTTTACGGATTTAAATTTTATATAAATTATTTCCCTTCATTATTTTCATAATTCATTATTGAATTAACTTTATTTGAAAATTATTTTCTTATTTTATTCGTAAATTAAATTAAATTTACTGTACGAATTCAACTGGGCAAATACCAAATAAAAAAAAACATTAAATAGCCGGTACCTGGAAGACCTGGAAAGCGTTGTTCATTTTGGCGGCGGCAATGTGCAGCGACGCACAGATGACGCCCAGCATGGTTTCGGGCTTCTCGGACTGCACGCGCTCGGCGATGAGCCGGTCCAGCCAGCCGGTGTCCACGTCGTTGTTCTTGAAGGTGTCCGTCTCCAGCAGCACCACCAGATACTCCACCGTCGTGCGGAAATCCCCGCGAATCGACAAATCCTTCAGCGCCACCACCATGTTCTCACGCGCATCCTCGCTGCAAAAAAACACGTTTCTGAATCAATATATTTGTCAAATAATTGAAGAAACTGCACTCATACATAAATGTACATTAACCACATTTTATCTGAATTATTTTTTTATTTTATTACAATTTATTCGCAAATGAAATTCAGCCAAATTGTATGTCAGTCATTTACTTCATTAAAAATGCAAAAATTCTTTAAAATTATATTCGTAAATTTAAGTTAACTACATTTTCTCTGAAAAATATTTTCTTAATTTTTATTGCAATTTATTCGTAAATTAAATTAAACTAAATTTTAAGCCAATTATTTATTCACTTTAATAAAATTGTAAAAAATCTTGTGCAGTTACCGGTCTTCGCCCCAGGCAAAGCAATGCCCGAACTGCGAGTCGGCAAACTCGTGCAGCCCCCCGGAGGCGGCGACGCTGAAGTAGCCCCAGACGTTCTTGGTGCTGCGGAAGTTGAGTTCCTGCACGGTGCCGGCGCTGGGCTTGAAGCCCTCGTCGGGGTTCTCGCTGGTGATGCGGCAGGCGATCACGTGGCCCTTGGGCTCCGGCTGGGTGTTTAAATCCATGAAGTCGATGGGACTGCTGGTCCAGGGCTTCTCGCCGTACAACAGCCGGATGTCCTTGATGCGGTGCAGCTGGATGCCCATGGCCACCTGCAGCTGCGCCGCGGGGAGATTGACGTCCGCCACCATCTCCGTGCAGGGATGCTCCACTTGCAGACGCGGGTTCAGCTCCAGGAAGTAGAATTTATCCTCTAATAACACATCCCACAATAACCACCTAATATATTCCTATCAATCTTCTTTAAATCATGTTCTTTTATTTGCTTGTTTCCTTTTGTCATTTTGTCATTTTATATTCGCGAATTACAGGTTTAATTAAGTTTTATTCCACAATTGAAATATCCTTTTCTGAAATTGTATTGGAATTACTTGGTTATTAAATACCGCTAAAAAAAGACAAAATACCGCTAACGATTATACGTTCACTCACTTCACTGGATAGTGAGTGCGTCATTTTACAGGAACAAATACAACGCAGGCGTGCAATTTAGTTAAAAACTGACAACATTAGAATGACAATTCAATTTGGAAATTGTAGTATTAAAATGCACATGTGCAGAAATCCAAGGTATCCACCCAACACGATTCCTCGCACTACGATACTATATTAATATGACCACATCTGAAGCTTGATTACTTATATGAAATGCCGGTTTTACACGATGAACGAGAAGTACTGGTAAAATAGATATGTTTATTTAAAAATTATTTCAGTAAACCTTATTTGTAAATTAAAAGTAATAGCACGTGATATTCACGCAATCAGCAGATAAAAACTTCGATGACAAACCGTAAGTACCTTCGGGCATGTAGAGGTACTCGACGGTGCCGGCGCTGATGTAGCCGACCATCTGCGCCAGCCGCACCGCCGCCTGCTCCATCTCGCGGAACTTGTCGCGCTGTGCGATGGTCACGGGGGCCTCCTCGATGATCTTCTGGTGGCGGCGCTGGATGGAGCAGTCGCGCCCGAACAGCGACACGGCGTTCCCGTACTGGTCCGCCAGGATCTGCACCTCCAGGTGGCGCGCCGAGTGCGCGTACTTCATGATGAAGATGGGCGACCCTACAAAGCACACCTGCACTGACCGGCATCGAGGGATGGCGGGACACCACGTACCGGGCACTTCGGCCTGCACTTGCCGGAACAAGGCCGCGAAATCGTCGGCCCCCTCCGACTTGCGGATGCCCTTCCCGCCGCCCCCCTCCGACGCTTTGATCATCACCGGGAAACCGATCTCCTCCGCCGTCGCCAGGCCCTGCTCCGGCGACTCCACACAGGCTGCGAATCAACACGAAATAAAAACTTCAAACCAACGAATTAAAATTCAGAGTAAGCTGTTTTATTATTGTTGTTTTTTTTATTGTTTTGTTTGATTTTCAAAATACATAATGTGCTACAGAGAGTTATTGTAGTGTTGAGGCTAAATATATCGCGACCAACATATCCCCTTTGTCGCATTAGCAGAAGCCTGTATCCATAAAAAAAATGAAAGCATAAAAAATTAATCTCCATATTTTCCGATTCGGTTCTCTTTTTTCTTTGGCTACTGATGTGATTGCCGGCTTGTAATAAGTGGGTGAAAGTGGTGGGAAAGCAAAAGGATCCCGGATAAATTTAAATTCAGAAAAAATTGTTTTATTTCTTCTGATTTTCAAAACAAATTTACCAAGCAAATAAAAAACGACAATTCAATAAACAGCTTTATTATTCTGATTTACAGAGAAAATTATTTCTAAAAATCTCGAAGAACACGGCTACCTGTAACTTGTACGTAACGAATCACAATTTGGACTAAAATTTAACTGCGCTGTTTAATCTTAATTTTTCATATACCTTTTGAACAAATTCCTAAACAATATCGATTAAATTTCAGGATATATTTAACCGACTAATAATAACCATGATCGCCGGAGAGTTCTCGAATTTCCGGCAAGATCTGCTAGGGCATCGCAGCCTTCGATCGCATTAAGCACTCCCAAGACCGCCAGATTAACCAAACTAGGCTGATGACCATTCAGGAATATCTGCCTTTCCCACAGCTTCCACCCACTCACCGGAGGGCTCATAAATCGAGATGCGCACATCCCTCGCATAAAAAGCTTGAAACGAATCGGAAAACATGGGGAAAAATGACGACAACGATTTAATTTTTATGTTATTGGAAATGTATGATATTTAGCAAATGCTGGCTGCTGCGACATGCTGGATTGAGAAACTCCGAAACAGTGTGGTGGGAAAACCGACAAACGGGAAATAAAAAAAGTCAGCACAAGGAGTTTTCCGGAACACTTGTTTATTTTTTGGATGTTGTTTATTGTGGGGACCGAATGTTGATACCTTAACTTTTCCTAGTCGGCACTGCACTACAATAACTCCCTTTTGCACATGCTGCTGTCTTACTAGTGTATTGTGAATCTGAATAAAAATAACGGAATTTTCTCGATAATGTCTATTCCGAGTTAAGTGGTGACTATAATAATAATAAATAACAATAACCGCGGGGAAATTCTCGGATCTGCGGCAAGATCCGCGGACGCCTGATATTCTTCGTTAGCATTAAATACTCTGAACTCTGAATGCCGTCACATGCGGCAAACAGGGCTGACTACCATCATTTCCATCCCCGTACTTTTGCTTTCCCACAACTTCCACCCACTGGGAAAAGTTTCACCCAGTTATTACAAGCGCACAACCACATAACCGGCCTGAGGAAAAATAACACGGAAAATAAAAAATCGCAAAATATGGAGATTGATTTTTTATGCTTTCCAATTTTTCATGCATCCAGCAAACAAAGGGTTGCAAATATGACTCTGGCACTAGCCACAACACTACAATAACTCGCTGTAGCCCATTATACTATCCCAGTACGTGGTGAATTTCAGCAAGAATAACGCAATTTCCCCGATTTTGTCTATCCCGAGCTGAATGGAAGCTGTTATATCGTACCTTGTTTGTAGATGACATCCGGGACGGTGGTGATGACCTGCGTGACCCCGTCCTCCGTCTGGCCGTCCTCCCCGGGCGTCAGCACCAGGCCGCTGCCGCTCCAGCCGAGGGTGGGCACGTGCGCCGTCTGCGCCACGATGGAGGAGGCGATCTTGTCGCCCAGCGCCCACATGGCCGTCTCGGGCGGTCCCAGGAACTGGATGCCGTGCCGCCGCAGCGACTCGGGCAGTTTGGGGTTCTCGGAGGCGTGCCCCCAGCCGGCCCACACCGCCTGCACGTTCAGGCGCCGCGCGATGTCCACGATGAGGTCCACGTTGGCGTAGTTGTTGTTGTTGGAGCCGCCCGGAACGGGAATGTACTGTCCACAACGAGAAAGGACACCGGTCAGTGTAATAGATTTTAATGGGAATTAACTCGCAATTTAAATCAACTGAACTGAAAATTCGAACATTAAACCAATTAAAAACGAAATTTAAATTGGAAATTTAAGTTGAACTGTCCACACTCAGACACGGCATCGATCAGTGTAACTGAAATTACTGAATTAATTGACAATAAATTCGCAATTAAATCAATTTAATTCGCAGTTTAAACCAGTTAAACTAAATTAATTTGAAAGTAAATCAATAAAATCCCCCTTTTATTCGAAATTTAATTTAATGAGAACTGAGCGCGGTACCTGGTCGGCCATCTTGACGTATTCGGCGTTGGCGTTCAGATCCTCCGGCGTGACCATGACGACGAACTTGATGGCCCGGTCGTTGTTGAACATCTCGTAGCTCCAGCGCCGGATGGAGCGGATGCACTTCACCGCCGCGATCCCGTTGTTGGCGATCAGGATCTTGTTGATCACCTGCGTCCCGCCGAACCTTAAACCACGCAACAAAACGGCTCAGTTGATTCGCCAATAACACCATCGTATCGTGATTTTAACGGTAACCTATGGGCTATGGCGAAAGTTTAAATAAACTGCCAACAAAAATAAATTAGGCAAAGCATAACACATCAAAAACGAAAAATAATCATGAAACCAAATAAACTGAATTACCACGTAAACAATCGGAACTTTTAAACTTATTAAATGTTCAGTCGCGACCGTACAATATTAGCTTGAACAGGTCGATCAAAGTCGCTGTTCTACAATTTCTATATCCGTACAACGAGGCGTTTCGGTACTCGGACTGCCAATGAACAGAGATTTCAGTTTTTACCACCTCATTAAATTAGAGTAAAAGTTACAAATAAAATGTTTAAATAAAATAAAAAAATAAAGATTAAATAAATTGATTAAATAGAATGTTCAACTTATTCTGATTTTTAGAATACTACATTCGCAAAATCATTCCGAATATTTATGAGTCGAGGTTTAGTACGAACCAGTTCAGAATGGCAGCGATGTTTTCGTCGATTACTACATACTTTTGGCAAGAAGTATAAAGATTAAAAGGATGTATTGTTTATCGCACAATTTTAAATACAATCAGCAAAATTAATATGTATTGTACCTACTGCCTACTCAAGTTTTAATGTAATATCACAGCCTAAAAATTAGAGCAGACAACAAAGCGTAAAATATAAAACAGAATAAGGAGACAAAGCGTAAAAAATAAAACTTAAAGCGAATAAAAATACAAATAAACGGGTGTATAATACATAAAACATAAAAACACGTAAAAACATAACACCGTTTGTAAAAAACGCTAACGTACACAGGCAATCAATAAACTGCAACGTATATCAAAAATTGAAGTAAGTAATGAATAATAATAGATACACAAATCAATAAGCACTAAACAGTGCCACAAATAAAAACGAAATCGATTAAAAAAATTACTGTTACTTGCCTTCAGGTGAAATAAGTGCACCCATACATTATAAAACGGTATAATATTAAAGCAATCACGAAATTGTAATTCACATCTGAGTAAAAAATATGGTAACGCCAGACACAAATATAAAAGAAACAGTAAAAACAAAAAAGACAGAAAAAAAGCAGTGAAAATGTGCAGAAATCTACCACCTGCGTCTGCAAAGAAAACTGGTTGTCATACGCACCGGAAGACGAATTCCTCCGGCGTGGCGACGGTGAAGTCCTTCAGATCCTTGGATTTAGTGGCCAGGACGCCGGACAGATTGCGACGCTTACCAAAACGCGGCTTGGCGTCGCCGGCGCTGCTCAACTCGGCCAGACTGCTGACGGAGGCGCTCTCGGGGACGTGGGGCCCGGGGGCGCCCGGAGGGATCCCGTCCACGTCGAAGGAGACACTCCGGAGGGTCGGGGGCCGGCCCCCCTCCAGCAGGGGGGCGGGGCCGTTGCGCGGGCCGCCCAGCGGGGGGCAGGTGTCGCCCGGCACCTCCTGCGCCGCCCCCTCGGCCCCCTCGGCCCCCTCGCTCTCCCCCAGTGCGAAGGCCACCGCCCGCTCCACGGGCTGCTTCTCCATCGCCTAGCGACTCAATCTGCACACAAGAAAACAGGAGAATCACACTGTGATTGCACAATCAATCCGATCGCCGTATCTTCTTCGAAACTGTGATTTGTGCGAAATCGACTGATATTCGCTCGCGCGCCTTAACGACTGGCCAGCGCGTGCCAAAATGCGCCGTAACCAAAGGCGAAAAAACCGCTTTTTCCACCGAAACGCGAGCACCGCGGATGGGCTGACTCAGCTGTGCAGCTGCGGGCGCTTTTCCAATTCCGCTCTGATATGCACCAGTTTTCGACTTACCGCGCTGTAAATCGGCGCACCTGCCAATGATGATGGACTGCCGGACGAGCAGCATTTTTTTCCGCGTCGAACACACCAACTTTCCGGCTGTCGCGATAATTCACAACCACGAAGAGAATTTCGAAAGAAACTCGGATTTCTTGATTTCTACATCAACATTGCAGGCACTGGATTTCACGGAATCGTCATAATACTCATTTTCACATGCGTCTCCGCGGACAAACAATTACGGAATAAAGTGTATAAAATATATTAATAATAATTTACAGGAAAACAGACGAAAAAAATTAAAAATTAATCAATGCGGAACGATTGAACAGCTGATGCGAGCGGAATCACATAAACTACTAACTAACTAACTAACAAGTTCAAAGAACGCTTGGGAAAAATTTAGAAACGCAATTAATTTTCAACGTAGAAATGTTACGGTACGTAGCATGCATTACGTACGATGCACGCGTGACGTACGTCATCGCAGCACTGTTTGGGTTTGTACTACTGACTCCGCCCTGTTTGCAAAGGCCGACGCACTGCGGTGTCGGTGCAAACGGCAAAGTGCAGCGGCTGCCCGCAGTAGCGCAGTGCACGCGTGACGCCAACAGCCCACCAACTTCCTGCATTTTGACCGTGCAGTGTGTTGGGAAAACCGACAAACGGGAAATAAAAAACTCTGCACGAGAAGTTTTCCTGGAAAACTTTTGTATTTTGTGGATGTTCTTTCAGCGTGGGGAGCGAATGTTAATATTATCCATATTTATTCCTTATCTTTTTCCCTCCTTTGATATTCAGCCAGCTACGCGTTGTACAGCCGTGTTTTGGTGGATTTTATGCTGACATCAGTTGGCTTGTGATTTGCACAGTGTGGGCAAACTGGGACGTTGCTGATCGGGAATCGTTGATAGGAGAGTGATTATGGCGTACGCGAGTAACCAGCGCACGGATTACGGACGCCAGTACAGGTGGGTGGAGTGCTGCAGGACGGGGAACAAGCGCAGCTGCCTCGAAGAGCGGCTGTTTTGGCTGTTGGGGGAGCTCACGGTTTGAGCAGCTGTTGCAGTGTTCGGATGATCGTTTCGTCTTGCTGATCGCCGTTTCTGGTGCTGTGGCGATTGGTGGCAGTCGATGCAGTAGTGGGTGATCGGCCCGATGTGTGGGGATGACGTTGTGGTTGTTTGCAGCAGCGGGAGCGGCCGCGGGGGCGCGGGGGGCCCCGCGGGGGACGGGGGCAGTCAGGGGCCGTCGCGGGTCCCCAGCGATCCGCCCTTCTCCGCCTTCGTCGGCAACCTGCACCAGGCCACCGTCCAGAGCGAAATCGGGGAGATGTTCAATCGCCAGAAGGTACGTTATGTGCACTGCAACACTGAACCCTTCCTGTTTACAGTTTGCCTCGTTTTCTTCGCTCGGCCTCTGGAGTGTACAGCTCCGTTTCCCACTTTCCTCTAACCGAGCGCCGCCTAAATAGATATATTATTCCGTAAATAAAAAGAAACTAATATAAGTAACAAATAAATCCAAGAAATATAATTATATAAATTTAGGTGAGTAATAATTGTATATATATAAATATGGTAAATATCAGAAATGTATTAAAGACGTGAGCAGGTATTGTGTGATCTGCAGTTATTGTCGAGATGGTGAAGAGAGAAACGCCAGACAGAAGGTGCTTATGTTTAGGTGAAGAATATTCGTATGCTGTACGAAACGGAGAGCAAAAACTTCCGAGGTGGGTTCGCTGGTGTTCAGATGAGAATAAACTGAACTGTAAGCAGCACTGTACTGTCCACACAGGTGTGGCCTTTGTGGAATTCGTCGACAAGGAGTCCCTGACGGAGGCGCTGAATCTCGACGGAATGGTAAGATATACTTGAAATTTATTCACCGTACATTATGGCAACAAGTAACAACCGCCGCGGCACGAAAAGCGACGTTTATTCATTTGATTTCTTGCTGTGCTGACTGTTAACCGTCTGCGCCCCCCTTTTTCTAGGTGCGTCGCGGCCGCAACATCCGCGTGGACGTGGCCGACCGCGACCGGTACCGCGACCGCGCCAACCGCTTCAGCAACGACCGCGGCGGCGCAGCGCGCGGACGCGGAGGTAGGAATGCGGATTACCTCCTAATTGCGGCGAATTGTAGTGCAGTGGCTCCGGTGTGTTGCAGGCAGTCGCGGCGGATATGCGCGCAGCGACGCCGAGGCCGTGGTGCCGCCGCCCGCGGCCAGTCCGGCCTCCACGGCGTCCACTCCACATTCCCAGCTGAACAGCAGCCAGAACAGCCACAACAGCAACCGCTCCGTCACGCTGCCCGAGCCTGTGCGTAAATAAATGTCCAATTTTATCCTTTATTCTGAATATTCGTGGTAATTATTTTTGCACGTGTTCTTGCGCAGGTCAACGACATGATGAGCAACCCGCGCATTGCGCATCCCTGCATCAAGGCGGTGGTAAGGGCTTAATTACGAATAAATACTAAGAACATCTGAAATGTGAAAAAAAAACGTGAAAACTTATCTGTACATATTTACGGTTGTATAAATTAGAACATTTCTCCAATAAACAGATTGAAGCAGGCTTTACGGAGAAATGTGTGTTTGTTCCTTGGCAGGCGTCGGAAGTCGTGGCGGACACAATTACTGGGGTCAGTTTCGAGGGCGTCCTGCAGTCCTTCAACAAAAAGGTGCGTTTTTCGCTTACTTAATGTGCCAGCATCGTTTAAGGATGCTTGTTTTTTTTTCTGTTGATTTACCATCAGTTACTTAAATTGCATAATCTAAAAGTGTACCTCTGTATTTTAATTGTAATAATTTTCATTTATAGTGATTGTGTTATCAGTTATAGAATAATGGTAATTTAATTGTGAGTTTGGTTTTGAAAAACGAATGTGCATCGCGTAGGGAGATACCGCCCTGGCACAAGCGCATAAAGTGGCCGCCAACCGGCAGCACGTGGAGTTTGTGGATTTTGTGCTGCTGGAGCGGAAGGACCTGGTCAGCATTACCGTGCGCGATATCGGGCTGCGTTTCCTGCGCAGCAGCCAGCCGGCGGTGACGCCCGCCAAGCGGCCCGACACCGGTCAGTCGACGCGTGCAATGAACGGCTTTGGTTTGTAACTAAGCGTTTGTTTTTGCGTTGCAGTGCTGGCGACGGACGAGGCGCTGGCCAAGACGCCGTCCGCTGCTGGCAATCAGTCGGCGCGTAATCAGCCCAAAGAACTGGTCAAATGGGAGCCCGATAACGATCTGGAGATCCACCATCGCCTTGATCATTTGGTACACCATTCCACTCTCATCATTTGCATTGATTTGTTCTTTAATAGCTGAGAATCGTATTTTATTTAAGTAATTTTCGTTTATCGATTTAATTGATTATCGGTGACGATGTGTTATGCGTTTAGGGCACCGGGTGGAGCGCCGAGGACATGTTCCGTCAGAACGAGCGCAATTTCGGCGTGAAATCCAGCTTCGACCAGTCCATGTCGCAGTACACGTAAGTGTTCCTAAAAAATAAATTTAAAATTTATAAAAGTTGCAGAATGAATGGTAGATGTATCTAACAAATTAATTTTGAATTGATTTAAAATCACAGCGTCCCGCTGACGATCCACGACGGCACGGACGAAGGCCGGCGGAAGATCTCGGAGGCGCAGCGTCTGGCGGACGAGATCGAGCGCCAACCCGACTACCGGCAGCGCGCCAACAAGGAGAACGCCGACGAGCACAACGAGGAGGAGCTCTTCAGCGCCGTGGTGCGCCCCGGCGGCGACCGCGACCGCCACCACGACCGCAACAACACCAACACCCACCACGACCGCAACAACGACTTCCGCTCCTCGGCCGGCGCCCGCCACCCCCGACATTCCGCCCGCGGCGCCCACGCCAGCGACAGTATTATCATCACGCGCAACCCCGACATCCAGACCACGCCCTCCTTCCCCGCCCACCGGGAACCGGCGTCCGTGGGGGGTGGGCCGGCGCCGGCGGTGGCGGTGGCGGCCAAGGAGAAGGTGATGGGTTCGCACGGCACGCAGACCAGCTACAGCGGCGCGATAGCGGCACGCCGCGATAGCAGTGGACGAACGGAGGCGCCGGTGGCGACGCCGGTGCCGGCCAGTCAGCCGCGCGCGCCGCAGGCGACGTCCGCCGCGTCGCAGCCGAAAATCCGCTCGTTCGATAAGGATTACACGCCGCGCGCCAGTACGGAGGGGAAGAGCGGCGTGCAGCGCTCGCCGGACGCCACGCCGCAGCGCAGCCAGACGCAGAATGTCTGGACGCGCTCCAGCAACGCGCCCTCCGTGCCCAACATCGCCGAGGCCGGCAAATCGGCCATCCGCAAGTCCTCCTGTACGTGTGCAACATATAATGGATTTTTTCTTATTTTTTTAATTTTTTTCTGATTTTTTGTCGAAATTTATTTGGAATATTCTTAGGTTTTTATTACGATGTCTCTAGTTATTTTAGGATTTTCTAGTTGTAACTTGTGAAGTTTGTTTGGATTTTTTGGGGATTCTTTTGCGATTTTGATGAAGATATTTTATGATTATTTTTATTGGTTATTTAGTTTTTATATTTTTGTGTGATGACTAATCGGCATGTTTTTAGCGCCGTCCGAACGGAAGAACGTAAGCGTCCACGATAACCGCCACCACGAGGAGCATAGCAGCGGCGGCGGCAGTAAGCCGGCGCCCAGTCCCGTCTCCCACCGCAAACAGAAGAGCCCGCACGAGAGCGCCTCGGCGCCGGACAGTAGCAGCGCGAAGCCGCCGCCGGCGGGCGGGCACGTGGACGTGAGCAAGTCGCAGCTGAACCCCGAGGCCAAGGAGTTCACGCCGCGCCTCCCGGCGCCGCCCCCCGCGCTGCACGTCCCCGCCCACGGCCCCGCCGACTCGCCCTCCCCCGTCCACGCCGACCTGGCCGGCTACATGCTGAACGCGCCGCCGCCGCAGCAACACCAGCAGCAGCAGCATGCGCAGCAGTTTGTCTACAGTGTCCTGCCGGCTGGTAAGTCTCCTTCAGTTCAATATTGATTTGTAATCTTATCAGTTGTTTTTTCCCTTATGAACATTAATGATTTATAAATCTGGAATGTATAAATGAATAAATTTCTTCACATCTGTAAATTATTAATGCCGTAAAAGATTATTAATAATTATTCAATATTCTTCTGTTCAGTTAGATTTTTTCTGGTGCAGGCAGTTTCCGTGAGATCCCCATGAACGCGTACGCCAACAACGCCGGCAATCCCTACGCGAATTACGCGCTGAACCAGACGTCGCCGGTGGGCAGTCCGGCGCAGATGAGCGCCATGCACAACGTCTACAGCGCCTCCCTCATCGGCCAGCAGCAAATGGGCGCCCCCATCGCGCAGTTTCCGCCCTCCTCGGTACGCTGTTGTCGGCATATAAATTTTGTATTCAAGTTTTTAAATTATTAACCGATCAGTATAGTAATCTGAATTTTTTATTTAAACTACTTAATTTTAAGCGCATGGAATCGACTTTACGGGAAATTTATTTTTATTCCAGTTTAATTGATTAAACTGCCTATCAGCTGTCGATCAGTTCAAGGAAATAAATTGGATATTTATTTTAAACGGAATAAATGGAGTAAATTAACCTGGGAATAATTCAGAGTGCAGCGTGATAAAATCAGTTGAATTGCAGCGCGACAACGGCCTACTGCAGATGTACCAGCCAGTCAGCGCCGCCATGGTGTCGATGCCGCAGCAGCAACAGCCGCAGCGCATGGTCATCGCTCCGCAGGCCAGCTACCAGGAAATCAACCCTTCCTTCTACGGTATACGCGGCATATTTCCCTTAATCTTCACGCAGTGCGGCTAATAATCAGCGGCGTTTGCAGGCTACCAGATGAACATGAACGTGCCCGCCTCGATGTACGCGCCCATCCTGTACCAGGCGCAGGCGCCCCCGGGCGGCCCCTTCCAGCTGCCGGCCAACGGCGCCGGCTTCCTCATGAGCCACGCCCATCCGGGCCATCCCCATCCGCAGCAGCATCCCCAGCAGCAGCCGCAGCACATCCCCGTCAGCGCCGCCATGCAGCAGGTACATTCGCTTTACAATTCAATTAAAAAAGACACTGGTTGTGTTTTCCTCCCTTCATTTGCAGAAAGTGTAGATTAAATCTAGTTGTCTTTAAAATGGAAATTTAAAAACTTTAAAAGAAAATCCGCTCAGAATATTCAGATAAAAAACGGAATAAATCAACAGCAAAATTAAAATTACAACAAATTTTGCATATTCAGTGATTTTGGACTACACGTGAAGATTCCATTCCTGAAACTTTAAAAAAAATAAATGCACACTGCTTTGCTAAATCATGAATTAATAAACAGTACATAAGCAGCAGCAGTAAATAGTTAAGCAGTAAATAAAAGAATAAAAATAAATAAATTTGCTCTTCTCAGATACACTTGAAAAATTTAAAAGCAGGATTAATCGGTGGATTTTTATTTGAATTATTGGGAATTTATTTGTAGAAGACTGTAATAAAATGTGAAAAATGGTTGTCTGTTTGCAGATGCTGCCGGGTAACTACAATGTCATGATGATGGCCGGCGGGCAGAACGGGCCCCCGGGGGGCATGCTGGTGCGCGGGCCCCCGCAGTTGCTGCATCCGCACCATCTGGCCGGTCCGCCGCAGTAGGCTCTCCCTCTTCCCCTTTCTCCTCCTGTTTTCGGGAAGGGCGGACCGCGGTTCCTGGTCGGTCGGGTGAATGCGCGCTGTGATCGCGGACGGGTCGGTTGGAGATTTATTGGACCGAGAGAGAGAGAGTTGCTGATGTTGGCGCCGCGGTGGGGCGCTGGTTGTTTTTTAACCTGGCGTCGGGATCTGAGTTGGATTGCGGAATTTTGACGAGGCGGTTGCTTACTAAAACGGCTGTCGGTGGTGTGTCTTGCTGGTCGTTGTGTTTCTATTTTTTGCGTTCTGATATTCTTTCCTAGTTTGTAAAGTGGCTGAACAGAGGCTGATGAGGATGAGGATGATTGTGTGCAGTCCGTCGGATGTTGCTGGTTTTTTTACGTGCTGAACAAATAAACACACAGACAAGCTGCAAATTGCGGTTAATATGATGGAATAAAAATCATAAAAATAATATTGCGTATATTACTGCCGTCATTAAATATTGCTGTGAATATGGTTTCTTCAAATATTGCTTGCGTGTTCACTTTTTATGTTGGCAGATTTTTTAATTGCACGGATAAAAGCACAGAAAAATTTCAATAATTTCCCCAACTGAAATGTGGAATTAATCATTTTTTTAAAATTTTTAATCAACTTTTTTATTATTACATTGAGTACAGCCATTTATACAACGACCGTATTGAATTTTCTACTAAGAATTTTCGTATACCGTGGAATACAGGAAAAAGTTTTGCCGCTGTTGGCGCTCTTCCCGAAACAGATACTGTACTATCTTGCTGTATACAGACTTCCTGCACTTCCTCGCTGCCCACAATCTGCTGGCAGAATCTGCCATTATCCGGGTTGGACCCTGGATTCTGTCGCGAAGGCGCGCTGACCCAGACGCATCGGATGACCAGACGCAACGGCTGCGAACCGACCCGACCGGATTGGAGTTAGCCGATAGTTAAACTGTTTAGCGGAGAAAGTACAGTACTATACAGGGATCGGGTCGTACTGTACTGTGCGCTGTTTTTCCTCATTCGCTTCTGTATTTTAATACTGCAGTTCACTTGTACTCAGTGTCGTACTTCAGCCGATTTTCTTCTTATTTACGGCGCATCGCGCGATTCTCGTGCACTACACTGCAGTTTAGTGTTGCATCGTACAGGGAGACGGAATTTCATCTGCCCCAGGCTCCGCCCTTCTGTGTTCCGATTTGCCGATGCGCCGATGCTGTACGATCGACGTTCTCACTGGCTTGCACGCAGCTGCGAGCGGATGCAGTTCGAATCGGCTTTTTCAGTTTTGTCTTTTTAGCGCCGAGAGTTTGGCATGTTAATTTTGAAAGCCTCAATCATTTCCGGGTTTCCTCGTCTGCTCGCGACTGCTGTTGTTTCCCTCCGGGTCTGCGACATTTCTAGTTTTTTATTAAGTAATCACATTTTAATCAGTGCCGCGCCTACGATTCGCCGGGACAGCGTGTCTCCGTGGCTTCCGCTTCCCGCTCGTGCAGATCGTCATCTTCATGAGCGGAAACCGGAGCCACGGGAATGCGTCCTTCCATCTGTGCCAGCGCTGTGCCACTGCACGAGGAAGCGCCGCATCACCGCCAATCAGATACGAACTGTATCTAAACGCCGCCGCGGCCTTATCCCGGGAAGGGGCATGCCCACGGAGGCCGCCGTCCGTCAGTTTCCCGCCAGCCGGTTCTCAGCGCACCGGCTGCGGTCGGCGCCGATAACCCGTTGGTGGGCAGCGGGCGTTCCGTGGGAGCCGGGTGGACGGGGAGAAGGACGCGCTGGCCGTCGCCACCAGCTGAAGCCGGGTTCGGCAGTTTAACGGGGCACCGTTGCACGGGATCGATCCGCTGTACCCGGGCAGCGGTCCTCCGCGGAACTGCAGCGCCTCACCGGGCAGGACACCATGGGATCCGCAACATCCTCCTTCCTCACTGTCAATTCCTAATCTTGTCGATTAGGATAGACACTCCTCATTAAATTTTATCTTCAGAGTAAGAAACATTTTAACTATAAATCAATCATTTATTTCTCTTTAAAATGGATTTATCATGATTTAATTTGTCTATAATTTTTTACTAATTATTGCTAATAATGATCTGATATTACAGTAATGCTGTTGACCTACCGTGGATGTATGAAGTCATGCAATTATAAATTACAAGTTTTAATTTAATATCCTCATTGAATATTTTATGTAGATTGATTTATGAATGAATTTAAATTTGTGCATTAATTTTTTACTTGCATATGTACTTGTTATTTTCTTCTTGATTATTTACGGCTTTCTGTTTTTCCATTTCATTGTTTTTACACCAGAAAATCGGAAACGATTAAACGTAAAATTAGCAAATCTCATTTTTGTGAATTGATAATTTTCCCAACAATTTCAATTTATTTTGTAATTTACATCCGGTAAAATGTGAATCAGTCCAAGCGCAAGATTTTATTGTACTTACATAGTTGAAAATAACACTGTCTAATTTGTTCATCTGACTGCGTCGGCATCATTTTGTCGGGTTGACCGTAAGGAACAAGCGTGCAGTCGCCACACACAACGCAACAGCGAAACGCGTCAAGAAATCCGAAACAGAAAAAAAGGGTTAAACAAACGAATTACTAGCCACTACTCTACGTCAAGCATGCTGGGATAGATAGATAATGTAAATGAAGGAGTCCGTGCTAGTCGGCGGATAACGATGAAGGGTTGTCAGTCTTTGGATGTGGCTGGGTCGGGCGCGCTTCCGGCTTTCTTCAAACGGAATCCTGCTCGCTGCCCTTGGACACCTGCCGCTCGACGCCCGCCCCGGGCCCCGCCCCCGCGGCGGCAGCGGCGGCCGCCTCCTCCTCGGGCTTGGCCTCGCGCGGCTTCCCGCCGCCGAAGATCTGGCGCGTCCGCTCCGACGTCTCCGCCAGCTGGTTCAGCGGCGCGTCCACACTGCGCGGCTGCAGCTTGAGCCGGGGCCGGTCAGCGGCGTCCGCTGTACACAAATCACACCGTTATATTTATTCACATTTCTTCCTCAGAATTATTTACTGTAATTTATCGCGGCTTTTTTATTCTGTATTTTTTACCATTTTTCCATTACCTGACACGGTGTTTTTATTATTATTGTCTTAGGTTTTTCTTTATTTATCTATTCTGCATTCGTTACGGTAACTTGCGTTTATCTTATAATTTCTACAATTAATTCTTACCGTTTTATATGATTTTTCCTCGATATGATTTCATTGCTACTCATTATTTCACTCATTTCACATTCAATAATTCATTTCACATTTTTTCCTTTGTTTATTCGGATCTTAATGATATTTTTTATACCATCCCTTTTTAGGTTTATTACTGTTATAAATTTATAATACATTTGTTATTCACTAGTACTTATTTAGTATCATTTAATCTTGTTTTTATTTTTTTATTAGCTTATTTTCTATTTTAGCAGGTTATTAAACTAATCCATCGTATTTTTAACGAATATGTTTCTCGATATTTACCGGGATCCGGCGCCTTGAAGTCCGCATAGGAGTCGGAGTTGTTCCTCTCGCGGTCGCCGTAGCGTCCGCCTCGCTCGTGCCCGTACGAGCCGCCGCGTCCGCCCTGGTAGTCGCCCTGCCGCCCGCCCCGGTTGCCGTATCCCCGCCGCTGCCGCGGCGGTCATTGTATCCACCACCCCCGCTGCCGCGGTACTGGTAACCGCCGCCACTGCCGCGGTAGTTATCCGTCTGGTTGTATCCCCCGCCGCCGCCGCCCCCGTACCCCCGGTCGCCCCCCTCGTAGTGGCTGCCCCCGCCGTAGCCCCCGCGGTCCCGCTCGCCGCCGTAGTAACCCCCGCCGCGGCCGCCGCGCCCTCCGGAGGAGTACCCGCGGTCGCGGTCATTCCCGCCGCGGGAGTCGTAGTCGCTGTAGTTGGAGTCGGTGCGCGCGTACCCCCCGCGGGTGCCTGTCAAGAAACAACCGATCAAATTCTCTTGATTCAATTATAATTATTATTCTTCGATTTATTACTGTTTTTTACTGTCTTTTTTTATTACTGTTTTTCTTTATATTTTTTCACGATTTATTTTTTTATTTTTCTGTTCGAAATTTATTTACGCCTCAACTGGCCGCGTGCCTGTTGCGAAACAACCGATCGAATTCCGTTTATGCAATTATAAACCATTTTTCTCTGATTTAAAACCGTTTTTCTAACTCATTTTATATTTTTTCACGATTTATTTTTTTGTTTTTCTGTACGATTTTCTATTTACGCCTCCACTGACCTCCGCGGCCCCCTCGGGGCGCCCCCCGGTCGCCGCCGCGCTCACCGCCGCTGCGGCGGTTGCGGCTCTGGTCGGCCACGTCGACGCGGATGTTGCGGCTCTCCAGCACCTGCAAGCAGGCGCAAAGGCTCACTTCCCCTGTAACGCGACAGCTGACGGAGCCCCCTTCCGTGGCTGCATACTTACCGCGTTGTTGAGGCTCAGCGCGTCCAGGAGGGATTCCTTGTCGTAGAACTCCACGAAGGCCGTGCCTAACGGAGCGACAACACATTGCAACCGTATTCTCACGCGGGAACGCGACAGTAGAAAATATGTACTCACCTCTGAACTCGTCCGTCTCTTTATCACGCAGCATCCGTACCGATTTCACCTGCAATAACCATTTTTATCACTTCGAAATAACTCACCAAATAATCCTAACATTAAATAAGCCTACGATTAAAACAGCAAAATCACAGAAACAAATTATGATGATTTTTTAAGGGCAAAATAACTATCAAAAATAATAACAATAATTATATTCAGGAAATATTCCTCAGTAATAAAATGGTAAAAAATAACTGGTGATGAAACTTCAACTAAAAATCGCAGTAAAATCGAAAAATTGATTATAACCATTTTTCAAACTGCAAATCCATACCAGAAAATAATAGTAATAATGTATCACATATTTCAATAATCCTAATAACGAAAAGAATGCAATCAGATTACCAGGGAATTAAAAATAACGGCTCACCTTGTTGCGGCTGAAGATCTGCTCAATGTCGCTCTGGATGAGATTGGTGGGCAGATTGCCCACGAAGGCATTCCACGGCGGCTCCACGGGGATCCGCGACGAGCCGCTCTCCGCCGAGCCCCGTCCGCTGCCGCTGCTGCAACCACACACACCGTCAGTTCAACTACCCGCGCAAACGCACCACGATCACCCAGCTGCAACTGCAACACGCTCGCTTCGCTCGTCGCCAGCACCCAGCCCAGCAGAACCCGTCGAGCAAACGGCTCCCGGGCGCTGCGCCCCCTGCTTTGCCAATGCCGAAGCAGACCGGACAGCAGGCATGCTGGCCCGTAATACAGAGCGGCCGCAACGGCGCCCCCTCGGCAGACGACCGCCGGGAACCCACCTGTACTGGCGTCCGTACTCGGCTCGCTGGCTACCCGCATACGCCATGGCAGATGATCCAATAACTCAGGCTGATTCAACAATGCGCCGTCTCCCTTTCCCTTCCAATACAACACCGAGACACACGGGAAAATTTAGCTGGCTGCACGAGGAATGCGCGACGGCTTGGTTGCCCTGGAAAGGGGAGAATTTGGCCGAAGAGGACCGCGATTTCGAATAAAATTTATCACTTTTTTTGCATGCAATCGGCCTCTGCAGTCTGCATTTGGAAATCTCTGCCAGTGCCTGGCCGTACCGTACGCACTACGTACGTCGCTGCACCGTGCACGGGCAAACGGTACGCTGGGATGCGTACGATGCTACGCACGTCAGCGCAGCGTACGCCTTCAGACACACGTGCCGCGCTGCGTTTGTCGCTTCAAAACCCGAAAAAATGCATTTACTAAAGTAAATTAAAAATTAGACTACTGCGCAATGCGTATGACTTTTTAATTATTGTGAGCATGCCATTTATTTACTCTTATGTATATTGCTTATTTAATTTTATTTAATTTGGCTGGTTTTATGTTGTTCCTTTGACTTTATTTGTATTTATTTTAATCCTCCCGCTTCATTTAATTAATTTAGCTAATTTTATTTGTTTTGTTCCTCCGTTATTTACTCGTACATCGTTCTGGTAATTTTATAATTTGCCTATTTTTTTATTTTTTTAATGCTAACATGTCATATAATAATTACCGGAATTTTCAAAAATTATTTTCCAAACTGCAACAGAAAATTCAGAGAAATATTGAAAAACCGGTTAAATCATATTTAATTTAAATTGCCAAGATTGCTTAGTGTCTCTTTAATTTTGAGCCATTTGCGGACCAAGGACATAACATCCAACGAAACACGTGTGATCAACCCAATTAGTGCCGGTTATAAAGAAATGTAAGCCAACCGCTCTCTCACAAAATCAGACAAAACCAACACATCTTCCCGTAACTGCGTGCAATCAGCGATTTCCGGTCAGAGAAAGAAAAACAAAAACTGTAACAGAGCATAACAGGTTAGGAATTGGCCGACCACCGCCACCCGCGCCGGATCCGGTGCAATTAGTTTGTAAAAAGCAACACAAGCCAAGAAAAATACAGCGATACACTCTGAGAATTAATCAAAACGTAATTAGCTGGATTATTCAACACAAGAAACGACAACCGTCCAGCCGTCCGAACCGGCTACTCGTCGCCAAGATGCCGCGGTAAATAGGATTTTCTTTCTCATTAACCGGCAAGAATCATCGTTTCACCGACATTGACTAGGAGCCACTGCAAAACAAGCACGTCTCGCATTATTAGAATTTTTTTAAAATTTCCTTTAATTTTTTCTTCTTGAAAATCAAAATTTGTTCATCCTCACTCTTAAATTTATTTATTACTGAGATTCATTATTCATTTATAATATTCACTGCTTACTTATTCTATTTTTTTATCATTTTATTTACTACTCAAAGATAAACTAAATAAGGATTAAAGAAAATCAGAGATAAAAACAAGAAAAAATAAACAAAAACCAATACGATTAATTGATTAATTCTGTTCCGCAACCCGAATAAGACGGGCTGTAGAAGAAAATTAATAACGTTGTATCTAAATAATCAAGAAAATTTTTTACTGATAAATAAGGCAGAATAAATAGAAATGAAATACGAATAAATAAGAACAGCATACTCGTCAGCGTAGGACGGATGAGCGGCGTTCAAGCGCTGGAAGTTGAGCAAGGAAGGCGGGAGGACGTTGTGGCCCTGGCGCAGTTGCTGCTGCTGCTGTTGCAGCATGAGATAGCGCTGGTGCTCCTCGTCCATGGTGCGCGGCGGCGGCAGCTGCTGTTGCTGCTGCTGTTGGTGGTGGTAGAGCTGCAGGAAGCCCTCCGCCTCCCGCTCCATGCCCATGACGCCCTCCAGCAGGCCGCCCGCCCCGGCCGGCGCCGGCGTCGACGACGTGGAGGAGCTGCTGCCCGGCAGGGAGCCGCTGGTGTCGCTGCGCTGCAGCGTCTTCCGCATCACCGCCGTCGGCAGCAACGGGTTCCCGCTCGACGACGGCCGCACCACGCCGCCCACCGCCGGCCCAGGAATGCTCATCTAAACCCCAAGCAATAATAATTCGTCAATAAAATATTAAAACAGAATAAATTTAATAAATACCAAATATCCAATTAAGAATAAAAATGACTAAAGATTTAATTCAATTTTTTACCTGATTGTGCATGCGGCTGTGGCTGTACTGCTGCTGTTGTTGTAGCTGCTGCTGCTGCTGTTGCAGCTGCATCTGGCGCATCCATTCCTGGCGCTCGGCCAACTGGCGGGAGTGGGCGGCGTTGCGCTGCTGCTGTTGTTGCTGCTGCTGCTGCCAGAGCAGCATCTCCTGGGGCGGCGGCATGGGGAAGGGCTGGCTGTGCGGGAAGCTGGGATGGGGGTGGTGTGAGATCAGGTTAGGAGGGAAGTGCGCCGGCGCCACGCCGTGCGCCGCCGCCATCTGGTTCCCGGGGCCGACGCGCACGGGTCCACCTGTCATGATAAACACTTCATCAAAACCGCCACAAATTTTCAAAAACAATCATGAAAAATATTCATACATTTTTAAATTTTAAATACGTTTTCTTTCCGATTTTTTAAATTTTCAATAAATTTTCCTTAATATCTTATTCATAAGAAGGCTCATTCATAACTGTTTTGTTTTGGAAATAATAAAAGAGCATTTCCGTTGGAAAAATGAAAAATGAAATTCAATAATTTGTGAATTTCAGTTGTGTTGTTTGCGGCCTTACCGAACGCAATCCGATGAGCAAACCGGTGCATGGGACTCATCGGCGGCGGGACGGTGGGCGCGTACTGCGCCGGTCCGGCTCCCGGCGGCATGGAGTTGCCAAAGGGCGAGAAAGAGCGGTGCATCACGGCCGGCGGCGGCGCCGTCTGGAAGGGCGCCGGGAAGGGTCCTCCCGCCGCGGTCATCCCCGGCGGCGGGGCCCCACCGCCCGGCTTGATCTCCAGCGCCTTCATCAGCGAGTCCTTGCGCTGCTTCATCTGGATGAGCATGAGCAAGATGCCGTGGTCGAAGTGGCCGCTGTCGCGCATGTGCGTCAGTTCCTGCACCGAGAAGTTGAGCAGCTTGTGCAGACTGGGATCGTCGGGGATGGCCAGGTCCGGCGGCAGCGGCGGACTGGGCTGCGGCGGCTGGCTGGGCGGGGACACCGCGGTGAAGGGGGCGTGGAGAGGCTGCTGGGCGGGGGGCGGCATGAAGCGCGACTGGGTGAGGGGCGGCGGGGGCGCGGCGGACTGCAGCTGCTGTTGGTGTTGCTGCTGCTGCGCCAGCTGGTGTTCGCGCTCAATGTCCTCCATCGTTTTGAATTTCGGCTGGCTGACGGCGCTGGCGACTGGCACCACTACAACAAAAGAAACAAATTCGGTTAGAATGAAATATTCATACAAGACATAAATGGGAGGAATAACAAAGACATTTCAAAATAACATCGCAACAAATAAATTACCAACTGAATTTAATCCGCTTAATATTAATTTCGTTTAAAATAAACAAAATGGTATTCAATGGTAAATATTCAAAATTTAGTGCTTATTAATTAGAAAAATTCACATACGATCACTAATTACTTTAACAAAAAATTCAACTGATTATATTCCAACCTTGCGCTTTACGCTGGAGCATCTGTAGTAAATTCCGCCCGGCCTCCTGCGGATCCATCCCGAAGACGGCCTCCTGTTGCGGCGAGTATCCCGGCGCCGACGCTTCCGCCTGTGAACGCTCCGAAGACACGTCCAAGCCGGAGAACAACGCGCTGAAACGGCTCCCGCCCGCGGCATTGGCATTCCGATCCTGCAATATCAAGATTTAGACACAACCAAGGATATCACTGAAAAACGACTGACCTCGATGACAGGCGGCGACTCCGCTTTGACGGCCTTCGTTTCCGGCGGCGCGGGCTTTTTAACGACGTTCTCCACGGAGGTCGTCTTCTCCGGAGCCTCCTTGTGCGTCTCCTCGTCTTTAGCGTCGTCGGTCCCGCGCAAATCATCATCAAAGCCCTTCAGCTCCATAATATCGTGCCGACTGCTCGGCCCGTCCTCCATCCACGCCGGTTCGTCTTCATCCGAGTGCTCGAGATAGTACGGCGACTCTTCTTGCTTATCGCCGTGATCTGCAAGAAAAAGGCTACGGTTTCGGCTGTTTAGTTCAATGAAAGCGCAGTCTTACTGGATGGACGCCCTCTGTCAAAATTCTCCCGGTTATCCCGCGTATTGTCCCGGTGGTCGCGGTCAAAACGGTCCGGTCGGCGGAAATCCCCGCGGTCCTGATTGTTGCGGTCGCGGTTGAAGCGGTCGTTGTGGAAGCCGTAGCGCTGACTCGCCGATGACGTCCCGCCGCGGTTGTTGGGATAATCCCGGGAATTGTAATTATTGCGCGACGGATAATTGTCACGATCGCGTCTGTAAAAGCGCAAAAAATACGATTAACACATGCGCCATTTCAAACATGTAAAAGTGTTTTAAAAAGCTATTAAAAATATGAACAATTTTAAAAAAATGGTGAAAAAGCTGTTAAACTGAAGGGATTTTTCAAAACGTTTTAAAGCATGTAAGAAAGTTTTTTTTAAAAAAATCTGTTAAATTACAAAATTTGTCAGAATCTACGCACTCGTTCTCGCGGAAATCCCGCTCACGGGCCGGCACCTCCTTGGTGACGAAGGCGCCGGCCTGATTGCGGATGAGGATCTTCTGCGGCGACGCGGCGGAGGCCGCCGGCTGGCAGCCCGTGGTGAAGCTGCGCCGCTGCGGCGCCAGGGAGATGCCCGAGTCGGAGATGTTGGAGTCCTGGCGGAGGTAGCTCCCGCGGCCCTCCGGCGCCCCGTTGTTGGCGACGGGGGCCGGCGGCTCACCGTTGAGGCTGGAGGGGGCGGCGGCGGGGGGCGGCTGCGCCGAGGCCACCAGCTTGAAGAGCCATGGGTTGGAGTTGGCCTTGGCGCCTTCCAGGGACAGCGCCGAGGGACAGCGACGGGATAGGGGCGATTTGGAGAGGAGCATCAGCTGGTCCACGGAGTAGTTGCGGCGCAGAGTGTCCGCCGATGGTTTCTTCTCACCTACACAAGTGGGAATCAGAATCAATGCTTGGATATAAGATGGGAGTATTACGTACCGATCAGGCGATCGTGACGGGAATTTACGGATGTATAACAACAATTAAAAATAATTACAGGCAGCATTCCGATCAAATACTACTCAGTGCGCGAACACTACAAAACCAGAAGGATTATACGCATGGCAACAAGCCAGGCTACTTCCGGTCGCGTGAGTTTCCCATACACTGGATACGGAATGCGACCAGTATCATATAGATGGCGAACAATTACGTACCGTAAAAGCGGTAAAACAAAGTGATTTGCAGAAAATTGGCATAGTACCAGTAAATACGTTGTACATACATGTACAGACAGTACTGTACTTCACTGATCAATAATGATAAATAGTATGAACGCAGATAATGGAGAAACTTTTTCTACAGAATGCTCATTACTCGTACAGTTAATCAGGTAAGTACTGTAATAGTACGTATGGCACGAGTATTTAACGAGTAAGTATTTTATTGGCATTTATTACATACTTACCGTAACAGGCGTAACTTACGATTTAATTATTATTTAAAAATTACTACGACTTCGTCTTCAAAGCGTGGCTCAATAGCAAGTTCAATCAAGTGATAAATTATTTGTTATCATGATCACAAATCACAATAATTATCAAATCATTGCAATGTTACTCATTTATCATCTTCACGGTCACTTTTTTACCGTCTGAAACAAGCAAGTACGGTACTTACATACGAATAATCGGTTTAATACGAGCTTCTGATCACACAATTCATGTAAAACACTAAGGCCTCGTCCCGAATTCGAAGCGAATCTCGTTGCGATACAGCAACTCCACCTCGCGAGGTGGCTTCGCGTACCGTATCTGTAGGCGTGGCTACTGCGTACAGCCACCTCGTGCGGTTGAGCAACCGTACCAAAGCGAGATTCGCTTTGAATTCGGGACAAGGCCTAAGATTTAAAAAAAATGCTAAGAAATCAAGCATATTTACTGCACTTGTATGGAATTACTAATTAACAATTCATAATAATTTTAATTAAAATTAACAAGTTAATCTGTTAATAATAATTAAAATTACCCATCTTCATTCTGTAATCTATCGGGAACTATGTATGTATCAGTATAATGATATAATCCCAAGAAACGACATCTCCCCATACAGACAGTGCAGCCACTTGACTACGACTTCAGCGAGGTTAGTCATTAGTGATTAGTCTTACGGTCTTACCGTGTTCCATTTCCTGCATGGCTCAAGGACGCCTTGACGAGGGAACCCAGCGAATCAATCAACGCCCAGCACCGTGAGGATGATCTGTACAATCCTATTTGACGAAATAGACGGGGACTACCCAGTAAATTCTCTATTCTGTGAAAGACGACTTTTTGGCAGATACGGATCAGAGACAGCAGCCAACGCTGTTCGACACTGCAAACTGCGATCAAGCGATCCACACCACTGTTACAGAGGGGAGTATGACGAAGTTATAGTAAAAACTCAACCTATGAACATATTCAACCTGATGTCTGACGGAAGAAAGACGAGCACAAACGCGAAAATGGGGAAGGAGCGAGGATTCTGGGAAAACTATTACTAACTACACAGTCTACACTCTGCACTGCACTGAGACTACAGAATCACATTGCCAGCGTCGAACACTCAAGGAGAATCATATGTACACAGAGTCAACGCTGCACTGCCGAATCCACCTTAACCAGCAACCGAAAAACAAGGGGGGAAAATGGAAAACTCAACGAACTCAATCACATCATTCCGAAGGTAGGTTATTTGAAAAATAGGGAAATTTATTCTGGTCTGACAGTTGTTTTTCCTACGATTTTCTCTGCGAGTTCCTGCGTGAAAACGCGGCGCATGCGGCGATACAGGAATGTGTACGGTGTGTTTGTACGCAAACACACTGCAATGAACAGCAGCCAGCTGGCTTGCATAAACTGGTTCATGCTGACGTCAGCAAAGTAATTTGATACAAGTGGTGAATGGGTGTACTGGAAAACCGGTCCTCCTCGTTTCCCTGTAGTCTACCGCCAAATTGTACGTTAGTGCACTTACATACGACTCACGTCGTCCAATTCCGCTGTTAAAATTAATTTGTTTCTTACTTTTTTGAGTTTTTTGAATAATTTTGATTTAAAAATTTCTGGATCTGCCCCATTGTGTATCTCAGTTGTTTTTGGCCTGTACGCTTCCTCTGGTTCGAGGAACTTTATTTGAGGAGGAAAAGAAGCACCAGAGAAACCAGCAAAAATGAGCGTACTGCAGAAGATCGCCGAAATCGAGGCCGAGGTACGTATGCGTAATGGTGAGTCTTCCAGGACGCGCTGCGAACTCTGGAAGCATCCAGCGTCGTTGGGGAGGTGAAGAATATCGCGTGTTAGAATTCTGCAGAAGAATCGTGATTATCGATTGATCAGCGCAATGCAGTGTGCGTGTGTTGGCACAGATGAATCGGACGCAGAAGAACAAGGCGACGAGCTACCACTTGGGTCTGCTGAAGGCCCGCCTGGCCAAGCTGCGCCGCGAACTCATCACGCCCAAGGGCGGCGGCGGGGTAGCCGGGGAGGGCTTCGACGTGGCCAAGACCGGAGGTGAGTGAAGGGGGCGGTTAGCGTCCGCAGGGAAGCGAGCGGACAGCGCCCGTGTTCGGCTGCGAACGACGATAAACGGATACAAATAACAAATTGAAAATGTTTTTAATAATTTGTATTTTTGCTGGTTTAATTTTCTGATACACGAATCGATACGTTAATACGCATCGGAGCAGTAGTTTTTTGTTTATGTATTTTTTAGCAGCCTTGTCGGTTTATTTGCTCATATGAAGGTGAAAGCGAAAATTGATTGAAATTTTTTTACTGGTTTTAAATAATTTTATAATTTTTGTTGGTATGTAAATGTTTAGATACCTACAAACTGGGATTTTTTCACTACCCTAGTTTGGAGTAAATTTGCTGGTTTAATTTTTTTTAAACAAACTACAATTTCTTCGTTAATTTGGGGTATTTTTGTTAGTTTAGTTGTTGAATACGAATTGGAGTTTTTTGGTAATTTGTGAATAATTTCGTCGGTTTAATTGTGTGAGATGGAATTGAGTAGGATGCTTTGTTTGCAGACGCGCGTATTGGATTTGTCGGTATGGAAGGGATCATGGGGGAGCCGGCGCCGCGTAGCTGGCCCACTTGGTCCTCGTAGTCAGTGGCCGTTAACGCCCGCAACAGCATTAGCGCAGTCGTAACCGTGTCGTGTGTGCAGGCTTCCCCTCCGTCGGCAAGTCGACCCTCCTGACCAACCTGGCCGGCGTCTACTCCGAGGTGGCCGCCTACGAGTTCACCACGCTCACCACCGTGCCCGGTATGTGATCTTGCGGTCCCTGCCTAATTAATCAGACAAAAAAGAGCATAATTCTCTTCAATTAGAATTAATTTAAAATTATTTATTAGAATAAATTAAGCATTGATTCGGCTTCTTCTCGGCAGGCGTCATCAAGTACAAGGGCGCCAAAATCCAGCTGCTGGACTTGCCCGGCATCATCGAGGGGGCCAAGGACGGAAAGGGCCGTGGCCGACAAGTGATTGCCGGTAAAATACACAATAACACAATTAATCACATTATTTTTCAATGTAGCAAAATAAATAAAAGTATACCCATTTTTATTAGTGATAAAATCGTACTGGTTCTGGTAATTATTTAGCATGTTGGGATAATGAAAAATTGATAAACTAATGAAGTATTGGGCTGCGAAAAGCCAACTACTGTACGTACCGGCCTTCGTTAAAGCGCTACTTTTGTCGTTTGTCGTGTAGTTGCACGGACGTGCAGCCTGATCTTCATCGTCCTGGACGTCCTCAAGCCCCTGCAGCATAAAAATCTCCTCGAATACGAACTGGAAGGCTTCGGTATCCGCCTCAATAAGACGCCGCCCAACATTGGCTTCCGGAAAAAAGATAAAGGCGGCGTCAACCTCAACGTGCTAGTATGTTTCACTCTGATAATAACTGATGAAAATGACCGCCAGTTTTTGCAGCGAATTTTTTTGTGCTCGTATTTCTTCCCGGTTACCGTTTTTATTATTTGAGAAATTTATTTGTTTATTATTCCTTCGTCGGTTCAGTGGTATTCATTCCTGTTTATTATATCATAATGTCGCAGGATTGTTTTCTGAATTTATTTGTGCGGGGCGTGCGGTTGCAGCGGATGATGCAGCGTTCTAATTGCAGGTGGCGCAGAGCGAGCTGGACCTGGAGACGGTGCGGGCCATCCTGGCCGAGTACAAGATCCACAACGCCGACGTGACGCTGCGCTACGACGCCAGCGCCGAGGACCTCATCGACGTCATCGAGGGCAACCGCATCTACATGCCCTGCATCTACATCCTCAACAAGATCGACCAGATCTCCATCGAGGAGCTCGACATCATCTACAAGATCCCGCACTGCGTCCCCATCTCCGCCCACCACAAGTGGAACTTTGACGACCGTAAGTGTTAGTTTTTTTTTCATTATTAGACGAATTAAATCCCAGTACTGTCCCGCGAGTACAGTAATTAAATTTTTTTCTAATTCAGAAAATTAATAAGAATTGATACTGGTTTACCAATAAAGGTTGTCAATTAAAAAAGAGTGAGTAATAATTTTTCATAATTCAAAAATGAAATCAGGATTCGCAATAAATTGCTGCCAGTTAAATAAGAGTGGTTAATATTTTTTATAATTGTAAAAATTAACTATGACCGCGTGGTTGTAGTAATTGACAATTGTCGACAGTTAAATAAGAGTGATTAATAATTGTTGGCAGTACTGGAGAAGCTGTGGGAGTATTTGAAGCTGGTGCGCATCTACACGAAGCCGCGCGGCCAACTGCCGGACTACGACTCACCGGTGATCCTGACGCAGGAGCGCTGCGCCGTGGAGGACTTCTGCATGAAGATCCACAAGACGCTGATCAAGGACTTCAAGATCGCCCTGGTCTGGGGCTCCTCCGTCAAGCACCAGCCGCAGCGCGTCGGCAAGGACCACCAGCTCAACGACGAGGACGTGGTGCAGATCATCAAGAGGGTGTAGACGACATCCACTACCGTAACTCGTTGCGCTGTGACGGCAGCGCCGCGGATCTGCCGCTGGGCCATGTGATGATAGCATTCAGTTTCAGACGTATTTTGCACGCGTTGTTGAACTGTCCTGAAAGTTTTTTACTCGGCGTTTTCTTGCTTGATATCAACTTGTGGAAAGTGGCGACGTTTCCACTCATTGAACCCGGAAAACAATGAGATCTTACGTTTTGCTGAAGTTATCGTACGATCGGATAGCGAGATCTTTCTGATTAATTTATTAGATTCAGAATGAATTAAAAACTCTTATTAATAAATAATTTGTGTAAGCGAATAATTATTGTAGTTATTTAATTTAGTCTAATTACTGGCATAATTTTCTAAAAACTTTATTTATAATTTACGTGTTTTTAGATTTTTATGAATAAAAGTTTGACTAAGTTGTAATTTTATCATACAAAAATTTGAGAATAATACTGTTTGAACGAAACACGATGCAGCGCTCGAACCGATATTGTTATCACTTTGTACCCCGTCAAAACACGTCATGCCATTCGCTTGAGGGACACTGAATAATCCGTTAAAGAGCAGAAATCAACAATAAAACGTAAACTATCCGTGCCCATGCACAACATGACCACAAGACTGCGTCCCCGTGAAAAAAAGTCAAAAGAGAAGTTAGTTGTACAAACAGCGCCCGCAGCGGGCAATTTGGCGGGCAGCAACCGGCGTCGTCAGAGAGGAGGATGCACGGAGCACAGCACAAAAGGAAGAACCCCGTCCCGCGCTCCTCACATCGTCAGCTCCATTATCGCTGCAACCAAAGCAACCGCGGTCAGGATAAACAATTACAAACGTGACCGGAGAAGCAGTACACATTAAAAACTGTGGAAAAGGGCTGAAAATCAAACCCTATCAATTCAAAATTTATCCCATTTTATGATTTAAACGAAATCGATAAAAACAATTACGAATATTCAAACTGATGTTCCGAATATTTTATATCAGGAACAAAGCATTTTTATAAAATATTAACGGGAATTTTCAAAATTTCATTAAACCGGTAACCGCTTTGATCACTTCGCAATTTGAAATTCTATTGAATAATAGTTTAAAAAATCCACCGTTTAATTTTAAACTGATTTGACTGGAAGGTGGAAATGTGAAACGTTAGAAGGCAGTTCCAACTTCAAGCCTACCGTTGACGATGTCGCCGTCGTTGCGCTTGAGGGCTTTGACGGCGCGGGAGCGCTTGACGCCGGCCTGCGTCATGACCAGGTTGATGTCGCCCGAGTCCAGGCCCGTCTCGTCCGGCTCCACGCCGGCCTCGTCGTCCGACTCCTCGATCTTGGTGGTGGCGCCGCCGGGGCCGCCGCCCTCCTTACTGCCCTCGCCCTTGTCGCCGCCGGGGCCGCCCACGTCCAGGCCCTTGCGCTCGTCCCCGCCGAAGTCGGCGGTGTTGCGCAGGCGCTCCAGCGACTGCAGGGAGGCCTGGTGGCCCATGTCCTCGATCTTCGCCTCCCCGAAGATGATGTAGTGGTCCGACCCGGGGTGCCGGTACACCTGCAACCACGTAAAATGACGTCCGAATTACAGTGCAAAGAGAAAATGACGACTTACATCGGGATTGTGAATCACGAAGAGAATGTTCTTCGATTTGCGGATTGTCACTTTGGTCACTCCGGGGACGGGCTTCAATCCCAGCTGCAAAATCACAAAATTAAATCACATGTTGATTCATCGGATTCCAAGAACTGAACGATTTAATCATTTAAATTCAAACAAAAATTTAAATTACGTAATAAAATCACTACTTGCCGCACAGCAAATTCACGATTTACCATTAAAATTTAACCCGCTATTTTTATTTCCCAAAACATTTAAAATTTAAGGTTTCAGTTTATTAGGAAAAGAAAAAATCGCAGTAAATAAAATTCTATCTACCACAGGAAGGGAAGCAGATTTCGCAAAAACAACACTTCCGACTGCCAAAATGTTTGCCGTTTCTAACAAATCGCACCACAGAAAAGCCCAGTCGGCACTAAAGTCAATGTGCCACAGCCGAACCGGAATCCGCGCGGTTGCGCTGCAATTACCTTGAGAAGAACCTTGCGGGCCTTTTTCTCCCCGCGGCTCTGCTTGCCGATGTGCACATTCCCCGCCCCAGACAGATCAAGGTTGCCTTCCCCGGCCGCCGCTGCTTCTGCTCCCTTGCGGCCCGCACCCGCGGCCCCACTGCCCTCAGCAGCCTCGTTCTCCTCCAGAGCAGGGACGTCGTCATCCGACTCGGAGGATTCTTCATCAGCATTGGCACCTGATTCTTCCGTATCACCGCGACCGCCCAATTCCTTCTCGATCAAGGACTTCTTGGCTGCGTCATCGCGCGTCGAATCGCTGGCTAACACGACCATTTTTAGCAGTAGAAAAATAATCTACGGGAAGTTATGTATCCGAAAATCCGAACAGAAATCGGGAATTACGCAGCGCAAACAGGAAAAGGAAAATTTCCGCAGATTAAATGGAGGCGCATGCGGAGCGGCGTTACGGAGGCGTACGTTACGTACTACGCTTACGGCGTAATGCGTACGGTGTCCACAATTCACGTAACGGTAACCGTAGCAGTGGAGTGTTACGCGAATTGTGATTGGCCCCCAGACCGCATTAACTCCGCCCACTTACTCGTGGCCTGGCTCGAGTGTGAGTCTGTGAACTGTGAAGCGGCGGAATGACTGATCCGTAGACTTTCGCAAGCGTCGATTCTTTACCGATTTTCGGTTCCACAAAATCTGCAACTTGAAGCTTTTTCGAGTACTTCCCGTATTTACCCATTTTGTTCACATCGACAATGGCCAAACAGTAAGTGTCGGTAATTTATGAATGTTCTGCGTTAGGAATTGAGTGTGGAACGGGGAGAATTGTGGTGTTCTGCACGGCAGATCGCGCGTGGAACGAGGGCGAACCCTGCAGACAGACTGGCAGAGTGCAGCCGGTCGCCATGGTTTTTATTCTCTTTCATCCTTACCTGGATCGTCTTCTCTCTTACTGAATGTTTTTTGAAGACTTTGCACTTCTTGCTTGCTTGATGTGCCAGCTAAATGTCCACTCAGGGAGTTTCCTAGCCGTGATTGTCTGGGGAAAAATAGGCATTGAAAAACTTAGTGCAGCTTTTTTCGTGAAAATAATAAAAAATTAATAAAATGGTTGTTAACCGTAAATTGCTATGGTGTAATTTAGGTGATAATGCTACTTCATGTGTTGTTTAATTTTTGATATTGATATTTTTGGAAACGTACAAAAGCTTTCTAGTTTGCATCTTTTCTCGCTTTGACTTGTGCTGTGAAATGTGGAGCTGATCAAATTGCTACTGTGTTTCACTCTAAACGCTGAATGGCCCGGTAGTTTCAGAAAATCTTATCGCCTTTTCCTCGATCATTCTTTGGACTTGATACCACTTTCTTCTTTTTGATAAGATACGCTCTATCTTTGACTTTTTTATGCAAAATTTACTTATACTTCAAAATCCACATCCTTGAAGTTGCATGGGCTGTGCATGGCTGATGAGGCGCATTTCCCTGTAGCTGCGTGCTGCGTTAACTGTATAACCAACAGGGAGTGTATATTATCGCGCTCGTAGCGCTGCTGACAGCCTGCTGTGTGTGTAGCTTGCGCAATGGCCGCTTGCAAAATTTCGTTGTTCACGATCCGCTTTGCTGGAATCAGAATTAGCGGTTCTTCAGTGTTATTTCGCGGGTGGAGTGCTAATAGAGATTTTTGTGCTTTGCAGGGAACAAACCCCTGAAGGAAACTTAATCACGCGCGATGGCGATCAGATCATTGAAGTAAGTCGGATTATTTTATTTTTTAATTGTAATAAAAATTAATTTTATGATTGCAAATATTGTATCAGAAAATAGATGTATTTTCCATTTTAATTTGTAACGGTGCAATTGTAAAATCGCAGTCCAACTGGAACGAGGTTACGGAGACGTTCGACGACATGCAGCTGAAGCAGAATCTGCTGCGCGGCGTGTACGCGTACGGTTTCGAGAAGCCCTCGGCCATTCAGCAGCGGGCCATCATGCCCTGCTTGAAAGGTGCGTGCGGCTCGCTCCTGGTTGGCGCGCTGCTTGTCTAGCCTGTTTGCTTTGCACAGGACGCGACGTGATCGCACAGGCCCAGTCCGGGACGGGCAAGACGGCCACGTTCGCCATCTCCATCCTTCAGAACATTGACACGGCCAACCCGGAGTGCCAGGCCATGGTGCTGGCCCCCACCAGAGAACTCGCGCAGCAGGTTAGTATCTTTCATGTGTAATTTCTCAACTGATCAAACTGCCATTTTCTTACAAATTGTCTTCGTAAATCTAGCTAGCATTTTACAAATAATTGGCTAAATTTATGAAACTAATTGACAAATATGAAATATTTGGCTAAATTTATGGAACTAATTGACAGATAGCTGGCAATGGTTGTAAGAATAATGCACAAATGACTGGCGAAATTTAGGAAAAATAAATTGGAAATAATTGGCAAAATCTGTAGAAATTATTGGCAAAAAAACTAACGTTGTGCCTTTTCATCTTGCAGATCCAGAAGGTGGTACTGGCGCTGGGCGACTACCTGGGCGTGCAGTGTCACGCCTGCATCGGCGGCACCAACGTGCAGAACGACGTGGTGAAGCTGGACAAGGGCCAGCACGTGGTGGTGGGCACGCCCGGTCGCGTCTACGACATGATCTCACGGAGAGCGCTGCGTAAGTCGGATCACTTGCCGTCTTCCAGCGCTGCTGTTTTCCATTGGTTTCGTTGTTTACTTGCGCAGGCGTCAACGCTCTGAAGATGTTCGTCCTGGATGAGGCGGATGAAATGTTATCACGCGGCTTCAAAGAGCAGATTTATGACGTTTTCAAGAATCTTCCCGGAAACGTCCAGGTACAGAGTTCTTTATTAAGCTGTCGTTGGTGTTTTCTACGATTGGTTAACATGTTGGGTTGTAGGTGGTGTTGCTGAGTGCCACCATGCCACCGGAAGTGCTGGAGGTGACGAAGAGCTTCATGCGCGATCCCATTCGCATCTTGGTGAAGAAGGAGGAGCTGACGCTGGAGGGTATCCGTCAGTTCTTCATCAACGTCGACCGCGAGGTACGCTGGCATTTTTTGATGATTGGTTTGTTGTTAATCGAGCAGTTGTGTTGGGTGTTGTAGGACTGGAAGTTTGAGACGCTGTGTGATTTGTACTCGACCGTCTCCATTGCTCAGAGTATTATCTTTTGTAATACTCGGCGAAAGGTGGACTTCCTCACTAAGCAGATGGGCGCCAAGGACCACACGGTCAGCAGCATGGTAAGCGCTTGGTGGGCGTCATAATTGCGAAGAAGAACTAGTGAAGGACGCATTGTGGTTGGCAGCACGCGGACATGAGCCAGGCGGAGCGGGAGGTGATCATGCGCGAGTTCCGCAGCGGATCCAGCCGCGTCCTCATCACCACGGACCTGCTGGCCCGCGGCATTGACGTCCAGCAGGTCAGCCTGGTCATCAACTACGATCTGCCCAACAACCGCGAGAACTACATTCATCGGTAAGCCGGAAGAAACACGCCTGCGTTGACTGATGAAATTTTTCATTGAATTCTGATTTTAATTTAAATTTAATTCGTTATAAATTCCATTTATTCTTGATTAATTGATGCTGTATGCATTATTTTAAAATTTGAACGTTTAATACGGTTAACATGTTACTGCATTAATTGATTGGGATTGGTTCCTTATTTTTATTTAAAAAGTACATGAGTTGTAATTTAATGATAAATTATTTACTCATACAGTGCGTTGTTAGTTGTTGATTGAAGTGTAGTGATGGAATGTTAATTTAATCATTTAGTTAATGCTGTGTATTGTATTGCTGTGAATTGTGTTGTGGAGCCGATGTTTCTTACTTCGCTCGTGTTAACTGACGGTGTCGTTGTGTTGTAGTATCGGTCGTGGTGGGCGTTTCGGGCGCAAGGGCTGCGCCATCAACTTTGTCACCAAAGACGACTTCCGTCTGCTGAAGGATATCGAGCAGTACTACAACACCAAGATCGAGGAGATGCCCAGCAACATTGCCGATTTGCTGTGATCTGACTTTCCTTGAGAGAGAGAGAGACGGTTGGCTCCCTGACTGGACGATGAGGCGGTTCGGCGTTGCGGATGTGTGTTTTTTGGCGGGTGGCGTTGATGACGCGGCCGTCAGACAGACAGACGCATGGTTTAACGTTTCTTGGTAATTTTCTTCTTTTTTTGATGACGGGTACCTTAATTTAGTGTCAGTGGCGCGGCGTGCACGCGACAGTGGCGGCGCGATCCTCGTGGTGGTCATTTGTATTTTCCTAATGTTTCTTTTCTTTTTTGCCTGCATCCCCGCTGTTGCTGCTGTTCCGTGCTTGGCTTGTTATTATTCACTTAACATTAAAAACACAAGGCATTTTGCGCAGGCGGGGCTCGATTGGTACCCTAGTTACTTAATTAGCGGCGGTTTGACGAACAAGTCACAGCTCGTAATGAATACATTGAATTTTTTAAATAAATTAAATAATAGTTATGTTGTAATGATATTAATCTCAGTGAGAATTCAGTCGATACATGAACCGGCGGTACGCTACTGCCACCGCTACTCGAATGCGTCGCAGCTTCTTGTATGGACAAAATATCAGGAATTCATTCGGTGACTGTAATGTGCAAGGTACACAATAATAATATTATCTGTATGCAAGTGTAGTTTGTGTGTACAATACAATATGAATGCAGTACATGTTTTGTTAGATACACTACTGTAAGAAAAAGCTAGTGTAGTTTACAACCAACTGTACAATGGGATATAGATACAGGAATTTTCAATAATTAACACGTAAAAATATTGTACATGTATCATGCATTGACAGTATACATGGACAGTTAATAAAACATGTCCCAATTTGTTTGTTTCATTACATTACTCTACATATTACTATCGAGTTGTATCAACACCAGATACCGGTATTGTGTGTTACCCATTAATAAAATTTAATATCATGTTTGTAAGATGACATCAAGTGTACCAAGCGGAAAACGGCGGCTCACTACACTGGCAGTGGCCTGAATGTAGCCAGTACAGTACTGGTTAAGAAATAAGAGTCTATGCGGGCGCCGGAAGCGTACAAATGAATAATCTGTCGACGTCAGCGGGAAGGATGTGTGCATTGTAGCCTGTACCGAATACAGATGGGTCGCCGGTGGAACTACGCACGTACCGTACATGTGTACACTGCGATGTACCCCTACTCCGCGCGGCGTTTATATCGTATGTTTTGTATATTCTACAGTAGTTGCAGCGGTGTGCGAGGTTAGTTTGTGTTTTTGTAGTACTATTAGTATCTGCTAATCTTATCTGCGTAGTGCTATACAGCTTATTTTAGCTAGTCGCGCTAGTTCGTCAAATTAGCTAGGCCCGTCATTTATCTTGTGCATTGTACATTAATTATAATTATATGCCATTTTACTATCTAATAATATATTATTCCATTTATTCGCATCTTGCGGCATCGCGCTATAGCAGTCGACGTATAACACTTCTTCTAATCTGTCTGCGGAGCCCGATCGTAATTACGTTTCTTATCCTTGGGAGGTTTGCAAGTCGCAGCGGTTTGGTAGCGGCGTTAGTTATTTTCTGTTATTATTTTCCTTCGGCGGGATTGTCGATTAGCGGGATAGCGATATTGTCGTGTAAAGTAGCCGCGATTAATTAATCACCGTCGCAAGTACAGCTAATTATTACGGACGTTGAATATCATTTCTACATGCAAGACCGCATTCCGCTGCATGAGCGGACGGGGCCGGGGATTTAAATTAAGGGAGCGGACGAGCGGAGGCAATAAGATAATAAGATATATATCCTGCAGGCAGAAGCTGATCCGTTTTGCGGGACGCGACGGTAAAAAGGTAGGCTGACAGACTAAACGGTATAAGAGTATAGTGTACATGGATATACGTCAACGTTAGACGCTAGGCAGGTACCGGCGGGAGCTGGGCCTGCGCAACGTTGAACGCTGCATGCAGCTGCTATGTCGCGCTCGCGATCTGGCTCGCCCAGCTGCTGCTGCTGCTGCGTCAACCGATGCCGAACACTGCTCCCGCGGCCGCCACAGCAAACTGAGTATTGTACAATGTACACCGAGCAGTAGTTTAATTTATGCCCTATACTGCCAGTAGTTCCGCATATTATGTACGCAGATACCCTAAGACTTAGTAGCGTTGTATATAGATAGTAGTAGTACGTGCTGTACGTACTACTCACACCGGAAGCGACAATATTATAATTATACAGTACCGTACATTCAACTCTTCTATAGTAAAATTTTTTTTTGTAATATCAAAATTTGATATTACAAAAAATAATTTTACTATAGAGAGTTAAATGTACGGTACTGTAAAAAAACAATACAAATACTGACATTACAAACCATTTAATGGTTTGTAATTTCGTATAAACAAGACCACAGCAAAGCTGCCAAGAGAAACAACATCGGGCACAAATCATTCCCGATCGGTAAAATTAATTATTTATTATACATTACATCTAGTGAACATACCAGTGCATGTTATACGTACTGTACTGTACTGCAATATCGTCATCGTCAGCGCATACAATATAGATATATTGTACGACATATATATATATAGATAATATTAAATTACCGGTGTTATATAAAATGCTATACAAGTACTGATCGCGCATCCGAAGTCCTGACTTGCAGTGCACACAGTAAACACTGGTACATGTACTGGTGTGAAGCAGAAGGGTGTGTTACAGCGTGTCAGTGCGGACAGGGTGCAGTCGGCAACATTTGGGCCTACGTTGCCGACCGGCAGTCTGCTCGTTGTGCGGACGGGCTGTGCATGTGGAGCTGCCTGCTACGAGCAGCCTAGTGAGCCTACGCCGCTGTAGAACCGTGCAACAGCGCTTCTCGCTGGGCCTGAGCCCGCTGCCGTACCGGCGGAACCGGTATACGTATTAAAAAGCAGTGCATAACAATTACAGAGTATGTTCCCCGCATACAGACATTCTGTACAAGTACTGCTGTTTGTCGGCTCAATGCCACCCACTAGTACGGCTGTACTGCCATCGGCATTTCCGCCGCACGCTATCGCTCGGCAGCTGTATACCAGTGATTTACTATCACTTCTGCTGCCCTTTCATTCAAATTCCACTTTCCATTTCATGTACATAATATTATATATGTCACAGAAAATAATAATGATATTAATAAGTTTCCCCATTAATACGTTTGCCTGCGTCGTGGGAAACAAATTCATGGATTTTCCAACGCCGCTAGCGATTTCAGGTGTCATTCCAAATGTATAAACTCGATTATTTTACGAAGAGTGTTAATCGTGGCCGCCAAGATAACAATGATTGCAAGGCGCCGGTACACTACTTGATAGTTCAAATTTAAACTTTAAAAAACAACCGAAATCTCGATCTTCTCTTGGGTTAAAAGTAATTAGTTCCAATCCGCGCGGACGTATTTGTATGGGTACTGGCTATTGCCGAATCAAAACACACACAAGTTGAAATAATTATCAAGTACTTACAGTAATAGCATTAAATTAATATTATGGACTGTATTCCCAAGTCAAAATTCACCATCGTAATAATCATTATTATTATTAGAGTACTCGCATTAACCAGTAAGCAATGTAAGGATGATGTACGTGTGAATCGGTGTGATCATAGTCCAGTTAATTATGGTGAATGGTGATGATAACACGGATCGGACCTGCGTGTGTTCTCGTACTGCAGACCGGAAGTACCTACAGTCCCACTGTCCACATATACACATTATGTAATTGCATTTATTTGCAGCGCCAACCGATAGGTCACTGACAACTGCAACGCCCATGGTATACCGTGGCGCTAGCTGCATAATACTGTAGATGAGTGGCCGGAGGAGGCGGGCAGTGTCCAGTTGAAGTAGTGGGAATGGACAAGAGTTTCGCCGGCACCGCTCCCGCTCCCGGCAGTCCCGCCGCGGCGTCCGTGCAGCCGCAGCGCAACGGCTCCGTCAGCGGCAGCGGCAACGGCAGTCCGCAGATGCATCTCCACGCCGCCGACGCCAGCCTCCCGTCCACGCCAGATGCGGCGGCCGACGTTGGGTACGTCAATATATAGATAGTATCTGTATGTACACGCTAGATTATGTACAATATTCGCACATATAGATATACATATATAGATATAGATATATAATTATCGCATATCTATACAAGTGCGTATATTTTACATTATCTAGTACATTATTTATATGCGTGCATACATAGATATATACGCATATTTATCGTTAGTACAACAAGTAATTATACAATGTCTACATGCTGCAATTAGTTAAAAGTATTCGTTAAATGTACCTATAGACATGTACCGTATATATACTGTTATATCTATATACGAGTATATATAAACACATGCCACCTTTTTCAGTTTTTTCAAACAATCCTGCATGACCTTGCCACTGCATAACTGTAGTTTGTTCTAATAACTATTCTTTTCAAAAGCGTAAAGCAGTTTCTTTTCGAAATGTTTAACTATGACGATTAGTGTATTAATTATAGTGCGATTTGAAACTGAAATGGGAGAACGGAAGGGAATTGTGTCACGTGGTGTCTTATTGCAGGAAGATGTTCGTCGGTGGTCTAAATTGGCTGGTAAGTTGCGTCCAGCGTTGGGCCTTGCTTGAACTGAACTGCAGAATTAACGACGCTAATTTGTGTTTTTAACGCGCACGTGCAGACCAGCAGCGACTCGTTGAAGGATTACTTTAGCCGCTTCGGTCCGGTGAAGGAGTGCGTCATCATGAAGACGCCGCTGACGCGCAAATCCCGGTAATGAGCGCGTATGTGTACTATACTGTACAATACAAGGTCACACGGAATGTTGTTCTATATAATGACGGTGTCTAATGCAGGGGTTTCGGATTCGTGACCTTTGTGGATCCGGCCGACGTGAACAAGGTGCTGCAGATGGCCCACCACGAAGTCGACGGGAAGAAGGTCAGACGTGACATATAGATCACAACTGACCGGAAATGAGTTGACTGGAAGTGTTGTTTTGGTGCGGACAGATCGATCCGAAGGTGGCCGTGCCCCGTCGGAGTCCGGCCGGCGCCACCAAGGTACGCCTAGCTGGTGACCTTTACGTCTTATATATACGAGTATACATATCTCATTGTAATACTTTTGCTACTTTTTCGTATACATAGATGTGTCATCCGTATAATATGTCTGTTATAATTATTGGAATATATATATAGATATAGCTATGTGGAAATATATTATATGTGGCATTATATTTGTGAGTATTCACTGAACTGCATGGCCGCTGCAGACGCCGGTGGTGACGCGCACGAAGAAGGCCTTCATCGGCGGCCTCCCGGCCAACACCACGCCGGACGACCTGCGCAGCTACTTCTCCACTTTCGGCACGGTACACACGCTAATGCACTTAATCTTCTGTTGTGGGTATCGCTTAATTACGGAATTAACAGGTGGAAGATGCTGTCCTCATGATTGACAAGAACACACGCCGGCACCGAGGTACTATCCATTTTGATTATTATGTGTGTAACAAACATATATATTCTTATGCCATTTCTTTATAACATGTCAGTACTATTTTGTGCAGATGATGTTTTTATTTTGTATAATTAATGTATTAATTTTTTGCAAGTAATTTACCAATCTTGTAAAATTAATTTATTGGGATTTTATAATTAATTAATCTTGCAGGCTTCGGCTTCGTGCACTTCGCCAGCGAGGAGACCGTGGACAAAGTGTGCGACATCCACTACCACGAGATCAACCAGAAGATGGTCAGTGCGGGGAAAACGTGAATTTTACAGCTCCGCGTTCAACTGACATCATTTAGCCGGTGAAACTTAGTGTATTAATGTTTGCCGATGACCTTGCGCAGGTGGAGTGCAAGAAGGCGCAGCCGCGCGAAGTCCTGGCGCCGGCGCATCTGCGCAACCGGGCCAACGCCGGCATGGGCTTCGTCCTGCCGCTGCACGCGCTGACCGGCCGGAACGCGGCGGCCGGCGCTTACTGTACGTAGAAGAATGTAAACGGCTGTTGACCTTTACACATTTCTGTGTTATGATAATTGCATTGACCTGTCGGCAGTGCCCTTTCCGCCGTACGACGTCGGCGCGGCGGGATACGGCCGGCTCGGCGCCGGCTACCCCGGCTTCGGCATGCTGCCCTTCTTCCCAGGTTGGGACGCGCATTCCTCTTCCACTTTATCAGACTTGTTTAACAATTTATTATTTAAAAATTATCTGACTAATTTAACGTAAACCTAAATCGTAAATTTTAATCGTAATTGATATTCTAGCGACTACTAATTATAATACGTAGTAATCAGCCTTTGATAAAATTTATTTAATGATTTACTTAAATATTGTACAAATTATCATTAAATAAGTAAGTAGTTAACCTGAAATTATTAACGAAATAAACAGGGATTTGACAGTTTTTGTCGGCTACTGTAACTGATCTGCAGTGACTTGACCATTTATCTCTACACTGCAGGTTTGCCGGCGTATTTAGGCTTTTACCCGCCCTTGGGCGGCGGTAGTCCTACCGATTCCGGCCGGCTGGACTCAGGTGAGCTATTTATATTATTTTCCTTATGGCGACCTTTGCGCGCATAATAAGTAATCAGCTTCTATATATCTGTACTTCTATAAATTATATAAAACGGATGTATATAAGAGATATATACATGTACAGATATATAGATATATGTACGTGATATATAGATATATAGATATGTGCAGATAATAATATATACTTACAAGTATCGGTCGCGCTAGCGCGCTACTTATATAGTATATACAGATATATATATTTAACAGATATATATGTATAGAGACGTGCGGGTATATTATGTATGCAAATATAGATAATTAGTATCTATGTGTAAATAATTAGTATCTATATGTAGGTAATTAGTATCTATATGTTGTGTATCTATATGTAAATACAGATACAGCAGATACTTATATATAGATATGTAAATATAGATATAACAGTTATATATGTATAGAGACGTAACAGATATATCTATATATTTTATATGTATGATAATATATAGATATGTAAATATAGATAAAACAGATATATATGTATAGAGACGTGCGGGTATATTATGTATGTAAATATAGATAATTAGTATCTATGTGTAAAAGTTTAATGGGCAATAGCCGCCAAAGTAACAAAAATCGCAAGCGCCGGTGCACTACATGAAAGTTAAAATTTAAACATTAAAAAAACAACCAAAATCTCTATCTTGTCTTGGGTTAAAAGGCAACGTGCTCAAAACAGCCGTGGCATTTCCTTTAACAACGGCCAGGCTGAAACGCTGCTTTAGGAAAGCAGTAGAACGCGCTTCTCCAGTTAAGTCTCGAATTTTACGGCCCATGAAATGCAACAGTTCACTAAAAGCGGGGCCAAATACTCCCAACGTCTCTATCACTAAAGGATAAAAGAAGTTTCCATTTTCCACAAACGAATATGTCCGGCGTTTGGAATTTTCAGCAAGCTGAGCGACGTGTCCAGGTTTCTTCGATGTCTATGTGTAAATAATTAGTATCTATGTGTAAATAATTAGTATCTATATGTTAGTTAGTATCTATATGTTGTGTATCTATATGTAAATACAGATACAGCAGATATATATAGATATGTAAATATAGATATAACAGTTATATATGTATAGAGACGTAACAGATATATCTATATATGTATGATAATAATATAGATATGTAAATATAGATATAACAGATACATATGTATAGAGACGTGCGGGTATATTTAAATGTATGTAAGTGTAGATAATTTTATATAGTATATGAAAGTACAGAATCTGATATAATAATAATTGTACAAATGCATGTTCGTCGGCATATCTTCTGTGTAAGAATGAAGCAGTGAACGCCGTTAAGAGAATTATTTAACGGTTATTTCCGGTGCAGTGAGTAAGCGGCTGGAGGAGATGTCGCTGCTGGAGCAGCTGACCAGCGCCGCGCTCAGCGGCTACACCGCCTCCGCCGCCACCTCCGCGGCATCGGCGTCCGCCTCATCCGCCCGCGCGGCTGGAGCGTCTGCAGCGTCCCGGGAGCGCGTTCCGCAGGCCGCCGGCCACTCGCGCTCGTCCCCGCAGAATAACCAGCCGACGACCGGCACCGCCCCGCACCGGACACCCTCCGGCGCCGACGGCCTCTTCGGTCAGTCGCCGTCGGGAGGCGCCTATCCCGCCCACGCGGCCCGCGGCCTGCAGGGAAAAGAGCCGACCGGCAGCCTCCCGCCCGCCGGGACGCGGCCGGCCTTCGGAAGCCAGCCCAATGGACCACCGGCCAACCACGGCCCCGTCGGCACCGTCGGCACCGCCGGCCACGCCCATACTCTCAACCACGCCCACCTCAACCGGGTCTGTTCAATGTTCACCAGCAATTTATCTTTTAACAAATTAAATTTATAATTTACATTAAATAAGTAACTTATAATTTACATAATTAATCAAATCAATTAAATTAAATTACAAGTTCTTGATTTGATTAATTTCTCTCTTACTGCCATTAATGCAGGTGCCAGTTTCTTAATTCGCTCATTTTACTGTACAGTACAATCTGTACATCCTTTTAATAAATTTCTCATTACGTTGCAATTAGGTTGTATTTAACTGTTACAAATTTGAATTTATTTTCTAATTGTTATTATCATATTTTTTCTGGTATTAGTCAAGAAAATATTATTCGCAATATAGAGAAGACGTCGTGTATCAATAATAACACGCTTGCGAGATTGTACTTTAATAAAAATGGATAAAATGAAAATTTTATTTCGTGTTCAAGTTTTCTGAGTAGTTTGTATTTGTAACTGACTGGTATTTTAGTGTAAGAGTTTCTAACTGAATTCTAATTAACTTCTCTGACATTTTTCCCAACTCTAATTAACTGGCAATTATTTCGTAGTTAATTTGTTTGGCCGGCTTGCACAAATACATATATATTGATTGTTGTATTTGTCCAAAGGTCACTTTACCCGGCGCCGCATCCTTCGCTTCCGGCTACACATAGAGCAACCCGAGTCAGTTGTTGACCACTCACTGCGTGCATTTGTTCTCCCCGTCCGTATCCACAATTTTGCCGTCGCGTCATCAGGAAGCCACACCGGAAATCACAGCGTGTACTTTGTTGTCAACTGCCATATTTATTTCTGCATAGCACTTTCGCCAGCCAGATCGGAGATTTGTTGTGTTCTGTTGCCGTCTCGATAGAAATCATATTCGTCCACGTAAATTGTTGTTAACTGTGCTAACCTTCGTGATCAGAATGCAGAGTTATTTATTTACAGAGAACAAGGTAGATTTTGCCGCGTGTTCGTTTAATTGTTGCTGCATGTGCTGTACGAAGTATCTGTAATTCTGTCTGTCTGTACTCGTGTTGAAAAAAATGGGATTAAATCATCGCTAATTTTACAGTCGTCCTAGAAATTTTTTTAAAAATTTTACTTAATTTTTTGGTTTCTTTTTCTTAATTTACCGGATTCGTATCAGCTGCAGGTTATTAATTCAAAAATCCTTTTACATAAATTGAAAAACATAGTGAAGATATTAAATTCAAAAAATTGCCTTGCAGTTCATTGCTGTGTTTTATTGCAAAAAATACACAAATATTATTACTGTATTCGTCGGTAAAAACTGTGGCTGATACAATAAACAGGAAATAAGCCAAACACACAGTCAGTCCGTTAAACCACGCAACCGCTGATAAAAAAATCAAATGCCAAATACACTGGCCTACTCCCGAAAACAACAAACAAACAAACACTGCGGCTGCCGACATCCGGTTCATCACAGCTCTTTGGCAAAACAAAATGCGAAGAAAATCCCCACAGATCAAGAAACGCCATCCGCCTACAGTCCGGTGTTGGGGGAGTGCCGGAAGAGGGCGTTGCGGGCGGCCCCGGGGGAGCGGCGCGAGGGGCTGTCGGGCAGGTGCTTGGCGCTGCTCCACAGCCGCACGTCGTCCTCCTCCGCCGGCGCCGACGACCACGAGCCGCGTTCGCGCAGCGGCGACGGCGGGGTGCTGCGCGGCGGCAGCGGGGGCACGCGCGCCGTCGGGGTGCCGCCGGGGCCGGGGGCGGCGGAGGGCGGGGCGTGGCCGGTGGCCGCCAGGTAGCGGTAGTACTGCACAACGACAACTCGTTCAGCAAACAGCGGCATTTCCGCATTAAATAATGGAAAGGAAATAATTATCCATGTATCTAATTTACTACTCAATTATTTATCAAGTAGAATAATTTGAAAAATTACATATCCAGTCTTAATTAAATTAAAGTCAACTGGTTAAATGGAAGTATTTTTACATTTCTTAATTTATTTTCACATTTCTTAATTTACATTTCTTAATCTTAATTTCTTAATTTAAAACAATACGGATTTCGTGAATACTGCGGCGAAGAATATTAAACTACAATTAAGTATAATTCAGCTCTTTTATTAAATAATCAAAAAAGAAAATCTGCGACTAACGAATCACGGGAAAAACTTAAAATTCACAGTTTCAGCTGTTAATTTCCCAGTCAAATTAACGGATTACGCGAATACTGCGGAAGGAATATGGAATAAGAATTAATTATCATTTAGCCATTTTACTGACCGATCTACAGAAAATCTATACATCAAATTTCTAAATCAAAGCAAAAACTCAACCGACCTGTTTATCCTCGACGCTCTGCTGGTACATCCTCCAGATGAGATACAGCACCGCCAACAAGCCCCCGATACTCAGCGTAGGTATCAACAAGGACCACCAGTCCGTCGCTCCACTGTGCGGCAGGGCGCGCACCATCTCCGGACTCAGGCGGATCTTGACGGGCACTTCGGTGCGCTGACCGGTGCGGAAGGATTCCACGAGGACGGAGGGCGGCTGGGCGCTGCTGGACAAGCGCTGAGCCAATCCCGGTCCGGACTGGAGGGTCAGCGGGTAGAGATAGGCTGAGGGGGCTTTCTGGTTGGGGGGTTTGGAGGGGATGTTGAGGCTGGCCGGCCAGGGCGCCGGCGACGGGTTGCCCACGTGCAGGATGGACGGGTCCGAGGAGCGCACTTGCAGTGTCTGCTGGACGCCGGGGACCGCCACCACCACCACGCCGCTCTCCGTCTGCACACAAATTACTTTGAGAAACCCGAAAAAACAGTTTCTTCTTATTTTTTTTTACAAATTTTTATTCGAAAAACTGCAATTTTTGTAGCAAATCCGGAAAACTATCGATTAAATATTCAGCAACATCTACGATATTAATTATGAAAATGGAAAGTCTTGCAATACAAATTTGAGAAAAAGTTTCAAATCATTAAAAACTGCTGCACAAATATTACAACCTGCAATGATTTTAAAACTGTTGTTGAAATAGATTACAACCACACACCACTCTCCGTCTGCAATTGAAAAATTTTATTTTTAACACCGGAAAAATAGCTGCATAATATTTTTACAGCTTTTTATTTCAAAACAATTTATTAAAATCAATTACGATGGAGAAAAAAACCGCTTTGATGGCCACCCACCTGGATGTGATTGATGTGCACTTGGGGCGTGGCCACGAAGAATCCCGGGAGGAACTCCAGGTTGACGCTGCTGCTGTGTCCCGCCGTGTCCTTCACCGTCACCACGAGGTCCGCCTCGAAGCCGCTCAGCGCTTCCTCCGTCGGCTGGCTGCCACCGCGGCGCGCCTCCACATTACATACGAAATCGCCCTTCTCGTCCACTCCGGGCCGGACAGAGAAGACGTCATCCGCCGTGACGCCGCCGGGATGGGCGCGACTGAAGCGCACTTCGCACTGGAACAGCTCTTCCTCGTCGTCGTCCCACGCTGCACGTTTCACGCCGACCAGAGAACGAAGCTGTGCATCCGAACACTCCACGTGGCCGCTGCCTTTTCCTACACGAAATATATGCATCCTTTGCAAAGGGAAACCACGCAGAATCTTCTTTTTTTAGTAATCATTTTAGTGTAATGTTTCATTTCATTTCTACAAATCTTCACCAATTTCCCCAAAATTCTGTGGGCGACTTTTTGTAAAAATTATTCGGCTACAACTTTTCAATATTAAGTAATCACTTAACAAAAACTCGTGAACCAAATCGAAATCGTAAAAGAATTCACAAAAAATTATCTAAAAATAACTCAAAGAAAATTAATTAAAAAAATTACAGACTAACTGTCACTAACAAGAATTGGAAAACATTCGCGCAAAAATGAAAAATCGTTAAATTAAGTTTGGAAAAATAAATAAAAATTTGTAGAAGTCAAATGAAAATTGCGTAAAAACCAAAAAGAAATAAAAAAAATAATCTATAAAATACCCAGTTTGATTTGGAATTTATCAAAAATTAAAAAGAATAAAATTGCGAAACCCCTAACGAAAAATCCGATAAAAAAAAATTTAGAAGGATTAAATAACGCTGATACTCACCGAAGACGACGCGCGCGCTCAACTTGCCGCTGTCCTCGTCGTTCTTCGCAACATTGCTGATAAAGGCTTTCTCCGCCGGCGCCGCCGCAATGCTAACCACCTGCGGGGGCTTCACCAGTAGTGTCGTTTTGGAGGCGACCGTCTGGGAGACGTTGTAGAAGACGATCGCCTGGCCAGGACCAACCGCCACGGCGATGCCCGACTGCCGGTCCACGCTGACGACCCCCGGCGCCGACGACGTCCACACGCCCGACCGTCCGTCCGCCGACATCAATCCGCAGCGGAAGCACACCGCCTCGCCGACTTGAACCTCCACGTCGTGCGGCACGATGACGGCGCCCACGTGGATGTGCACGAAGTCGAACAGACCCGACCGTTCTTCGTCCCAGACTTTCAAAATCGTGCTCCCGGTTTTCGACGCTCGCACCATCAGGGTGCTGTTGCCGCTGTCGGTGTGCCAGTTGACGGAGACGATGTCGTTTCTATCAAAATAACGACACGCGTGGTCATACCGTCAAAAGTGAAAATATACATAATTTTAAAATAAATCCTAATCTTTTGTACAAAACAAAAAATCAAATTTTTTTAAAGACACATCGCCAGTTGATTTTCAGTTGGGTTTTACACGTTCACGTAAAAATTGCTGTTGCCTTGTAACGGCGTGTTCTTTAAATGAAAAGTTTCCTGTTAATTCGCAGTTTCTCTTAAACATTACAGAAATTCCAGCCAATTCTGGCGACTACGAGTCGGAATTTCATTGGTGACGGTGGTACTTACCGACTGGTGCGGAATTGCAGTCGGCTGAAGACCGCGTGAAATTCCCGACCCAGATTATCGTGATGGGTCACGCCAAAGCGCAGTGGAATGCCTAGCGGGATGTGCGCCACTTCCGGGCCGCTGCGCAGCGCGCTATCCACGTTGATCTTAATAAAAGACGGTTCGTTGACCTGTAACAAGCGCGCTGCGTTAGTGTTTTAAACGACAAGCGGGAAGTTTCATTTAGATTTGAAATTACCAATTTAAGTGACAAATTAAAAATAAAATCATCTTTCCAAATTAATTAAAACCAACTTTTCACCCACGCTGTTTTAAAGTTTCAACATATCAGAAGGAATCAAATTTTTTTCTCCTAAATTTCCTTTATGAAAATAAAATTCCACAAAATTTTCAGTTCCCGAATGCAACAAATTAAAACGAAAATCACCCAATAAAACTAGATTAAATTAAATTAGCTGTAGTTTTTAAATACAAAATTACCTGCACGCCCCGCACTATCCGCGTCCGCTGCTCCTTCTCGCTAACGTCCACAACCAGCATCGCCCGCCCGGACTGCGCTCCGCTCTGAATATGTCCACCGGCCTCCACACCGACCACATCAGCTCCCTCCAGGACGCGGTAGGTCAGCTGCGCGCTGCCGTCCTTGTTGGTGCGCAGCTTCAGGCGGGCGTTGGGCGTCATGAGCAGGTTGTCGCAGTTGCACGCGGGCACCAGCAGCTGCGCCTCCTCCACCACCGCTACGACTAAAGAGTCCTTGAACATCTTCCCGACGGGATCGGTGGCGGACAGGGACACGGTGACGGCGCCGGACGATCGCCCGACCAGTCGCATGGCAATGTTGTTATCCTCCAGCACCGCCAAGCCCAGGGAATGGTAGACTGACTGGAGGCCGGCACTTTCCGGATTGTCGATGGACCACACGAATTTGTACATCGGCATCGTTGAGCCTGCAATTTAAGCCATCGAAATTTAATTTTATAATTCAAAAAACTGCCATTTTACAGTAAATATTTTTGAAAGAAATTGACCGGATAATTTAAAACACTTTATTCGTAATTATGTTTAAAAATTTAATAATGTTTAAATTCCTTATCCCATACTATTGAAACTTTATACATACTTGTACATAGCAACGGAATATAAATATTCGAAAAACATATTTATTAACTAATTTCCGCACCGAACGTGAACGGCGTCTCCTGGTCTGTGAGACCGAACGCCACCAATGGCATTTCCTGGCCGACGGCGATGCTGCGGAGGGGAGCGCGGATGCGGACGCCCTTGAAGGGCACCACGTGGATAGTAACTTCATCTGAGGAATAGACCACGTCCTTCCCGGTCACGGGGTCGACGTCAACAATCTCTCCATAGATCTGCGTGTTGCCGGTACTGAGCGCCTCCACGATGCCCCCGCCGTCCACCGCGGCCAGTTTCGCCGAGCGCACGGCAAAGCGCAGAGAGTTCAACGGCTGTGGACCGCCTTCGATCGTCAGTTGCAGGCGCGCTTTCGGGATCATGGTGATATTGCGGGGCTCAATGTGCAGCGGCGGGAAAACCTGGCAAATCAATGTAATTTATTTTAAATTACCATACATTTAATTTACACTTTATTAATATTTATTTAAATTCTACTAATTTAAAAACAGCATAATCGGATGCCCAATCAAATTGAGAAAACAAATAAACGTAATTAATTTTAAAATTAACATACATTTAATTTACACTTTGTTAATATTTATTTAAATTCTACTAATTTAAAAACAGCATAATCGGATGCCCAATCAAATTGAGAAAACAAATATACGTAATTAATTTTAAATTAACATACATTTAATTTACACTTTATTAATATTAATTCAATTTCTATTAATTTAAAATCAGAATAATCAGATGCCCAATGAAATTGAGAAAACAAGAGAACGCAAATGCAGTGTGCACCTGGATTTCCACGGAGTTACTGTGGATGTCAGCGGCCATGCCCTTCGTGCCTTTGAAGGCCACGCCGGCGCGACCGACGGCGTTGCCGTGGACGGAATACAGGCGTTCAGTGGGGGAGTCGGTGGCTTCTTCACGCAGCGCCACCACGTTAGCGGTGTTGACGGGAACGATCTTGAGTAAGGGGAAGAGATCCACGGGGATGCGTTGGCCGGCGGAATCGTAGGCGCGCAGCAGCAGCGCGATGGAGCTGCCCAGCTGCACCTTGTCACCGGCGATCACTTCAATGCGAGCCAAGCCTGCAAAGAACAGTCCAAAAATTAAAGAATATTTATTCAAAATTACTGCACTTTTAATTAAGGAACGCAGTCATACTTTGAAAAATTACAATCTTCAACGAGATACTTTTAACAATAACTGCAAGATATATTTACGCGGATGTATGGAGAATTTTATGAGCAACGTACCAGCCACGGTGACGAATAGAACAGCCGGCTTGCCCGGCACACACAAATCATACGCCGTCAGGGAAAAATCTCCGTCCAGCAGCGGCCCGATGGCCACACTGCGGCTCTTCACATCGTAGTTAATCCGCGCCAAATCCGGATTACTGGACACCAGGTGGAAATACCCCGAACCCTCCTTGATCCGCGTGCTCTCCTCGCGCCCGGGATAGTTAAACACGGTCAACTGGTCCTGCGGGAAGCGCGCCGGCTCCACCAGCGCCAACTCCACCGCCGCCGTCAGCGCCCGCGGCAGCGCACTGGACTCCGGGCTCTTCACGGCGTGCAGGGCGTCACGGTGGTAGTGGTCGACGTGCACCGTCAGCGTCACCTTCCCGGCGGCGTCCAGCACGTGGACGGTCTTGTATCCCGCGGCGGCGTCGACGTGCTTGCGCTGTCCGTGCCAGAGCACCCGAATCCCGTGGGGATCTTTCAAGTCAAGGAGGTGTTTATCCGACACCTCCCAGGTGAAATGCAAGGAGCTGAAGTTGTCCAGTTTCCGGCCGAGCGAATCGAACACGTCGATGTCGATGATGGCGTCCTGTCCGCGGAGAACCGGGTAGGCGTCATTAGAGCGTTTGCGCCAGGGGCACGGCGGGAGTTTCTGCCCGGCGATGGGCTGGGGGCGGACACGGAGGATCAGTTGGGCCGGGTGGACGCAGCTGACGCGCCCGATGAGGCGGGTTTTGACCGGCAGCGGGAGGGTGGTCGAGGGGGCGTTGGCGATCTCCAGCGTCACGCTGTCGTCGCCGATTTTGCTGCACGTCAATTCCAGTAAGGTTACGGCGTCCGTCCCGCGGAGGGTCTGCGCGCGGACAATGCGGGCGCCGTCCTCACCTGCAAAATAGTCGTCTTTCAACACCAGCGAAGTCTTGCGTTATTTCATTGGAAAAATACTGGTTACACTGTGTTATTTGCATAATTTACACACTAATAAGTAAAGATTATTTAATTCACGCCTTTTAAAACTTAATTTATAAACTACAAAGTATTAGCTATTTCAAAACATTGCTCAAATCAATAAAAATGTGATAGTCTTCCTTAAAACTCCAATTTGAAAATCGAAAAAGTTGAAAAACTTGCATCAACTACTCGAAAAATAATAAATTTCTTAATTAAAAAAAATAAATTCATTAACTTCTGCGTTGAATATTTGAAAATATGTTATTATTAAATACAGTACATAAAACATGTACTGAATACACTCCGGGCAAGATCCAAAGTTTGTCTTACTGGCGGTGATGCGGTGATGTTCGGGATCGCGGATCCATGGCAAGGGTCCTCCACGGAATTGCAGAACGCGGCTGCTGCCGATGGCCAGCACCACCTCCTTCTCCCCGTCCACCGCTTCCATGGCATCGAACGCGCCGACCGTCGCCTCCGCACTGATCACCTCCTCTCCGGACACGTACGTCACCTTCACCGTGGAGAAACCAGCTTTCAGTGCTTTCAGGTAGACCGCGCTGCAGGCATCAGCCGACAGCTCCGGCTGGTTGGCACGTTCGATCCCAAAGACCTCTTCATCGCCCACCGACACACTGAGATTCAGGTGCCGACAATCCGTGAAGACCACCGGGGAAGCTTGTCCGGGGATGCGGCCGCGCAGAGCGACGGGAACGGCAAGAATATGACCGACTTCGGCTTCCCGTACCGCCGGGGGAAGAATCATATCGCTGACCGGGAGGATGTAGATGTTGGCGCTGTCGGAATGATCGTTATTGCGGACATCGTACGCGGTGACGACGGTATGCCCGTCTTTCATCCCAGAGGTGAGGCGTCCGGAGGAGGCGTCCACTTGGCACACGCTGCCGTCGCCGGTGGACCACGTGAAGGTGCCGCTGCCTCCGCTGGCCTGCAGTTGCATAGAATAGCTCCGTTTCGCGTCCCGGGAAGTCGCGTCCGAGGGGAAGAGCACCAGCGACGGACGGACGACGACCGGCGCATTAATTTCCACCGTCTGCACCTGAAAAAGGAAGAAGAGGTTAAATTTTAAAAAAAGCACGATTTTTTAAATTTCATTTGTGATTTTGTTTTAATTTATTCGAATTCCATTAAATTTAGTAGATCGATTTACGCAATAACGTTTTCATTTCAGCTTTTTTTATTTAATTTTTGAATATTTATTTAATAAAATTAAAACTTCTGCACCATTTTGAGATCGAATATAAACCGGATTAACCAGTTTCTAGCAGTGCAGGCTTACTTCAAAATAAACTGGGTATTATTAACAAATAGAAACCGAATATTTTAAATAACTGCCTTCCAAGAATTTTTTTGCACGATTAATTTTTTAGAAATTTACCTTGGTAATGGCATTGGGAAAGCGGTGCAGCTGCCCGTTCTTCTGCACTACACCCAGCAACTGCGCCGTAATCTGCGTCTTGCCGGTCTTGATGGTTTTAACGTGACTGATGGTGCCGTTCTGCGCCGTGCGGATTACTTGGAAGAACAGCGGGTCCACTTGCAGTTCGATCCGCAGGTTGTCGCTGGGGAATATCAGGTGGCTTTCGCGGTCATACAGCTCCGCGATGAAGTCATATTCGCGGAGATTCTGCAGCACCCACACGCGGCCGGGTTTCACCAACAAGTTCAGGTAAGCGGGCAGGACCACGTGGATGAGGGAGGACGGGTGCGCCGTGTCGCCTTCGATGACGTTGCGGTCTTTCAAGCGGACCTAGTACAACATACGCAGTGAAATATTTTTGACAAATTCAAGCCGCATATTTTTTAATTTTATTTCCATTGTTGTGTAACCGGTTAACGGAATTTCCTGTTTCAAATTTTATTACAGTAATTAATTTCCAATCAAAAGTGTTTCTCTATCGTTTCGTTTCTCTTTAAAGGATTGGAATAATGTTTAAGTCACGCTGATACCTGCAATCAAAAATATTAAATAACTATAATTTCAAGAATTATTTCTAATTAATCTGGAAATTTTAACTGGCAACTTTAATTAAAAAGTGAACTGAATCTCGACCCACCTCGGTGTTGCCCAGTTCGGTGCAGGCGACAATGGAGTGCTTCTCATCCAGACTGCAGACGCCGTCATCCCGTAGCTGTAGCTGATACTGCGGCGACGGCATCGGAATATACGACGTGGTGGACTGTTTAATCTGCATCACCCGGTAATGCACGCTGCCCTGTGGTATTAAGTATACATCGTAGTCCGGCTGCAGGACGACGTTGGCCACCACCAGCAGCCGCACCGACGCCTTCCCGACCTCCCGCCACACGGGACTGGTTAACGCAGCCGAGACGATCGCCGATCCCGTCTGCAAACTCTCCAGCAGCACCATATAGCCGCGTTTATTCACGGCTTCCAACGCGGCCACGGACGCCGGTGGTCGGTATTCCGAGTCGGAGAATTTCGTGAATTTTATGATGCTAGCCCCGTCAACGAACACCTGTGAAGTAACCGGTCATTTGTTACATCTGCAGCTATCGAAAAACCGCAAAAAAATTACAACCAAAACCAGAAAAGATTTTTCAAAATCAAAATTACTTTTGTTCCAATTTTCACATTTTCACAGCACTATGCCGAAAATCATTAAATTATTGACCGATCGGAAATTAACATTTAATTACCAGTTGTTATTAACCGAGAAAATGACACGTACGGAATCGGCGCATCGGCCTCCGAAAAACAGCCGGAAACGTTTAAAAAAAATCGAAATTATTTTTATTTATTTACAGCGAATTTTTCTAATACAAAATCATACGGGACGCCATCATAACTGTCATTCGCCATTACAATTAATTTAATTAAATTACTCATCGAAGTCTTTAAGCGTCTGGTTAATTCTGATTACGTAATGTACATATTAATTTTCTCGTTCGTCAAAAAAATGCCACATACGGAGTCATTGCGCACGTCGTGTTCGATGCGCCAGTCAAACTCCAGACCCTCCAGCGAGGAGAATCGATCCCCGTTGACGTCCTTGGCGCTGATCTCAAAGGCTTCCGGTGCGTCCTCCAGGAAGAGTTTGCGCGTGGTGGTGAAGATCTCCAGCGAAGCGATGCTGTCGATCATCACGTCGCAGCGGAGAGACTGCGAGGGATGCTCGGCCCAGATAATACTCGTCAGCCGCGATACGGAACTGGAAACGGCCGAGACGACCGCGGCGCTGGAGCAGCTCACCCCGGCGGAAGAGGGCGCCACGTTGCCGTCGGCGTCCAGCAGCACCGGCGTCACGGTCACTGCAACACAATCAATTTATCGTTCAAACTACTTCCTGATTCGCCACGTCCGTATCGCGCATGTTCAGTATTATTATTACGCCCGTGCAATAATTTGTCAAAGTGCTACGGTCCTAACTGCTGCAGTCACTGAAACCATCCTCTAGACGAACATACAACCTTCTTATTTTCCAGTGAAAAATACTTGACATTAAATTTTCAATTTCTCGCAGAGTTTACGGATAATCTTCCCAAATTTTATCGTTAAAATCACTCCGGTAACGTATCGATTAATTTCCCCCGATTCTTTCCTCGAATTCATTCAATAAATCAGTCAATTAAATCAGCAGCGAATTAGTCAATAAACAAGTAATTAATGCATGTAAACAACAGAGAGATCCCGCTGCACTGTCATGATGTATTGTAAGTACAGTAATCGCGAAGATGCGCGATAAAGGCGCGCCGCGGTCGATGACATAATACGCAAGTGTTTTCAGTTTTTACTTAACTACAGACAAAGCAGTAATACAGAGATCGACAGGCAGACATTTTTCTTATTTTTGCTGAATTTTACGTAGAGAGAAATTAAATTCAATAACAAATACCAAATGAAATGAATTATATGAAATAATTATGACTAAAATTATTAGGAATTCAATTATTAAATTCACTGATAAGTGAAGCCTAAAATCATGACTGCCAATTTTTTATACTTGACATGCGTGGTTCTTAATCCACTCCAGCCTTACCGACATCCGTACGAGTGGAACGCCAAGTATAGCACCGCGCACTCTCCTTCTCCCCGTCCTCCGTGACGCGCAGTGTAAAATTGGCGACGACGCCATTGGCGGAGCGCGGCAGCAGCACGCGCGGCACATTGAGCTTATTCTGCTCCCCAGCGGCCACCGCCGCGACGCCGTCCCAAGAGGAGAGAAGGCCGGTGAGAGATACGGCCAACACGACGACAGAACAGCCGTTCCTGCTCAGCGGACTCGGCGAACCCGGGCCAACGGCCGTCTTCGCCATGCTGCAGCGCCTGTCTGACGGTCGTGCTTTCGCGCCTCGACGCCCGATTCAAACAGCGGGATTTCCGCGCTTCACAATGCGCCAAGATTCCCGGTGTTTTCCCCCGCAACGACGGAGTGTACGGCGCGAGAACCCAGAAGAGGCACTTTCCGTTACAGCGACGCTGCGTATTTAGCCAGCTGTCGTTAAAGGAAAACGGCGATACGGAAACACACGGCTCTCACGGGACACTGCAGGATTATACGCCGTAGAGAATTATCAAAAAACCAGTCTGTTATACAGTTACAAAACAATCAAGTGCTTTACCGAGATTCTGAAAAAAACTGAACTTTTGACAAAATTTAAAGTGACAAAATCACAAGTGAGAAACGTAGAAAAACCCGAGTCTGATGAAAAAGCATAATAAATTTAGCAACTATCGCCCGAGGTAGGTTGGCTGTGTGTCAGACAGCCCGTGTGTTCCAGGAATTTCGAAATGACGACATGATTGAAAATAATTTATTTTTAATAATCGTACAGAATGTTTTATTTGGGAAGAACCTTTTTCTTTATGTGAAAAATATTTGGCAGTTAAATTTGTCTGGTCTTCTACGGACAATATTCCCGGGTTTGGATGGGATCAGTTGACGACAACGATGGCGCAGGCAGTGTGATTACTGTAGTCTGTAGTGAAGCGAGCAGAAGCAGAATGATTATTTGATTTTTATTTTTTGGCGTTGAATCTGCGCAGCTGTACTTGATCTGCAGTCGGCGTTATTACGTGATGGTGTGCGCCTGTCCCTGGCGCGATGGACTGCCCTGCAACGGATCGCCGCGCGGACGCCGTCTCCCTTGAAGAGGGGGAGATGTTGCTGCGAGGCGCCAGCGGAGTGGAATTGCAGGCCGAGGATGTGATGCTGCCCGGGCCCTTCCAGCGCCACGAAGCCCTGGCCTACCTCATCGACTTCATGGAGGGCCGCGGCACGCTGCACCTGCTCCGCTTCTGGCTGGAGGTCCAGCACTTCTCCCACGTCCAGGCGGCGCCGCCCAGTCCGCCTGTCCCGAGTCAGGCTGATGCTTCTGTAGGATGCTGTTGCTGTCGGCAGCCGCCCGCGGGCGACGCTGCGCTGTCCCGTCCGCGCTTTCTGGATCTGGCGCATCCCGGGCGTCGGCGCAGTCCCTCCGCGATGGAGTTGCCGCGGGAGGAACTGACTGCCGAAAGGTAAAATGAACACCTGTTCGACATGCAGCGCTCTTAATTTTTATATCAATTTAATGGTGTTATCTTATTTAAATTGCATTTAAATTTTCAGTCAGATGGTTTTTGTTTGGTTTTTATTTGATCAGATAGTTTTTATTTTTAAATTAATGATTTTAATTTACCGTATATATTCCATATTTTAGTTGAGTCAGTTATGGCTTATAGTTGAGTAATTTACTTAATTTACTTGAATTTAATTTTGAAACCCATTAATTCTCTTTTAATTTTGCTGTGATGGACAGGTCACAGATGTGACTTTTTTATCAGTTTAACTTTAGCGTTTTTGCTGTTATTTTAATTTTATTATTTCGTTTAGTGATGCCAGTTCCGCGACGGAGTCGCCGTTGCCTCCACGACTGGTCAGTAATCCCGGTAGGTTGCGGTGTCTGCGTGACAAGCGCTGTATTTGCGCGGAAGTGATTGTGAATCCGTCGGCTTTTGCGCAGAAATGGAGGAGTGTGCGCTGCGCATCTTCAGCCAGTACCTGGGTCTGGACGCGGCCGACGCGGTGCAGCTGCCGGTGGAGGACGCCGACGGGATGCGGCAGGAGGTGCTGGAGCGCATGTGCCGCGAGGACGGCCAGCTGGATCTGGACTGCTTCCGCGGCCCGCAGCAGGCCGCCTGGCAGCTCATTCAGTCGCGGTACACGCCGATTTCTTTCTGATTTAATGCCGATTTTTCATCAATCTTCTCATTATTCCGTCCCAATATAGAATTACATAATTTTGATCTTGATTTATTTTTTAATTAAAATTTTTATCATTTTTAATACTTCATTTAGTCACGGTACACCCCGATGTCTTGTTGATTCTGCCTGAAGTTTAATGACTACTGAGTACCGATTTTTCATATTGTAACTGATTTTTAATTTGTCTGTAATTGTGCTATAATTCTAGTTACCGGTACATTACAGTAATGTGATGTTACAGAATTTCCGCATGTACAATTGTACATCGTGTATGTGTAGCCGTGTTTCTTGCAGATATTTCGAGCAGTTCCGGTCGAGCTACCATTTCCTGCAGTACAAATCGCAGCTGGTGCTGGGCCAGCATTTCTACCTCTTCGACATCCTCAACAGTCCCGCCGCGCTGCCGTATTTTCTGGAGGTTAGTGACTGTAACTCATGCAACATTTTCAGTGAATTTTGACGGGAAATGCCGGTGTTTAGTACACGGAATGCTGCGGCCAGGCGTACCTGGACGCGCTGTGCTTCCTGCTCAGCGGTCTGCAGTTTCTCCGCCATTCCGCGCGCGACGGCGCTGGTGACGCTGATGTCGCCGGTGTGGCGCAAGTGCGCAGTGATGCCTGTGCCATCTTTGACAAGTACGTTGTCACATTATTTTACCTTATTTATAATTTACGAAACAATATTATTAACCAAAGAAAAATGTCTAAATAATAATAACCATAGTTAAAATAGTTAATGATTAATTAATTAAAATAATCGCCTGATTTTTCGGACAGATATCTGTCCGTCCATAAATGCTCAGCGGTGTTAGCCGACATCGGCATCGCCGATGTCGTGGAGAAGAGTTTATCAGGTGACGATTGTGTGTGCGCGGCGTTCCGGCAAGCCGTGCTGGTCGTCTATGGATATTTCGCCCAGGTACTAAACGAACACCTTTCGCAATACACCGACTATTATATTTGTGTATTTGTTTCGGCAGAACCATCTCAGCGCCTTCTTCCGCAGCCAGTCCTTTATGCGCTTCTTGATTGACCTGGAAGTGGCGCTGAAAGTGGCCTTGTTCGAGGCCGGCTTCGCTCCGTCCACGGCCAGCGGACCACCGGAAGTCAACGGAAAGGAAAGAGGACGGAAGCTGAATTCCGCTGCGAAGAGTCGGCCCGTGTCGCGCATGGAGAGCAGTGACGAGCCGGTGCTGACGCGCGGCAGTCGCAGCAGTATCGCCGACAGCAGCGACTGCGGCAGTTCCATCGATCTGTCGCTCGGTGTCGCCGATGTCTTCCCGTCCACCTCCAGGAACCTTAAGTTAGTGCCGATGTTGTCGCAAATTAATTGTTTTAAAAATACAAAATGAAGTGGATATAAGTTAAACATTACACGAAATATTTAATCGATGAATTTACAAATAGAAAATCTTAAATCATTTTAACTTAAAATTTATACATAATTTGATGTTGTTAGAATTAATTATTGATGTATTCAATGTACGTGTATATAAAATTGAAATTATGTGCCATCATGATACAGGAAGATGACCCTTGGGGAAGTTGACTCACTGGGTCATTTTGTCTCGTTCGGCGAGAAGGAGCCGGCGGCGCCGGTGACGGGCAGTCTGCACTTTCTGCACCGGACCATCCGCCGGCTGAAGAAGGAGGAACAGCGCCGGCAGCGCGACGAAGACGCCGCCAGTGAGGCGCAGCGCATCATCGACGACACGCTGCAGTCGGTGCAGTGCGGTCGGCCCTTCGATTAGCCGGTCTGCGACCTCATATCGACGGCGCGGATTTCCGGCAGCTGCGACACTGGACGACCAACAATAATTTGCAAGCGTGACAATAATGAATGTGATGCTGTTCTATGCTTTCTGCCTTTCCACGAGAGATTAAATGAATTTACTATTATTCCGCTGGCGAATATTCCAAAATAATCATACTAATGTTTTGTACAATTCCTGGTTAAATTGTTTTATAAAATTCGTGTTTATAAAATATTTATAAATTTTGCTGATGTGTGTGTTGAGCAGAACTGCTGTCAAAATTCAACAAATCAATAAATTGTGCAACTTTTCAATCCAGAATAAGTAATTCAGTATGTACGAGTACCGAAGAATAGGTGGAAATATTGAGCGAGAAAATGCCGCAAGAATACTACGCAAAACTATGAGCGGGACCGCGACTAGAACGCCCAACCGATCCATGAACCGCATACATTTCCAGTACCGTACAAAACCCCATTTCGTAAATGTAACTCTGGCAAATTAACGCGAACACCCAACACGACAATATTAACTAAATCAACCGGATAGAAAACGGTGTGAACCAAGTGGAAAAGGAATACAGCCAGTCAATCCATCTCAGGGCGCCAGCTTCTCCGAGGCGCGGGTGACGTCCCATCCCGTCCAGGAGAGCGTGTCGCGGGCGTCGTTCTCGTTAAATCCCATGGCTACCAATTGCGCCACTTTATTGGCCATCTCCGGCACGGTGGTGGGGGCGTGCGCGTGCACATGCGCCCAGTAGCGCGCCGTCAGGTCGAACAGGTGTCGGTTGCTCTTGAACTGACCGGCCACGATGGCGTCCTGCGGATCATCCGGCACCTGCGCAATCACCCTGATTATTCACTTATTTATTCAAATTTAGTTAGTAATTAATTTCTAATTATTTTGATACGGGTTTAATTGAAAGAAGAGAGAGGACGGAACGCAACTGGGGAGCTGAGGAGGGCCTGGACGGAGATGAGGACGGTGCGGAGCGTCATGGCGGCGGCCCAGTTGGTCTTGAGGATGTCCAGACAGATGGCGCCCGTGGCGCTGCTGACGTTGGGATGCCAGACCTTGGTGATGAAGCGCATCTCCGGCGGCCGGAACGGGTACTCGGGCGGGATCTTCACGTCGATCTGGAAGGTGCCGCCCTCGTAGGGGGTGCCCTGGGGACCCTTGATCGTGCCCAGCAGCTGCAATGAGAAGAGCCAACAATGTCGCCGTTTTAATTCAAAATTAAATTAACCAAGGATTAAATTAGCATTAATTGGCATTAAAAAAGAAATAAATTATGAATTAACTGAATTAAACAGGAATTAACTGGATTTAAATACAAATTAAATCAGAAGATCATCAATTAAAATCAGAATTAATCACGATTTAATTAGGAACTGAAGTATAGTTACACCAGATTTAAATCACCATTAAATCAAATAAAAAAAATTCAGAAAGAATTACATAAGAATTACAATGAATGAAAGCAAACCAACATTCAACAAAATTGAAAGACAGTAAAAAAAATTAAAAATCGAAATTAAACCAGAATTAAATCGTAATAAAACTAAACGTTAAACGGCAATTAAATCAAAATTAAACTGCTGATTTTAACCCCGCTCGCACCTTGTCCAGCCGGCCGTCCACCGACTCGAGACTGACGATTCCCCGCTCCGCGTCCGTCGTCTTGGCCGCGTCGGCCAGTTCGCGCTGGATGCGCGTGATGGACATGGAGGTGGCCATTCTGTCCGCCAATCGACCAGCTCCCTCAACAACGCACAATTTCTCCCTCGGCGACGATTAGGTAGACGGTGGACGCCACCAGCTAAAATTCTGCAAGCAGGCACACAACGTACACTAACTTCACATAAGATAAGCAACCAGTTTAGCTAGACAGCAGAGTAAGACTCGGTAAAAATCCTGCGGACTGGGTCAGAGGTTCGCGACGATCTCCAGCACGTTAATCAGTAATCACCGCGGCGAGAAGCAGTCGATCCTTACCTAGCGCAATACGGCCGCGGGAGCGCCACTCCGCATTCCCCGCACGCCAATCCTCAACCAAGCAGACGTCGCGGACAATGCAGTAAGAGTGTAAGGAACAAGCACGGGTGCGCTCGATAAATTATCTACTGCACTCTTGACTTGGGCTCCGCTGTTTCACTGCAAATATTTAATGGTATACTTTACAAGCTGAACTAGTACAAATACGAGATCCTGGAATAAAGTTGGAAATACCAAAGTAACACGGCGCAAGATAAGTAATTCACAATAATAATGAGAATTTAGGATTAATTTCGCTTTTTCCAGTTTCTGCGAAAGCGAAAGCATGCATACGTAATGCTGTGCGTGGGGATAAATCATGGGTTATACAAATCCGCAGACCGAGAAATTCCCTGTATCTCAACCGAAATATTAGCGAAATTGCATAGGCAGCCAGTACAGCATGTGTAAGGAAATTTACGGACATTCACGCTGTAAGGAAGGAAATTTACGGACAAAGCGCTTCTGCGCGTTTTCGCCATTCAACCAGTGATCTAGGTGTGATGTGTGGAGATTCTGAGTTTTATGCTGATATTGTTTCGTCTAACTGCCTTTAGTGTCGGTAGAATTACAAATGTTACACGTTGTCTTTGTAATGCTATCATCCTACATCGCTGCACTTGTACTGTGGCTTAATGATACGCTCTTCTGCTTCACGCAGTTCAACTTTCCCCTTATAGCCCTTATATTCCTGTAAAGCGGTCTTTCCCCTTATATGACTATATCCAATACTGACTGGCACGATAGAAGGGCTGGATAAATTAAATGAGATTTTCTTTGTAGTTTGCATGTTTCTTTCTTTACTTTGCCAGTTTGCCCCATGTATGATTTAACCAGTAAAGTACCATATATGACTACACTACGGTATATGCGCATTTATTTCCGCCTACAGCAGCTTCTGGATTCCATGGGCGATATTTTCCGAGCTGGAACGGAAACCAGTTACAATGTAATTTCATTTGAAATGCCATTGCTGGCAGCAGCGACGGAGTTATGATTTATTCGCAAAATATAGGGCGTTGATTTGACGGGTTCCCTTTGTGTCAGAGACCGTCCTTGAATCATACAGGAAATGGAACACAGAAAGATAAACCGCACCGAAGATTGTCAAGTAGCAGCGGTGTCTGTATAACTTTGGACATGTTTCTTTGCTAGCATTATTGATAAACCTCACTTAACAAATGGGTAATTTTATGATTTTTGGGAGGTAATTATTACTAAATAAGCTTATTTATTGATAACTGTAGAGTAACCCTGCACTTAACAGCGCTTTTGTACGGTATGAGCCGCACCACACTGTAATAACGTTCAACGGGTTCAGGACCGCTTCTTATTCACAAACGTACTGTACAAAACAGGAACGCTATACAAAACTATATAACTGCACAAACGATAAAATCTGATAAAGGTATACTAAAAACTATACTGTCATCACAATTCAGCTAGATCGTTATCACCAGGTTCATCCGGTTCGATCACTTCAGGATTGTAGAAACTCAATTCCAAATCTTCGTTATCAGTTACTTGCTGATCGTTATCAGCGTCTTCATAGCTCTCACTACTAATGATGCCTGCACCGCGGAAACAGTTTTTTACACAGTCTACAGTAAGTCGTTTTAACGATTGGATACAAAATCAATAAACTCCTGTCGACTTGGTTTTTTCAAGTATCCAGCTCGCGTGCGAACGTCATCCTTCTGCTGTTTCTGCCAGGCCTCGTGTTCCTCCTTATAAAAGGTTTTATATGCTCGATTAATCCCGACATCCAATACGGGATGCTGTCCAGTCTGCCCGGCTGGAAAAAGAAACCTACAAAAACACGGTTAGTTAAATTGCTAGTGTTCCGTAATGTAGTTGAAGCAAATATTTGTGATAAAAGTTCATAAACACCTGTGCCACGTTCAGGTTTTCCAAAACTTCGGCACTACTGTTCAGCTTGTGCACTGGAACTTGGTTGCGAACCAGAGTGCGTGGACGCCCGTCATCGGAAAACGTTCTGCGGATCCAGGCGTGATCCAGCTGTTCGGTCCACCCCGCCGAAGAGGAACTTCCGACCACCACGTTGTCGGGAATGTTCAGCGACTTCATGATTTTCTCAGAAAACTGACCGGTTTTAGCAGCGCTTTTGAAATCTGTGTGGGCCGGAAGAATGCTGCCATCAGCAACAACAGTCAGTGTGACCGTGAATCCTTCTATTTCGCCGGGAGAGTGGAGCAGACAAACATGTTTGGATCCAGTAGGGAAAATGGAACGCGGTTTTGGAGGTACCAGACGGACCATCGTCTAATCCATGTTATAGACGTCCTTCATTCTGATTCAGCCTCCATTATGGTCCAAGTTACCATTCAGCTCAACCATGGTATCTAGAAACTCATTTTCATCTTCGATGTACTGGACCGTCATTTCCGTCTTTATGAAAACATGCGTTGCAGCGCGGTATACAAGCCGCTGCCGTTTCTTGAAGTGAGAAACCCACTTTTTTTGGAAGCGTGGAACTGGTTTGTCGGCAGATGTTATCGACTGGCAATCCTCTTCTCTTCATGGCAAAGGTCGGCATTGGTGACACAGAGCCCCTTCTTTCCTTGGCTTAAAACTCACGAACGCAGCTCGGCATTCCACTTCTTAGAACCTCTATTAGTACAGTTCTTTAGTCGCTTCCCAACCGGCTTTCCGGCAGCAAATCTTGCAACCCAGCGGCGCAAACTGCTCTCAGAGACAAAAGAATGCTTTCTGGCATACTCCTCATATGGTAAATTAGACTTTGCAAAGTGTAGAACGATGCGCTTTATAATGTCCAAGGAGTAATCTTTAACCATTTTTACTAATTTATGCTTTAACACACAAAATAAGTACACTAGATAATACTGATAAAGTAACAGGTTGCACAATCATACAAACTGTGTTGTCATAGTAATGAATCAATCGATCGATCGATCAATAAATCGATCGACCATTTAAGTGCGCTCACGTGCGTGCTCGGTGTGGCAACCGCATTGGGTGTTTGCGCCTAACCGTCGGCAGCATATGTGAATCGTGAACCCGCTCGTACAACGTACGTGCGTCTGCACTGTTAAAAATTCTGGCAAGTGGGAGGTTACTCTACTTACTAATTCCATGCGACTGAAGTCGATAGACTCCTATTGTAAGTCCAATGCTAAAATCTGGGTGTTTTTTTTTCTAAACAAAATAGCACTGTAGTGTACGTACATGTATAGACTGTACCTATTGTCGTATAGCAACGATGGTTATTGTGATACTTCTTACTTGTTGTTATTACCAGTTATCATTCAGTATCGATTGTACTGATGTGTGGTTAATTAATAAATATTAACTACAATACGGAGAGACTTCACAATGGCGTGAAGATAGTTAATCGGACTCGTACTGACTGGAGAGACAGAGAGAGTAGTGAGAAAGTAACGGCCCAAGTGCGGAAGGAAGTAGAATGCCGCAGAATGGAAGTCTTCCGAGAGAAACCTTAAATGCGACGGGAGAAACACTGGTAGGCGTACCGGGACAACAGCTGCTGAGGATAACGCAGTTCGACCCTGACAGTGATGAATGGCCATACTGGAAGAAACGCCTGAAGAACCATTTGTTTCTAACGAAAGTACCGAACGCAATGCAGTCTTCATTTCTGCTGGATTCGTTGTGCCCGAAGTCGTTCACACTTCTTTGCAAAATGTGCAAGCCGAAAGAACCGATGCAAATGCCAATTAAGGAACTCTATGAAATGCTGGACGCGGCATACCAGGAGTCGACCTTTTGGATAGCACAGCGAATTAAATTCTTCAGTGCGAAGCAGAAGACAGAGGAAACGCTGGTACAGTTTGCCAGCGAACTCAGGAGTAAGGTGGAACACTGCGACTTCCCAGAAGACGAACAAGAGAAAAGCCTGATTGCTGTGTTTGTAATGGGAATGAAGGATGCAGTGACGAGAAAGGTCATGAGTCTAAAAGACTTCAAGACACTGAATGAAGCTTTAAAGGAAGCTAAAGAGAACGAAACGAAGAGAAAGGAATTAGGAATTGGAATTGAAAGTGAATCGGATCATGAAGTGAAGAAAGTCCGCAAATGGAAAGGAAAGAAAGGAATGAAAGGAAAGAGAGATCAGAGTCACGATAAAGATGAATGTTACCGCTGTGGTAAGTCAAACCACACGTCTAATGAATGCTTTTTCAAGGAGAAGGATGCTTCAATTGTGGTCAAAGAAGACATACAGCCCGAATGTGTTCAAACATTGGAAACAAGTACGTCACGGTAGAAAGGGATCCGTATGACGTGTTGTAAGCGCCAAGGTGAACTGAAACTGAAGGGCGTACGTACTGGAAAGAACTAACAAAATGAACTTTATGTCAAGAATGGACATCGTTGCCAAGAAGCGTACTTAATGCTCATAAATTGTTGTTGTACTTTTACGACTGAAAAAGTGATGGGCGAGTTGTAGTGTACGTACATGTGTAGACTGTGCCTATTGTCGTATAGCAACGATGGTTATTGTGATACTTCTTACTTGTTGTTATTACCAGTTATCTTTCAGTATCGATTTTACTGATGTGTGGTTAATTAATAAATATTAACTACAATACGGAGAGACTTCACAAGCACATAATAATCAAATCATATTTAAAGCACTAATCAAGCTCATAAGTGGTTGTGTGAAGCACTTGCTCGCTTCAGGCAATTAAAAAGTTACCTTGAAGTTGATAATCAAACAACATCAAAATGAATAGCCAGTATGATTTCTAACTATCATAACAAAACTAATTTACTAATAATATTGTGCTTGCAAAAAGCTGCGCTTTGGAGACGCAATTGTTAAAGTTCTCAGTAAATGTTTTAGCTAACTATTATAATAATGAGCGGTTTCTCAGCCACTTCTTGCCCCCGGCAATCGAAGAGAATGCGTTGTGACCGTGATGAAAAGGAACGTGGGGAACGACTAGTTCCGACTTTGAAACAGTGTGCGATCTTAGTTTCGAACAAGGACGTTCGTTTAGTTCTAGTTTATTTAACGTTAACTCTTCCACAAGATGGAAAGACCGCTGTCAAAGATTAATCGAAAAAAAATGAAAAAACGAAAATGGACTTCTGTTTTTGTGTGCAACCAGTGAAATCGTTGTGCGAATCGCATCAACGTTGTGGGCGTGGCCAGTGGTCTGGTAAGTCAGTATTACGCAAAGGCAATAACAGATCATCAACTCTGAATCAGCGCGCTGCTCGCTCATTTTCTAGATTCTCTTCTCACTCCAGTTTTCCGCTTTCTGCACTTACGAAGTTTTGGTTTTACAAAATTAGCAGAAAAGCCGAAAACTTTGGAGTTCTCGCTCATTTCAATCGATCTTTTTTGTAGTTGTTGTGCTTGTTGGGCCCGTACAATCATGTTGGGAAGCAGACACATACTGCGCGCGGCGCTGCCGTTGTCGCGAACGCTGTGCACACGCATTTCTCCGGGGAAGATCAGGAGCCCGGGATACGGCATGGCTGCGGCGCGTTCCCTCACTCTGGCTTCTCAGCAGAAGATTCTGCTTCCTCTGATCTGTCAGCTACCGAAACGCGGCTTCCTCACCTCCGCTCCGTCCTTCGCGGAATCCCGCCGACTGGCGCAAGTCAAAAGTGAGCTCCCTGGTTCTACGCTCCGATTTTGGCTTTCCTTCCTCTTTCAAAAATCTTTGAAGGTTTTCAATAGATTGATTTTATGAAAAATCAATTTTAAAAACTATTACAGTGACAGCAAGGTGAAAAATTTATGGATGAAAGCGAAACTTGTCTCAGAAACTCCAAGTTGGAATTTTTTGTATTTTCTGGGTTTTTTGTTTCTGCAGGTGACGGAGAGATGGCCGAGTTCCTGGCGGAGGAGATCCAGGCGGAGAAGGAGTCCCTGAAGGCCACGGGGAAGGCGGTGCAGGTGAAGGGCTTCGATGTGTCCACCGACGACGCCGATGTGACGTTCAAGAAGAACTTCAACGGCGAAGAGTGAGTGGCGAGCCGAGGGGTCTCTCCACAACGGCGTTCTTCCTGTCGCTCTCATTTCAATTTTAGAAAATTGTGTAACGTTCGGGCAATCGACTGGCATATGAATATTACATACGCTCATACCGGGAAATTTACCGAGCATTTATTGAACTTATTTAACAGCGTGTTGCGGTAAAACCGGGAAAGTTTAGTCGCGATTGCATCAGCCTGTTTTTACTGCAGAATTTCGATTGAATTTCTTTTTAAATTTTTTTAATTATTTTGGTGTTATGTGTGGGAGCGGAAATAATTTAAAGAACATCGCTGATTAAAGTCTTAACAATACTGATATAATTTTAAATGGATCGATGGATGGATTTCAATGGATTGAATTTTTAAAGTGGACTAAATTTATTTGATTTATTCGGTTAGGATCACGGTGCGCGTGAATGTCAATCACTCCGTGGAGGCCGAGTTCGCCGAGGACGAGCAGAATCCCGCGCAACAACAACAGCAGCAATCCCCCGATGCGCCGCCCATGACTAAGGTATGCGCGAGATTTTTCACTATTTTGCAGTCGCCGTTGATTAAGCCAGATGGTTTGTTGCGCGTGATAGATGGTTTGTCGACCCAACTTCTCCGTGACGGTCGTCAAAGGCGGCTACACGCTGTCCTTTGAGTGCTCGCAGCTGCGCGACGAGGAGGACGATGAGGACCAGCAGCTGGGACGCAATCAGCAGACCGAGGAGAACTACCGTATGTCTGCTCATAACGTGAACTAATTCTATCAAAATAATTTTTGTAATTAATCTCTAATTTATAATCTTAGTCTTTGTAATTTATTCCCCAATATTCACCATTTTTTAAAACGTTTGTAAATAAAAGAAGTGCACCTATTTGCTCGGAGAAATACATAAAAATTGCAAATAAAATACAGATAAATGAAATCAGCTCAAATAAATAAATTTCTAGCATAATTATAGCTTTGCTTGCAGAGGACATGTTCAGCATCGACGAGTTCTCCGTGTACAAGGGTGAACGTAAAGATATGACGTACGTCATGTCCGGCGAAGTGATGGACGGGGTATGTTTATTACTCAACGAAATGCATTATTAGAAATTTGTCGTGACATTAATGTTGATTTTTAACAGAATTTCTACGATAATCTGATGAACATGCTGGATGAGCGCGGCATCAACTCGGACTTCGTGCGCGAGCTGGTGGACTTTTGCACGCTGTACGAGCAGAAGCTGTACGTTAATCTCCTGGAGAACCTGATGGGCATCGTCAAGCCCTGAGGCGGAGGGACTGTATCCAAATCAGCGTCTCAGCGGATGCGTCGTCCGCCGTCGTGTAGTTTCCGCTTCGCGGCCCTTTCGTTTTCTTGTTGTATATACCGCGCTGGAAGTGTTGCTTGGAATGCGCTCGCAAGATATTCCTTTTCTTTTTGTTTAATGGCATCGGCATGATACGCATCAGTGGTGGTTTACGCAGCCAGTTGTTCGTCGAGAAATTTGCCAATTAAAAGTTCGTACAAGGATTTTGACCGGTATTGGGATTAACTTTCGAAATTAACGACAACGCCATCCACAGATTAAAAATTAATCAACATAGTTAATAAATGCTAAAAAATGCCCTGTTATTGTCGGCATTTTGGCTGTTGAACTCATCATCAGTCAGCAGCACAGAATTTACGAGAAAATAACATTAAAAAATTCGGCTGAGATTAATCCAATATTCGACCGGAGCAACTTGCTTATTGTTAGCTGACTGAATAAAAAAAAACTTAGTCCGCTAAGGCACAAAATGATAAAAAAGGACCAGTTAAAACCTGTAAAACCCAACTGCGCGCGAAATAATTCCTATCGGCTATCCGATCAACTGCACAATTAGTCTGCAAAATCTTGGTAGCATCCGTGCAGCGCTGCCAGCGTCAGATTATTCAAAGTGGAAACGTCCAGTTGGCGCAGACGCTGCGCATACATGGCGTCCCACTGCAGAGGATCACCGGAGGGACGAGGAATGTCCATCCTGATTAAAATAAATAAAAATATCATAACTGAGCAAATACAAATACAGAGTACAATCATTTCCGCTGTGCCCGAGTAACAAGATTTTCAAAACCGCAATTCTCAAAAATTACTACAATATCATTATAGCAAGATTTTTCAAAAATGAAATCCATAAAAATTAGTACAATAATTCTGATAAAAATTCCCAAAAATTAATCTGATATAATAATTATTATAAATCTCGAATCTGATCAAAAAAATACTAGTAATTGTTCAAAATATTAGTGGTCAGTGCCGCTTACTGCTTAAAAAACTGGCGAATTCCCTTAATCCATTTGCGATCCTTCTTCACCTCCTTCACCCATCGCTCATACACCGCCGCGACCTTTTTCTGCACCTGGGGACCGACGGCCGGACAGCTGTCCGCCGCCGCGGCGACGAAGCGCCGCAACTGTTCCGCAACACGTTCTCCGCGGCGGAAACGCAGCTGCGGAATGACCACCACCACATCGCCGAGGTGCTGCTCGCTTTCGTCCCGCATCAGCTTCTCCAGCGGCGGATGCCAGCCGGTGCAGTCAAACAGCAGCAGTCGGGCGGAGGAGCAGATGGACGGCGACGCCATGTAGTTGACCAAGACTAGCTCGTCGCAAACGCTGAGCAGTGTGGTCAGAGCGTGCGTGGTGAACATGCCCTTGCCTTCGGCGACCGGGAGGCTCAGAAAAGGGACGGCTGACCAATCCGCCTCATCGTACCCGTTAGCCGCAATGATTTTCCGCAAACGGATGCCTTTGCGCTCCAGAACAAACTGGGCTCCGTACAGCCACGCATCGCCGCCCGGCAGCGTGACCTGGCCGTCGCCCATCAGCAGCAGTGTCTCGGTGTCGGGGCGGATGAAGCGGTCCAGGGTGGCCAGGAGGTGGTACTCCCCATACTCGGATTCCAGGCACCATTCCTGCTCATACGGCTTCTTCCCGGCCATGTCCAGCATCACCACCCGCTTATCCGTGAATTTTCCCAGAATCTCTCGCCACAACGCGCACACTCTGCTTACAGCAGCAAAATTAAAACAACTTAAACATCGCTTACATGATGCTTCTAATAAAAAAAATGACAAAAATATTACTAATGAATATAACTAATTTTTATTATTTTTTAATTTTTATTGTTTTATTAATCTTTAATAAAGCTTGTCCTATAATTTAGGAGTTTTTGTTACAGATCTTGTCCCATAATTTATAAGTAATAATCGTTAACAAAGTGAACTTGCCGGGAGAAGCGGAACTGGCTTTCGGCATCCACATTTGTGAGAATCCCGGTCAAGATCGGCAGCGAAAGTTGGCTTATGGACATTTCTTCCTCGTCCGCCACGGTGTCATCGGTGGAGCCTTTGAAAAAGGCCAAATCATATGAATGAAATATTTAACCAAGTAGCCATATGATGCGTTCATCATCGGTACAATGTACAGTACTGTACATGAACAGTTGTACAACAACATTCCCTCAATTAAATGTTTAAAAATTCATAATAAACATTTCAAACATTTAAATATATTACGTAACCATTTTCAACATACAGAAAATTTATTCTGGAATTTAAGAAGATTTTTTTAAGTTTTTTATTATTTTTCATTATTATTTTGGCACTGACCGTAATCCAGCGCTCCCGGGAAAGCGTCCATCGCCAGCGCTGACTGATTGCGGAGATATCGCCTGCAAGCCTTCTTCAGCGCCGCCTCATCCCACCACATCCGGCGCCCGCTGGCCGCATGCTGCAGCTCCAGACAGACGAACGTCAGCGTGTCCGTTGCCGCGCGCACGAAGACGCGCACACCCACGTGCGCCCCGTAACTGATGTGCTGCGGCTCAAAGCCGTTCCCGGGACGCACTGGCATCGAGTAGAATGTCGTCAGATTATTGCGTACGCGCCGTCCGATGGGACAGTGTTCACCCGTGTATTCGTCGTAATCGAAATAATCGCCACTACCCAGGGCGAACTGGCAGGCCCGGCCCACGAACGCCGGCAGACTGTCCACGGCGCGCAGTGCACCCGCCCCGGGGAACGGAATGACATGTTTGCGGAATGTAAGGCCATCGGTGCGCTGGAAGAAATTCTGCCCGTCCTCCGGCACGGGCAGGCGACGGGTGCACTGGTTGCGGTACACAAGATAGCCCTTCCCTGGTGGCGTAGTGTTCGACTGGGAACGATCCTGGGCCTTGTCACCCAAACGCACAATCAGTACCCGGGCTTTCCGCTGCGCAACGATCGTGGCGGGACGGAAGATCATCGGTCCATCGTGGCTGTCTCGCAGCGCCACCGGCAGGGAGTCCGTGACCAAGGGGAACAGATCTTTATACAGAAAGTGGTGCGGCCAGAGACGGCTGGAGTGGATCCATTGGGCCGGCACGCTGCGGGCATCGAAATCAACGAGGAAGTGCGGGCCGTTGACGTCTTGCACGTAGCCCAACCACCACTGGCCGCCGTCGCGCAGCGCCAGCACCGTGTTGCCGTAGTTGACTTCCCACGCGCCGGACCATAATTCACGAAAGTAACGGGTAGTGGCGCTCATGCTTCTGCAGAGAAATCGGGAATACGAAGTCCGAGATTAGCACACGCAGAACAAAAATTCCACAGACAAAAATCAGTGCAACTGTGAAAACGAGCCGGTGGAGTGACTGCCGTCTCGCGCAGGTTAAGCAGTACGCACGGTGTCTTTTCGGTCATAACACGTCCCGGAAGTGGCTTGCGCCGTATTATCGCAGGCATTGCCAGGCAAAAATGTCGTACTTGTGTTCAGTCGTTTCCCTGTATCGATATGGACGATGGTCGATGACCTGCTGAATGTTGATTTGTACGGTGCAGTCAAAGCATTTTGTGATTTAATTTTCCGAACGACTTTCTACTTTGGAATTCGGTAGATACTCTGTATTTAAATTTTGAGGTACGTATTACGGAACATTTCGTGCTAATAAAACCGATCCAGATTACAAAAAACAATTAATTTGTACGAGTACAGTATTGATTTTAATGATTAACCACAAGGAATACAGGTTTCGAACAAAAAATCCGCACAACAGCAAATCTACCAATCCTGAAAACATGATAAACGAGATTAGCGAAAGCCTAAAAGACAGAACCCCCACATGTTACACAAACTAGGTCACTGGTTAGCGGTCGAAACGCAAAGCGTTGAATTAATAACCCCAGATCACATCTTGCGCAACAAACAGAAAATCCATCTCCAAACTTCCACGTCCCATTCGCCAGTCCACTGTACGAGTACTGTACTTAGTACTTACTTCTGAATATGCCAGTATATCACGCACGGCCGTCCGACCTTTACGGCACTTACTTGAACTACAACGTGTACTTAGGCAATTTGTCTGCTTTCCAGTGTTTTTCGAATTTTTTTCACATTTTTCGGTTTTGAAGTGGAAAGTAGAAAATAGAGTAGATACGCTTGTGCAGGCCTCGGTGGTGGTTTCGTTTCCCCATTTGATGCAATGTGTATTGTGGTGGGAATGTGGAGCGGTTAGCTGCTGCAAGGAAAGGTCTAATTAATCGCGTTGCCAGTGGGATTTTAATGTTTTGTGAATGGCACGCCCCGACGTCGTTACTGCGGAATCTGTTGCTGCGGGCAAAGGGGGACGACGCGCCGAATTAGCGGAGAATGGGCAGGCGCCGCTGCGCAGTGCGGATCAGGGCGCAGGGGACGAGGTGGTGGTGAAGAGCGAGACGAAGAAACCCGCGTCGACAATGCCGTCGCATGCGCAGCAGCATCCCAGCACGCTGAAGCTGCTGGGCTGCGCCGCCGGGGTCTTCTTGTCCTTCTTCGTCTTCGGCATCTTCCAGGAACGCATGTGAGTTCCGCCGTGAATGCACTATGTGCTGCATACCATTTGTGATTTTTTTATGGGGGATTGAGCGAGGGGCTTGTTGCAGAACGCGCGGCGTGTACGGCGAGAACGAGCGCTTCCACTACACACTGACGCTGGTCTTCGTCCAGTGCGTCATCAACGCCATCTTTGCCAGACTCAGTAAGGCCTGCATTTTTATATTCTAGAATAGCTGAATTTATTTGCATTTATTAATTAATTTGTTTGCATTATTCTCTGCGTTTATTGGAGAGTTTATTCTATGTTTGTGTTGAACATTTACGAGTATTTAGGAAATTTTAAACGTGCAATAGAGCACTACCACCGTAGGGCGGCTGGACAGTAAACAGACGCTGCTATTAGCGTGGCTTCTTTTGGAGCTGGTACGACTACGATTGCCACCGTTTGCATTCCTTGGTGTGTTGCAGTGATCTACCTGACGCGGGAAGCCCGCGACACCACGCCGCGCTCGTTGTACGGCTGGTGCTCGCTGTCCTACCTGGCGGCCATGCTCTCCTCCAACCAGGCGCTGCAGTACGTCAACTATCCTACACAGGTGCGCACGCGTCACCCGCCCGCGGCGCTGACGGCCATGCATTAACCGATAGCTTATAAAATTGTAATTTACTGTAATAAATCAAACATTAGTGAATAAAAATTGTTTAAAACCGGAAGTATGGATTAATCGGTACGCATAGAAATGATTCAAGCTAATGTCAATGAAGACAAATTGAGTAATTAAAAAAGTTAAATGTCCATTAATCAGCTGATCGATGTGTAGTATACAAGTCATGAATACAGGTGCTGGGTAAATCCTGCAAACCCATCCCGGTGATGCTCTTTGGCGTGTTCTTCGCGCACCGGCGGTACGCCTTCAAGAAGTACCTCTTCGTCCTCTGCATCGTTGTCGGCGTCAGTATCTTCTTCTACGAGAGCGGGAAGAAGCATTCCAAGGAGGAGCAGAAGGAGATCGGCTTCGGCGAAGCACTTCTGGTATAACAGAATTTATTGCTTTATTTTTTTCGTAATTTTCCTCATGTGATTGAATCGTTGCAGGCCCTGTCCCTGTTTATGGATGGCGTGACGGGCGCCGTGCAGGATCGTATGCGCACTTCCCACAAGACGCGCCCCAACAACATGATGATGTGGATGAACATCTTCTCCTCTTTTCTCCTGCTCGCCGGTACGTACTGCATTTGAACGTTGCGATGGACTGCACAGACAAATTAATCGATGTCGAATAAATCAAATTAAAATTAACGAGGGAAAATAATTAGTAAGAAGCTGACGTATGATGACAGATAAAACTAAAATTGAAGGAATAAAAAAACATTTTTTTGCCGTACACGTTATGTTTTGCAGCCATCGTCGTGACCGGGGAGTTGGTGGAGGTGCTGGGCTTCATCCTGCGCTATCCGTACGTCTTGGAGCAGCTGCTGACGTTCGCCGTGTGCAGCGCCGTGGGACAGGTACGGCACCGCGCTAATCATTTGAAATTCCTGGAAAATTAAATGTACGGTTTCAACCGGCAGTTCTTCATCTTCCTGACGGTGGCGGACTTTGGCCCGCTGCCCTGCTCCATCATCACCACCACGCGCAAATTCTTCACCATCCTCGTCTCCGTGCTCTTCTTCAACAACCCCATCTCCGGCCTGCAGTGGGCCGCCACGCTCCTCGTCTTCATAGGCCTCATCCTCGACGTCAAGTACGGCAAAGACCGCAAACACTGAAACTGTCTGGTTAATGCCGCGCGTCCGTCCGCCCGCCATTCCTTTTGTACTCACACCAGAAATGAATTAATAACGATTTTATTGCCAGTTTTCGCTGTAGCTTGACCGGTGGTCTGTGCAGTATGCGTGCGTATAATGTCGTTTCCGGCGTTATGCCGGGGGTGAAATAACGTATCGGCTGCATGCGGCAAGTCTCCTTCTTTTATTCCTAATGGGTAATGGCCGATAATCACTTTTAGTGTTTCAATTGGGACAGGTTCTGTGTAAAATTAGCATGTCCGAACATTGTCCGCATCGCGACGCGACCGACAACTGCAGAGTTCTGTGCAACACACCTTCTCCGTAAAGAATTACGTTTGGCAATACAGATTTTCACCGGAAGTGCAAAATTTGCGGCACAACACAATTAGACGTTTACTTTCTTCACCAAAAATTTTACATCATGCGTTGGTTATGATAATTGCAAAAGTATCTTGATATGTTTTTACTTCCTTCACATCTGCGTACAAAAATTTTCGAAGCAACTTCGGCAACCATAACTTATTTATTATGTACTAGTACTTTGTATACGAGTATTGATACTGTACATCATACTTTTGTCAAACGTTACGGCAATGTCAGTAGTACTAACGATAAGTACTATGTATGTACTCGATGAAATTATTGTTAACAGTTATGGTTAATCTATTATTAACAATAAACTATTAGCTATTGCCTAACGGTAAGCCTGTACGTACATACATAGTACTTGCCGTTTGTAAAAGTTATTGGGCTTTTATAGTACCCGATACCGGAAAAAGTACTTTATAAAAATGTTTATATCCTATAGATATAAAATTATCTAGGTACCTGTTCTATCAGTAAAGCCTATTCTATCGTAAAATGCATATGTTAATGTGCCCTATATTCAATGCATATATCGTGTAGATATCTATATTCTATTGTAAAATGTATAAGATATATGTTACGATTCATATCTACGCTTATATATAAAATTAATACATTTACAATCTATATAAAATTTCATGTACCCATTCTAGACTTCTAGTTATGCATGCCGTATACATGACATTGTATGTATGCCGTCAGTATGCGCGATACCAACGTGCTGCTCCAGCTCCGCCTGGTTTATAGGTGGGAAACAAACTGCTGAATGCTGGTAAACGGGAGAAGTTGATCGATCCATGTCAAAACTCACAATAATTCCGTCACACTGAGTCTGGCGTATGCACAGCGGAAGGCGGTCTTCCGGGCTGGGACTGGGAAACACGATAACAGGCTTGGCCGTGTGCCAGTGGCACTCCTTTTTTCTCACCGTGCGATGTGTGCACCGGTACGTACAACGCGGTGCAGTCGGGTGCAGTGCATCAATGAGCGGCGTACGTACGTCGTGACGTACGCTGCGCCGCACTGGCCCGCGTCTGTATGGATTTGTATGAATGAATCAAGCTGCGCCTCCGCCAGCCTGTGCTGTGCGTATGCTGTCTCTTCCGCTCTTGAAATATTTGAATGCTGGCAACTGGCATTTGGCGTTTTTCACGCATTCATTCATCGGAAAATTAGAGAGCACTAGTGTAATCATTTTGTTGTTTTCCCCCTCCATTCAACGCAGGTCGTCCATAGCACCGTGTGATCCGATTATCCAGCGCCGTCGGTAGCGCGGCATTGTCACTGGCTGCTGATTAATTATCAGGTTGCGCCATCCTGAATGATTAGCCCCCGTTTTCCGTGGATGCTGGAGCAACGCTCTGACTCTGGTACGTTTGTAATGCACACAGTGTTGTGCCAACATATGGCAGGGACAACAATCTCGTGTGTTGTAGACGTATCCTCGTGATGCTGGTGTCCTGAAACGCGACGTTTCAGATTTCCCCGGATTGCCTGTGATTTGTTTGTTGACATGACCGCCCCCGTTGGGGCGTGCTGCGAGTAGCGCCCCCATGCTGCCGGTGGGGGCGCCCCCCGCGGGGGGCTCGATGCCCGGGGGCAGTACCCCCGCGCAGTCGGGATCGGGCGGGGCGGGGGGCGCGGTGGCCCCCCTGCAGGGGGGGTTGGGGATGCTGGCCCCCGCGGGGACGACGCGCCACCTGTCCTCCGCCACCTTCCCCAAGGTGACCACGGTGGGATCGCAGAAGCCGGAGGTGTGGGTGCAGTCGCTCATCAACCGCTTTGAGGAGCAGGTATGTTTCTTAATCTTACGCAGAAATAAATACATCAGAAATGCTACGGCGCGCCACGCCGCTGTGTATGCCAATATTTTATTCTGTTTTACACGTTTTTAAAAAGGATAAATAAGAATTTTGCATGGTTAATCAAGAATTATCGTAATCGCCGGGTGGATGGCGGCAGAGCGAAAGTCGCTGCAGTCCGAATCCAATTTTTAGCCAATGGCGACAAACGTAGTGCAGTGGCCCATTCCTTGCTTCTGTTTCACATCGCGCTAGCTGTAAAATTAATACGTTTGCGTACGAAAATTTAATACATTTTTTGTTGGGCATCAGCAGCGCATGTACCAGTAACGCCTGCGCCGGTTTACATTAATGAAATTGATTATATTTTAATTATCGCAGGAGCATCCAGAATTCTTAGATAGGCTGGTATGATCCGTGGTCGTATGATCCGGATTGTTGATGGGAAACTGCAACCTGAGGAGTGAGCAGTAGGTAGGGCCGGGGCGCGCGTGCTCACTTATTGATTAATTAGTCCTCTTGGCCACGCATGCCCCGATCCCATCCGATCCGCGGATGTGATTCCGGCCCGCGCGCGCATTGTCATGATGATCCCCTCCCTCGCTTACCTGATTACCCGCGCTCTCTCCCGTCCGTCGGATGAATTCCCGCGGCGCTCCAAGGGAAGACCGGTGTGGTCGGTTAGATCACAAGGCAGGAAGGTTAACCGGCGGATTAGCTAATTGCTTTCCTGCCTGCAGGCCTCCCACGGAACGAGAGGATACAGCAGTCATCAGCAGCGCCGCACCATCAGCACAGATTAGCTAATCAAATTATTTTCAATGTCATCCCCCCAGGCAGCTCCCTGCTGAAGCCGTGCTATCGCCGTAAATAGGTTGTTTCCGGTGCGGATTTAACGGGCAATTTTCCTATAAAAAAATATATCGAGAAATAGATAAAATCACATATATGAAAATAACTAGTATGTACTCGTATAATTTTTAATGGGTGATTCACAAGATTACATGATTGTTTCAAAATAAATTCCGCACACAAGCAAATCTACCAAACTCTGGAAACAAGACAAACCAGACTGACGAAAATCCAGAAGATCACAGAGCCCACACATGCTACACAAACTCGTATAATTATGTACTATGATAAGTAAACTATAGCTACTAAGTAATATTTCGATTTGTAGTTATTTTTATTGACACGATTGATTATTATTAATCGATAATGCAGTATTGTGATTGCAGCAGACAGTTTAATTATTGAAAGCTAACAAAAACAGAAAACATAACAGGAGTACTATTGCGGAGTAGAGTAATAGCAATGGTATCAAACTTGGCAAACTGCCAAAATAATAAAAATGAAATAATCGGATCATAAGAGACACATTGCCGAAACGCGAAATCTACTCGTACCAGGTATAAAAATTAAGCGTTCTTTGAAATGTCCAATAGGCGAAGTGGTTGAAATCAGAGTAATACGGTGACCGCGAGTGTCTTTTAGCGTTGATTTCACGTGATGGCAAGCATTTTACATCAGCAGTTTTTGTTAAGTAAATAATTTTCGAATAGAAAAGTACATATATTAACATCACTGCATATTCAAAACATCGCTACATATTCATATGCCATTCAAAACTTCAAATGCCGGAAAAAATATAGTCTTCATAAAAATTTAAATAAATTAATGTTAATGGAGCACCGGTGATTGCAGTTGCCGGTGAAGACGGGCATGCAGACGATCACCACCCGCACCACGCTGGAGCAGCAGAAGGAGTACCTGATCAACATCTCCCGCTGCAAATTCTCCCTGGTCATCCAGGGCCTGACGAAGATGCTGCAGAACGTGGCCAGCACGCGCATCTTCGGCGAGGAGGCCGAGCGCTCGCAGATCGAGTCGCAGCTGATCATCCTGGACACCCTGGAGCAGTGCCTGGTCAACGGCCAGCCCAAGGACACGCCGCGCGTCGAGGAGCAGAAGTACGTCAATCTTCTGCTGCCGGAGATCTGCCAGTTCCTCAACCTCACCACCGACAACCCGCTCCTCCTGCAGCTGAAACTCTCCGCCTCCAAGGTGCTCTTCGCGCTCAGTCTGAACAATTTCAACTCCATCTTCTCGCGGATCAGCACGCGGTTGGCGGCGTTGGCCATCTGCCCGGATGAGTGCGTCGATCTGGGCGATGTGGAGTTGATCCAGCACATCAACGTGGATCGCGCCAATCTGGCGAAAGTACTGAACGAGATCATCGGGAAATTCCGGCAACTGAAGAAGAATGTACACATTTCCCTGATTGCCTACGTGGAGAAGGCCATCTGGAATTTTATGGACACCTATCCGGAGGAGTTCATGAGCCAGCAAAAGGTCACCTTTATAATTTTTACCTTTAAAAGAATTTAGAATATTTTCCTGGTTTAATTTGAAAACTTTTTTCTTTGGTTATCTGGTTTCCAAAATAATTTAACATTTTTCTACTTGATTTGGAGTATTTAAAAATTTTCGTTTTTTTATGCTCCATGCCCTTATGAGTAGTATTATGTATCTGTAAGAACTAACGACAGTTTTGCTGGATTTAATTTTTTAATAAATTCTTTTTCTGCTTTCTGCTTTTAAAATATTTGAATTTTTTTGTTAGCGCTTTGTCCAGAATTTTTTGATGGTGAATGGTTGTTGCAGGTGGCAGATGAGGATCTGGCGGAAGCGTGCGAGAAGCTGTTCGACCTGCTGGACTACTTCACCGAGGGCAAGTCGCAGCGCAAGATCCTGGCCTGGCCGCTGCAGATCATGCTGCTGATCCTGTCGCCCATGGCGCTGGAGGAGGTGGTCAACGCCGACAACGGCGCCCCCTGCACGCCTAAGCACCTGAAGAAGAAGCACTTCCTGGACCACCTGCGCAAGTCGCTGGTGGGCCACGGTGCCTCCAAGCAGCTGACGGAGGGCGCCGGCGTGGCCTGCGTCAAGCTCTGCAAGGCCTCCACCTACATCAGCAACCGCGACAGCACCAACGTCGTCTTCGTCCTCGTCCAGACCGTCATCAACGATCTCAAGGTAAACCTATCCGAAGTGTTTATAAGAATCTGCAGAATACATTTTTCTGATTTCTGGAATATTTTTCATTTTGTTTTTTTGATTTAAAATACTTACAATGATTTTAAAAAATAATTTTTCTGGTTTTCGGGGTATTTTAAATCTTAAAATATTTACACTAATTTTAAAAAAATTATTTTGGTGGTTTCTGGAATGTTTTTTTTTTATTTTTTGATTAATTTAAAATATTTACACGAATTCTTCCGGTGATGCATGTATTAACCCTTTTTGCAGGGTCTAATCTTCAACCCGAACAAGCCGTTCTCGCGCGGCGCCAACTACGACGTGGACCTGATGATCGACTGCTTCGTGGCCTTCTTCCACATCAACCCGCACAACCTGGACGTGCTGAAGGTCTGCCTGAACCTGTCGGCGTCGCCCGTCTACCACTTTGTCCTCGTCAACGCGCTGCACCGCATCGCCACGCAGCCGCGCCTCCCCTTCTGGCCCTCCATCGACATCCTCTACAACAAGGTCGCCGATCTCCGCGTCCTCTTCATCGACACGCTGACCTACGTCTGCCAGGGACAGGGCTTCGGCGTCGGCCAGCAGATCCGCTTCTCACAGAACCTGTCCTTGTAAGTCAATATTTTGACACTCGCGCAATTTACGTCGCAGTTTTCTATTGCGTCGTGAAAACAAATTGGTTGGTCCGCTTCCAAACGACGCATTCACAACTTAACATGGTTTTTATAACTTAGTCTTAATTTTCTTAATGACGTAGTGCAGAGGAAGTACAGTAATTTTTTGTAATGGAAATGAAAAGGGAAAATAGTTGGAATTCCCCGAAATTTTCAGAATAATTTCAGAATATTTCCGAATAATTTCAGATTAATTCCAGAATAATTTCAAAATAATTGGCATTACGATGCCGCACCGAGCGGTTAAAATTGTCGCAAGCACCGGAAGTCCCGGAATTTCCTTCGTTTGAAATGTTCAGCTTGGAGGTTGTCGGAAAATATAAATTGGAAAGGAAAATAATTTTTAAGGAATACAAACTGGAACATAATTTTTAAAGGAAAATAGGTTAATAAACGTGGCGTTGACAGGAAGGAAAAAGTGAGCACGCAGCTGAAATTCCGCGAGAAGACCTCGGAGGAGGTGACCAGTTACAAGTACCTGCTGGTGCACATTGTCCGGCTGATCAGCACGGATCCGCTGCTGTTTTTATACAACGCCTCCAAGCAGAACACGGAGATGCTGATCAACGGACTGGTCTCCGTGGTGCACCAGAACTTCATCGCCGACCTGGCCGAGCAGGCCATGGAGGCGCTGCTGGTGCTGCACCAGCCCGGCAACATCCTGCTGTGGAACAGCGAGGCCCCGCTGCCCATGTTCTGGGACACCTCGTCCTCCGTGCTCTTCTCCATCTCGCAGAAACTCATCCAGCACCAGATCGCTAATTACAACGAGGTTCTGAAGTGGCTGCGGGAGATCCTCAAGTGCAGGAATGTCTTCCTGGCGCGCTACAAGGACAACGCCAATATGGGTAATATAACGCCAGAAAAATAATGAAATATAAACGAGACAGGGAAATAATAAAGTAGAGGATGTCGACCATATTAATTATTTTTGATGCACACAGCTTTTACTTATTAATTGGTTGTCCTCTCAGGGAGCAACATTGCCATTGCACGACAGGCGCAGATCAAACTGGAGGTGGTCCTCTTCATGTATCTATGGAGCATCGACATCGAAGCCGGTACAATATTATTTTCCTCAAATACTGAATAAATTATCAGATGTATTGTCCTTATTTGTTGCATATTATTTCATTTTAATATACTCTGTACACTGTGTCTAAGCTGTAAAACGAATTAATTTAATTTTTAACTGAATATGTTTTTTAATGTATATAAGATGTAAAAAGAGTTGATCAGTGACCTTTGCGCTGGTTCGCAGTGCTGACGGCCATGTCATGTTTTCAACATTTATGCGAGGAAGTGGAAATCCGCGCCACTGACGAATTTGCCGTACTGGTAAGGAGATTTATTATGAGTTGCATTTGGTTATGATTTTGTGAGTGACGCGAATTGTCTATTAGTCACTGCTACCGAACTACCACATCTACAACGAATTAACCGCGGCGGCCACTGCATTAACCACCGGCCGCGCTCAACTCCAAAAGCGCATCATGGGCTTACTGCGGCGCATCGACAAGAACACCCCCGGCGTGGCGCAGGCCTGGGACGAGACGCATCTGTGCTGGGATGAATCGCGTAAGTTCCTCTCCAGTTTCCCCAAGATCGGCGAGCGCCCCAGCAAACGGCGCACCTCCTACTCCACCAGCAGTTCCTCCCCCGAGCACGAGCTGGACGACGTCTTCTCCGAGTGGCTGAACATGACCGGCTTTCTCTGCGCCCTGGGCGGGGTCAGTGTCCAGAAGAAGGCCCAGCCACGGCCGCTCTCCGCCGTCAACCTCCCTTCCGACTCCCGGTAGGCGAACTCTTTCGCAGTCTCCGTGTTTTGTGTGGATGTGACGGAGAGATCAGTACGATAGGAATAATTACCGCAATAATCTATCCAAAAACCTTACTCAGCGACAGAGAATGAGCTGATATTTCAATGTGGCATAGCTAAGCCTAAGAATCTACGCGAACGAGAAACTGCATCTCCGACGATAAATTTAATTTCGAACTCTGAAGACTGGAAAACTCAGAATGAGAAAACTGAACACACTTATATCCGTGTAGAGAGCCAAATTAAACCCAAAACAAAAGAGAACATTGCAGAACGTAAAAGGAATAATAGCACGTACGAGTAAAGAGATCAAAGTACGTACTAATCACTACGAGTACGGCTATATTCCGTCCGATGAATGTGATTTTGGGTTGGGCAGGAAGGTGAGCATCATCTCGGCGCAGAACAGCAACCAGGATCTGCAGTACTGCCCGGTGACACAGTTCTGCCGGTATATGCTCAGTCTCCTGGTCTGCAACAACGAGCGCTTCGGCCCGAAGATCCAGAAGCATGTGAAGGAATTGTTGGGACATGAGCTGAATCCGCAGCTCTACCCGATCCTCTTCGAGCAGATCCGCACCATCGTCGAGAAGTTCTTCGACTCCAACTCCGGCCAGGTCGTCATTTCGGTACGTTTGTTGATTATTATAGTTGAATTTATTTTTGTTTTGTGTTTGATGACCTTTCATAATTTTTCTGCCGTGACAATGATAATTCGGTCCTTACTCGCACTTTAGGAGAACAGTAAGCGTTAAACAAAACAGTCAAACATCACGAAAAATTTTGAAACCAGTGCAGCAATTTTTTCATAATTAATTTAGAATTATTCTGTATTTTTGTAAGCAATTGCGGTGTTGTTGCGCGTGTAACCGAGTCAGTGGAGCGGATTAAATCGGGGTTAACTGATTAGCGTCGTTGCGCAGTCGAGAGCGGCAGGCTTGCACGGGATTTGCGACGCAGTTTGGTTTGCTTATCGTTTACGTTGTGTCGTTAATATGATTGCTCGTGCGGCTAATGCGTCGGGAATAATTAATCTGGCTATCAGGTAACCGCTGCGGACTGCGCGGCAGTCAACATGCTCCCTTTTGTGAAAAACAAGCAGCGGTGAATTATTGAATGCTGAGTGCGGCAAAGGTCGAGCAGTACGTGCTGTATCATTCAAGACCTTTTTCTGGCTGACGGGAATGACGCGGCTTTCGTCGAGCTGAGTGCCATTAACTGATTGCCGATTTCTGTGTAGAACAGGGTTCGGCTTTCCTTCAATGTCACCTTTACTTTTCTTTTATATACGAGACATGATTTTTCAGCGAGAGTGTCTAAATCTTTTGAAATTGTCACGTACTTGGTTAGAATTTTCTCATGCTTTTGACGACGGTCAACACTTGTTAAATAATAAGTAGAATTTAAAATAGATTGAAAAGCGCCGTTCCCAGCAATTAAAAATTAATTGGCGTCGCTGGTGACCTTTAGCATATGCATATGGTGAAATGATCAGTCAGTGAGACAATACAGATAAAAGAAACATAAAGCAATAAACTTTGGAATTTGGAATGGTAAATGAAACAGTAATAAATAAGTAACAAAAAAAACATGTACTTGGGCATGTATAACCTAAGAAACTTGGAATTTCATTTGGAATCGTAAGAAAAATAGTGTTAAAAAGTAATATTGCGGGAAATCGTCAACGTCTCGCGTTGCAGGAGCTGAACACGCAGTTTGTGGAGCACATTGTCTTCGTGATCCGCAACATTCTGTGCAACAAGACGGAGAAGCCGGCGGAGGATGTGGGCGCCTGCACCAGCATCGAGAACATGATCCTGGGCATCGTGCGCTACTGCCGCCACCTGGACAGCAGCCAGCACGCCCTGCACATCAAGCAGAAATTCTGCCAGCTGGTGGAGACGCTCATGCACCGCCGCGACGATCTGGCCTTCCGCCAGGAGATGAAGTTCCGCAACAAACTGGTCGAGTACTTATCCGACTGGGTCCTCGGCAATTCCCACCAGATTACGGCCGCCGCGGCGGCGGCTACCGCGGCCGCCAACGTCACCTCCACGGCAGTGGTGACCAATGAAAACCGCGTAAGAATTCCGATGATATTTTGTTAATTTCAGTTATTGTTAATTTTATATAAATTTAACAGTATATTCAGGCTATTTAACAGAATATTCAGTATGTTAAATTAAATAAGTACTACATTTATAGAAGCACCACATTTAGAAAAAATGCAGTTAATGTTATGATCAGTGAATTGAATTTTTATTCGACACCAGTCAGCTTACAGATCAGATGGGCTAGCACAGGTTTACACTACTTAAAATGATCAGAATTTAAACATTGAAAAAACATCAGTTAAATAGTTATTAAATTCAGATTAATTTTATTTGTAATTTTAAAATAAAAGTTAGGTAATATTGTAATAAAATAAATGTGTATTAAATGTGTTTGTGTAGGAAGCGGTGCGGGAATTGGACTGCGCGGCGGTGAAGGCCATCGCGGCGCTGCTGACGGAGCTGCCGTTGCAGCCGGAGGAGAACGACCGCGGCGACATCGTGGAGGCCAAGTCGCAGTTGTTCCTCAAGTACTTCACGCTCTTCATGAACCTGCTGAACGAGTGCGGCCACGCCGGCGACGAGAAGGGCAAGGACGACGAGGTGCAGACCATCGACGTGCTGCGCTCCGCCACCATCCAGGTACACGCTGCATTTGCTGTTTATAATTACCTAAATTATTGACTTTATTTTGAAAAATAATTGTTTATGTTTCGAATTGTGTTCTCATTTTCAATTATAGTTGTATTGCAGTTTTAGCCTCATTTATATTTGCTGATTTTTTTCTTTGATGCAAATTAAAATTGCTGTTTTTATTTTTATTTTAATTATTTGTTACCAACTCCTTCCTCATTGCATCGGCGATACAGATGTAGAATCGTAGAACAGCGGTGTTTAGGTTTAGGCACAGGTTTTGCGATCGCGACTTAACAAGTGTAATAACTGCCATGGGTTTTCCTATTCTTTTTTGCTTGTTTTTGGGGTGTTGAGTGTACGCTTGTCATGAAAGTAAAAAAAAAATAACAAATCATCAGGCAAATGGCAATTATTGCATTTTTTTTAATTAGGGCGCGAGCCCACAATGTTTAACAAAAGGCTGCTGGGTTTTCTGTTGTTGGCTAGTGCATGCCACTGTTCTACGATAGCATGTGATAGGGGACAAGAAATATGACGGAGTAATTCTACAAGGAAATCAAAGCCAGGAATTAGTGAAATTAAATAAATATACCTAGTATGATTCGACTGCAATTGATCCTACACTAGGGAAATCTGTTGCAGAAAGTTGATTGAATGTATTTATTCATTGGTAAAAAAACCGCCCGCAACGGTACAACTCCAACTAATGCATTATAGCAGTTTTTACAAAGTTTCGGTTTGTTGATCTTGACAAAAAGTTAATTTTGAGTTTGAGGGATAATGTTATATCAAATGAAATTGCTGTTTAATTAATGTGTTATTTATTTACGGTTTATTAACTTCGGTCTCCTGGTAAAGCGCAGAGCTGATAGCAGCTTTATCAGATGGAAGTTTATTTTGCAGTTTATAAACAATTTTGATTGCACTTTAAATTGCAGTTTTGCTTAGTTTTGTTACGACTTAGTTATGAATTATTTGCAATTTTATTGATGACTTTTTAATTTGTATTTGCAATTGAATGTGTGTAGGCCATGTCTAACTTGCTGAGCGCCAACGTGGAGAGCGGCCTGGTGCACTCGATCAGTCTGGGCTACCACAACGACCTGCAGACGCGCGTGGCCTTCCTGGAGGTGCTGACCAAGATCCTGCAGCAGGGCACCGAGTTCGACACGCTGGCCGAGAACATCGCCGCCGACCGCTTCGAGCGCCTGGTGGAACTGCTGACCATGATCGACGACAAGGGCGAACTGCCCATCGCCAACGCCCTCGCCAACGTCGTGCCCTCGGGACAGCTGGACGACGTCTCGCGCGTCTTCGTCGCCATCTTCGAGGCCAAACATCTGCTGTATGAACTGCTGTGGAACTTGTTCGTCAAGGAAGTCGAGCTGGCCGACTGCATGCAGGTTGTCCCGACGTATAAAATAAACCGTAAATAAATTGGCGTTAAAAAATTAGAGTAAAAATATCCAAATAAATTTAATACTAAAATGAATAAATCATCCTTGTGTGAATAAATCAGTAAATAAGGACAAAATTCGAAACAAAATATAACTCAACAAAGTACACTTTGGAAATTTGGAAACATAAATAAGGTGCAAATTAAATCTGAATAAATGAAATACCCAATCGAATCGTAAGAGAAGCAGTGTTAAATACTATGGAAAATTTAAAAAAAACCTGTATGAAATAAATTTAAAAAATAAATACAAATTGTAGACGATCTTCCGCGGCACGACGCTGGCCAGCAAAGTGATGGCCTGCTGCTTCCGCATCTTCGGCGCCAACTACATCACGGCCGTGGTGAAGCCGCACGTGGAGGCCATGATGAACCACGCCGAGCAGAGCTACGAGATCGACCCCAACCGGCTGGACGGCGACATCAACGCGCTGCTGGCCGCCCACAAACGCAACCTGGAGATCGTCACGCAGCGCATCTTCGACTCCATCACCTCCTCCATCGACAAATTCCCGCTGCAGGTTAGCATCCTGCCTTTGTCGCTGACACAGCCTATTATGGAATTCATTTGATTAATTTTCTTGTTATTAATTGGTTGCAGCTACGCTGTCTTTGCACCTGCCTGTACAATGTCATCGCGCAACGCTTCCCGCCGCCGGCCAGCATCAACGCCGTCGGGACAGTGATCTTCCTGCGCTTCATCAACCCGGTCATCGTGTACGTACTGCTTAAACAATCGGATGAATTATTAAAAAATATCGATAAAATAACCAAATAAAATTGAACGAAAACCACCTGAAAATCGTTATTCTTTAGTGTTAAATGTGGTGACCTTTAATAAGTATTACGGAACAAGTACAAACTTAGTATCGGAAAAGATTAGAAAACATTTATAACAGAAACACTGGAAATGGAAAGATAATTAATAAAAAGGGAAAGGAATGTTAGTGTTAAATGGAAAGATAATAAAATTTTGATATAATGTTATAATAAATTGTTATTATTGCCGGTTTATTTTCGAATACTTTAAAATCAGTTTAAAAATCAATCAGTAATTTTTGTAAATAATAAAAGCTTTTATTAAATAGTAAAAAATTCGTAGAGGATAAAATAAGTAATAAAAACGTTGGTGACAGGTCGCCGGTGGAGAACGGGATCCTGGAAACGCAGCCTCCACCGCACGTGAAGCGCGGCCTAATGTACGTGTCGAAGATCCTGCAGAACGTGGCCAGTCACGTGCTCTTCTCCAAGGAGCAGCACATGCGCCCGCTCAACGACTTCCTGCGCGCCAACTTCGAAGAGTGCCGGCGCTTCTTCACGCAGATCACCGCCGACGGACCGCCGCAGCCCGAGGCGCACGCCGCGCCGCTAGCCTCGTCGTATTTGAACGACGTCAACGTGCTGGCGCTGCACCGTCTGCTGTACTACAACCAGGAGAAGATCGGCGAGCACCTCGGCACCAATCGCGATCACAAGGCCGGACGACGGCCGTTCGATAAGCTGGCCACGCTGTTGGCGCATCTCGGCCCGCCCGAACACAAATCCATGGAATCACAGGTGAGTGAGGCTGAGAACTGGCAGAAAAATGGAAAAAATAGTTTCTCAAGAGAGCCACTTCTCTACACTTTTCTGTATAATATGTTAACGCTAATTCCTTGTCATACACTCAAAGCCACTTCTCTACACGTTCTGTACCCTATATATAAATAAACTTTTGAACAGTTATTATTATTTTTAAAAAATTGGATTTCTTTACTCTTTTCTTTGTAATTTTCTTGGCGGAAGTTGGTGTGATTTTTGTTTTATATATTTTTTCTTACAATCGGTGTGTGTTTGTAGTGGCCGGTGCAGTGTGAGTTTTTTCACGTAAAAAAAAGTTTTTTCAAGAAAGCCACTTCTTTACACTATTTTATAGAATATATTGGCACTGGGAGTTTTCCTCTGAAACGTTTCGTTATATACAAAAGCCACTTCTCTACACGTTCTACACAGACACACTGTATATAAAATAATATTATCATTTTTGAAAAAGCTCACATCTATCTTTCTTTACTCCCTTCTATCAATTTCCTTGGCGGCAGTTGATGTGAAGTTTTCTGCAAATTTTTCTCACAAGCGGTGTGTGATTGTAGTGGTCGGTGCACGGTGACCTTTCATACAACCGCTTCGAGGAGATCATGAGCAAGCAGCACATCCACGAGAAGGACGAATTCAAATCCCTGAAAGCCATGAACATCTTCTACCAGTCGGGCAAGTCCATCAACGGCAACCCGGTGTTCTACTACATCGCGCGCAAATACAAGATGAACGAGCACCACGCCGACATGCTCATCTACCACGTCCTGCTGACGCTGAAGCCCTTCCAGCACCAGCGCTTCGAGCTGGTCATCGACTTCACGCACACCTGCGCCGAGAACCGCTTCCGCACCGAAGTGCTGACCAAGTGGTCGGCCGTCCTCCCGCTGGAGGTCTACGAGAACATCAGCGCCATCTACATCTACAACTGCAGCACCTGGGTCAAGGAGTACTTCAAGTTCCACGAGTCCTTCCTCTCGGCGCTGAAGGGATCGCGCCGACTCTGCTTCGTCGAGTCCATCGGGCGACTGAACGAGCTCCTGGAGGGGGGCGCCAGGCTGCCGTCCACCACCACCGCCCTGGAGGAGGACTTGAAGGTCAGCTACGAGGAGGGTTAAAATTGGAACAGTTGTGCTTGATTTTTTAAATAAGATTAATTTGAAATTTATAAAATGCATTTTTCAGATTTATTTCCCAGGCACTTTTGCATTTATTACACTAAGAAGTGAAATGTAGTATTAATAGCTGTTGATTCAGATTCCAGATATATCCTTATGTTCAGTAATTATTCGATTCGATCGGCATTTTATTGTATCTCGAATTCTCCTCCTGATAACATTTAATTGATAATTTTAATACAGTTTAATTTCAAATTATGCCAGTAACTCGAAGTCCGCTTTTGGTTATAAAATGGTATAAATTAATAATTCTGCACACTAATCTTCCGAATTTTTGTATCGTTTTTAAATTGTTTTATCAATAGTCACATTGTTTATTGAATTTTCCGTTGAGATTTATTAAAAAAATTTTTTATCGAATTCTTTCAGAGTAAAGCAGATTCTGAAATTCGCTTATTGTTAGCTTTCGAATATATTTATATGGACTTTTCATCAAAGATTTGCCTGCTTAGCCATTCCTCTACAGTTAATCGCAATTTCTTGATATGAAATAGTACCAGAAACTGCATCTCGTCTCATTTTGGATGCTTTTAAAATTGTTATTTCAAGTTTTGAAAATAAAAGTTGAAGTTTTGAAATCGATTTTGTAGCGCTCTTCTAATTTAAACGCTGCGATTATACATTTATTCGGTGGTTTGTGACCTTAAAGAATTTGTGTAACAGGTTTTCCACGGCGCCCTGAAGCTGTCACACAAGGACACCAAGGTGTCCATCAAACTCGGCACCGGCGCGATTCAAATAACCTCCGCCGAGCGCACCAAGGTTCTCGGACATCCCGTCCTCCTCAACGACGTGTACTACGCCGGGGAGATCGAGGAGGTGATCCTGGTGGACGACAACCAGTTCACGCTGTCATTACACGAACAGGGCCCGCTCTCCTTCATCCACGACAACTGCGACGAGATCGTGCAGGCCATCATCCACATCCGCACGCGCTGGGAGCTCTCCCAGCCCGACAACGTCATCAACGTCCACTCCAAGATCCGCCCCAAGGCCGTGCCCGGCACGCTCCTCAACATCTCCCTGCTAAATCTGGGCTCGCCCGATCCCAGTCTGCGCTCGGCGGCGTATAATTTGCTGTGCGCGTTGACAGCGACGTTTAATCTGAAGATCGAGGGACAACTGCTGGAGACGGCGGGGCTGTGTATTCCGGCGAATAATACGATCTTCATCAAGAGCGTTAGTGAGAAGTTGGCGGTGCAGGAGCCGCATTTGACGCTGGAGTTCATGGAGGAGTGCATTCAGGTCGGTGACGATGTCTGTGAATTTTATGGATTTTTATCAGATGGTTTTTCTTTACGAAAAGCCAATTCTTCGCAGTTATTTATCCCGTTTTTCTATCCATTTTTTTATGGATTACTTCCAGCGAAATCGTTAATTCTCTACGGTTGTCTTCCGAATTTTTGTTTCGATTTTTTTTATTTTTTACAAATAGTCATAGAGTGAATTCGGTGTAGTTGTTTATCGAGTTTTTGGTTTCTGTTATTTAAAAAAAGTTCACCGAATTTTTTCATGGAAAGCGAGTTGCGAAATTCATTTAGCATGCGAATTTTTCTATGGATTTTATCTCTGTAGCGGCTTTTGTGGTTATTCTCTGAAAAGCCACTTCTCTACAATTACTCGCAAATTTTTGGTCGATTTTTAACAAATTGTTTATAAAAAAGCGGCTTTTCTAGCGTAACCCGTTTACTTACGTTTCCCTGCTTTAAGCGTTACGGTGCGTCGAATTGTATCGCAATTTTTATCGGATTTTTTTTAACGAAAAAGCTTGTTGTGCTCTGCAGTTATTTATCGAATTTTTCTAGCGATTTTCTTTTTTTAACTCTTAGCGAAAACGCTAATTTTGTACACTTGTCTTAGGAATTTTTGTATCGATTTTTAACCAATAGAGTAACTTTGGTGCAGTTGTCTATCGAGTTTTTGGTTTCGATTTTTAAAAAAAGTTTTATCGAATTCTTTCTGGGAAAGCAATTTCCGAAATTCACTTAGCATTCGAAGCTTTCTGTAGACTTGACATAAAGAAGATTTCCATATACTCGAGAGCCACTTCTCTACAATTAGTCGCAATTTCTTGGTCGATCACAAAGCGGCTTTTTTAGCGTAAACCGTTTACTTGCATTTTCCTGCTTTGAGCGTTATGTTACCACGACAATTGTGTAGGGTTTCAAAGCGTCGACCATCGAGATCAAACACCTGGTGCTGGAGTACGTGCCGCCCTGGCTGGGCAACCTCACCCGCTTCTGCAAGCACTCGGACGAGCAGAAACGCCAGAAAGTCTCCTTAATCCTGGACAAACTCATCACCCTGACCCTGCAGGAAGAGGAAATGTACCCCAGCATCATCGCCAAAGTCTGGGGGAATTTGGGGACTGTCTCCGACCTGCTGGACATGATCCTGGACAGTTTCATCAAGCGCAGCGTCACCGGCGGACTGGGCTCGACGGCGGCGGAGATCCTGGCCGATACGGCCGTGGCGCTGGCCTCCTCCAACGTGGACTTGGTGGCCAAGAAGATTATCCAGCGCCTGTTGAAGCTGATCGATAAGACGTGCGTGTCGCCCACCTGGACGCTGGAGCAGCATCTCATGTTCGAGGATATCGGGATTCTGACGCGGTATCTGTTGATGCTGTCGTTTAATAACCAGCTGGATGTGGTGAAGAATCTGCCGTATTTGCTGCATTTTGTGGCCATGCTGCTGTCCACCGGGCCCATTGCGCTGCGGGCCAGCATCCACGGATTAGTGGTCAGTATTGTTAATTTTATATAGTGTTTTTTATTTATAATTAATTTAATTATTACAAAATTTCGCCAAGCTGTTTAACAATTTTTTGGCTAATTTTTGAAATTGTTTTAATGGATTTTCTGGGTTCTGTGCTGCTTGGTCAGCGTTTTTTATACTTAATATTTAAATGCTGGTTTATTTAGTTCATCACGAGTTTAAATATTTTTTAATCTAACCAAGCTGTTGAAATATTTGTTGATTGATTTTGTGGTTTGTTGTGCAGATTAATATTATCCATTCGCTGCTGACGTGCAGTACACCGGTGTTCACGGAGCAGACGCAGAAGATTCTGCGGCTGGCGCTGACGGAGTTCTCTTTACCCAAGTTCTACTCCTTCTTCGGCATCACGGCGGTCAAGTCGGCGGCGGTGACGGCGTTCCGCTTCGCGCACCGCCCCGGGGAGCGGACGCTGGCGCCCTACGTGCACCTGCCGTCCGACCACTCGCGGTTGAGTCTGTCCTCCCTGGAGGCCATCACCGACGCCCTCCTGGAGATCACCGAGGCCTGCATGCAGGACATCCCCGCCTGCGACTGGCTCGAACGATGGACCGGTAATTTAGCCTTTTATATACCTTTTTTTATTTGCTGATTTGCTCACTTAAGTACAAATAATTTTGTTAAGTTGGAGTTGAGATTGAGTTTCGTCCAGTAACAACTAAACACAGGTGACCCGTCGAATGAATCGACTGAGACTGTAATTACAGTTACTGACTAACACAGATAATATTCCGCATGAAAGTAAAGAAAAAGAAAAATAGAATGAGGAAAATGGCAATTATTGCAATTAAATGATTTACGTCGCGCGCGCATAATATCATCGCCGAGGAAGATGACGAGTTCAGGCCACTGTTCTACGATTGCTTGCGATGAGAAAGAGAAACCAATTTGATTTAAAAGAAAGTTAGAGAAGCCAAGCATGAGTGAAATTAAAAACAATTTGACGGTTTATACCAAGTACGATTTCGACGTAAAGAAATTTGTTCTGAGCAGGTTTGGCGCGGAGTTTCGCCATCCGCTACAACCCGTCGCTGCAGCCGCGCGCGCTGGTGGTGTTCGGGTGCATCAGCAAGCAGGTGACGGATCAGGACGTGAAGCAGCTGCTGCGCATCCTCGTCAAGGCGCTGGAGTCCTTCTCCGACGTCATGCTCATCGACGCCCTCATCATGTGCTTGACACGCCTCGAGCCCATCCTGCGCGCCGAATCCCCCATCCACAAGGTGATCAATCGAATAATGATCACCACAGGATCATGTACTATTTAAGGAAACTATGCAGAACTAAAAAATACGACTGATAAAATAAAAGCTGATGAATAAGGTCACTGATTGTTTGTGTACAGGCGCTGTTCTGGATCGCCATCTGCATCCTGCAGCTGGACGAGGTGTCGCTGTACTCGTCGGGACTGGCGCTGCTGGAGCAGAACCTGCACACGCTGGACCACCAGGGCGTCTTCGAGTACCAGGGCATCGAGGAGGTGCTGATGAGTACGCGCGAACCGCTCGAGTGGCAGTACTTCAAACAGCTCGACCACGCTGTCGGTACGCCGGCAAATTCATTCATTTTTATCATTAGTAACGGTCGTATTAGTAACGTATTTGGCTTAAGTTTTGTATTAATTAGTCAAGTTAAACCGTTAATTTTCTGCGTTAGTAATGGTCACTAAAGGAATTTGTTTAATTCTTGATTAATTAGTCCAGTTAATCATTTAATTTTCTATAATTAGTAAAGGTCACTAAAGGTATTCTGTTTAATTTGTGTATTTATTAGTCAAGTGAATCAGTTAATTTTCTATATTAGTAAAGGTCTTAAAGGTATTCTGTTTAATTTTTGAATTAATTAGTCCAGCTAATCGGTTAATTCTCTATATTAGTAAAGGTCACTAAACGTATTCCGTTTAATTTTTGTATTAATTAGTCAAGTTAATCAGTTTGTTATTTTCTTTCTAATGCGCTGTGGTGTAATAGCTCTATTATTTCTGTTAATGGAATATGAGACTATTTTATACATAGTTTTCTGAAATATCTTAGGCATGTCGTTCAAGAACGCCTTCCATTTCGCGCTGGTGGGCCACCTGGTGAAGGGCTTCCGCCACCCGGAGCCGGAGTCGATCAACCGCACGGTGCGCATCCTGTCGATGCTGCTGACCATCGTCAGCAAGCCGCAGAAGCGCGACCGCTTCGAAGTGACCTGCGAGAGCGTCCCCTACCTGGCGGCGCTGCTGCCGGTGTCGGAGGAGGTGCGCAGTCGCTGCCGGCTGAAGCACATGGTGCTCGCCAACAGCAGCATCATGATGTCCGAGTCCGTCGACAGCATCGACAACGACGGCGGTGCGTTTTACGATGACAAGGACAGTGCGCTCACCTCCACCGTCACGCGCCGCCAAAAGAGCTGCGAGGTGCTCAGCGCGGGACGGCTGAATATCGGCGCTGACGGGCAAGGCCAGCAGGTAAAACTACTCTGCAAAAGAAATATGAAAATCTGTCAGAAATTGGAAAAATCTAGACAACCTAGGAGAGAACGTCTACGAAAAACTTAGAAGAAAACGTGATTTCTAAATTTAAACCAAATCTAAAAATAGCCTAAGCAGAATTATAAGTAAAATCCACGTGAAGCTGAAGAACCTAAAAATGGTGGAAAAAAAATTTAAGAAAAAAATGTAAAAAATTTAAGACAGATTTTAGTAAAAAATTAAGATTAATGCACGGAAACTCTGAGGAGAATTTATACCACAAACCTAAGAAAAATGTAAGAAATTTTAAAACAATTTCAAGACGACTTGTGAATAGATCTAAAAATTTAAAATTAATTAAGAAAAAAGAATGAGAAAGAAATATAAAAAAATACAGAATGTAGGAAACGACCTTTTGCGGTGTTTAGGGTCTGTACCCGCTGAGTCCTTCCGGAGAACGCAGCATGTCGCTCCTGGCCAGTCCCACCGCCTCCCTGGGCCTCCCGCTGCACGCCACCAACTCGGGCGGGTCCGGCGGCGGCGCGGAGACCCCGAAGTCGTGGAAGAGTCTGGATCTGGAGCAGATGGAGTCGGTGTCGGGCTCGGGCAACCCGGCCACCTCGCCCTCCATCCCCACGACGCCCTCCACCGTCTCCGTACCGCCCCCGCCCCCCGCCAGCACCCTCCTCCTGTCCCCCTCCAACCCCGCCCACCGGCCCATCTTTCTGCGCTCGCAGCGCAGCAGCAGCATGCCGGCGCAGAACAACGCGGCCGGCGCGCTGAAGAGCGTCAGCGCCCACATCGTGGCGGCCGCCGCCGAGGAGCGGGAGCGCGCCCGCGCCGTCCGCGGCTCGGTGTCGGGCGACAGCAGTGTGCTGTTGGACGCGGAGTTGCTGACGGACTACCCGACGCAGGCGTTGACGCTGAGTATCTTGGCGACGATCGTCCGGCACACGACGGATGAGAACGAGGCGCGGATCCTGTATCAGTACCTGGCCGAGGCGTCCGTTGTCTTCCCCAAGGTCTTTCCGGTCATGTGAGTGCTGTTGTGTTTTATCTGTGATTTTTGGTGATTTTTTGGCAATTTTTTGGCGATTTTTGTTTTTTTGGGTGGTTTTTTGGGGATTTTTTTATCGTTTTTTGGTGATTTTTTGGTAATTTTTTGGACGATTTTTGTTTTTTGGGTGGTTTTTTGGGGATTTTTTTTATCGTTTTTTGGTGATTTTTTGGGTGATTTTTTGTGAATTTGTTGAGAATTTGTTGAGACGAGTGTGCCGGTGTGTTTGCAGTCATTCGCTGCTGGACGCCAAGATCAACTCGGTGCTGCAGTTGTGCCACGATCAGGCCATCCTGGAGGCGGTGCAGAGCATCATCCACAACATGATCACGTGCGAGGAGGCGCTGTCGCTGCAGCAACCGCCGCCGCAGTCGCTGCAGAGTCTCGGCTTCGGTGGACTCTGGCGCTTCGCCGGCCCCTTCAACCGGGTACGCGCAATTGATTATTATTGATATTAATTTATTTGTTTATTCTTTTCAGTAACTTTTATATATGATAATTGATAATGTTGTATTTTATCTTTATTAACCTGAAATTTATCCTTAATATTTCGCTGCTTTTCTGATTTGTTGCCATTTGATTTTTTATATTTTTTGCTTGTTCTTTTTTCTCTGTTTACTGTCGTGTCTAATATTTTTTATATTTTCTGAAATAAATAACATTTACAAAATGACAAAAAATTGTATTTCTTAATCAAAATTTATCTGTTAAACAAAATAGCCAAAATCAGTAGCATTATTATTTCCGAAAAAATAATTACTATTGATTTAGCAATATTTTGTTATTTGTGTTTAATGTGTTCTTGTAGGCGTCGGCGAGTGCGGACAGCGCGGAGCTGTTCGTCAACTGCTTGGAGGCGATGGTGGAGACGTGCCTACCCGGGGACGACGGCGACGAGCTGGACGTGGACGAGTACACGGGCACGGGCAGCCTGAGCTCCTCGGTGGCCATCAACCTCTCCAACTCCCTGTCCAGCCTCTCCGTCGGCTCCCCCACCGACAAGGAGTCCCACAACGACTTCGACCTGGCGCGCCGCTACCCGCACATGCTGCAGCAGGGCCACGCCCACAACATGAACAGTCTCAACGCCCACGGGGGGCAGCCGCACAAGCGCAGCTCCAGCTTCAAGCGCAAGAGCAAATCCGCCGTCTCCGGCAAACTCCACGAACTGTAGACGGTGTAGCTGTACAGATTGATTTGATCTCGCCGAGTTAATTATACAAAATGATTATTCGCTATTTTTATGCTGCTTTTATTCAGATTTCTATCGATCCGGGATTTTAGCATTTTATCCGTTGATTTATGCGTAATTTCACGATGGAGATTTTATTGTAAAATGTGTGTAGTTATTTTTATATACAGATACGTGCTTCGTTTTAATGGATGGCACACGAATTCTGTCTGCAGCATGCGCCAACATCATCCAGATAATTAGGCTATTTTGTTAGATATTAATATATACGGGTGTTAATAAATTAAATAATAAATATCAATAAATTTGGTTATTTTATTAAACCAATAAATACGTCATTAATCCAGCAGGCTGCAGTTCTGTAGTCGTATAATTGTCGCGCTGGGAAATGACGGTGTCTGGTCAAATTAATTTTTATTAAGATCCCCAAGAAAAGCTACCCAGTAAAATCGGAGAAAAATTAAATTAAAACAGAATGCATAAAACAAAGAGGCCGTATGGAGGTGCAGTCGCGTGAGCGCGGAATTAACGGATAAAAACCGACTGCCTGGTCAGCGTGGCTCAGTAGAAGATGATCCAGAGGATGAGCATGACGGCCAGCCACAAAAAGATCTGACTGACCAGTCCGTTCTGCGCCGGCGCGTTCACTGCGGACAGAAAGACAAGAACATTCATTAAGTGGACAGGAAATAATGTTGCGTCACGGCACTGACCGTTGGGTCCGGCGGCGTTGAAGGCGGCGCTGAGGAAGCTGAAGGGAAAGAGGCCCAGGCCCACCGACACGTGGAAGCCGCCGTTGCCGGCGCCGCCGCCCATCCCGCCGAAGGGGAATTGCTGCGCCAAACACACCCAGCATGCACGTTGCCCGTTTCATACACGCTAACTATCCGTTTATTATTACATACACAAAATTTATTCCCATTTTATAACGTTAATGTTTATTATTACATTTCATTGATTTGAATTCACAGTATTTTCGGTTAACTGGATCAAATGTAGTTATATGGATTTACCTTGAACGATACAATTCGTATATACGAGTGACACAGAGAAGAATAATAACAACAGAAGAGAGCACCAGCTCGCAGCTTACAAAAAAGTCGTTGCCACCGCCACCGGGCGGCGCTTCCGTCCGTTGCGCGCGGGGCCGCGGCGGGACGGCCTTCTTTCTACAAAGACCGCACACATTGAAACTACTTATCATTAGTAAAATATTGATAAGCACAATCATTAATTAATAATATTAATGTTTATTAATTTTAATTTATTAATATTACAACTGCTGTTATTAAAAATAATAATAATAATACAAGGAATGATCATTGTTACTAACCGGGGATCCTCCTGCTTGCTGTTGCGGCCGTACAACGGCACCACCTTATCGCGGTCCACCGCCGCCTTGCACACCGGACAGGTCTGCTGCTGGCCCGGCGGCCGCATCTCCAGCCACCCGTGCAGACACGCCCAACTGCCACAACACTACAATTACTCCCAAACTACTGCATCATTTTGTGATGTCGTGCTTTACCAGAACAAGTGTCCGCAGAGACTGACGACGGGATCGGTGGGGCTGTCGAAGCAAATGTTGCACTCGAACATGTTCTCCTTCTCCGGTGCGGCACTGCCGCTGCCGCTCGCCTGCGGCCGGCTGGAGGACTGGGACGAGGATGAGGCGGGGGAAGGGGCGGCCTCGGTGTCGCGTACGTCCGTAGCGCCGTCTGTCGTACCTGTCGGCCCCCCTTCGCTGGCAGGCGCCTGCATATCCGCCGTCACGTCATTTTCCCGGGCCGCTGCGGCCCCCAGGCGGTAGCCCTTCCCCGCCGCCTTGAAGGCCCCCGTCTCCGCCGTGGAGCCCCCCGCGGCCCCTTCGTCACCCCGCGCTCGTGACCAATCCATCGTCTGCTTCTCTAATCACCAGATAAACAGGCTTATTTCAATCTGCATAGCGACGAATCCGCACCGTCAATGTGATTTGCTCAGGGGCATTTCCTTTACTACTGTAACTCCACTCACATAATTATCAGTCCTGATCTGGAAACGAGGGATGATGGATCAACGTAAATCAAATTCCAATCCTCTCTCCCGACGAAAAACTCTCTCCCTCCACGGGATGGGATGAGATTGCCAGCGAAAACAGGTGACAAAAACAACCAGCACAGACCACGTTCGAATTCACTGCTCCTTCATTACAAATCCTTCGAAGGAGCCAGCAAATCTCCGCTTTTCTTCTACTTCACTCAGGATTTCCGTAAAAATAACGAATTACGCAACATCCACACCAGCAGCGTAAGATCACAAGCAGTCGAAGCGAAGCGTTGCCAGATTTCTGGAAAATTCTGCGTCCTTACAAGAAAACAGCTGATGCAACGATTTCGTTGAGTCGCCATCAAAACAACCGTAAGTAATACAGGTTGCGTATGAGGAAAATAATTTTACACACGTATCGCTGTCTGTATGGTTGTAAATTGCCATTGCCAGCCACCCAGCGCCGGCGGTGTGCGATGCACTTGCGAGCAGGCCCGAACGACATGCCACGGAATGGGCAGTCAAACAGGCCAACACAGAGAAGACCGTTTTCGTGTCTAGTCGCATCAGTCTGGCCTAAAAAAATAAACGTTCCGAGTTTTCCGTTTTGAATTTCAAGTCTTCCATTAATTTTTGGAACTGATTGCTGTTCCACTTGATGGTGAATCTGTTAAATGATGGCAGATGATAATTAGCTTGTGGAAGTGTATGCAGAATGTAGGGAAGCAGTTGTCATGGATTGATTGAGCGTTCCGTGTTGGAGTGCATATTTTGATTTGACTTTATTGCATGTTGAACGGTGCATCCCGGAATCAGGTCGGTAGGTGTCAATTGTCATCACAATGGCTGACACACTTCTGCTTGTCAGGTTCTAAATTTAGTTTGTAACAGTTAACTGGTGTATTCCACACGTGTTTTACGCGTATTTATCGTGCCTGGTAATGCGTTCAGTGGGAGAAGGAGAACTGAAGAAAATCTATAATAAATTATTATGATCGGATATACAAGTTTGGACTGCATGCAGTAAGTCGGTGGGCTCACGTTTCTCCCTTAGATTCTCGGGATTTGATAAAGAACCTGTGTATCTTTGTATTATGGGTTTCTTATGGCAGTTAAAATCGTTTTGAGTAATATTTCATTGAGCAGAGATGGCTGGTTTCTTCGCAGTGCGCGTTTTCTTAAGCATGTTTAAACATGCAGTTTCTGATGTAATAAAAATTGCTGCTCGCGTATTGTAGCGTCGATGGCACACATTGGAGCATGTCCTCTGCTGATTCGCTGACATTGGGAATAATCTTCCATTTTTTATTTTCCTTGATAGAATTTGAGGAGCAGGATTGCTGGTGATTTTTTGGTGGAATTCGGATTGATCTGGCCCGAGTGCAGCCTGAAGTGGAAATCTGTGCGTCGTCCGCCCGCGGCCGGTGGTTTGTCGGGGATTATTATTTATACGTTTTGCGGCGTGAAGAAGCTGCATCGTTTTGCTGGCATCCCGTCGGGCCTTGACTGACTGGATTGCTGTCGGTGTCTGGCACGTGAGGCACAGTTTGCCTTGTTGAAGGACCCTTGCCTTCCCTGGCCATGCCCGCCGACTGGGGAGCCGATCTCTGGGTGAGTCAGTCAGTTCAAATCCTTTACGACTGATGAATCAGTAAGTCTACCTTGTTCTTCATTTACCCTAGAATCTATCCGTCTCGGCCATGTTTCTGCTCTTTATATTTTTCTAATTTCGATTCCCGATTTTTTCGTAATTAGTTATTTTTCTGAGAAATTCAGCGCGCTTAAATTACGCTTGACACTGAAAAAATTCGGCTGAATTTTAAGTAATAAGCGTAGTGAGTTTTGAATTTTTATAATATGTTGGGTGGTAGTTGACTTATTGGTTGGCTGATAAATGTTGTTTATTACGAGTGTTCCGGTTGCGGTGGGAAGGGAGGCATCCGGCCGATGCGATCATCGTGTAGCGATTAGCTGTGGAATGGTGTACGCGTATTGCTCTACGCTGGCGTATTGGTCTGCGAAGCCGCGGCACCTCATTTCCGCCTTGTCAGTCAGTCAGTGCAGCGTTCATTGAGCATCGCTGTGTAGATAGTGTAGCGGCAGCTGTGCGTGGGTATTACGCTGGCCAGCGGCGCTTCATTACACTAGCGAGAGAATAGAGCTGCGCATGAATCAGCTTCCTCCTGCCGCAGCTTGTCGACACATTTGTGCCTGCTGACCGAACACAACGTAACTAAATAAGCGCGCCGCAGTTGAGTTAGCGAACTGGGTCACCGCTATAATTACCGTCTGCTTAATGTCTGCGCAAGACACTCACCGCTCCATTACCACCATCATCCTTTTTATCATCTGCTCGGCTTCGTTTCATTCCCGCTGGCAGTGTGTTTTTTCCGCCCCCACCCTGCACAGATTTTTGCGAGCGGTTGAAGATCGAAAAGTGCCCTAAATTCCGCGCGACCAGGTGATGGAATTCTGCAGCTGGTGTGCAGTGCAACGAAGCACTGATAAGCGTTTTTATTACGACCGATGAATATTGCTTCTTCTGATGGGCTGCATTTAATAACCCATCGATCTGGTCACATGCGCTCGTAAATTGTATCGTTTTTGGGTAATGCTAGTGAGGATCGAATCGGTCGTTGTGCTCTGTTTACTGGCTGGGTTACAATTATCGGGGCTGCAGTTTTGCTGGCTTTTGAGGGTACAGTTGTGATTGTTTTTAAGGATTAATGAGAAAAAAAGGAAGTGACGATATATTTATTGATTAGTGAATCAAACTGGAGCCGATGTCCGGCAGAATGCTGCGTTGCTGTCGGCGATTCAGTCTAGCACCGGAAGCGGAGTTTAAATCAAACATTCGATTATTCTGATCAATTCATTCCAGAATCAAACGGCGCTTTGTATGTTTATCGCCGTTTGAAAATAACGTTTACATACGATAAATTGCCAAGAAAATCGAGAAAATTACTGAGTTAACCGAGGATGCATAAATCTGAACAAAATTTGATTTATTTGTAGAACTTGTGTATCTGTACAAGGCAGGTTTTCAGAGAAAAATCTGGGAGACAGTTTGTTTTCCAGATTTGATATTTCATTATTTTCAGATCAAAGAAAATTGTTTCAAATCAAATTTTGTATGAAACCCTTGCAAAATTTGAAGAAAACTGTATGAATTTTTGTTTGAATTGCAAGCCCAACCGGAAGTGCTTCGGGCTGAGGAAGCAGCTGCTGTGTGCCTGCTGGCTGATGCGGACCGGCACTCGAACTGAAAGTAGCTTGAAAATATTTGCGGTTAATTGTACTCGGTCCCATTGAGGACAACGAGTGCAACATAACGGTTTTACGAGATAGATCCGAGAGACTCTCAATTATTACCGTCACGCCACTTGCTACAGTGCATTTAGCAGTAGGTGCACTTTGTCGCGAACACATTACGCGACGTCCTACAGATTTGCCTGCCTAGCGGAGCGCAATATGTATGCTAGGTGATATTGTTGTATGAAGAGAGAGCTGTGTTTTTTTGCATTTTAATACGGTGTTATATTTTGGTGGGTGTTTCGAGTGTCGAGCGTTTGTTCGTGCTTGATCAGCCAACACTATCAAAACATGTGGATGGCGCTGCATCCATCGCGCTGTTAACGCTGCTGCGGCTGATGATCCGCTGCGATTATGGCCGGATTATGACAAACAGCAGCAGGCAACAGCAGTAGTTGAATGGCCCGTCATCATCGCGTTGTTTTCCACGCGTCCTTATTGAAATTAATGGCTCTTGGCACCTTTCACCCCGAATCATGTAGAGGCATCCGTTTGAACGCTAAATAGACGCGCTGTTTATGGCATTAACGGTTATGGAGCGATACTGGGCGTTTGTGCCGTATAGGGTGTGTCTGTCGCTGTTAATTAATTTGACGGGGAAATTGGCTTAAAATAACATGCTGTTGGTGTGCAGGATCAGTACGATGCCGTGGCGGCGCACACGTCCAAGGGGATCGACTTCCTGGACCGGTTTGCGCAGTTCTACAAGGAGCGCTGCCAGGCCGAGGTCAAGTACGCCCGGGATCTGAAGTGGGTGTGGCTGGCTCTGTTCCCCGTGACCGGTGGTTGAGCGGGTGGTTTGTCATTGGTTTGCAGGAATATTGTGAAGAATTTCCAGCCGAAAAAGAAGGAGGACGAGGACGCGCAGTACAGCTACTACCGCGGCTTCGGCAAGATGGCCGCCGAGGTGCACGATCTGGCGGCGCAGCACGAACGCTTAGCGGAGGACCTGCAGACCAGCGTGGCTATCCGCGTGCAGGCGCAGGCCAAGGAGCTCCGTGACGAGCGCAAAAAGGTAGTCAGTTTCAACTTTAAACAGCAGTGTGCCGGTTTTTTTGCACTTGCATTCCATGCTAACTGTTTCGCCTTTTTTAATGAATTTTCCAACGTTGGTTGTTGTGTGGATTTCTTGATTTTGTAATGGTTTCTTTTTTGTTTTGATCGTTTCGTGAATTCGTTCAATTTTATGAAGAATTTTAACACTGAATTCTTTGTATTTTTTACGTTAATCAGTTTGACTTTTTTGTGAATTTTTGAAGTTTGTTTTTAATGGATTCTTCACGCTGACTTTTTCTTGAATTCTTTCGCATTTTGTGAAGAACTGTAGATAGACACTGAATTTCTTGTGAATATTAGCATCTGGAAGACGCCATTCGCAATCAGAAGCACTTGGATCTGCATCTCCAGTCACTGGATAAAGCCAAGAAAACGTATGAAAAAGCCTTCAAGGAGGCGCAGCGGGCGCACGAATCGTACATTCGCGCCGATGAGAACCAGGAGCTGTCGCGCAAAGCCGTCGAAGAGGTGTGTCCCGTGGGCGTTAATTTATTTTTCAATAGTTTCTTCGATTTATGCTTCAAACGTCTTTTATTAAGGTTGTTTTTCAATTATTTGCGTAAGTAAGAGCAACGTGGGCTTGTTTAAGGCGCGCATGGCGGCGACGCGGAAGCAGCAGGAGTTCGAGACGGCCAAGCAGGAGTACGCGGCGCGGCTGCAGGACACCAACCAGTACCAGCGCAACTTCTACCAGACGCTGATGCCCGGCGTCTTCCAGCGGCTGCAGGAGCTGGACCAGAAGAAGACCGGCCAGATCCGCGACAGCATCAAGCTGGCCGTCGAGGTGGAGCGCCGCATCCAGCCCATCATCGACAAGTGCCTGCTGGGCATGATCCAGGCCGCCGAGGAGATCGTCCCCGATCTGGTCAGTCGCCGGATTAGTTTTTTTAATAATTCTGTAACGAATTAGAGGAGAAAAATAAGACAACAGATACATCAGTTATAGATTCAACTCATTCAAGGGTACAAACGTCTGTGGCTTACAGGACAGTCAGACGGTGGTGGACCGGTACAAGTCGGGCTTCGAGCACCCGCTGGACATCCCCTTCTGGAATCTGGAGGACGCCAAGTCCGTCGACACCGGCACCATCAACAACCACTACCCGCCCATCCGCTCGGGCAGCTTGCGGACCGGCACGACGTCCGCCTCGGAGAAGAAGCAGCGCAAGACCATCATCAACATCTTCCCTTCCGCCAAGGTAAAAAAGCAATCGCCTTATTTTTGTACACTGAATAAACTGGATGTGCAACGGTTTGCTGATTTGTTTTGTAAGTAGTTGTTGCCTAATTCCTTCTGATTGTTGTGTGTAGGCGAAAGACGTGGCCAAGGACGACTTCGTGGATCTGCCGCCGCAGCAGCGCAAGCGCAAGATCCAGCAGCGCATCGACAGCGTCAACCAGCAGATGCACCAGGAGACGTTGACGCGTGATGCGTTGATGAAGATGAAGGGCGTGTACGAGTCCAACCCCAGCATGGGCGACCCCAACAGCGTCAACGGCCAGCTGGCCGAGAACGCCGACAAGATGAACGTCCTGCGCCAGGAACTCCACCGACTACAGGTACAAATGCCTTCGAAAAAAAACAGAAAATACAATCGAGAAAATTTCTTAGCAATTGATAGTGAATTTTTACAGAATTAACGATGATTCTTGAGACTTTTGCTGATGAAATGAAAGAAGAACTAATTACTAAGAAAAAGAACAAAATTGAGGAAAAATGCAGCTGCTAATTAATTACTTCAAAAAGATTGTTCAATTAAAAACGTATTCCAAAATAAAAAGATTATGTTGAAACAAATATAATTTAGGGTTTGTACGACGAAGTGGACAACCCGAGCGCCGCCAACGGGAACGGGAACGGACCACCCGCTCCGGCGCCGACGCCCAGCCAGCCGTTGAGCAAGGGGAGCAGCAGCGTGGTGGCGGTGAACGGGCGGGACAGCCGCGACAAGAGCCTGTCGGTCAGCAGTCTGCCCGGCAACCAGGCGGGGAGCGCCGACTCCCTGGTTGTCTCCACTCTGCCCACTCTCAACAGCACCACCGCCACCTCCAGCCGCAGCCCCTCCGAGTCCAGCATCCCCGCCTTCCACCAGCCCCCTCAGATGCACCACCACCGCCACTCCCTCTCCGACAGGGACACCGACCAGCAGGATCTCTACGAACCGGCGCCCGGCGAGAGCGACGAGGTCATGGGTTCCTGTCTGGCGCTGTACGATTTCGACGGTACGTAACACGTTACGATTGTTATTATTTTATAAATAATTCAAGCAAAATATGGATAAATTGAAATGCGAAAGTGAGGCGCAAAATAGACCACTAAACCCGTCAAAATGCATTAAAATTTAAATTACTGTATAAGCAGGCAAATTAAGCTGGAAAAAACCGAAAAAGATAAAGAAAACATAATGAAAACTATTATTGTTATTATTGTTCAACCGGTTATAATTTGAAATAAATTGCAAATATTGAAAAATCGACTTTTTCAGTTAATAAAAAGAATCCATAAAAAATCGGCAGAAGGTTCGCGAAAAACAAAACTAATGATGTATAAATGAAAAATAAATCTTAGAAAGAAAATAAACAAATAATATAAACAAAAATAAGTTAAAGCGCGGAAAAATAGTATAAAAAATGCACAGAAATGGCTAAAATGATGGTTAATGCACGGCGTGTCGATAGGCCTTAGCGAGGGCTCGCTGGCGATGGCGGAAGGGGAGGAGCTGGAGATCCTGGAGACGGATCAGGGCGACGGATGGACGCACGTGCGCCGGATGGCGGGGAATCAAAAAGGCCCGCAGCTGACGGAGGAGGGCTTCGTGCCCACCAGCTACATCAAGTGCACGCTCTTCCCCGGCACGGGCCACGCCCACACCCAACACCGCCACCCGCACCCCGGCTGAAGTAGCGACACAGCCGATCAACGCCTAATTTTCTCTAGTTCCACAGTGTTTTTTTAACGGACGGTTTTTGTAGCTATTTGTGCCGTTGTCTGCAGATATATCTTGCTGTTAGAGAATTAATTCAAACGCTGCTACGCTCGTGGTTTGTGTTTTCTACTGGGGTGGCACGCTTCTCCGCTGTGTGTGTATAAAATGGGTAATTTTTTTGATTTTGCACGTTTGTCTCGTCGACTCAGCATCAGCAGCACGCAGGTGGTTTGTTTATAATGCTGTTTCTTTTTGTTTATTACGTGTGAATTTACAGTTCTCGCAGATGTTTTGTCGGGTTCGTAAACCGTTGGCAAAGGCTCTATTGCGCATCTTTCAATAAAATTCTTGCGGCTTGTGACGCTGAAAATACCGTTGGAAAACCGTACAAAATAAGTTTGTCTACGGTTATCATTTTTTTGCTACCACGGTTATTTTCTTCGCTGCGGTTATTTTTAGGGTTTAAATATTTACCTTTTATTTTTCACTTTTTTTATATATATATACCGTGTATTATTTTTTGTTATATTTTTCTACGGTAAAATGGGACAGTTAAATTGTCTCTTGCGTAATTAATTCCAGAAGCAGCTAATTAATTAAGTACAGAAGCGCAAAATGCGACCAGGTCAGAGTTCGAGATACAAAAATTTAATAATAATGACGCCGCTGTCCGCCCTGCCCGCGTCAGTCACACAGCACAGTGCCACATTAATAACATTATCAAAGGTCACTTGCTAATTGCACGGCCAGGCACCAACGGCAACAACACAATTAATTCGCACGACGTGCAAAAAAAACAAAACACCCATTTCTCTGTCACTCTCCCATTCACATTGTGCTTATTCACAGTGGAGACCTCCCGAGGAAATCGAAACGTGAGAAAGCGCCCACCAAGACACCCAAAAGAATTACGCAATAAAACAGGAAAAAACCCCGCGGACCAGTTTGGCCGCGGGAAAATTGAGAAAAACAACGTAGGGGCGGTTCAGTAGACGCCCTTGATGTCCTTGCGCACCAGCGCCAGCTCGGCGGCGCCCCCGCGGTACTCGGCGGGCGCCGGGAGGCGCACGGGGTCCGCCGAGGTCTTGCGGGCCGCCGCGATGGCCTCGGGCGCGAAGGGCGACGTGTAGCTGCGCTGGCGCGGCTCCGTCGCCACGGCCACCGCCTGCGGGACCGGCGGCAGGTCGCGCGAGATCATGAGGGTCAGGGTGGCGTCCGAGCAGTGGCCCGTCTCCGAGGGGATGGGGTTGGCGCGGTAGAACATCACCATCTCCGCCAGCGACTCGAACCACGCCGACTGCACGCGGCAACGCCCGTCGTCCTGGATGCAGAAGCGCAAATGCTGCAAATCAACACCATTATTACGCTCTATTCTTCCTCTTTTTCCACTTATTTATTCACCATTATTTTTATGCATAATTTTTTAACTAAATTTATTTATAATTTCACAACCTAGATGGGTGATAATTTTATTAACTATTTTTTGTTCATTTTATTTGATGATATTCACTTATTCATACGAATTCTATATCACTGTATTTATTTTCATTTTTTCTCATATTATCTTCAGTATTTTGTCTGTTTTATTCACGGAAAAGGTCAAATGAATCCAAATTCGAAATCAATGGAAGCCGATAAAATATAAATAACAGGTAATATGCATTTCCGGCACGCGGGCCTTTTACGGCTAGCACGTGCACCGCCAACGCAGCGCTGATCACACGCAGCCTTTGCTCTGCGCCAACGGTAAACATTCCAACGGAGGTCAACAGCAACTACACTACTTCGACTGATTCGCAACAAGGTTGCACCGTCACTTTACCTGCTTATCGCAACCTCAACCAGGTAAGTACGCTAATTGTTGCAAACTTGCAAGCGCGATAACAAAATTACGGTACTATGGACGATGATATTCACGATACAAATAATGAAAATAACACATCCACTTCAGCGTACAAACATTAAACGGAGCAGAGACTGTACTTGTCCGAATATCAACAAAGGTAACAGCGATAAGTACTGCGTAGTTATCTTCCTTCACAACGCTTTCTTATCAGAATTAAACACAAAAATCGCCTGACTATTGATACGAGCTTATTTCCCTAACACTGCCACGTGCCTACCGCGTAAATCCGCACATCCCACGGGGAATAACTCAATCAACATAATTTACAAAACAATAATAAAATAAAATTGAGAAAACTGAAAAAAAATCAAAAAAACAGCGTTCTTCCATTTTGCACGCGTACCTTTGGTCTTCCCTGGCCGTTGAAGGTCAGAACAAACTTGCCGGGATCCGTCTCACTGGCGCGCACCAAGAACGCCCCGTGCCCGCCCTGCTGCACCAGCCCGGCCGCCTGCGCGCGACTAATATCGGCGTGATAGCCCAGCAGCGACGCCAGATCTTCGTCGCGCTTCTTCAGCGTATCTAACGACCATTTCAACGATCAACGTCATAATCACCGTCCGAACGAGACACCACCACCTACCGTGCTCCGGGATGGGCGCCGGCGGCACCGCGCCGACACTGACGGGGCTCTGGCGCCCGGAACTCAACGACGACCCCGTCAGGCTGCCTTTGCGTTGATTGGACCGCGTCGGCGCCAGATTGTACAGGGATGAGGCGCTGGATAAGGCTTCCGCCGGCTCGGCGCTGCTGATGGGCCCCGTGGCCGCGCCGCTGTACTTGACCGGCCGGATGCGGGCCAGTTCCGCCGCGGGGGCGCTGGCCAGACGCGGCCGGATCCCGGTGCTGCCGCCCCAGGCGGCGGCGTCTTGTGCCACGTCTTTGCGGCCAACACCATCGCCGATTCTACAACAAACATCCTATTATGCCGGAAATTCGCAATCACACGCGAATAATTATAAATCTCCATTTAGCAATAAACACGCGCATTATGACGTGGTGTGCGTGACGGATCAATACATGCGTTACACGTGTTTAACGGATTATAATAACGACGGCGCACGTGACTGCCTGGTGAGAAATCCTTCCGGCCACACTGACACTCAGCCCATGTTTTTGTTGTTCAGCCGGATTTTCTTGGCAAAAACACTTTTCTCACCGCACACCGCCACCTCGCCCACCAACTGACGAAATATACACGGAATATACCCACAAGCGAATCTATGACTAATCAGCGTATTTTAAAGCGAGCTGCAGCGTGTACAATTCGGGGAATGCTGGGTCAACCTTCAGTCTACACGTGCGCAGGGTTAAGTGCATTTCACTCACCGTCCAACAGGCCCGTTCTCGCTGATGGGCAGCGATCCCGAGGTGGGCACCCGCGTCAGCGTCGGCTTGCGCTCCTGCGAGTGGCGCTTGCCGAAGGGATTGAAGGACTGCGTCAGCGTCTTGAAGGACATGCGCCGCAGGAAGGAGCTCTTCTGGCCCGGCGAGCAGTCGTTGCTCTTGCTGCGCACCTGCACCGGCGCCTCTAATACATCCCCGTCCACCGTGTCAATTTCTACAGCGACACACGCACAACGTCAAAAAATAATTACAAAAAAACCAGGAAAAATTAACCAATAACTGCTAATAAATAATAAACAATTAAAGAAAAATAAATAACTTAAAAAATAAATAGTAAGAAAATAATATATAATAATATAAAATTAATAGCAAAAGTAGATGTAATGAGTGAAGTAATAATAAACAGATACGCACCTTGAAAATTATCGGCGTGGAGCGCGGAGAGCGGGCGGGGCGCGCTGGCACTGCTCATATCGGAGGCGTTGGACTGGCTGTCCTCCAATCCGAAGCGGTGCGGACTCTGCGTGGTGTGCGGGGTCGGGCTGCGCTGCTGCTCCATCCCGCAGTCCCATCCAAGCGCCTCCTCGGGACTGGGCAGCAGCAGCCGCTGCGGCGCCTCCTCCAACATCCCGCCGCGATCACTGCTGCTCCCGCTGCGCGTCCCCCCGGCCAGCTCCGTGAAGCGCCGCACGAAGGCCCGACAAAAGTGGCGCATCCCGTTCTCCAGGGTGTCGGCGTGCGGCTGCAGCAGCGCCTGCGCGGGAGATTCGTGGCTGGCCGTCTGCAGGCGCTGGAACACGTGCTCGGCGGCCACCACCGCCTCCAGCTCCACCAGCGTCTCCAGACTGACGCTGCCGTAGCTAGCCACCGGGCATTTGCACTCGGCGCCGTCCAGCAGGGAGTCGGCGGCGTCCTCGTCCATGTCCGGGCAGCAGGGCTCGGCGTCGGGGCTCTTGGTACCGCCCATCTCGGCTAACATCCGCGCATGCCCATCCGGCATGGACCACACCCTCTTCCACAACTGCTGCCAATTTAAAACCACCCTAAAAGCGAAATTATAACTAAATAATGAACTGTGAAGAAACAAACTGTGAATTAATTGTACGAGTATAGTAAAGAAAACCAAATTAGAAAAAATAAATCAAGACCGTTGAAATCAGTGTCGCAATAATAAGAAGCGTGGTGAATACGTAATAATAAATTCCGACGCAGTGCAATCAACAAAAGTGGCAAACATTCCACCGGTGTGACACCTGCGTCGCTGCGCGGCACAAGTACAACGGAACTATGCCATTGTGTGCAGCGGTCGAAACCGTTCGGAAATTCCCGGAGACTACTACTAACGAATACAGACACTGAAGGTGTTGCGCCAGTAGCCAGTGTATCGATCTCACTTATTGTCAGTCAGACTCACTTTCTCGTTGTTGAGCTTACGTCAACATCCGACCAGTCACCACTCTATCAGCGGCATCAAACAAACCAGCTATCTTCATGATGTCATTGCGTCACAACACTTTGCCGGAGCAATGCAACAGCAATGCAGCCAATGGCCTTCAACTCGCGCGCTGCCTGACTGGACGCGGGTGGAGCCCTTACACTACGCTATTCGCCTGTGAAATCAGCGGCGGGGCGATTCCCCAGGAAGAGGCGTTCGGCGCTGACAGGCTGCTTGGTAAATGCATCTAGCTGCCTCACATTCACAGCCAACTTTCTTGATAGGATTGTCTATTGCGTAACAAGGCAGACGCGGTTGAACGGTCTCGCTGCGCGCTAGTCGACGGCCAGGCGCAGGCTGTTCACCCAGTGTATGCGCTCAGACAGGGCAGCCACACGCCACACTCTGCCAGGACGCACAAGAATGAAGACACGCAAAATCAGCCAGGCCGTGTCACAAGACTGACAAGCCATGGCAATAATCATTACCATCACTGATAACGGCAATTAATCTGCCTATTTTAATTAATGATCCACTTTAAAATTCAATCCGCTCCCGTAATAATACACAAGCAATACTAGTACATATGCAGCAATGCCGCAAAACTATTCTTATAATTTTCAAATCACCATACGGGGCATATAAATCGTCAGAAAACAAAACGTCGTAATAAAACTAAAAAAAATAAGTCGATCAGCAGTTGGATACTTTTTGTACTTTGTACCATCGTCCTGTAAAAATTAAATCAACAACAAAATTCTGTTTTCATTCCACAAAATTCTATTTGATAATTCACTCGAATCAAATTAATTACAATAACCAATACATGAATACACCCGAATTTTTCCGAATTTTCAGAATGCAGATTTCCACAAATTTCACTCTCAAACCAGTCAAATGAAGGCACACGCTCACGCAGTTGTAATTTCATCAGCAATTTAATTATTAGGAGTTATGCTGTTTGCCGTCAAAAATAACGATATTAAATGCCAATTTTTTATTCAGGTAAGACCGTAAGAACACACAGACGGTAGAGTAAATGCAGGAAAATTAAAAATGTGATGATATTTAATTTGACGATCAATAATACTGTTAACACACAGCAGCTCGTCAAAGACTGCTGTCAGCTCTCATTAGAAAAGAAATGAGCAGTGAATGAGACTTACCAGGTAATAATAATCCCTAATTGGCGTCGGTGCACCCAGGAGACCGCGGGAAGAGCCGTCAATCAGCGGGAAATGAAATCACGACTGGCGGATTATTCCACTCACACTGGCCTTCCCCAGCCAACACGCTCAAACACGCTCACTGCACCTGCACTCTCACTAATTACGTCGCAACAGCCTCACACACTGGCATCACAGATCTGCTGAAAGATTTTTGCAGTAAAAAAATCAAAACCTGATATCTTATTGTTCGATTAATTATCTAAGGGAAAAACAGCCCGCAACGACCAACGTAAAACCCGTGTTGCAGCGTTTCCGACGGCGCGCATAACCAGTCTACCAGGAATTTTCCCGATCGGTACGAGCGATAAACTCTCTCTCTCTCTGACTCTGACTGCCTCCGAGTACGAGTGCACCCGTACGCGACGCCGCTGTCTGCACTCTGTCAACACAGCCGCGCTGACTCAGCGCCGCTCGGCGAATCGCGCTGCAGCACATCCGCCCCGCCGTTCTGCGAACATCAGCGCCGCTCGAAAATGCCAAAATGGCTTACGTAAGTCGGAGGCAATTTTCTGTTAAGCCCCGCCCCAATACACGTCGCTAGCGCTCTGACTGGTTTGGTTGTGACGCAGTTCGAGCGGGTAGTGCGAACAATTTAATTGCCTACTTCGTAGTTCGTACTGTTTTCAAAATTTTTAATTGTAATTGGGCTGTTTCATTTTAATAGGCACAGTGTAAATTACGTACAGTATTTCGCACCTTTGCTGTATGCCGTGCAATGTACAGACAGTACAATACAGTACGCATTTCCGGTTGAGCGGAGTTGCTAGCGGAAACGCGGGGGTCGATTCCCGGTCGTTGTTCTTTGTTCTGCGGCCAGCGCACCACGTGACGCACAATACTATAACGTGCGCCGTGCGGCCAACAAAAGGTAAAGTGGCGTAAACATGGCACATTTCCCAGCTCCCACCCACTTTTGAGACAGCATACCGCCGATAAATACGTACATGCAGTACAGATACAATAAGTAGTTAAATACCGAGTATTAAAAAAGGTTAGGCACCAACATCTACAGAGCGCTAAAACCAATTACTCGTAATTTAATTAGTCAGCAATCCGAAGTACAGACTTTAGTACAACAACAATTTATAATAATTTCCGTTTTTGGAGTTTATAAAAGTGGTAGGGTTTAAATCGTAAAATTAGTAATAAGTAATATGTTTTCGGAGTTTAACGTAATAAAATCGTTTTATTGCCCAAGAAGAAACAAATAAAAATATCAGCATAATACTTAATTTACTTGTACAGTAAACGTACACCAACCGAATGAACCGATACACAACGTTCATCAAAATGTAGAACGCTGCACAACGAAGTAATCTGGAAATATAACCTGATCAAGAGTTTTACAGTTCTCAAAGTCTTAAATTTTTAGTCTTCTTAGTTTAGTGCATAAATCGGCACGTGTACAGTAAAATGCGATTCCACCGAATTCCGGTCATTCGACAATCGACACCGTTCCAATTTTATAATAACAAAGTGACAAAACCCTTCAAATCCTGACACCATCGCTGAATAAAGATACAGTATACCCAATAAAAGATGAAATAAGGGGGGGGGGGGAAATATAAGAAAATACATCTTACAGTCGTGTTTATAACACGGAGCACTTTTCAGCGAAACTATCAAGGAGATGCGACGGAGAAAACAGATTATTTTTACATTTTACAGCCCGCCTGGGTATGGCCGGTAAGCAGTAATTTCCCCGTGAGCAGGCGTCGCCACGACGCCTAATTGCTGCTGGGCGACATACAGGCAACAGCGAGGAAGCATGTGATAATTACACAGCAGCCAACCCGTCAACATCCGCCGACTGCGCACCGGAAAAGGCCACCGGGCGGATTGGCCACGGGATCCGCCGGCAACAAACGATGCGCACCTGGATCACACTGGAAGAGACGCTAATCACCGGCAGCTGACTGGATTAAACACGCAGGACGCTTTGCAAACTAAGCGACGGTCGCCAACGAACAATCTTCTCGTTTCCACAACAGGAATGCCCGAGATTCCACAATCAGGTGTGGTGCTCTTTGTGCATATGTTCAGCGAATCTACAATGTGTAATGCACATTGCAAAGTGGGACAGTAAACAACGGACTGCTCTATTTCGCTTCTCTTATCAGTTTCTTGTTTACCACGCTCAGCAATCAGCATCACATGGCGCAGGTGTTTACGCGAATTTTGTTCGCTCACCTGGTGGCGCAGTCGTACGAGTAGTCCCGCAGATTGCTCTCGCTCAGCGCCAGTTTGTACAGGATGCCAAAGACCAGCAGGTGCAGGATCAGCGCGTAGATGAAGAAGCTCTTCCGGCCGCGGGAACTGCCCAGCACCATTTGACCCTACAAAAATCATTAAGAAAATCGACTTAGTTAAAATTAACTACAGTTTTTTAATTTATTAAAAATAATAATCCCTAACCAAATAAAGTTAAAAATTTAAACTAGTAAATTGATACAAAGTAGAATTTCTCCACATATTGTCACATAAAATACGCCAATACATAAAACAATATTTAATATTTATTAATCAATATTTATTTTTATTTATCAGTAGAAATTCTAGTTATGGTTTCAATGATTTAAAAGAATAATTTCAAAGTTATTTATTATGATTTTTTTGCATACACAGACGCACCATGGCCAGCGTAGCCTTATCCACCGGGTTCAGCAACTGGTACTTCCTTAACCGCTCCGTCCGGTGGAATTTAGAGAAGGGATCGAGGTTGTCCTCGTACACCACCGCGTACCGGCTCTCCACGTCCGTACTGTGACCCCGCCCCAGTGCCGCCGCCGTCTCCTTGTGCTTCCGTCCGTCGTAGCTCTGCAGGAAGCGGATGCGCTCGTACAGCCCCACGTTGTCGGCTTTGGCGGCCTCCAGTTGGCCCTTCAGCGCCATCAACTGGCTGTGCTGCTCGCTGCACACGCCCTCCAGCTCTTTGGTCTTGGCGTGGAAGCGCGCCAGCTGCCGCTCTAATATACCGCTGTAGACGGTCGAGTCGGGCTCGGGCGGGCCGCCGGTGGGGGACGCGGGAAGGGCGGAGGCCAAGTGGGCGTTCTTGCTGCGCAGGGCGTCGTTCACGAAGTCAGGCGAGCTGCCAACGAGATTCGACAGCGGATCCTGCAAATTCGATGGAAGTGAACCGAATTCAGGAACTTTTTGGCTGATAACTTTCTTTTTTCATGGATATTAAAATTCTATATTTACTATTTTTATTTAAACTTATTACAGTAAATTAGGAATTAAACGACCAACCGTTTATGCAACAATTTACAAAAAAGGCAAATAAAGCATTTTCAAATTAAAAGTAAAGGAAAACTGAAATCCTAAGGAAACGTACAGAAAGCGCAGGGTTCATCAGTTCTTTCAGCTGGTAAAGGTCATTCTCCAGCCGTTCCGTTAGACTCTTCTGCTCCTGCACAACGAGCGACTGCTGGCTGAAATCCCAGCGCAGCTTCTCCAGAGATTCTGCAACACAGTATCCTCTATCAACTCCAGCCAATACAACATTTAAATGTACGCGATGATACCGGATAAATCGGTTTCGCGGACCCGCAGCGCGGCATTCTCCGACTCCAACCGGCGATTGCGCGCCAACAGCACCGACTCCAGACTATCGGCGGGTCCGCACTCGGCGTCGTAGGCCGCTTTGAGCAGGGCCACCTGCTGTTTGATCTCCGCGTAATCCCGCTGCCCGTCCAGTTTGGCTTGTAACGTGGCGTTCTGGGAATTGGCTGCGGACAGTTGGTCTTCCAGCCGGTTGAACTGGGTCTGGTAGGATGTTTTCAAGCGGTCCAGTTCGTCTCGAAGACGCTGTACCGACTCCTGTTGGGTCTACATATTTCATTGAAAAGGTTATAGTCGGCTTGTTCGAGGCGTTAAGATAAAAACCGACCTGCTGTTCCCGGAAACTGGAGCGATTCGGCGATTGTGGGACGGAATTTTCGTTGGCCGATTGGTCGGCTTGACGCTGCAGCGCCGCCACTTGCTGCTGCAGATCCATCACTTTGTATTCGGCGGTCAGCGCTCTCTGAAAGTATGCAGGAATCAGCCCCCCGTAATTTTGTGCACGTTTCCGGTGGAATACTTATTATTCTTTATTTTAAATAAATGTGTTATTATTTAGTTTATGTTATACAAAGCAGTATTTATTTAAAATTGAATAAAACTAGAAGTGAATAAACAACACAGAGAAACGGTTTTGATGATTTCTGATTTTTTTATCAAATTTTCAAAAAAATTATTACGAAGTTGATTCGTTAAATTCGCGGTCACCTGGTTAGCTCGTTCCAGTTCCTCGGCCAACAAGGCCGTCTTGCCGCTGTCGGTGGAAACAGCCGCTCCCGTGGCGGTGCGGGCCTTCATGGACTTGTCCAGTTCGCGGCGCAGAATGCCCACCTGGCCCTCGGTGTCCAACAGGCGCCGCTCCAGAGCACTGCGCTCCTCCGCCCACTCCGCTTGTCGCTCGGTCAGCTCCACGGACAACTGCTCCTGCACGGAATGCCACATTTTCTCCTCCATTTCCGCTTCCGCGCGGCGAAGCCGCTCCTCATCTACCACCCAATTTCACTAACAGTACAACTGCCATACAAAACATTATACAACTTAAAGCAACCAAAACAGAATAACAAAGAACTGAATACTTTTATTAGCAAAAAATAAATTAAAAAAAACAATGTCCCTCCGGAAGGTTTTCGCACGTAGTACGTACCATGGGTTTTCGCCAGCGCCAGCTGTTTATTGACCTCCGCCATGCTGTCGCGTAATCTACTGTTCTCGCTGTCTTTTTCATCGAGGCGGTCGACGCAGCTGATCAGCGCCGCAGGATCTGTAGCACAGCGATACGTTAATGTAAACTACGTCAAATCTAATGACAGAAATAGTGGATTAACTGGATATTACGGAAACTGGCACCTCACATTATTGATGCCATTACTGGAAAAAATACTGGATATTATGGAAACTGCTGACCGAGAAAAATATCGCATTAAATATAAATGTCAGAATAAATAAGAAAGTAAATCAATTAATGATAAAAATATGAGGTTAATTAGGCTGACCTGGAAGCTCGCGGATGGTGCGGTAGATGGATAGGAAGGCGGACTCGGCGGCTTTGCTGCGCTTGAGCAGGCTGTCCACTTCCGTCTGGAAGCTCTTCAGCAGCGGCTGCACTTGCCGCCGCACATCCTAAACAACACCAGCAGAGTCAGAACACTGTTCCCGAACATCAGCGATACGGCAGATTATAAGCAAAAGCAATTATGCGCAACCGAGGAACTGATCGAAGAACAGATGTGCCACAACATTTGTACTGAAATAATAAATATTGTGCACTCAAATTTTTATTAAATCATTGTTTTATTTAAACTGATGATTATTTAAACAAATTTTCACGGTTTCTTTAACTGATAATAAAAATTACTTCTCGCAAAAGAAACCAGAGAAATTAAAGCAAAACGCGGGACGTACGTCAGGCGCGGTCTGGCGGAATTCCTTGCTGAACTCAATGAGGCGCGAGCGGGAGGATTCGCTGTCCTCCTGCCATTTGGCGATCTCCGCCGCCGAGTTATCCGCGCTGTCCTGCCCAGCCGAGAACCAAAATAAATTAACTGACGCCCGACGGGACTGGGCAAACTCAGACGCACAGCAGAAAGCAGCTGCTGTCGACGCTAACACACTGACCGAATGAAGTTCCTACCTGCAGTCCGACCAAATCAAAATGTCTCCACTTGTCAACGGCAGCTAGAGATGTCGTGCCGCCAACGGCGCCTGCGGGAGCGCCGGACGTAGCTACCCGCAGCTGGGACATGCTCGCAGTCTATCCCAGCAAAACAACAACAGTCAGTAATGAATATGATGAGGAGGATAGCAGAAAACTAAGAAAAGGCAGCGAACGACAACGAACCGTCTCGCACTTCTCTCCGCAAACAGCTCACTCTACCCCTTCCGAATCCAACTAGGCTCGCGCAATGCACGGTGTACAAACATCAATTTATCATTTATGATAATTCATCGAATAAAAAAACACAACTGAAATTGAGAATTCTGATAAGAAGAATCGCATTCATCAAGATGAAATTGGAAAAGCCAGCTAAATGAAAACACGCCACGACATGCTTGGATCGTGAGCCCAACGAAGTGTCGCCCGGAGGCGGTTAGCGTGAACACGTGCCCCGTGTCTGCGATTAGTCAGCGATATCCGCTGTAAATAGCTGCGGGCTGATGTCATCAGCGCGCTGACTAGCTTTTCGATTTGTATTTTTCCTACCACATTCCTTCCACAAACATTCCTTGGCTCTTGCCATTTTTGTTGCACGTGGTGTTTTCCTTTACAAAGCGTATTATTTTCATCATCACCAGCGCCTTTTATCTGCGGAGTATCGGGCGTGTGGGAGTAGTTGCGAGTGGCGAAGATGATGGACACGGAGCGGATCCGTGCGGAGTATCTGCGCAACGGTGTGGTGCTGCTGCGCGACTTCCTCTCCCCTGACTGGCTGGACAAAGTCACCACCGCCATCAACAAACTCCATCCAGAGGCCGATCCCGACCGGGATCAATCAACGACGGAGGGGGAGGAGGAGGGGGCGAAGGCCGATCGCAGTCTGAGTGGCAGTGCCAGCGGGAGGGACTTTGGCAACTGGCAGAGTATTCCCGAGATCAAGGAGCTCGTCAGCCAGTCGCCACTGCTGAAGGTGCTGGCCGACATCATGGCCAGCCACAGCCTGACCTTCTACTTCGACCAGGTCAGCGTGCGCCCCGCCCACGACCGGACGCTGACGCCGTTCCACGTGGAGATGAGCAACTATCCCTTCGTCGGCGACCAGGTGGGGCTGCCACTGCGACACTTGTTTAATATTACTTTTGCAGCATTATTTTAATGTTTGCTGGTGTACACGTTTTCCAGTTTATTTGGCAGTAACACATGACAATTAAGCCTATATTTTGATAGCTGTTGGCGTTTCTTGAAGGGTAGAAATTAAATTGTAAATAAGTAATAATATGGACATTTCAGACTGCGCTGGTAGACACGACTTCAAATGAAAGAAAATTTCGTCACTGACACACAGTCAAAACTTTTTACATAAAATGTTTGGCAGATTTTACGTTTTTGAAAATACTGATATGCTTGGGACGTGCAACTTCGTATACGATATGATCGCCGTGCTATACAGATCTTTGATCCTTTAATCGTTGGCGTCGCATGTTGATAACCATATATGACTCCTTAATGTTTCTAAAGGTCAGTTTGACTGTGTAGGGCTGCTCGGTGGTGATCCCGGTGGACAAGATCCCGCTGGAGACGTGCATCAAGTTCGTGCAGGGCTCGCATCTGTGGGGCAAGAACTACTATCCCAGCAGTGTGCGCCTGGCGGAGGACACGGAGGAGCTGCGCGCCCACTCCAAGGACTGCGAGCCGGTCCCGGACATCCGCTCCATGTTAGTGCGACATTCTCCACATGCTCAATGAACAGTCTAACCATGGGTGTTGTTGACAGTAAGACGGCGATGGTGCTGGAGTGGACCATGTCGCCCGGGGACGTGCTGGTGTACAACATGAAGACGCTGGTGGCCCTCAACGGCAACTGCACGCAGCACGTGCAGCGCTCCCTCATCACGCACTGGTTCGGGGATGACGTGCGCTTCAAGCAGCGCCACTGGCCCATCCATCCGCCCCTGACCGGGCGCTTGGCCGCCGACGAGCATCCCTCCGCCGACGGGGACACCTTCCCGCTGGTGTACGGACAGCTGCCGGCGCCGCGGCCCGCCAGCCAGGAATAATCCGCCGGTCACTGGGCACACGGTATTCCTGAGGTAGGCCAACGCGACTGTTATCTGGGGAACTGCTTCGCCAGCTAAAAAACTTGAGATTCCCGAATTTCTCCGTTAAAGTTATTTCTGAACCTGATTAATGTTCCACACGTTTCACATCGCCAGCTTCTAATCAGATTAATTTGAAAATTGGCTAGGAAAATTTAAAACTGTGAACGATTTGAAACTAAAAATTAATTTTAATTCAGTTTTCTCCGAAAAATTAATTTTCGAACGATTTTCATGTGAGAGATTGACCAGACCAGTGCCGAGCTCATAAGATAGAGTGGTAGCTATTTCTTGTAATGTCTTAGTTTATAACAAGAAAACTGTTCGGAAAGGAATTGTCAACATTCATTCGCTTAATTTTACATTGCATTCGGTGGAAAACACGACCCAAAAAAACTGTTTGAATGTTAATTTTCTAGCCTAGTTCGGCTAACTGGCGTCGGTTTGCTGGTTGATGGGTTGTTGGTTGGAGGTGTTACGGTGCGCAGGGATCTCGGTGGGTGCCGGTGCTGGCTGGACAGGATCTCCCTTGCCGCTGGTCTGAACGATGAATTTTGTATCGGCTTATTTGGTGGATATTGATATTTGCACATTCCCGACAGATGCCTCGGTTTCTCTCTGTCCTCTTTTATATTTCCACTGCTATGCACTATTGCGTTCCGTTTATACAGTACTTCTCCTTTTCTGGCAGCACATTTCTTTAGGCTTGTATTCTGTTCACATTTCTTAGGTTATGCTGATGTGATTCCTCTGTACTTGTTACGTCGCGCTGCGGTGTTTCTTCGCGGTAATTGTTCATTGTTGGATCATGGATGCGATAAAGTAAACGACAAAAATCTAATAACCCCTGACACTTGTTGACAGTACTCTGTAGTCGCGCAAATTCGTTGGATGTGCTGTGTTGTACGGAATTCAACGTTTTCCAGTGATACGGTGCAAAGCACTCGGTAGTCTAGCATATCTATATAGGCACCCATAGTATGTACATCAGTAATAACACTAAAGTATCGTGTGTTGTCGCGTGTTGTGCGAGTTAACTTAACCGCCTGGCAACCGGAGATTTACAAATGACAAAGGTCACCATAAGAAGACAAAATACTGTGTGTTCTTTTGCAAGTTAATTGTGGGAGATTTCAGTTTCAAGTGGATATCCAGACCTGCGAGTTCTTTGGTCAATCATATTTAGATTGAATACGCAGACGACTTGCGGTTCCTGGATCGATCGCCAATGCCGAGCCGGAGCGTGCATGTGTGCTTGGTGGCCGTGTGCGTCGTGGCGGTGATGCAGGGCAGCCGGGCCCAGTGGCAGTCCCCCTACGGCTACACCCAGCCGGACCCGTATTACCAGCCGGGCTTCGCGCGCCAGATGGCCCCGCACGCCGCCGCCGAGGACTACGCCCAAGGGGCGGGATACGGATATGGGCGGGGCCTGCCCGCGCCGGCCGAGCGCAGCAAACGCGGCTCCTACGCTTGGATCCCCGCTTTAAACCGGGGATGAAACGGGGATGATCCTGTTCCTCTTCAGGATTCTGGTTCGCGTATGACTGCTCGTATTAAGCTGGTCCAGATCTGTACAAGGTGCAGCGCTCCCTCATTACGCACTGGTTCGGGGACGACGTGCGCTTCAAGCAGCGCCACTGGCCCATCCACCCGCCATTGACCGGGCGGTTGGCCGCCGACGGGGACACCTTCCCGCTGGTCTATGGCCAACTATTATGGATTGTTACTTTCCGTTGGTATTGTTTTGTCCTTTTTCTGGTAGCACCTTTATTTCAGCTTGCACAACACATTTGTACACATACTGGTAGACTAAGTACCACACAATTAAATATACATAGCTGCTTCTGCTTGTTGCAAGGCGTTGCGGTGTTTCTTCGCGGTAATTGCTTATTGTTGATGAAAATGAGAAAAAACGCGGCACACTACAAAGTGCTCGCACTGGTATCTTTGATGATGGACGTTTTATTAAAATCATTCCGAGAGCAGACACCGCACTGACGAGATTCCCACACAATTATGGGCACAGAAAAAGAGGATTTTGTACATTTTCCGGCTTATTGCCATTGCATTTTGCCGGTTTGTAGACTGAAAATTACGAATATTGTGTATGGTATGATGAAGTTAATCCAAGCTTTCTGTAAAGGATAACTGCGCGAAAAACAGGAACATGGAGTGTTGAGGAAGCATACAGCAGTGTCCCAGCATATAATGCAGTCAGCCACGAATTCCATGACGATTATGTAGAGAGAAAGGTCATGAACGGCCTGCTCAAGCTGCAGGAGCGGCTGCCGGAAGTGCACGTCGTGCACACAAAAACGACACAATCGTGACCACGTACGCAGCCATCTACGACCGTAACGACACTATGATTAATCAAACCTTTCCGTTCTACATAACACATAATAATATTAAGCAATCCCTCACCATGGTCAGTTTTGTATAGGGATGTGCGCAGTATGTATGCATGAGTACAGATGCTAATACGTACTGTACACAGCTAGATATACGCGATCGTTATAAGCGGTCAAAGACGGAAAGGTAAAATACAGTTTACAACGGTGTACCTGCAGCATTACAGCACGGTTTAAGACGAAAAATTTGGCGGCAGAGTAATATTTGCAGGTCAAAGTATAGGTTGCGCATAGCCAGCGAGTTTGACCGATGGTACGGGAGTCTCCATTATTACGTTCACTTCCGCTCGCTGCCGTTACCTGTCGACAGAAACGAATTAACGAATTCGCGCTACAGGATACAGAACCTCGATCTCTCGTTTAAATTCATTAACTGCTTGCACAGATATTATGAGTTTACTTAGAAGTACTTAGATATTATTAAGATGATTGTTATTACTATGTGGTAGCTATAGTCTTATAGATTTCACTGTATATCACATATCAGTATACGATATGCGCTACTTTATTAGGCAATAGCCATCCAATTAAAGTACATGGTGGACATTGCGTTTATTATATATTACCCTCCTATCGATTATTTTACGTACCAGTCGATTTTATAACGATTCGTTGCTTAAGGTCACCTACCTGTCCATTGCCGGGGCCTTCCTGGACAGAGTGCTCACCATTCTGACCCATTATGCAATACCAAGTTTTAACTGTTTCGAATCTCTAAACAAAATAACGAGCGAACGCATAAACACATCAGCATACTGTACGTTTTTCATGATCAGCGAATAAACTAAATCAACAAATCCTACTTTTTTTGCGGATACTGCATTTGTCGACCGTAGTTAAAATTATTTTTTATCGCCAGATAAACCGTTATTATATCGGACCATTCCTTATAACAGGATACCAATGCACGCTGCTTCAAAAAAAACCTCAATAACATGTAAGTTAGTAACTGTTAGTTTTTTCCTTTTTTTTACTGTTAGTCAGAGCGCCGTTAACTTATCACAGTAAGTACTGTGTACAGTAAAGTAAAGAGTACAATACAGTATCTGTGTACGTAATTACGCACCTGCTCCGCGCTCCACTCCGCTGCCAGCACAAGGGAAATAACGAGGCAGCCATGATAGAGCGGAAAGGCCAGTAAGCTGCTGATTGTGTCGCTGGTGAGGTAACTACCGAATTCCACCAGATGCGCCACGCCCTCCATAACCACAACGAAGAACGCCATGAACAGGGTCACAATCGGCCAGCCAATCAGCGTGTTGGTGCTGGCGAAGAGTGCGTCCATGGCGGCTTCCAGCGTCTCCAAGCGACGGGTCTGTTGCGGTGTGCGCCGCTGCTGGCTGGACATCCGCCGTCGCACATGCTGGTTGAAGGCGCTGGCCGTATGGCCGAATCCCAGCAGGAGGAGGGTCAGCGCGGAGTGGACCAGTTGCATGATCGATAGGCTGCTTAAGCTGATTGTCATGCGGATGGCCTGTGACAAAGAGACCAGGAAAGGCGACATTACGTAAAGTACACATATTGTACAGTACTTGCATATATAAATAGTGTATATATGGTGTATATATATATATATATATATATATATATATATATAAATAAAGTACCAAAAGTACCAGCAGTTTTAACGTGTTTGTTAAAACTAATATCCGGTTGCAACTCAGGGACATCTTCGTTAATTTGTAAAAAAATGGCTAAAATTGCAGTTTGTTGTAGTTACGCAATTTTTAATAAGCGATCGGATAAACAGTGGCTTCCGCCTGGCCCAACTAGACTTTTCACTGTGTAATATCATGATTAATAATTAATAACTTACGAAAATTTCGTTTTTTCCAAAATTTTACGGAAGCCATATTTTTTATATAAAATGAAAGTCTGATGATAAAATCTGAAAAATTTTGTTGTCTTCATTACGTTTCAATAAATTATTAGTGTTTTGGTTTCAGCATCTGAAATATACTTTTATGGCTGTATTAAAGGGTTTGCGAAAGCCAAGTCTTATCCACTGTTTATTGAAGTCAGGTATGGGTTTCATATTCACTTTGATCCGAATCTCGACGGCTCTCTCTCTAAACGCTGTGTCTCTCACGTTCTCATGCTGACTCGCTTCATCTTATACTTCTCTTTTAATTTCCCATCAAGCGCGTGCAGTCAGTTCAATTAGCCATCGCAACCCAGCCAAAACACCATGCCTACTGCCCTCCTTCAAGCGCGTGCATGAGTCTGTATGTTTACTGATTATGTTCAATTTTTTTATGCGGTTGGTGTGTGTTGCATTGTCGCGTGCCATACATCCCGCATAATTTGTATTGTGAGCGTCCTTTCCTTACTCATAACCACTATATATATATATATATATATATATATATATATATTAATAGTTTTTATATGGTGCATATATATAGTGCATATATGTATATATAAATAGTGTATATATACAGACGCGGCATTGGACCATCTTAAACGATGGAAATATGTACTTTTGATTTTCATCGTTTAAGATGGTCCAATGGCGCGTCTAGCAATTAGATGCTACCAATACGGTAGCGAATAGGCTATGGTACCGTTGGTACGTCACCTGTCGCTGCTGCGGCGTCACAGCGAAAAAAGCGTAATTCGTCGCGTTGGAATGGTTTGGGCTCGGCCGGAGCGCAGTCAGTGTCGACTGCAGAAAGGTCACCAGGGCGTACGTCAGAAATCCGATAACCAGCAGGTGCAGGCCAATCCAGCTGCGTCGCAGCTGTCGCTCGCACTGTTGACCTTTGTCCATGGCCGTTACGGCGCTCTTCAGGTCGCCGAGAGCGCGGACGAGGGGGCGGCAGTGGAGCGCCAGGGCTATTAAGCACAGCAGGGCAATGCTGGTGTAGAGCTGTGATTGGGCATTGATGAAGAAGCAGAGGAAACCGCTGCGGCAGGCGTAGACGTCCAGGCTGGCCGGCGGCTGCAGTCCATAGTCGCTCCACTCGATGACCACGGCTAACGCTTGCACGACAATCACCGCCATCCACAGAACACCCCGCAGGATGCGCTGGCGCGCCCGGTATTTTAATCGTAAACCGCTGGGCATCATCTTGGATTGCAAATCTAAAGAAGGTTAAACATTTAATAAAATATGCTCGTGTCTGACATACAGTATGTACTTTTACACTGTTCATACGCAGAAACTGCTGGTTGTTGGATGCTCAGAGTAGTTAACGACACCAGTGAAAGGTCACGACTCACCGATAAGAGAAGATGTCCTACAATTAATGGCGAACGACGACAGTTGGCCGGTGAATTGTGCAGTGTGTACTTTTATATAATATATAATCATTCTTATAATATTGCAGCAGGCACACAGTCACTGCGGCATGCACGTACTGGCGTAAGTACCGTACATAATAACGTACAAGTACCTTTTTATAGTACGTATCTGTGTACGTGCTAATTGCTGATAAATTCCCCACCGATGCCAACAGCCGGTCTGGATCTGTGTCTCTTATGTTAGTGCATCCTTGTGACTTACATAACCAGAATACCTTTATCGTTGTACTTCCTCCTGCAAGCAATGTGAGCCGGAAATCCCGATTGGGTCGGCGTAGTGGCGCGGCAGACATCCCGTAAATGCGTTCACCTTCCATGACCGAACCCTAAATGCTTAGCGTCATGGTTGATGTAGAATAGCAAGTAGGAGACACGATATTCACGGAATAAGTTAAAGTAACCAATTGGTTATCGTCAGACTAACGTCCAGTACTACGGTAGGCATAAAATACTAACATCAATACTGCTATAAATAAAATAAGATAATAATTATAATAATAATATAGACTATTATATAGTTAATAAATACTGTTCTGTGCTCGAAAGCGATTGTACCGATTATCGACAGAAGTATTCGATATAGCTTTATCAAGTACTTACTACCCGTAATACGAGTACCCGCCTACTTTATGCTTTCTTGGTTTCTACAGCAAAATGATGCCATATCGTGCGATGTGCATGAAGGGTTTTCCATGTACAGTACGAGTACGAATAATCTACTTGTACACTCCTGTAGATGCTAATAAATTTTCTCCTGAAAAGGTTCTTGTTCTTACCTTTCCTAGTTTCTAGCTTATCTTTTCTAGTTATTGTTAATTATTGAAACTGCATCTCTGAAAAGGCTCGGTTATGTACCCGTATTTTATGAAATATCAATAAGTAATTAGCTACAATCCGTAGTAACTGGTAAACTGCAACAGCACTTGTGCTACAATTAGTACAATACTAACGAGAATTACTAATACATGTACAGCAGCACGTTGCCGCTACCGTACTGCACATAGCACATACTCAAATATCCATTTATAAACTGTATTTATATATATTATATATACAATATATATACATTTATATTTACATATATATTATATATATATATATTATATATATTACCTTGGAAGCTTAATAAAATGTGGAAATTTTTCGTGGATTCTAATTCTTCTGATATTTTTAGTGTTCGATCGGTTGGTGCGTTTAAACATGCGTTGTGCAGTGTAAATTTTGTTTAAGCGTGCTGGGAATTTTCTCTATGCAGTTCCTGTTTGGCCAGGTTTAAAATCCCATGCTAGTATGTCATCCTAGCCGGAAATGGGCTACCTGCTCCACGAAGAAATAATAATAATAATAATAATAATATGCTTACAGTATTTGTAAATATATATTAATGGCCCACTCGGTCCTTATAAAAAAGCGGTCCACTCAGTTCTTCAAGCAGAGAACTAGTATTGTTTTAATGCGAGGCATTGCTGCATGTGTACAGGAAACGTATTCTGTATTGGTAAGAGGTTGGACGAAGTGTATTACCTACTTATAAGCTTATGTGATTTACCGCGTGATTTTCTGTTTTACCAATGTATTTGTAAAGAACCAAATAAAATACGTACTACTTACAGTATCTATTTTTATAAGTAATACAGAATGTACAGTACAAGATATTGTATCGTTTGTACTATAAGTTACAATTTTGCAGTAGGATTAAACTGTAAATTTTAAAAGCATTCTTTAAAGGCGAAGTAATCAGTGCATTACATGCGTTTAAATGTGCTGTATATAGAATATATAAACTTGTGCAGTCTCCTTGGATTTCAAGATCCATACTTCGTAAAGGTCAACAGTCAACACCTTCAACTTTCAAGTGTGTACTTGTGGTGATAATACTGTACTTACTGTACTAGCATCGATCGTCTTTATTGATAGCTACAGCGTGCAGTGGCTCATAACAGTTGAGCGTGGACATTATAAACGCGTTCACACTGCTGTACTTAATTATCGCATCAAATGAGGTTGGATAAGCAAAAGCTGGATCGATTGTTGGAGCACTCATACGTTTGCTCATACGCCCATCCCATCCCGTGCCATCCCGGCCCGGGCCCCTATCCGCGCGGTGCACCTGGAATGTTCAAATAGAAGGAGCCGCGTTTGTTGCGCTCGGCCATCCTGTAAGCAGCATCCGGCACGGGCATGCCCCGCCCATATCCGTATCCGGCGTCCTCGGCGGCGGCTGGCTGGGCCATCTGGCGCGCGAAGCCCGGCTGGTACTGATACGGATCCGGCTGGAAATTGTAGTTATACTGCCATGACTGGGCCAGGCTGCCGTCAATTACACTGACCGCCACGGCCAGCACGCATACCAACAGATAGGCGCTCGGCATTCTCGCCGATTTCTCGGTTAGTTCAACAAATTTATCGTCCGGCTGCCTTGCCTGGCAAGTAAATAATTTACGGTAAATTGTAATTATACAATGAACCGTTAAAAGGCCACTGGGTAGCCGATTTATAATAAAAACTGATGCTCCACAGAAGGATCTGCAACTAAATCGTACTTAATTACTTTTTAATATTGTGGGTTTCAACCATTTCCGGTTGCTAGGGTAGGGTGCCTGCCAACCGCTGCAGTAAACAATAAACAGTAGCAGACAAAAAGACAAAAAGTACTTAGCAAACAAACAAGTCTTACACATAAGTACTTCTGAAGTAAGTACTTTTCACGTATTACTTACTTAAGTACTTATGAAAGTATTTTTATTATACAGTACATAATAATTTTAGTACATAATTTTAGTAATTTTTTATGTACAGTATCAAGTTAGGCGCAGTACAGTACAAGTACTTCCTTTATTTGCTAATAATTTTATAATTATTATTACTTGTGTACTTGTGCCGCATGTACAAATTAGAAATTACATTACTTAGATACAGCACGAGTAGGTACGACTATTGTGATTTCTGTTTTCAAGCCAACATTTTTATACAATAATAACAAATCAGAATACTGCCAACAATATGAAGCAGGACAACAGAATTCATAAGTAACGAAGATTATGGAGAATGTTGTGAAAGAGTGCGCTGTAGCGCAGTACCACAGAGCGGCTGCCACGTCGCACCACAGTCAGATTAAATTAAGAGGCTATCATTCATAAGGAATAGTGACAAGTAGCCGGCGGGCGGCAGTCTGCTGCGGTACACTCAAGCACAGGTCAATGCGCCGCCGCCGCAGCGCCGGGAAGGTCAGCCACGTGGCCCAGCCGTATTCCGAAGGGAGCCGGCTTCCTCTGTGTAGACAACTGTTATGGCATCGGTGTGGCTGCTTTGGTTAGGGATTGAAAGGAATCGACACGTGTCATTTCTGCAGGAATCCGCGTCGTCGCTCAGGCGGCATGAACCTGCGCGAAACAACGGGTTTATTAATAATATGGCCAACCGCCCTCGTTCAGCGACTATTAAATGGAACGAGCAGCGGGTTTGTCTGTTGTATGCTCCACCGCCCGCGGTGGGCGCCTAGCGCCTAACGCACCTTGACATCGCTTGCTGTCGAAGTCGGTCCGTCCGCAGACGATGGGGTCGTGTTGCTGCTGGGCGGGCTGGTGGGGAAGGTTGGTCTGCCATCATTATTATTGATCACGTTATTGTTAGCCACATCGACATTATCGTCGTTGTTAGGGGGGCGTGGCTGTGGGGGCGCACCTGATTGCGGGAACTGCGGCTGCATCGGCGACGGCGGCTGCGGCGGGCCCGAGTTACCTGTGAAACCCAGCAGATTAACGTGGCTGCAGCCGGTTAACGGTACACCGCCGCTGTGGCGCGGGCGACTTACGGAAGTCAAAGTTCATTGGCGATTGGCCCATTCCACCCATTCCGCCCATTCCGCCCATTCCACCCATTCCACCCATGCCGCCCATTCCCATGTTGCCCATACCGCCCATACCGCCCATCATATCGCCGCCCATTCCGCCGAAAGAGGGGAATCCGCCGCCCATTCCTCCCATCCCGCCCATTCCACCCATGCCGCCCATGCCCGGCATGCCTCCGCTTCCGCCGCCGAATCCGGCGTCCCTCTGCGGGGCTCCGCCGAAGCTGGGCATCATCTGGCTGCCTCCGCCCATCATGTTCGGACTAGGGTTGGCTGGTTGGTTGGGATTGCTGACTGCTCCATAGTTTTGACCTTTAAGCAACGACAGCCGCTTGTATATTGTAATTATCCCTCATGAACGATAATTTCCCAGTAAGCGCAAGTCATAAGCTCGCGTTGATTTCTATCAATGTATCGGCGAGAGTCCCCTACCTATGATGCCGTTACCGTAAGGTCCGTAGCCGACGGCGCCGTTGCCGTATCCGCCGTAGGGCGCGGCCTGTGGTCCGCTGAAGCTAGGGAGGTTGTTTAATCCCTGCGGACTGGAGAAGACCTGCGACTGCAGACCGCCCTGACCGGCCATCGGGTTCTGGTTGCCGCTTGCCCCAAAGGGACTGTTGGCGCCGAAACCGCTGCCGCCGGGTCCAAAGACGCCCTGGGCCAGGGGACTGTTGAAGCCGCCCATGCCGGCGCTGATGCTGGACATGGGGCCGGACGAGCCGAACGGACTGTTGGCGCCGCCCATGGCCGCGAAGGGCGAATTGGCGCCGAACGGGGAGTTGGCTCCAAAGGCGTCGTTACCGCCGGGAGGCGACGAGAGTTGTGCGCCGGGGTTCACCTGGTTAGGCGCTCCCGCCAGCTGTTGGCCCTGTTTCGCCAGTTGACCTTTGACGGCCGCTTTGGCGTCGGTGGGCGGGGAGTTGCCCTGGGCGGCGTTCATGAAGGCGGAGGGGTTCTTCCAGGGGTCGTTGAAGACGTCGCCCATGCCGCCGGCGCCGAAGGTGGTGAAGGCGTTGGCCTGGTCGCCGCCGCCGCCGGGGCCGCCCGGCATCTGCATCGGCTGGGGCATCTGCATGGCGCCGGGTGGAGCGCCACCTTGGAACCCTCCGCCGGGCGGCATCATCATGGGATTCATGTTGGAGCCCTGACCCATCATCTGCGGCGGCTGGCCGAACCCGCCGCCGCTCGGCATTCCCATTCCACCTCCCGGCATCCCACCGCCTGGCATCCCACCGCCCGGCATTCCGAAGCCGCCGAAGGGGTTCTGCTGTTGCGGCGGAGGCTGCTGGAAGTTATTAGGCGCACCGCGGCCGGGGCCGCCTTGGCGTTGCTGGTTGAGCGCCTGGCCGATGTTGTTGAAAGGCGTGGCACTGCCGGCGAAGCGGGGATTATTCCCGCTGTTCAGCGGGGCGATGGGCGCCGAGGGCGAATCGATTTTGCGGGAGGACAGGCCGGGGTTGGCGTTGGGGTAGGCGTTGTAGGGCTGGTCGTACAGGCTGGGATTGTAACCGGCGCCCGAAGCGGGCCCGTACGCCGGGAAGTTGGAGCGAGCCAGCGCTATGCTGGGCGACTGCTGCGGTTGGCTGTTATAGTAGGCGTTTGGGTTGGGCTGGTACTGGTTGGGGTTGCCTAACGACTGGTACTGCGGCTGTTGAGGCTGACCGGGTTGCGGGTACGGCTGGTACTGCCGGGACTGTGGTTGTGGCGGGCCATTGGCGGTCGGTTGGTTTTGTTGAGCAAATACTGCAGAGGAAATAAAAAGAAATCGTACATAATACAAATGTCATATAAAACATATAATTATATGCTCCGCATTATGTGGTATATACAGAGTACATATATGGTAATATATGCTACATGTTATATATCTATACTATATATGCCAATATATAGATATATATCTATATGCCATATATACCACACTATTTATGCCTTATATATGCCATACATATCCTCCATTTAAGGCACATATATGCCACGTGCGCCAACGTTTAACGGCAATTTAATTAAGCCACTGAAAAGGTCACTTACCGGAAGGAAGAAGGAAAACTAGGAATAGTCCGCTGCTGCGTTGTCGCATGGTGCAGCTGAAGGGGGAAACAATAAAAGGAAGTGGTCGAAGCGTGGATTATCGAACGTTACACTCAGAACGATCGAGCCAAAGAATATCCGGTGTTTCACAGCTGAAGCGCTGCTGAGAACGGTGTGCACACTTGTGCGACTAGGTCATTCCGGTGCACGGAATAACGAGACGCACGAGAAGATGTGCGATTGAGGGTAAACGGCGATACTGTATAGTGCCAATGAAAGAGGCTGCCGGTGAGAAAGTGGCTAGGATCCCATTGAATTTGAGAATAAATGTGTTAAGGAAAGAAAGAAAGAAAGTAAGAATGACTGCTTAGAGTTCACCTGGCCCGGAACTCGTTTCTTGGCCGGCTGTTATATACTAGTCAACGCCGGTCTATCGTGATCTGATGATTCTGATCATGAGTGCAGGTGCAGTGTACTTTGCGGATGCGACGCGGTGAATCTACGATGTGATGTTCTATAAAGCAGCGTTCTTTGGCTTTGACCTGCGAGAGTGTCTTCACACTGTATATGTACTGTTGATCATCAAAATGCCGTTTGGCCACTTTTCGCGGGCAGCTGCTCTCTTCCACGAAGCAGCCATAATTCTAATCTTGTCGTCATGTTAGCCGTTTCAAACTGGCTTAGTAAACGGTAGCCAGCACCTCGAATAATTATGATAACTGTACAATGACTAGCAGCATATGTGTAATAAAACTATACACATATATCCGGTGCGTTAGCCGATTTTTCTACTGTACTTGTAGATTAAGACTAGTAACGTTAAAGGAGATCGGTAAGAAGCTGTTTTTAAGGACGGGCGAGAGTCGCTGTACTTGTTTTTTGTTTCAACGTTTAAGTTTGGGGATTATGCGTGGTAATGCTATGAGTTTGTTGTGCACAGTCCCTTCCCATTTTAATTGGGACAAATTCTTCATTTGATCATATTTGTTGAGCGAAGCTCGCCTTGTACATATTGAGAAATAAAGTAGCAAATTATTAATTGTTGTTGATTACGGACTAATCATCTTGTTGTAGCTCCAACGTTGTGGCAACAGGTGCTGACTGCAGCCCGGATATTAATAAAATTTAAAAGGGTGTTTATTGCGCACTTAATCAGTTTTATACAGCAGTTAAATTATACGAGCAGTTAGCTACACGAGTGCTCGTACACTGGAATAAATATTCTGTTCAAGATCCCAGAACGAAGAAAACAAACACAGGTCAACGTCCGGTCTGAAAATTGACGTTAACTTGCTCCGCGTCACAGCCGGTGAGGCAAGGATGGGAAACGGGGAAGCCGCGGGAAGTGCAGAAAACTGTGCATGCGACAGGTCGATTGGTATCGCTAGCTGTACCGCCTAGGGCGCCAGTCAGCCAATGACACTTCAGTACCAACAAACAACATGTGCTGGTGCGCGTACGTCGTAAATATTTGTAAATATTTTGTTAAATTTAAATATTTGCAAATATTTTGTTTTGCGATCAGTTGCAATAGTTGCTCAGCGGCACAATACATATTCATTTTTTTTATTTTTCTCGCTCATCAGCAGGCCAGTTAACAAAGTACACATTCCAGTTAAACTACGTAACAACGCCAGAACAATAACCAAAAATAACGCAGCGATTATCCAAAATCTGCCGGTACATATGTATATATCAGAGTGCCGAATGTCAACGTATCACGAAAACAGGTAGATTCTTCTCGTATTTAACCGGTTAATTTAATTCACATTTTTTTCGCATCCAGAGAATTTTGTACAAAATAGTAGCAGCGATCGGCGAAAAATGAGAAATTATTTGCGCGTGCCGCCGGACGCCGCGGAATCGGTGGCGCCCTTGAGATAGTAGGTCTTCTCAGGGTGAAGGGTGTTCTTGCCGTATAGAAGGAAGTCCGTCGGCTGGGGAATTCCGTAGGGCGCTATATAAAAATAACAATATTAACTGCTTAATCAGTATAAATTAATATATGTCCAGCTCACCTAAGTCGTAGTTGTAGCCGAGGTAGTAGGGTCGGTAACCGTATCCGAAGCCGCCGTAAGCGCCTAAACATTTAACAACATGTCAGCGATACACGCGGCTGTACTGGCCCGCGGCGCTAACGGAAGCTATTGAACTGACACGGGTCAAACACGCCACGTACCGTACGGATAGGGCGCTCCACCGGACGGATACCCGAACCCGGTCCCACCGCCGATCCCGCCCAAGAACGGACTGTACCGGCTACTGCCCGTGCCGCCGGTATAACCTCCACCGCCGCCGTACCCGCCGCTTCCGACGTAGTTCGTCACGCCGCCCGAGTATCCCGCCGGTCCGGCCATCCCGCCCGCGTAGCCCGGCTGGCCCGAGGCACCGTAGGCGTCGCGTGCACTGGGCTGCTGCAGTGCCTGGGCACCGGCTTGTGCCGACAACTCCCGGCCTTGGATTTGGGGTTGCGGCGCCATCGCTGGGTTGCCCGGCATCGGGGCCGCGTCGAAGAAGGCGCGCTGCTGTGCTTCGCCGGGGTTTTCCTGATTATCTTGGGCTTGGTTGGGATCGGCGCTGGCCACGGCCGCTGCGGCGTTGGTATCGTCCGCCGGTTTCGGGGGCTCCGTGGCCGCCGGGGTCGTTTCGTCCGGCAATGCGATTTGCTATAATAATATAGGTCACTGTTTAAAATAGTGTCATAAAACATATATATATAGTGTCATAAAATAGTGTCATTAAAATAGTGTCATAATATAGTGTCATTAAAATAGTGTCATAAAACACGTATATATTTATTTATATTGACCTTTATCGGCATATATGCATATATAGACCGAACTACCTCTTGAATGCGGGATTGTTCCGGGAGCGGTTGCGGCTGCGACGCCGGGATGGCGTTCTGGTTGGGATTTGGATTGCCTTGACCGGAAACCGGGATGAACATGCCGTCACTGGCCGCGTTGGGATTGAACTGCGCTACCGACTTCGGCTGCATAAACTGTCCGCTGGCGGCGGGGTTGGGCTGTCCGCCGTCCGGCTGCCCGAAGCCGGCTTGCGGGAATTGCGGCTGGAACTGCGAAGGTTGTTGGAATTGCGGTGCTTGCTGGAACTGCAGCTGCTGTTGTTGCGGGTCGAACTGGGAGGGGGGCAGCGGTTGCTGGCCCTGCAGCGCCGGATCCAGCGGCGCCAGTTGGGAGGCATCGGCGCCCGTCTGCTGCGGGAACTGGCCGGGTACGCCGCCCTGAGTGAACTGGTCGAACTGGCCGGGATTGTTGGGCAGCGGCACCTGCTGGAAGATGTTGTTCTGGCCGCCGAACGACGGCACCTGCTGGCTGGTGAACTGGTCGGCGCCCGGGACGAAGTTGGAGCCACCGCCGAACTGCGGATTAGCGGTGTCGGCGCCGCCGAAGAAGTTGGGCGACTGCCCACCACCGCCGAATCCTCCCTGCGGCGGCATTCCAAACTGGTTGGGGTCCTGACCTTGACCACCGAACGCCCCTTGGCCGCCAAACCCTCCTTGGCCACCAAACTGGCCCCCGCCGGCGCCTCCGAAGGGGTTCATGGGGTCCAGCATCGGCATATCCTGACGACCGGCGATCCCGGGCGCTGGGTGGGCGGGAATGAACCCGCTAGCGTCAACGTTGTTGGAGGTCAGCGCGCTGGAGAAATCGGCTTGCTGTGGCGCCACAAACTGCCCGGATGGCGGTTGCTGCTGCGACAGGGCAGCGGCCGGGTTAACGAACCCATCGGCGTTGTTGCTGGGACCGCCGAAGACGGCCGGCGCGGTCTGCACCTGACCGGAAGTGTCCTTGGGAGCTTCGGCAGGTTTCGGACGCGCCGCAAAGGAGGGCGGTGCCACCTGGCGGATGAAGGGGATGTCGTTGTTGGCCGGGATGAAGCTGACGTCGCTCTTGCCTTCCGGCTGTGGTTTGGGGAGCGCCGGCGCGGCCTCTGTGGTCGTCGTCGTGGTAGTGGTGGCGGCGGTGGTCGTGGCCCGGGGAGCGCCGAAGCCGACCAGCGACTGTTTGTTGTGGGCCAGGCTGCGCAGCGAGAGGAAAGCCGGCGGCCGGTCGTAGCTGATGGCGTTGGTCTTGAAGTCGCCGGCGCTGTTGTCGTCCCCGGCCACCGTGTCGTCGCCGAGGTCGGCGCGGCCGGCGATGCTTGGCTGGAAGAAGTTGCCGCGCGACGCGAAGGCGGGGGACGCGTCGGCGTAGATCAGGTCGGGACTTCTCCTTAGGCGGCCCGCGTGCAAACTGAAGTCTCTCCGCAACACTGTAGAATTAATGATTGTTAGATAGAGAATCAGCTCATTATGCGTGATTGACAGGCGGCGAGTTGGTGTTTACACGCTGTTAATTATGTACTTTCCTGCATTTGATTAGCATAAATAAACCATGGCCGATAGGTGAAAGTCACAAGCAGTATTAAATTAACCCACAGGTTTCACTTTTGCGCTGACATTTAATTATTCTGCAATTCAATCTAAATTCTAATTACTTTTACATATTTGATATTTTATGGCAAGCTAATCGAGATATAAATATAATCAAAATTTTACAGACATACACGTATAAAGAATATATATATTTCATATATGTATTTTACAGATCTACAAAAAATTTTTGTAAGATTTTTTTCGATTGCTTAATTTCTGTAACTAACGTATTCTCAAGGTCACTTGTTTCTTAGGTTAGACTTACCGGACGATAAGGAGCAGGGAAGAGAGAAGAGGATAAAAAAGAGGGACGCTCTGCTTAGCGCCGGCATCGTGACACGCTGGCTCAGTGGATGGCGGGCGGAAATGCAGCCGCCGTTGCGGCACTGACTCGGCGGATCAAGATCAAGAGCGGAGGATAATTGGCGCGAGGTCACTGTCAGCACGAGAAAAATCGCGAAAGAATAGGCTGAAGAACACTGACAGCCAATTACTATGCGGCAGTCTGTCAAGTCAACTGAACGCGGAAGCGACGTGAATGAACGAATATCACCGTTAGTTGTGTTATATCCACCGACAATTGCCCAGCCGGCGTTTATCTGTGTGTCTATATATCTTCTCTTTCTTTCACTTCACGCCGACAAGTATAGCGGTTTATGGCGGATGGTGTTAGTCAGGTTCTTCTCTGAACTTTCACCTTGAAGATGCTGCAACGTTGTGTCACTTGACGGTTGTTATATGTACGTATATATACAAGCACACTGGCCGCAACGAGTGCAATGCCCATCGGACGGAATGCGCGAATCGCAGCTTTTAGCTGCAGCGTGTAGTGTTTCTTATCGTAGCGTCATTAATTAGTGTTATCACATGCAAACTGCAGTTTCATTGGCCGCTGGCATCGGCGTCAGCAGCTTCGTCCACTGGTATTAATTTTATAGCGATCCGGATGCGGCGTAAGTGTGCTCATCGTCTGGCCGAACCCAGAACCGGCACACGCTCCGGCCGCTTCTTTTCTCGTACAAATATTACTGCACTTGATCTAATATACATGTATTATTATAATAAACCAGTACTGGCACCTGTGCCATAAAGCGGCCTTTAATAACGGGTTGCGCATTCGAGCGGTCTCCTCTCCGCATCGCTGCCTCCCCTCTCACGGCGTTATTTCCCTGCCGATTAGTCTTACTGCTATGTAATGCCGCAGTGACTTACCGAGCAGGCTGATTTATTTCTACGCCGGTAGCGTTGATTGTACTGATAAGGAAGTTGCTATTACAACAGTTTATAACGCAGTAATATGCTAGATTTATATATTTTATAACGTACAAGAAAGCTGAAGGATAGCACTATCAAAATCATTAAACTGCGTCTACTAGCCAATGGGCAGCGATTGGTCTGTACTGCGCCAGTGCAACACTGCGTTATCTGTACGTACGCTAAGCGCTGCACTCGTACGCGACCGGCTGAACCGGTTTAAAATGCTGCCTCGCCACTGGCCAGTCAGCGCAGTGTACGAAGCGTGCCTGCTATACATGTGCAATTGTGCATGGTGCAGTACCGGTATTTTTGCCGGTACTCTTCGATAATACCTTCTCTCTTCTTAGCGAGATTCGGATGTTTTCGATAGATAAGAATTTTCCGATTTCCATCATCAATAGCACAGCACGAGGACAGCAGAGAAACCGGTTTGTCAACCCACGAAAAATTCTTCAGTGTAGCAGCACCGCGGAAGATTTAACCGTGGCCTGCCATGAAAATGCTAACTGCCAGTGTGTCGTTGGCTGCACTGAGTCCAGAAAGAAGTGCTGCACGGTATCCACAAAATCAGTGCCTTTGAGCTCTTTGGCATGTCTCGATAATCGCGCTGCTTCGTTTGGATGCTCCAGTGCATCCCTGTTTAGCAGCAAAGGCAGTCGGAAACGCGTTCCCACGGTTATAAGCGTGGGAATTTTAAACCCGTAGTTTATTGGCGGTGTGCCAGCCATGTTGCCGGCGCAGTACGCCGCGATACGTCCCCGTCCGCCCAGTCCGGCGCCCAGTACCGTCACCGTCGTTCAGCCGGACGCGGACGACGCTCCGCCGCCGGAGCCAGCGCCCGGGCGTCGAGCCGGCGCCACGGCCAACAAAAAGACTGTGCGGGAGTACAGTTTCGTCAACACGGTAACGACAACTCGTGTTGTGCTGCCGACAGTACCTGCTTAATGTTGGTTGATGTCCATAGGAGAAGAGCATCAGCTGTCCGCTGTCCTGCATCTGCAACGTCGTAGCGCGCAGTAAGGAGAAGCGGCACGCCAAGCCCAAGCAAGTTGTGTCGCACGCCGTGCGTGGCGTAAGTAGTGCTGTTCTATGGTCGTTTTATTCCACGTGCAATAAAAAAAATTTGGTTTGTCGTGCAGGGCCAGTGCTTCCTGTTGTGCTTGCTGGACAGTCCACGCAGTGCGCCCACCTTCCTGCGCCAGTGCCTGGTCAGCCAAGACCTGCGCCTGGCCTACTGGCAGCACTTGACCGCCACCAACGGACTGCCGCACGAACGCCACGAGTACTGGTCAGTCAACAGCAGAAGGTCGCATCGTTTTAACGGCCTTGATTTAACTAACCGGCTTTTTCCGCAGGGATGACGAGCGGGAGAACAGTATGCGGGAGGCGCTGTTCGCTCCGCTGTCGGCGGAAGAGCAGCGTCACCAGCGGGAGATTGCCGCCTGCGACAATACGGCCGACTGGTGTGCCCGCACCCACAACGGGCAGACGGCCATGGCCGGTCTGCCAGCCGTGGTGGCAGTGCCGACAGTGTTGTCGGCGGCCGTTGGCAGTGGCCAACCGTCGGCCAGCGCCCCCGCCCCTGTTAGTGTGGTAAATGGCTCGCAGCCTCGGCCGCCAGTGACCACCACACCCACTGTCAATGCCAGCGCCAGCCCTATACCACGGCCACTGATGGCCACCACACCCACCGTTGGCACGGGCATAACCACCACGCCCACCGTCAACACCAGCGCCAGTCTAATGCCGCCTCCTATCGCTCTGCCGGCAGTCCGCACCCTCATGCAGCCCAACAAGGTGCCCCGCCCAGTACCGGCGGTCAGCGTGGCCGGCATCCCACCGCCGAATGCCCCCGTCGCAAGCGTCACCATACCGCCGCCCGTGGCCGTCATGTCCCTGTCCAGCGACCTGAGCAGGAGCGCCGACACCACCGACCGCGGTGTACCGACCGTTCTCAAGCGTCTCCCGGAGCGGTTGTGTAAGAAACGGACCGCTGGCGCACCGGACACCGGTGCCAACGCTGTGGCGCCCCCTCCACCGTCCGCAGTACCGCCTCCCCGGCCAGCACCGGTTGCCCGTCCCAACCCACCGAAGAGGCCGTCCGCGGCAGCGGAAGCGGCGCTCTTCCCGGTGGAGCGGGTCATGGGCGCCAAGCTGGTGACGGACAGCAGCAAGCGCGGGCCGGCGGCGCGCCAGACCTTCTATCTCATCAAGTGGGAGGGCTTTCCGCGCAGCCACAGCACCTGGGAACCGCGGACGCAGCTGCACTGTCTGCAGGCCATTCGGAACTTCCACAAGGCGCACGGGTAGGTCGAGATCAACTTCGGGCCGCCGGAAGTCAGTCGCCATTTGAATAATTTAGCTGACGCACTATTTTTGATTTGGCTTAGGAGATTAACAGTGCGAAAGCCGAAAATCCTCAGCCCGGAAGGCGCGGATTTCGAGATGTCCCGGGGAGAGCCGCCGGAGGAAGGGCAGCCGGCCAAGCAGCCAACCGAAACGGGAGCGTCGACGTCGCTGTATCTGCGCAGTCGGCTGTGCGCACTTCCGGCCTAATCAGCGACACACGCCGCTGCCGCATCAGTTATTACATATCCAATGATGTTTCCTTTTTCTATAGTTGTATTAGTTAAGCGGCCGATTAACAGGCATTTGAACTAGCTACTTCTTTGTCCCGCTTATAAAATTTGTCATGTATTGTCATGTGTAGGAATCGTATCTTTATTGTATCGTAATGGTCAGGAAAACAACTGAAAGGAAACAGGAATCGTAACTAGAGAACAGGGAAAACACAAGAGAAGTTGCTAAGAAGACAAGGACAAAGGACAGAAATAGGAAAGTATTAGAAGGACAATAAACACGTGAACTCAGTATACTACAAAATTATTTACAAGTCTTTTGGCGTGTATCCGCTGTTTTTACTGGGTTATTAATACGGCGCACATATATCATCAGAAACTGTTAAATAAGTACTGTACGTACTACGGAGGTGACTGTGCCGGCTACGGCGTAAACGCCTTAATAATACAACCGCGTTTCCGCTCGCCGGCGCGACGGATGGCCGGCGTTTCAGTTCGGTTCGGCGAAGGCCGGTGTGCGGCTTCGCGGTACGGTGCACGGTGTTTACGCGAAGGCTTCCGTGTTGGAAACTGGATTTCCTCGCAAGTACAGATACAACACGCCGTGCTACACACTATACGCGAGCGGAAGGTGATTTGTTGTTTTTGCTGTTAGACAACAAATCTCCTGGCTCTGGGCTAAAATAACAAGAGACAGTCTTTATAACGCGCCAACACGCCGACGCCGGCTGGATGCATCTGTATTAAATCAATAATCGCCCATATAGCTTTCCTTAGTTATTGTTGCTCACAATTACTTGGTAGTTGACTTGTCGCGGCATTCGGTAATTTTCCTATTTATTTTGCGAAGCCGGTGTGTGGAAACCTTTGATCCCAGTGCCAGTATTACAATTTTCTACTCCTTGTACAATGACGGCGATTTGCGTAGCAGTGTGTCTACTCCTCGGCGGGGCCATGGCCTTTCCATCCAGTAAGTAACGGAAAGAGTATTACGTGTACTTATATATAATATCCCTGTTCTTATACGTCGGCGATGTATTCCTGTGCCGCCTAGTTACAAGTGTCTCTCACGAGAAAATTTCTTTCGAGTAACCTGAATTCCTGTACAAATCAGTAGTAATAGACGCCTATCCACCGGCTTTTTGATGTGGGACGCTGATAAGAGCGTCCCGGGATGACGTCCCGTTTTCAAAAAATTTTCAAAAAAATTCGAAAAAGATGAATACCCCCATAATCCATTTAAGGAACGATAATATACGATTGTAAAAGTCCATCGGGTAGTAATTAGCTTTCCGTCAGTTCCTATTTTGGCTATAAATACCACCGTCCATTCAGGCTTTCATGTTCAAACACGTTTCTCTATTTAAAACATATTTAACCTATTTTTACGAATTTCTCTAGGTCGTTAGGAATTTTTTCAGAATTCCCTAAGTTATTTTTGAAAAACGGGACGTCATCCCGGGACGCTCTTATCAGCGTCCCACATCTGAAAGCAGGTGGATTCTATTACTACTCAAACCACTTTCCTGCCTAACGCAATTTACGTTTCACGAAAACGCGTGAGCTGAATATTTTGCATGAAGAAAATTCAGGGACTTCCGGCGCTTGACGCAAATGCTACGTAAACGTGAAATGCGAATGTTCAGTTTGATTGAGGATGATTTTTCAGTCTCGCTACGGAAGTATAGTGGACAAGAATTTTTGTTTATTGGGCAAACGCCATCAGTGTAACAAAAGTGTATACGCGTAATACTACTTAAAATGATACAAATTTAAACGTTAAAAAAACAACCAAAATCGTTATCGCCGTCAAAAATCCTAGGACGCATACTTCTATTCAAGGTGCCCAAAACAGCGGCAGCGTTTCCTTTTACTACAGTCAGACTTAATCTCTGCTTCAAAAATGCAGTAGAACGAGGTTCCCCTGTCACGTCGCGAATCTTTCTGCCAGCGAAACGAATGAGCTCCATAAAATCCGAACCGAATGTGCCAAAAGTTTCGACTGCCAGGGCGTAAAACAGGTAACCCATCCTTTCCACGTAGGCGTATTTACGGCGTTTGTAATCTTCGGCCATATGTGCAACATTACCGGATGCGCTCGCACTTGCCCGGACATGCGATGCAGCTACTGTGTCCCAGCATGTGGCGCCCCATACCAAGTACGAATCGGCGTGGCACTTCGTTTTGGACTTCCAGCAGTAGAAGAACACGATTGTGTGAACTGCGGAAGCCATGTAGAAACGAACGGCCACCATGGCCTTTCTTGTTCCAGCAGCAGAGGCAGATGGTCTAGACATACCGAACTAAATGCCGAAACAAAGCGGGCTTTGGAGCATGCTGGGTATCCATGTCAAAGCGAGCCACTCGGAATGTCAGGCAAAGATAACACGCGGCCAGACGGCATGACCCTAGTGCCGGTACGGGATGGTAAGGCGCTGGTATGGGACTCCACATGCTGGGACACAGTAGCTGCAACGCATGTCCGGGCAAGTGGGAGCGCATCCGGTAGTGTTGCACATATGGCCGAAGATTGCAAACGCCGTAAATACGCCTACGTGGACAGGAATAGATGACCGGGAAATCAGTTAATAATAATTTTATATTCCGTGTAAAAATGACGGCGATTTGCGTAGCGGTGTGTCTACTCCTCGGCGGCGCATGGCCTTTCCATCCAGTAAGTAATGGAAAGAGTATTACGTGTACTTTTATATATAACATCTGTCTGTAAACGAGCATTCGCATTAGCCGGAATTGAAACAGAGCTTGAACCAGTGGGCTTATGTCGAACGAATGGCCAACGCCCGGATGGCGTTACGTTAGCACCGTGGGAAAGAGGAAGAATGCTGACGTGGGATGTCACCTGCGTCTGTACGGTGGCATTATCGCATATCGTGGCAACATCCGAGCGAGCTGGTGCAGCGGCGGCAAAGGCTGAACAGGATAAGGTAACCAAGTACCAGAACATCACCCCGGACTACCTGTTCAGCGCTCTGGGCTTTGAACGGCTAGGACCAAACGGACCGGAAGCTTCCCGTCTGCTGACGGAAGTGGGTAGAAGGGTACGGCAAGAAACTGGCGAGGCAAGAGCACCGGAATACCTGCGCCAGCGTATCAGCATAGAAATCCAGCGCGGGAACGCGGCCTCCGTTCAGGGAACAGCTCCACCGGGAGCAAATTTAGATCAGTTGTTCTCTGTTCTTAGACCTCCCGAGGCTGTTTTCTGCTGATTGAGTGTACTGCGTTTTGATGTTAACTGTTGTGTGTAAGCTAAATATACATCTAATACATATGTTAGCTGAAAAACATCTCTGTTCTTATACGTCGGCGGTGTATTCGTACGCCGCCCCGTTACAAGTGCCTCCCACGAGGAAAATCTCTTTTGATTAATTTTAATTCCTGTTTAAACCACTTTCCTGTCTAGCGCAGTTAACGTTCACGAAAACCTGTAAGCTGAACATTTCAAATAAAGGAAATTCAGGGACTTCCGGCGCTTGACGCAAATGCAACGTAAATCGAACGGGAAGTAGTGCGAATGTTTAATTTCGAGTACGAAACATGCGCTCTGGCTTAGGATGATTTTCAGTCTCGCTACGGAAGTTTATGGACAGGAATGGATGACCGGGAAATCAGTTAATGACTGTAGAGTTTCGCAGTGTCACTGTGCAGATACCGGTTTCGTCGAGCAACAGTATACTTTACCGGTATATACAGCGATGTTACGATCACGTAAAGTATCGAAGACGCCGCCGATAGCCGCTAGATTGCCGCATTCCAGGGACCACTGCCAGCAGCAAATAGCGCCGGCCGGCCGGGCGGGCTGCGGTCCGGTCGCAGCTGACGGGCCGCTACCGGCACACACCCACGTAACCGCCTAAATATGCGCGCAGCTTTTGTTCAGCCGTCTTCCTTATTCCCATCCGCATTACATGTATAGACTAAGATTCCCCATGAGGGAATCTGTCCATTATTGGTCAGCAGCGCATCTGACCCCGCCCGCTTGGAGATTGGCCAGCGGTCAGTTTCTGGATGAGGTATATAAGCAACTGCCGCACAGCCAGTTGCCAATACCTTCCCAGTTCGCTTAGAAATTTTTAGCCTGCTTGTTGCAGATAGCCTTGTAGCCTGCTTATTGCAGATAGATACGTGCCTTCTCTTGTAATACGTGTAATAACTGTTTTTGCTCCCACTACTACCAACGGTCAATTCTACAATGGTTTCCAAGAACGAGCTGAAGAAACTGAAGGTTCCGGAGTTTAAGAAAGCCTGCCGCGACGCTGGCCTTGACGACACCGGCGTACGCAAAACCCTACTGGCCCGACTTTACGCGCACAATAGTATCCCACCTTCTCGCATGGAGGGCGTCGTGGAAGCCAACGGCGTGGTTGCCCCGAATGACCACCCTGTAGGACCTCCCGTCGGCATAGCTGCTGCTGGACCGATGGCCGAGCAGATTACTGTATGCGGCCTTGCACCAGCCACCTTGCTTGATCTGGAGGAAGCCGGCTTCACCAACCTTGACAAACTCCTCCGCCTTCACCAAAGCAAATCGTACCCGAAGGATTTGGAGTTCATCAAGCTCCCCGCCGACCGCAACGAGATTCAGATTTTCATCAATCAACGAGCGTCACTGGCTGTGTCCGATCTCCGCCAACTGTTACGTTCCCGCAACAGTAATGCCGGATCCGCGCAAGCCAATGTGCCGGTTGCCATTACCACCAACGCCCCGCATGGCACCGATCACCCGGAGCCAGTCCCGTCGACCAGTGCGGCCGGCAGCAACCGTGGAAGGGCTCGCTCTCGTGGCTACTCCGCCACCGCTCGCATCACCACTACGGCCGCCAGCAGTCGACCACTGCGCATTCGGGTGAGTCAACAGATAGCGATAATTCTTTGCATTTTTCTCGTTCGCGCAAAAGGTCAAACTCGCGTAATCGGTGTAAATTGTCAGTTAATGCCCGTCATTTACCGTTGCCTCATAAACAAGCACCAAAGGTCACTTTGCATAACGGTAAACGTAGCCGGCCAACTGCGACCAATTTATCTCTCGATGGGTTTATGGTCTATAGTCTGCGTACCGCAGTTAAACTTGCTCGTACTGTATCCGGCAAGTACCAACAGTCACTCTTAGAATACCTTGAGTATTTAGAGTTTTTGTATATACGACGCCGTGACTACGAAGAAAATGCAGTTTTAAGATTTGACGAAGAATTTCGCGAAACGGCAGACCATGATGATTTAAATCTGTCCGATTCTCATGAACGTTCGGCGTTAGGCGATAAGTACTTCCACGCAAAAACACGGCGGCTGGATTTAGATGTTCATCGCAGAACATCTAATAAAAAACGACCGCTTTTTCGTGGAAATGCCGGCCAACGTGCCGGCACGCAGCGTTTCAAGTACACCTGTTGCCATAACCGGCAGGAAAACAAGTGCCATAATAACGCCTCGTGTAGTTTTGACCATATCTGTGGACACTGCGGCGGCGACCATCAAGGCGCCAGCTGCAACACCACATCAGGCAGAGGGAGACAGAATACGCGCTAATGCGCCTATCCCATGTGGTTCTGACATCTCTCCTCTTTGTTCTCGCTCCTTGCCTAACATAGTTGTTGATTCCGATCTCCAGTCGCGGTGCGCTTTAACAAGGCACATTAACACCTGGCAGAAGGAATTAACAGTTAAATCACCAAGAAAAATTGTTTGTCCCAACACCAAGCGGGCACATAATAGGCAAGAGGCGGAGTCGGCTTTTCTACCCGGGTTCAAAAATACGGATAATCTAGTTAGCTAGCATAATCACTGTGCAACATCACCTAGGTACAAATCGAGCAAAACTCATTCGAACAGAACGATGCTGGAGTGTGTTAAAATTTAAGTCATTAGAACAAAGTGTGATGATTTTCAATTTTTAAAATATTTCTTAGATCGATATCTTAGATTCAATTTGACTTTTTTGCTTGGACTGGGTCGACCCATTTATCGTTGCTGAAAGCGTGGACTGCTTGCTGCTTGACTCCTTGTTCTTTCGTAACTCCGACCTGTCTTTGACATGCATGAAGAATTAGAGAACCTCTTTTCCTCCGTTGGGTAAGAACTGTGAAGCACTTGAGCGAAAAACTAAGGGAGTCGTCTCCATCGTGTCTACTAAATTGTAGATTAAATTCGCCAACGTGGTTAGGAAATATCGTGGACAGTGTACAGCGGGAGCGTCTGACTGCCAAGAGTGCCAGGCACTCAGTCTATCGGCAGATATGGACGAAAATCAAGGTAAAAAACCAACTAGAATGTTTTCCAAACCAAACGGCATTTTTCTGTAAACAACATTGAGTCATTTTATTGTCGCGGGTCGACCCATCGTATCTAAGGTAGTGCGATAAAAATTTCATTCTATCTATGTTGCAGAATTCCAAACGTGTGGCGCTGCCAAAATCGGTTGTCTATCCAAAGGAACTCGTTCAGTGTATGAATGCGATTTTTCCTGGAGAAGAACATCACAAAGACGTATGTACACGTGCTTGATTCTGGAGTCGACTCCGATTTACTTGATTGTTTGCAGTTTGGACCGCCTTCCATCACCCTTTACCAAATTTCTGTGTTGTGAAGGTTGTCCGTAACTAGCCGGAACGCAATGTGAAATAAACTGACATTTTATTCACCGATTGTTTTATTCACACAGTTAACACAAATATTATAAGTATGCTCACCACAAGCAGGAACTCTGCACAAAACACAGTATTTAGTCGTCTTTCGATCCGTACCCTTCGCGCACACTTTACAGCGCTTCTGACCAGTAAATGGAGGCGCAGGAATTTTCTGCATGGGTCGACCCGTTTCCTCTGGAATCTGGAGTAATGCTTTGATAGTGCCGCGCACTGTGGCGCTGATGTGCTTCAGTTCCAGGCGTCGACGCAGATGGGTTTCTAGCAACTCTTCGGCTAGCGATTCTAAAAACAGTCGTCTACGGTGTTTTGCTCGGCTCCAAGCTGGGTTTAATTCGATCCACACCACAAATGCATTTAACGCAGATATGTCAACCATATCATAGAACAGAATTACCGGCCAACGACGCGTGCGACGCTTCACGCTGTACATGGTAACCATTTGGTCCAGCGAGTCGACTCCAGCTTTCGTTTCGTTGTATGTGGTGATGATGACAGGTTTCTTCTCAGTGGTCGTTTCAACCACAGCATCACGGTGGTGGGTGCTGAGAAGTATAACTGCTTTGCCAATTTTTGGAACATACGAAACCAATGCGGCTTCCTTTGTGAAACCAAAAAGACTGGAAAATTCGGCACGTTCTCTGGATGGCAAAAAGGCTGCTGGTATCTCTGGCTTATTCTTGCGCATCGTTCCGACTAGAGTGATATTTCGTTTCAGCAACTCAAGACCTGTAAATGTTGATACAAGGGTCGACCCAATTCAAATGCGATAATTCATAAAAAATTTCAAGCATTTTTAAAAGCAATTATACAAAGCTAAAAGCAATTTACCTAATTCGAGATCAGTGAAGAAGTTGTCTGTCGTCACATTTCTTCCGGAGTCGACTCCTAGGTACTGCACAAGATCCAAAACAACACGGCGCCCTTGATTTCTTTCTGGAGGTGCGCCCGGAGATTTTCCCGTGTACACTTATATGTTGCAGCAGTACTTCGAGGCAGAATCAGCTAGGATAAAATTCTTCAGCCCGTACTTGGAGGGTTTCTTTGGAATATACTGCTTGAATTTACAGTGGCCGTGGAACGAGTAAAGCTGCTCGTCTATAGTTAGATAAGGACCAGGGAGATAGGAATTTCGCAACGTTGGTACCCACAATTCAAACAACTCTCGAATATGTGCCAGTTTATCAGTAAGTTCGCGCAGATATCGCGACTTCTTGTTGTCAAAACGGAGTGCACTAGATATTTCGCTAAAACGATTTCGAGGCATGGTGGCGTTGTAAATGGGTCGACCCTTCGCTTCGTTCCACAGCTGGCACAATGGCTTTTTGCTTTCATGATTCACGCCGTGCAGAATCAGCAAGCCCAGAAATGCATCTAGTTCGATTGCATCCAGTTCCGTCCACGACTTCGGAAACATAAGTTTCCCCTTCACATTGGTATGGATAAGTATTACGGCTTTCATGTCTTTGGTGAAAAAAACATTGAAAGCATCCACCAGCTTGGCTACCGCTCCTCGCACATGCGGCCGCACGCCTGGTACGCCAGTCATTTTGTCCGCAGTTCTGGTCTTCCCGGTATCACCACTCGCGGTCGACCACTCCACGTTGTTTTTCGCTCTGAAGGTGTACGAATAAACAAAGTCTTCGTCCTCCGACACCGTATCTGACTGATAGTCGGCCTCCTCGGGTTCAGCATCAGATATGTCACTGTCTGTGTCGGCACATTCACTGTCACTTGAATAGGCTTCGCTACCAGACTCAATTTCATCTACTGCACGTTTCGTACGAATAACGTTAGGCATTTTAAAAAAAGGTCGACCTTACGGCATTTTAACAAAAGGTCGAGGAGAAATTATCAGTTTGAAGATTGAATCCAATCGACGTGGTCCGTCAATAATTGAAATGTGACGCAAATCGATCTAGAAGCTGTAACAGTGCGCAGCAGGTGAGGTTCGTTGTAGTGATTGTAAAAGTGTTGGTTTTCGTGGGAGAAGTTGCATGCTACTTCCCATTGATTTAATGATCACTAAACACAGACCAGTAGCTCAGTTTTCCTGTACACAATCTTGGTTTGTAGCCCATACTTTTTAGTACAGAACGAATTTTGGGATTTTTTTTTACTGCTGTAGTTGTCGAGTTATCCGCACTCGAAGGAAGCCGGTAGAAAAGCGACTAAATTTTGCCCAGCCATTTTCTCGAAGACCATCCTTTTGATCGTTTTCGACATTAAGTATAAAAAATAAAGCGAAAAAAGTTAGGATCAAACGTCCTGGTTCGAAGGACGTACAAATAATGAGAACTTTCTTAGGGATTTAAGAAAGAGCCTTTGCCTATTTGGCACCCGCCTGGTGTGTTGACTGTTAATAGCTATTAATTCTCCAGATAGCCAGTTTATATTAGCTGGTATAGCGACCGGCTTTCGCATTGTTGATGACATTAACGCTATACCTCCATCAGACTGTCCCAATTACTCTTCAGCTTTGACTGACACTGCCAAGCCGATGCTTGACAAACTGTTCAGAGAGGAGCTGGACAGTGGGAAGACTTCTATCCAGTCTAATAAACCTTGGCGTATTAATTCTATTGGAGCAGTGCCGAAAAAGGGCTGCAACAGTTTGCGACCGATCACAGACTGTAGCCGACCTACCGGCAACTCCTTAAACAATTTTATCAACGCCAGTACTTTTACTTTTGAAACGATCAATGACGCTGTTGCTTGCAGCCAACGTAATTGCTTTTTCGCAATTATTGACATAAGAGCAGCTTACCGGTCAGTACCAATTTACCCACCACATCGTCAATTGCAAGGTTTTCGCTGGCGATTTCCGGGTAGAAAGGAACAATTTTATGTAGACAATTTTTTGTGCTTTGGATTAGCCAACGCTCCGTATATATTTCAAAAGATTTCTTGCGCCATAGCTGAAATCATGCGAAAACGGGGATTTACCGTTATTGTCTATTTAGACGATTTTTTATTAATCGAGCCGACCTTTACGGCATGTTTAAACGCCCAAAACACTCTCATTGCGCTGCTTACTTCACTCGGTTTTGCCGTAAAGTGGGAGAAAGTTATAGGGCCAATTCAGAGAGTGAAATTTTTGGGAATAATTATTGATTCCGTCAAATGCACTCTTGAAATTCCTGCTGATAAGATTGCAGAGCTTTTACAAGACGTCAACATGTTGTCAAAGTCTCAGTCAATATCTAAAAAGGAATTACAGAAACTTATCGGCAATATGTCATTCGTTTCAAAAGCAGTGTATAGTGCAAGAGTCTTTACAAGAGTGTTCATTGACATTCTGTGCAATCTTGAACATCTTAGTGACCGAATTCTTATTAACGATATTATTCGCTCAGAATTCTTATGGTGGTCAAAATACATTGCCGTTTTAAATGGCCTTGTTCCCTGTTCATTAGGTGCCGTATGGCCGGTAGTGACCGTATATACCGACGCGTCATTTTCCGGGTTTGGCGCTGCGCTGCGCGACAGTTATCTTGCCGGTACATGGTCGCAATACAGCCACCCGCAGGGTTTGCAAGAAACGGGGACCAAGTCCCATTGTGCACCATGAATTGTTGCACAACATAAATTTTTTGGAATTAGTGGCAGCATGCTTACCGCTTCTAATATTTGCGCCTTCTTTTACTGGGCACAAAATTTTAGTCATGTCGGATAATACGCAGACAGTTGCCTTTTTGAACCGCGGAACAACGAAAAACCTTCATGCCTTAAAATGGCTAAAGGCAGTTTTCGCTGTTAGCCTGCGCTTTTACTTTCGCTTTACCGCTACCCACGCGACGGGCGTATTAAATGTGCAAGCCGACGCTCTAAGTCGGATTACGGGAAACGCCTTGCATGCAGAACGGTTTTTAAAGCATCGTAACTCAAATTTTCCAGGTAGTTCGTTACCTGAATATTTTATTTATAGCTATCCCAATATGGTCATTGGAAAAACGATTGAACAGTTTGCGGATGAATGCTTTGGCTCCCTCATCACATAAAACTCGTCGTTCGCAATGGACGTGTTTTGAGTAGTTCTGCCTTAGTCACGGTTTAAAAGCGCGACCGGCTTCTGTCAAAACAGTCTGTCTGTGCATAGCGTATCTATCCGAATCTAAACAATTTAGCACGATATTTAACTACACGCATGCTTTGGTATCCTATCACACTATGCATAGGTTCAGCGCGCCTGATTTACGCCATCCCTCTGTACGACAAGCGCTGGATGGAGTTCAGCGAAGTCGCGAGGAACTGCCTAACAAAAGGCTTCCGGTTACGATTCAGCACTTGCACGCAATATATGTTAATCTATCAGTATTACGTAACCGGTATCGCAAACCGTTCTGGGCGGCTTGCTTGACTGCGTTTTATTCGCTAGCACGTAGCTCCAATCTCTTTCACTCCCCTTCAAACAAACATCTCCTCTGTAGAGATATTACTTTAACCAAAGATGGAGCTACATTATGCATGCAGGTTCTAAAAACCAACCGATTTAAGAAAGCGCACTAATGGTACCACTACCGCAGTTGCACGTTTCTAACCGGTTATGTCCTGTTAATGCAATACGAGCCATGTTAGCTGAAAATAACGCGCCCGCCACAGCGGCTTTGTTCAGCTTCCGTGCTCGGTCGGTTTGAAACCTTTATCTTCTGTTAGGTTTCATGGATTACTCCGGCATGTATTACGGGCAGCAGGCCTACCCCACCACAGGATATCAGCACACTCCTTTCGTCGTGGCGCAGCAACCCTGGCAACAGCCATACATTTACCAGCACCCATACTAAAAGCTCAAGGAAACTGGCGGAGCACCTGCTTTGAGCGGTATGTCCATCAAGACCTTGACTTGCGCCTCACCTTCGCCAAATCCTTCGGCCACGCCATTGATGGATTCCATCCTTCACGGATCTCTTAATCTCCTGACACTCATGGTTTGGTTTGTTTTTTTTTTCTTTTGTCGTTTTTTGTTTGTTCTTTTGTTGTTGCTCTGTTTGCGGGTTTGGGGCTTCCTTGTTTGATGATGTAATTAATGCCTGAATAAACTCCGAACAGCGAAGCAGTTTACGTTGTTGTTGTATGCGTAGCGGTCACAATAATAGACTAAGATTCCCCATGAGGGAATCTGTCCATTATTGGTCAGCGGCGCATCTGACCCCGCCCGCTTGGAGATTGGCCAGCGGTCAGTTTCTGGATGAGGTATATAAGCAACTGCCGCACAGCCAGTTGCCAATACCTTCCCAGTTCGCTTAGAAATTTTTTTTCTTCCGGGGCTTCCTTGTTTGATGATGTAATTAATGCCTGAATAAACTCCGAACAGCGAAGCAGTTTACGTTGTTGTTGTATGCGTAGCGGTCACAATAATATTAGGCAGTTAATACGGTTTCACAGTATCGTTATATAGATACCGATTTTTCAAGCAACACAAAATAACAAATAACAGCCGCGCTTATACGCCGGTGTACATGTTTGTTTGTTTTGCAGTGCAGCCGATGCAGCCGATGACCTTTAGCGGTATGAACTTTGACGCGTTCAACGCGCAGACGAACTCGCAGAAGCAGGACCAGAAGAGCAGTCAGGCGGCCTCCACCGGCGACGCCTCGGCCGGCTCCGGCCAGATCGCCAGCAACCAGAACTCCAACATGCTCACCAACGGACGGCCCCGCTTCGGTACCGTTACCGGCGCACACAATGTACCCGGCGAATTGCAATCAGTTTATATTCAGCTGCTTTTGATTCCTTATTCGGTTATTCCCGTCTTCGTTATATTAGACAATAATTAGACGCACTCTTATATCAGTCCATAACTGCATATTGTTGTTGTTTTGCAGTGCAGCCGATGCAGCCGATGACCTTTAGCGGTATGAACTTTGACGCGTTCAACGCGCAGACGAACGCGCAGAAGCAGGACCAGAAGAGCAGTCAGGCGGCCTCCATCGGCGACGCCTCGGCCGGCTCCGGCCAGATCGCCAGCAACCAGAACTCCAACATGCTCACCAACGGACGGCCCCGCTTCGGTACCGTTACCGGCGCACACAATGTACCCGGCGAATTGCAATCAGTTTATATTCAGCTGCTTTTGATTCCTTATTCGGTTATTCCCGTCTTCGTTATATTAGACAATAATTAGACGCACTCTTATATCAGTCCATAACTGCATATTGTTGTTGTTTTGCAGTGCAGCCGATGCAGCCGATGACCTTTAGCGGTATGAACTTTGACGCGTTCAACGCGCAGACGAACGCGCAGAAGCAGGACCAGAAGAGCAGTCAGGCGGCCTCCATCGGCGACGCCTCGGCCGGCTCCGGCCAGATCGCCAGCAACCAGAACTCCAACATGCTCACCAACGGACGGCCCCGCTTCGGTACCGTTACCGGTGCACACAATGTACCCGCCGAATTCCTCCACTGTAGGGACAAAGTAGACGCACTCTTATATCAGTCCATAACTGCATATTGTTGTTGTTTTACAGGGCAGCCGATGACCTTTGGCATTATGAACTTTGACGCGTTCAACGGGCAGACGAACGCGCAGAAGCAGAAACAGAAGGCCAGCCAGGCGGCCTCCACCGGCGACCCCTCGGCCGACTCCGGCCAGATCGCCAGCAACCAGAACTCCAACATGCTCACCAACGCCAACGGCCCGCTGACCAACGCCGGCTCCCAGGGCGGCTGCGCCGGAGGCAACTGCGCCCTGTCCGGCGCGGCGCAACTGCAGGTAATTCTTAATATTATAAGGGCGGAGACGCAGTTAATTAAATGCTGCGATTAGTGACACTTGATTAACTGCAGGCCGGCGATCAGAGCCAGGGCCAGAAGCAGGGCGCCAACCAGAACCTCTTGGGCCAGAAGGGCAGCAACGGCCTACAGATGCCTAATCTCCTTAACAACAACATGTTCAACAACGCCAACCTCAACGCGCAGAAGCAGACCCAGAAGACCAGCCAGGCGGCCTCCACCGGCGACCCCTCGGCCGACTCCGGCCAGATCGCCAGCAACCAGAACTCCAACATGCTCACCAACGCCAACGGCCCGCTGACCAACGCCGGTTTCCCAGGGCGGCTGCGCTGAGGCAACTGCGCCCTGTCCGGCGCGGCGCAACTGCAGGTAATTCTTAATATTATAAGGGCGGAGACGCAGTTAATTAAATGCTGCGATTAGTGACACTTGATTAACTGCAGGCCGGCGATCAGAGCCAGGGCCAGAAGCAGGGCGCCAACCAGAACCTCTTGGGCCAGAAGGGCAGCAACGGCCTACAGATGCCTAATCTCCTTAGCTACAACATGTTCAACAACGCCAACCTCAACACGCAAAAGCAGACGCAGAAACAGACGCAGATCGGCGGCACTGCTACCGGCACCGGCGCGGCCCAGCCTTTCTGGCCTTTTCGACCTTTCCCTCTAATTTATTCTAATTATTATAGTTTAATCTAAATTATGGGCAACATGATCTCGTTGACCTTTCCATTTATCGGTAATTTAGCTTACTGTTATTTTATTTACATTATAGGCACCCTGGCTTCGGTGACCTTTCCCTTTATCGTTAATTTATTGTTTTTATTGTTTATTGTTTATTGAACGGCAGGCAGGTAACCCATTAAAAGCTAGGATCGAAATCTAGCATTGGAATTTAAACCTGGCTTAATAACAGGCATCGTGATGAAATTAGAGCAAAAGCCATTAAAGCAAAGAGAAGTATTAAGAAAAGTAAGGTAATCAAGTTATGGTAACATGTTTCAGTGCATTACGAAAAACAGCAAGCGAACTGCTACTAAGAATGTCGTTTCCGGCCTCGGTTAGCTGGCTCATAACGTTGTTCAGCCTCCATGCCAACGTCCTTGTCCGTCCTTGTCCGTCCATTTAATCTACTAAATTAAATGTAATTATGGGTAATGATGTAATCCATGGCGCAGTGAATTACCGAGCAGGCAGATTTATTTTTACGCAGGTAGCGTTGATTGTACTGATATTTATTTGAAGGAAGTTGCTCCATATTGTATAAAATTTACATTCAATACGTCTACCGGAAAAAAATACTGTGATGTACAATGACGCAGTAAAAGAACAGTAACACAAACCGACTCAAAACGAAACACTAGGTACAGTGGTCATTGAAAAAAAAAGAAAAAACTAGGTAACTAGCAGACCAAAAACAAACCATCGAGCTGATGCTGCTTCTCGACCATACCTAATACACAAGCAGCATTACCACGCTGAACTTCAGTGCTCAACCGTTGCAACAGAAGATGCTTAGCACGCGTTTCTCCAGTCTGCTACCTTATGCGTCTGGCCAGATCGTTAATAAAATCCATGGTGAGGGGTCCGCAGCTGCCCATTGTTTCTAACGCGACCGGTTGGAAAATGTACTGATCAAGCAAGTCAGCATACTTGCCGCATTTCCGGTGTTCGGCCGCTTCTGCTGCAGCACCAGCATGATCGGATGAAGGACATCATTCAAATGCTCATGGCGCGGAATTCTTCCCTTACTTCTCTAACACGACAGACCGTGGCGGCCAAATTTATCAACCATATGTCCACAAATACATCTGTGCTCACTGCAGATAATGAATGGCACCCAAGCGTAACGCGACTGCGATTCTCACTGCCGCATCATCCAACAAGTTTCCTAGGCTGGCTACAGGCAAAGCAGACAACCAAGCAGCTGACTCTTTCATGGAGATTGCCAACAAGCGTGCTTTATCGATAACGTCGGCACTCTCCAGTAAAGACCGATACTCCCTGGCGTACACAACTACCGTCCACGCAGACTGACAGCGACGGTGTTCTTCGCGTGGGGGCGTTTCAGCACATTTCTCATGCCCCCTGGTTGTTGTTCACACTTGGGTGTTCGCCGTGTTGGAAATGCCCGGAAAAGCTTCATGAATTCGACAACGCCATAAAGAAAAAAGCGGAGGAGGTTACTAACGTCCAAATGTTGGAAATTACCTGGAAGCAAGCCTCACTGCCTGACCGGTTGGGCGGACTAGACTCCCACGAGCCGAGAAAATCTCCATACCTGCCTACTTATCGTCGCGTTGTGCCACAAAAGCGCTTGCAACCGCTATCGTGCCTGGAGATGGTGAAGGTGATATTGAACTGTGCCTGGACAAGTTTTGGCGACAGACTATTCTTAAGTACAAAGACTGATGAGCTGGTAACACACCAAGAAGATCGGTCAATCGTTTGATCTGACCGATCCTGCCATCCAGCACACGCCCAATTGCCCAGTCAGTTAGCGGGGCGCCCAATAGTTCCAGCTTGTCTTCCGTCACCCACTGGATTCCGGGCGCTACCTCGCTGAGCACCTCGCTATTACAGCAGCTTATAACGTAGTCTTATGCTAGATTTATATTAAATTTTATAACGTAAACAGATAAGAAGTAAAGGACAGTAGCAGTACTATGCAAATTATCAGACCGCATTTGCTAGCCAGTGGGCAGCGATTAGTATGCTATGTACTGCGCCAGTGCAGCACCGCGGTACTCTGTACGTACGATATGCGCTGAACGGCTAGGTATGAGTGGCCTTTGCCTTCGCCTTCCGCCTCCACGGTGCGCATTCGCCTTCCAAAAGATACGATGTTGTTCTAAAGTTTCTTGGGTTATATTCCACTTTCCACGGTAATTGTTAAGATTTCTTAAGTTTCTTAGGTAATCGTCAATTCTTGGGCTACATTCTCAAAGGGGAGAGCTACCAGTGTACCTCCTGAAATTTGCCGACGATATTGTATTGATAAGCGGAAACAAAGATGAGTTGTTGGTTTCGGTAGAACGATTAAGTAAGTTTGCGCTGGATCATGAGCTGATAATAAATTACGCGAAGTCTTTCTGTATGGTAGCGAAAGGTGGTATGCGAAGGCAGATTTCCTGCCACATTGAAATCGATGGGCGAAAACTGAAACAGGTTGCAGAATTTAGGTACCTGGGTTGTGTGTTAAACGAACAGTGTGATCTTAAAAAATCGGCTAAACATTAACGGAGCGAGTCAAAGTGGGATATAACATGGCAGTACATATGGGTCGGAATTATGCGGGAAAAACAGCGAATTGACAAAGTGCAAATAAACTTTGCCAAACGGATTTTCAGCCTCCGAAGCACTACGAACACTGAAGCTATTCTATAGCTTTTGAATCTGTTACCACTAAGTTAAGACAAGTAAGGCAGCAGATGCGCTTCGTCGAAAAGCTCAGTCACGCAAACTCAGGCACTCTTCTTCGAGCAGCATTTGAGGAAAGCATTTTGGTTGGCAAAAAGAGAACGCAATGTTGGCTAAAAAACGCGCTAAGGCAATTACCGGAAGAAATCGAAATAAACTTAACAAATACCGTCCAAGATATTCGTATTCAGCTAGCAAAGCTGAGTTCAGTTGACATAATTTCGAGGCTCGAGAAAACATTCCGGATAAATCTATGTATTTAAGTCGGTACAGGATAATGCTGCCAGGAGCAGCATGTTGCGTTTTTTGTTTCAGTGTCTACCAGAAAGTGGAGAAGTGCACCTATTGAAAACGATGCCTGCAATGACAAGCAAAAATTGGATGAAAATGTTGACTTCCGACCACTACTTTGCTGTGGAGACAGGAAGATGGAACGCTTTGCCCCGAGAGGAGCGGATATGTAACTTCTGTGGGGTTGTGGAGGACGAGTATCATGCTCCGAATGAATGTCCTGCATATTTTCCACACAGACAGAAATTACAGGAGCGGCTAGCTGCCCATGACCTTTCAATACAGGACGGCGGACTAGTGGAAACAATGCAGATTTTACTACGAAGAAAGGAGACGCCGATGGAGTACGAGAAGACATTGTCCTTTTGTTTGAGCAATCTTTTTAACCAGGTTTTGAGAGATAGCCGCAAAGTATTTAGCGGCGAATTAGTACTGTTGCCTACGTAAAGCCTTAAATTGTGCACAGTATAACTAAAATGCAGTCAAATCCATAAATTCATTTTTATTTAATTTTACATGAGGTTTTTGCATCTCTAACTTGTTATGTTTAATACTATTTCCTTGAAATCACATAATTGTTTATGCTTGAGCATACGGCACAACGCATGGTGTGCCCCTGCCAGAAGAAATCTGGGGGACTAAAGCTGTCTTGTCTGGTCTAGGTTTCTTAGGTTCTTTAGGTTTTGTCACATAATGATTTTTAAATAGATAATTAAGCATTGGTGCTCTGATTCATACACAATACGCTTGCTGTTTACTGATTCATTAGGGCGATATGCCCGCGTACGTTATTTGATTTCCTCCTTCTTTACTTGCTGGTTGTTTACCTACATATACTGCTGTTCTTTACTTCTAATGGCATTCTTATGCATGCATTCAGTACCACTTCCGAGTTCCGACAGTACACTTTGTACTTCTGCCTGATTTCTTTCCTAATAACAATTCCCTGCCTCGCATTGCCTTTCCGTTTACCATTAATGCATATTATCATATACTAGCATACCGGCCGGTTTAACCGTGCAGTGACCTTTAATTACTTTGCTCTGCCACATTTATCATGTAACAAACTGGTCCGTGTCGACTGAGAAGTACCTGTGGTTACTTCAGCTGTCAGTTATTATTTGTAATATTGTTTTCTTTTCTTGATGTACGATGCTTTAATACGACGATACCATCATCCCTTCACAGCGGCTGCCGCTGCCACTGCCGTTTGTACTACGCCACATTCGAGCAGCGTGATTTTCCAAACGCTAGCAAGCCGTAACCGGAAACTGATGTTCCCGCGCGCTTTTCGATTTTGTCGTTCGCAGTACCAGACTAGCACGTTCCGTCGTGAGTATACTTGAGAACTGCCCTTTTAAAAATTTAATGGCGATAATCCTAGTGCAGTACTTCCGATAACTTTGTTCTTATATAAATGCTCGAGTTTTAAATAAAATTGTCTCTTGAAAACGACTATATGGCGTGTGATATTGGTGCATCAGCTGCTAATTCAGTTCTCAGAGATCTGCCTTCATAAAAATAATTTGCACTGCGCTTTTAATTATCTCATAAAATTTCTGCCGAACTGTGCAGTTAAAAAAATTGGAGTTGAAAAATGTTTCTTTTGTTCTCGAATAACCGGATATTTCTCGATATGCCTGGCCGTATTGTTTTTTATTTAAAGAACACTGTTCACTGATTGCGTCATGAAACAAGAAAGATCATTCGTGTAACTGTTTTCTAATTTCGCTTTGCTGTTTCATGGTAAAAAAAAGTTCTTACATTTCGAATATTCCCATGAAGGTTGATTGGATTAAATTTACGTCGATGCCGCATCAGCGCTTTCGAAAGCGATAGCTCGATATTACGACATTCTTTACTTGACAGCATGTGTCGGTTACGATATTTCTGTTGGACAATCGAACTACCAGTTCTCTGCTTATGAAATTTAATATTTCGTTGGCAAGATAAATAGTTCGTTTCTGATGTTTTTGGTGACCTTTGTTTTCGGAAAATAATATACTTTACTTTTGTTGTTTATCGATTTGTGGTTGATCTTATCCTGTTTTGACTCGTTGAATCAGTAAATGTTTGCATGCCGGGGCTATGCCCTACCCAAAATCTGGAACTGCCGAACCCAGTTACACTTTTTCTCATTGTTGGAAAATTTCAGAGATTACTGGGCTTGTTTACTGATTACCGATTCGATAAGAGTATTCTTCTTTGACCAATACCATCTTTTGTTACTAGTCCCTAACCGAATCTAGTTCAACGTTCCTGGCCGTTTCTAAAATAGCTTCGAATCTATCTGATTAATCAGACTTGCCGAACCTTATTACTCAACGCATTTGTTGGTTGTTGTTTTTTTTTTTTTTTCAAAGTACGACCTTTAATAAGCAGGTTGTTAAATCTTCAGCTTTACTGAAATGAATCAGCCCAAAAGAACTGGTAATTACCCTCCTACTGTACAGTCAGGAGAAGCAGGTCAAAACTTAGTTGAGTCATTGAGTCAGTCAAATCAACCAGCTGGAAGTTATTTGTGGGCGCCTGCAGTTAATTCCGAAACACCAAGCATTATTCCTGTTAAAGAACTGCCTGGGAGTGCCGAAAATTGTACGAGGAGGGGGTAAATACACGGGATAGACAGAAAAAACGGCAATAACAAGGGATAACCATTCACGTGTTGTGCAGCACGGCCAGCCACAAAGGGAAGGCAGTCCAGCGACACTACATAAAATTCAGGCTTTGAGACCCGAGCTGCCTTCTCCGTACGCTTCCATGTTAAACTTAAACACCTGCATCTTGCACATTTCAGGACTAAACCGCACAATCAATGGCTCAAAAGAACAAGAAAAAATTAACAAGATTTTCGATACCACGCAAACCGTGATCTATGAGAAATAAGACAAGCGAGAGCCAATTAAGTTTTCCATAGACAAAGCATAGGAGCTCCGTGGAAGCAAACCATCCAACTCCTATGCTTAGTCTACGAAACTCAAATGGCTCAATCTTGCCTCAGTTTTCGTAAGTGGCAAGTTGTTTGGTATAAAAAATCTTGAAAATTTTTCTTGTTCTTTTACGCTATCGATTGTGCGGATTAGTTCTGAAATGTGCAAGACGAAGGTGGTTGAATTTAACATAGAAGTCTACGGAGAAACAGCTCGAGACTGGAGTCTCAACGGCTGTTCTGCACTGTGTTACTGAACTGCCTTCCCTTGGTGGCTGGCCGTGTTGCACAACACGTGAATGGTTATCGCTTATTATTGCCGTTTTTTCTGTCTATCCCGTGTATTTACCCCCTCCTCGTACACATCCTGCGTACCTCTCTGGCTTGGATGTTCCCGCAGGAACTGTACAGACTCAACCAGGTGTTCCGCGACGCCGTAGAGTCCATAACCAACGTTCAGATGGACCACCCGATGTGGCTTCAAGCCTCCCTACCCGTCCGCTTTGGCGGTTTGGGGATCAGACGCACGGAGAAGCTAGCACCCTCTGCCTATTTGGCATCGGCTTCCTCGCTGCGCCCACTGGTTTCCAAGTTATGCCCGACGCTGACTGCTACGGATGTAACTGCTGCTACGCACGCTTGGAAAGCGCTGGCTAACACGGATGAACTTCCGCCCGAGGCGCTCCGACACGTCCAAAAAGCTTGGGATACACCCGCGACTCTACACGCCTTTTCACAACTGACTGCTTTAAAGACGACAAAGGAAGAAGTCGCCCCCCTGAAAGCGGTATCGGTTCCGGAGGCTGGAGTATGGATCCATGCTCTGCCTGCAGCATGTCTCGGTAATCTGCTGGAAAACAACACCTTCCGTATAAGTGTGGCGCTGCGCTTGGGAGCACCAATTGTAACACCCCATGTGTGCGTTTGTGGGGGGTTAGTCGATGACCTGGGACGACACGGGCTCCGGTGCGAGCGGTCAACCGGAAGACTGCCACGCCACGACGGTATTAGCGGGGAGTTTGCTCGCGGATTAAAGACGGCCGGTTTCCCAGCAAGAATGGAACCGAAAGGTCTATCCGCGAAAGATAACAAGAGGCCGGACGTGATCACACTGGTCCCGTGGGAACGGGGAAAACCGCAGGCAGTGGACGTGACGTGCGTCGATATACTCGCAGCCTCGTACATTGAGCGCACCTTCGCTAAAGTTGGGGCCGCAGCCGAGCAAGCGGAACGAAGGAAACTGGCAAAACATGCCTGGATGCAATCGAGGTATAATTTCACCACTGCAGCGTTCGAAATTTATGGCCCATGGAGTGACGGGACTAAACTTCTAGTGCAAAAGGTCGGAAACGGTATCGTCATTGCTACAGGCCAGAAACGAGCGAAAGAGTTTTTTAGACACCGGTTATCTATCCAAATGCAACGGGGAAACGCGATATGCGTTATGGGTACAATCCCCGAGCAGGATAGCATTGAAAAAGTGTTTTTGCTTTAAAATTCGTTTGTTTTAGTACTCATTTTGTACTTACATGTGATACCCATTAAAGGTTAGTACATTAAAGTTGAGTCATTTCTGTTGGCCATGAAACCTTCAGGAAAACGTTGTAAACGTCGGCATTCAGTTGCAGTCATGGACCACGAACTCCTCAAGGACTTAGTCCCATGTAGCCCGGTCGTCGATGTACTAGGGCCTGCTACAGTTATTAAAACTCCGGTTTTGTTATCAGTGGTTGCCAAAGTTAACAATTTTTGAATGAGTACAGTTCTCTTTTAAATCAACTTATTGCGCCGTCCAAGCCCAAACGTAAACGCGAAAGCCGTGCTTGTAACTACTGCCACAAGGTTGGTCACCTTTATTCCGTGTGTTACTTAAACCCACATAGCCGTAATTACAGGCCTGTTGAAAAAGGTAAACGTAACACTGCTGACGTTGGTGGTGCACGTCAACAGTCGGCAAGCGGTGAGCAGTCGGCCACGCAAGCCAGATCACCGTCCCGCTCGGCAAGTGCACCGGGACAGCCACGCTGATATTAATGAGGCTGTTGTATATATGCTTGTACATATGCCAAGTTGTATTGGATTATTTACGAAACACTAAAAAAAATTTTTATGAGTTTTCCGTTTCTAAAATATTGCTGTCTTGCCTTAATACTGCATGTGGATATGCGTTTAGTGCATCGTTTTCTAGGAATGCTATGACCGTCTAAAATGCAGTAAAAAATAACCGTTTTGTTTTAGCTCTTTAACTTTGTGACCTTTTATTCACTTTTATTCACTTATCATTTGATTTCATAAAATGTTTGGCTTAAATCATTGACGCATCCGACCTAAAGTACAACTGGTTTTTAAACTTACCGTATGAAGTTTTTTGTCAAAGAGGGGAAGGGATAAGAGCGACGTACAAGATTCTGCAATAATTATCTATCCAGGAAGAAGCACATCGGCGAATGAATTATCTGAAGCAATGCACGTGTGCTTTTTATGTTTTTGAAAATTTATTTTGAGGAAATGCACGTGTGCTTTTTAAGTTTTTAATATTTTATTTTGAGGAACTGCACGTGTGTTTTTGGAATTTTTATTGTTGAACTGGCCAGAGAATAAATGACTCCGCAAAGCGACGGCACTGGATAGACACAACTAGTAGGTCAAGGTGACAGATTGGACGAACATTGTGCCCAATGTACATACTTTATTCGCATAGCTAAAAACTACCAGAGTGCGAGTCTGGATTAACGTTTTTAATATGAAACAAAATCAATCCCTGTGAACTCTGGAACTGCAGACTAGAATTTGCTTTGATTTAAATTAAATATTAATTAAAAGCTTCAGACCGTTGCGCTGTAGGTGACGTATAGCTGTAAATAATCATGTGGATGCATGGTTAATGAAAAGGTTGACTTAGTGTTTAAAAAGAAAGTGCACGTTCTTTTTAAAACTTTAGTATTACCTAGGGGAAGAACTACACACTCGTCCGGAGAGCGTAGTGACCCAGCCGGAAAAATTATGAATTCTTGTATTAAACCAAAGGCAAAAGCCTCGGGGTCAAGTTAATGTTTGTTTAGTTGAAAAGAGTATACTCAGACGGCGAAGCTATACCATGGACCGCAGTAAAAGTTGGCAGAATCTTAATGAATCCCCTGTGTACTCTAATGTGCGAGTAGCGTATACGCATAATTGTGTTTAATTTTTAATTTTGACAGCCCGAAACTGAAGAGTTTTCTTAAACTCAAATTGGTTTATGTAAGGTTGAAAGAGCCAGAAAAAAAAAGAATTTTGTCTTGGTGCTCGATGAGTAATGCGTTTTTGATTATCGGATATCCTAATAATTGCGTGTTTGAAAATACCATATTTTATTGCCTTTATTTGTGCTGTTTTGATTGGTTATTTTCTTTTCCGGTATGGTATTTGTATATGTTTGTTAAGTGTTTTCTGCAGCATTGGTGTTCCGCGAAACGCGATGTTTTTGAAAAGCCTCCGAAATTACTGCAGCCCGCCCGCAGATTTGAACCCTCATCGGCATGAAGTCCAACGTAATGTACGAATACCAGTAATGGACTGGATGAATCCTGCTGCAAGTTGGTTGCACCAAAGAACAGTTGGATGAAGCACGCGACCGATCGTTTCGGTACAGCTACAGACACTGGCCCCTTTGATAACGGACGACCATTAACCAACAGCTCAGTATAATGGCTTAGCATTATCCTTGTTTTACCGCTCATGTAAAGTCAGCCAGCAAATAAATTAAAATTAAAAAAAAATATTGCCCTAAAAGTTCAAAAAATTCTCTTTTATTTTGATTGTTCGTCTATTTTGCGTAATAAATTTTTGTCTATTTTGTTTTTTTTTAAATTGAAGTTAAGTCAGGTTCTTTCATTACTTATAGGCAGGTTAAAAATCGTCAGGATTATTGTATTAAATTTTCCTAATACAAAAAGATCGCTTTATTTCTGAAGGAAAATTTATCAAAAATACCGGTCAGGAAATTTTGTTCGACAATTGTCAGATTTTAATTCACATTTAAAAAATGTTCTAGGAGATAAACCCAGTTCTGTCCCTGAGTACCCAGTTATAGCAAGATTCGCTGCAGAGAACTTATAAAAGTTCGCTATCATAAGTTTTGGGTCGCTGAATTTTATTGGTCATGCCAGTTGTACAAGGTTGCGTACGTGATCATATCGTGATCTGCCTTACAGCCATAATTTACGAATGGTGTTTTCCTAAATAAAGGGCAGTCTTGTTTTTCTGAGGCAAAATAAATTTTCGAGATTTTTAAGCAATTGCAGAATATGCTGGTGCAGCAGTTTGCTACCATCAAGGCGCGTCCAATCGCTCGTATGTTTGAAAGGAAAAGAAAATAATTTAAAAACAAATAGGATAGACCAATTGGTCGATAAAGAAAATTTCAGGATAAATTATATCAGTCTGTCCCACGTTATTGTCCGTCTTGTAGTCCGTGTTCAGTGTGCCGATGACACAATACTTCGTTAAGAAGTGTGAGGTTGTACCATGTCGCTGTGCCGATGACGCGATGCTCTTTCACGGAGCGCGAGGCTGTGCCGTGTTGAATGTTTCCCGATGACTGATATTTTAAAAAATTACGGAAAAAAATTATTTGTAAATTGTCGTGAAAATTCCTTCTACAGGGAAGGAGAGACATACGTAAAAAGACCAGGTGGCAAACGATGTTTGAAACCAGCAAACGAATATCGAATTTTCATAAAACGTTTTTGCCTCAGAAGGGAAGATTTTCCGGTTATTTTCGAGAATGCGGTGTGTTACTTGTGGTTTTGTTGTATGGTTAACCGCTGATCAAAGTTCAAGTTCAAGTTCGACCGAATGATATCATCGATGGAATAGCATTTATTACAAAAATGAGTCAGGGAATTTAAAATCCAAAATATTTATAAACGAGAAACTTAGTTTATTCCGATTTTCGACAAAATTTCCAAAAAAAATGAAACACATTTACTCCGCTATACCATGGACCGCAGTAAAAGTTGGCAGAATCTTAATGAATCCCTTGTGTACTCTAATGTGCGAGTAGCGTATACGCATAATTGTGTTTAATTTTTAATTTTGACAGCCCGAAACTGAAGAGTTTTCTTAAACTCAAATTGGTTTATGTAAGGTTGAAAGAGCCAGAAAAAAAAAGAATTCTGTCTTGGTGCTCGATGAGTAATGCGTTTTTGATTATCGGATATCCTAATAACTGCGTGTTTGAAAAAACCATATTTTATTGCCTTTATTTGTGCTGTTTTGATTGGTTATTTTCTTTTCCGGTATGGTATTTGTATATGTTTGTTAAGTGTTTTCTGCAGCATTGGTGTTCCGCGAAACGCGATGTTTTTGAAAAGCGTAATTAAAGGTCATCATGTAACAGTTTCTTAGGTTTCTTAGGTTTATTCTTAGGTTATCTTAGGTTTCTCAGGTTTCCTAGGTTTCTTAGGTTTCTTGGGTTTCCTAGGTTTCTTCGGTTTCTTCGGTTTCTGTCACGACTTGAAGGTGGCGGAATAATGTATTTATTATGAACCGCCACTGAGGGCGCAAACAACCAACTGATTGTTGTCATCAGGACAACAATGGCACTCTGCAACCGCAGTTGCCATGCTGGACAACACACCACATAGAGGTCACAGCGGACACAACGTTCTCGTGACGTCAGTGCCACTGCACTACGCCACAGTTTCTTAGGTTTCTTAGGTTTCCTAGGTTTCTTAGGTTTCTTAGGTTTCTTAGGTTTCTCAGGTTTCTTAGGTTTCTGAGGATTCAAAAATTTCCCAGGTTTTTTATGTTTATAGGCTTAGGTTACTGTACTTAGGTTACTGTACTTAGGATACTGCACTTAGGTTTCGTTTGTTCTATCCTTATTCTTTTCCAGAAAAAAAATCAGGAAAACCTAAGAAAGCAATGAAGACCCAAGTAATCTAAGAAATTTCGGAATAACCTAAGGATAGCTTGAGGAACTTAAGAAAACCTAAGAAACCTAAGAAACCTGTGAAACCTGAAAAACCTAAGAAACCTGAGAGGCCTGAAAAACCTTAAGAGAATATAGCCTAAGAATTAATGATTGCCTAAGAAACGTAAGAGATCTTAACAATATTACCCTGGAAATTGGAATATAGCCCAAGAAACTTTAGAATAACATAAGGAAGGCAATGATAAATTGCATCTTTAGGAAGGCGAAGGCGAATGCGCACCGCTCAAAAGGCGGAGGCGAAGGCGGAAGGCGAAGGCGAAGGCCACTCATACCTAGCCGCGCTGCACTCGTACGCTGCCGGCTAAACCGGTTGAAAATTCTGCCTCGCCACTGGCCAGTCAGCGCAGTGTACGAGACGTACATGCCATTCAACAGTTTCAACAGTCAGCAGCCAATATCGAACAGCTATCTGTGCATTGTGTAGTGTCTGGTGTTTCTCTACGATACAAGAAGTATCTTCGTAGCGAGATTCGGATGTTTTCGATAGATAAGAATTTTCCATCATCATAACACAGCACGAGGACAGTTTAGAAACCGGTTTGTCAGCCAACGCAGAATTCTTCTTTGTGGCAGCATAGCGGAAGAACTGACCGTGTCTGCAGCAAAAATGCCAGCTGCCAGTGTGTTGTTAGCTACAGTGAGTCCAGAAAGAAGTGCTCCACGTTGCCCCCAAAATCACAGACTGTGATCTCCCTGGCATGTGACGATAATCGCGCTGCCTCGTTGGAATGCTGCACCACATCCAAGTTTAGAAAGACAGACAGTCGGACACGCGTTCCCACGTTTATAAGCGTGGGAATTTTAACCGCTTAGTTTATTAACGGTGTGCCAGCCATGTTGCCGGCGCAGTACGCCGCCATACGGCCCCGTCCGCCCAGTCCGGCGCCCAGCACCGTCACCGTCGTCCAGCCGGACGCGGACGACGCTCCCCCGCCGGAGCCAGTGTCTGGACGTCGAGCCGGCGCCACGGCCAACAAAAAGACGGCGCGGGAGTACAGTTTCGTCAACACGGTAACAATAACGTTGACTGCTCCCGTCGACAGTATGCTGTTTAATGTTGATGATGTCCACAGGAGAAGAACATCAGCTGCCCGCTGTCCTGCATCTGCAACGTCGTGGCAGCAAAGAGAAGCGGCACGCCAAGCCCAAACAAGTTGTGTCGCAAGCCGTACGTGGCGTAAGTAATGTGTTTCTATGGTCATGCAGTGGATTAAAAAGATGTTTGTCGTGCAGGGCCAGTGTTTCCTGTTATGTCTGCTGGACAGTCCGCGCAGTGCGCCCACCTTCCTGCGCCAGTGCCTGGTCAATCAGGAGCTGCGCCTGGCCTACTGGCAGCACCTCACCGCCACCAACGGGCTGCCGCACGAACGCCACGAGTACTAGTCAGTCAACGGTAGAAAGTTGCTTCGTTTTAGTGACCTTCTTTAATTAGCCGGTTTGATCCGCAGGGATGACGAGCGGGAGAACAGGATGCGGGAGGCGCTGTTTGCTCCGCTGTCGGCGGAAGAGCAGCGCCACCAGCGGGAAATCGCCGCCTGCGACAATACAGCCGACTGGTGTGACCGGACCAATAACGGACAGACGCCCATGACTGGTCTGCCGCCCGTGGCGGCAGTGCCGACAGTGTTGTCGGCGGCCGTTAGCAGTGCTCCACCGTCGGCCAGCACGGTCGCCAGTGTGGCTAACGGTCCGCAGCCTCGACCGCCAATGATCACCATGACCACCGTCAACGCCAACTCCAGCCCGATGCCACGGCCGCCAATGACCATCACACCCACCGTTGGCACGGGCATAACCACCACGCCCACGGTCACCACCAGCGCCACTCTGATGCCGCCACCCATCGCCCTGCCGGCAGTCCGCACCCTCATGCAGCCCAACAAGGTGTTCCGCCCAGCGCCAGCGGTCAGCGTGGCCGGCAGCGGCATCCCACCACCGAATGATCCCGTCGCAAGCATCACGCTACCGCCACCAGTCGCCGTCATCTCCCTTTGCAACGAGCCGAGCAGCCGCACCGACCCCACCGACCGCGGTGTGCTCACCGTGCTGAAGCGCCTGCCGGAGCGGTTGTGCAAAAAACGGACCGCCGGTGGACCGGAAGCCGGCGCCAGCGGCGCTGTGGCGCTCACTGCGCCGTCCGTAGTCCCGACTGCCCGACCAGCACCGGTCGCCCGTCCCAGCCAACCGAAGAGACCGTCCGCGGCGGCGGAAGCGGCGCTCTTCCCGGTGGAGCGGGTCATGGGCGCCAAGCTGGTGACGGACAGCAGTAAGCGCGGACCGGCGGCGCGCCAGACCTTTTACCTCATCAAATGGGAGGGCTTCCCGCGCAGCCACAGCACCTGGGAGCCGCGGACGCAGCTGCACTGTCTGCAGGCCATTCGGGACTTCCACAAGGCGCACGGGTAGGTCGGGGACAACTTCCGGACGCCGGAAGTCCGTTGCCGTTTTAATTATTCAGCTGGTGAAATATTTTTGTGTTGGCTTAGGAGACTGACGGTGCGGAAACCGAAAATCCTCAGCCCGGAAGGCGCGGACTTCGAGATGTCCCGGGGAGAGCCGCCGGAGGAAGGGCAGCCGGCCAAGCAGCCAACCGAAACGGGAGCGTCGACGTCGCTGTATCTGCGCAGTCGGCTGTGCGCACTTCCGGCCTAATCAGCGACACACGCCGCTGCCGCATCAGTTATTACGTATTAAAATGATGTATCTCTTTTTCTAGTTGTATTACTTAGACGGCTGGTTAACAGGCATTTGAACCAGCTTCTCCTTTGTCAGCTTACACAATTTTTTATAAGTATTTTGGTGTGTATCCGCTGTTTTTATTGGGTTATTAATACGGCATATATGCAACAAGTAAACTGTGTTAAATAAGTACTGCGTGTGCTGCTGTGGTGACTGTGCCGGCTACGGCGTAAACGCGTCATAACGCAGCTACATTTCCGCTCGCCGGCGCGACGGATGGCCGGCGTTTCAGTTCGGTTCGGCGAACGTCCGTGTGCGGCTTCGCGGTACGGTGCACGGCGTTTACACGAAGGCTTCCGTGTTGGAAACTGGATTTCCTCGCAAGTACAACACACCGTGGTATACTATACGAGAGCGGAAGGTGATTTGTTGTTTTTGCTGTTGGACAACAAATCTCCTGGCTCTGGGCTAAAATAACAAGAGACAGTCTTTATAACGCGCCAACACGCCGACGCCGGCTGGATGCATCTGTATTAAATCATTAATCGCCCATATAGCTTTCCTACTGATTTTGCTCACAATTATTGGTAGTTGACTTGTCGCGGCATTCGGTAATTTTCCTATTTATTTTTCGCGAAGCCGGTGTGTGGAAACCTTTGATCCCCGTGTCAGTATTATAATTTTCTCCTCCTTGTACAATGACGGCGATTTGCGTAGCAGTGTGTCTACTCCTCGGCGGCGCCATGGCCTTTCCAAGTAAGTAACGGAAAGAGTATTACGTGTACTTATATATAATATCCCTGTGTTTATACGTCGGCGATGTATTCGTACGCCGCTCCGTTACCAGTGCCTCCCGCGAGAAAATCTCTGTCGAGTAACCTGAATGCATGTACAAACCACTTTCCTGACTAACGCAGTTTACGTTTCACGAAAACGCGTGAGCTGAATATTTCAAATGAAAGAATATCAGGGACTTCCGGCGCTTGACGCAAATGCTACGTACATCAAACGGGAAATAATGTGAATGTCTAATTTTGAGTTTGAAACATCGACCGGATGATTTCCAGTCCCGCTACGGAAGTAGAGTGGACAGTAATGGATGACCGGGAAATGGATTAATGACTGTAGAGTTTCGCAGTGTCACTGTGCAGATACCGGTATCGTCAAGCAGCGGTTAACTTTTCCGGTACAGCGATGTAACGATCACGTAAAGTATCGAAGACGCCGCCGATAGCCGCTACATTGCCGCATTCCAGGGACCACTGCCAGCAGCAAACAGCGCCGGCCGGCCGGGCGGGCTGCGGTCCGGTCGCAGCTAACGGGCCGCTACCGGCACACACCCACGTATGCGCTCAGCTTTTATTCAGCCGTCTTCCTTATTCCCATTCGCATTATATACATATTAGGCAGTTAATAGGGTTTCGCAGTATCGTAATATATATACCGGTTTTTCAAGCAACACAAGATAACAGCCGCGCTTATACGCCAGTGAATATGGTTGCTTGTTTTGCAGTGCAGCCGATGCAGCCGATGACCTTTAGCAACATGAACTTTGACGCGTTCAACGCGCAGACGAACGCGCAAAAGCAGAACCAGAAGACCAGTCAGGCGGCCTCCACCGGCGACGCCTCGGCCGATTCCGGCCAGATCGCCAGCAACCAGAACTCCAACATGCTCACCAACGCCAACGGCACGCTGACCAACGCCGGCTCCCAGGGCGGCTGCTCCGGTGGTAACTGCGCGCTGTCTGGCGCGGCGCAACTGCAGGTAATTATACAACCCGGCTACACTCTTCAAATACGTGCCTGTATATATCGGTATTAAGGAAAAGATGCTTGCAGGCCGGCGACCAGAGTCAGGGCCAGAAGCAGGGCGCCAACCAGAACCTCTTGGGCCAAAAGGGCAGCAACAGCCTGCAGATGCCCAATCTCCTCGGCAACAATATGTTCAACAACGCCAACCTCAACACGCAGAAGCAGACGCAGAAACAGACGCAGATCGGCGGCGCTGCTACCGGCACCGGCGCGGCCCAGCTCGGTAAGGCCTGATGACCTTTTCCTTAATTAGTTTTAAATTGTTGTAATTTGATTTAAATATAGGCAGCGTGACCTTGAAAACCTTTTCCCTTCATCGTTAATTTATTGTACTGTAACTTAATTATACGCAGATCTCGATGCACTTTCCCTTTATCTTTAATTAAATTTAATGTAATTTAATTTAATTATAGGCAACGTGACCTCCAACCAGAACACGGTGGGCGAGACGAACAAAGCCGGCGGCAACGTGCTGGCCACCAACGTCGGCTCGGGCATCGGCACCGGCGTAAACCTGAACGGCGCCTCGCAGGCCAAGATCCAGGGCCAGACGGCCACCCAGGAGGCCGGTCAGGCCAGCAACCAGCGCGTTAACCAGGCCGTGCAGGGCGCCGGGGCGGCGGCGCCCGGCTGCGCCGTCGGCACCACCAACCAGGCCAACACTAACCAGACGCTGGCCAAGCAGAAGCAGGAGCAGACGCAGGCCGACGCCGCCGCCGCCGGGCAGGGCGGCGCGGCGGAGGGCGCCGTCAACAGCGCGCAGGCCAGCAACGTGCAGCAGACCGACAAGGGCACCATGAGCGTCTCCAACTCGCAGGGCACCGCCGCCGGCAAGGGCCTGCATTTGAGCGGCGCCTCCAGCAGTAATCTGCAGTCGGCCGGACAGAAGCAGCAGCAGAACACCGCCGCCGGCAGTAATCTCGATAACCAAGCGGTTAAATGCTGAAACTGAATTTATTTGTTACAATTTCAAATCGTGGTTGTTAATGGTGCGGTGCATACGTTTGTCTTTCTCTACTTCAGCCTAGGACGGCTTCGAGATGATTATAATTAAGCCGGTAATGCCGGTGTTACTTGGGGACTTTTCGTTCAAAAATAAGATGAAGTTAACTAAGCAAGGTGCTCTCCGCTTCGATTTTGCAGGAGCCGAGCGAAAGTGCACATCGCACATCCTACGTATCTTTACGAAAGCAATTGTAACCGTAAAAACATTCTCGGGGTCTGCGAATTACGTGAAAAAAATATCTCGCAACTGTAACAAAGTGTATGCAGAATTTAGAATATATGCATCTACATGCATATATATATATATATATATATATATATATATATATATATATATATATATATATATATATATATATATATATATATATATATATATATATATATATATATATATATATATATATATATATATATATATATATATATATATATATATATATATAATGCAGAGTTATGTGTCTACAAAGCTACGAGTATTTACCGTACACTCCCGTCACTACCAAAAGAAGTACGGCCGTGAAAAATATAGATGCTTATACACCCTCAGATTTTTATATACAGATTTTTTGTAGTTTTTACACCAGATTCATATCATACAGCAGGAACACGTATTTCCAACGGATAAGGATGGAAAAGAGCAATCAGATGTACAGTGAGAGAAATCAGCTAATCTAGGCAAAGTATACCAGTACAGATTATTGTCCTCCTGACTCCTCCTGCTCCCGGATGCCTTTTCCGGCGCCGCGGATGTGTTGTGGCGGTCAATGCGAAAGCCATTAGCCGGGTGTTGCATTGTTACTCTTGTTAGTCTTGTATACTGTACAATGTAATTCATTTATTAAACTGTTTATGAGAGCAGGCGAAAGTCATTCCACTTGTTTTCTGTTTCAACGTTTAAGTTAGGAGATTATGCATGGTAGTGCTATGAGGGTGTTGTGGACAGTCCCTTCTCATGTTAATTGAGACAAATTCTTTATTTGATTGTATATACTGAGTGGCGCTCATTGATTTGCATATTGAAAAATAAATTTACACATTTAATAACGGTTAACGACAGCTGTACGTACGTACAATACACGGCGGCGCGCTGGCCATTGGTTGGAGGAGAACATTACATCCGGCGTGTTGTGCAACAACGGCCGCACGACACGACAAACTCGTGTATTGTACATACTGATTATGAGTGACATGAAGTTTCCTTATTAATTAATTTAATAATTCTTGTTGACGGCTCGCAACCGGATGCTGTTGCAATATACCGATACAAGTACGCTGTATGCGTTGCGTGAGTTTCCACTGGCAATTCCGTTGACTAGTCGCAAACGATAACAAACAACGTCGACCCGGCGATTAATTGGCGAACCAGCGTTTAATTAGTTAATGGCCAAGAAAACAAACCAGATCAAATCGTAGTTAGGTAAGTAAGGAAATCATGTGACCTGCACAGCTTGTAAGCGCCATTACAAAATCGGCCTCCTCCAATTAAAATGAGGAGCTCACCAGGCTAAATCCCATACTATCCCGTGTAAGACAACGCAGAATGGTAAACATCATTAATGTTGCAGTACTTCTTAATTACTAATAATACTCTGTATTATCTAACGGATGGACGCATGCATAAAAAGATGGAAGTATTGTTATAAAGCAGCGCTCAGTGACAGCGATGTCAACGGTTGGCTAATAGTGTAGTGACCATTGCAACAGCTGCCATCCATGGGACAAAGGTCACGGTCGTGCCTGGAAATCGCCAGGCCGTGCCAAGGCGGCAGTGCATCCATATTCCATGGTCAGCTACATGTATGTGTAGAGCGGGAAGCAGGTTAGGGAGGAGCTAGTTAAATTGGGGGAACAGGGCGGCCAGGACACGTGCAGATGGGGAATCAACGGACTGGGAGACCAAGATTAAGCTGTGCTATTTATACAGGAATTAACCAGGCCGAACGTTGCCGATCCACGGTTGTTGGCACAGGTCGCCTACTTCTTCTTGGCGGCCTCCTTCAGCAGCCAGATGATGTCGCCACCATCGCCACCTCCGCCGCCGCCAAACTGGCCCATCACGCCCTCTGTAAGGACACGAAAAGCACACTCAACATACGCTCATGTTTTATATACGCTTTTTCACACACTTAGATTTTTTAAATATGGTTTATATTTATATATGGTTGGTATATGGTTTATATATATGTTTTTTGATATATGAATACTTGTTTTTTATATACGCTTTTAAATACACTTTATGTATAAAGGCTTATACATACATTACATATACTTTTATATATATACTTTATGTGTACTTTCATAATATATACATATATATAGTAATACTTTTATACAACAATATATTTTAATATAATAATTTTACTTTTATATATACTGTACGTCATATATACCTTTACATATACGCTTTTATATATGTTTTTTATATACGTCATATTTTTATATCCGCTTTTTTAGCACATATTTATTCTATAATTCATTAACTTTATTACGAGCGAAAGGTCACCGTCATAACATTTTACTCGACACGTGCAATTCACGTATTTATTTCAAAGGTCATCGGTAATTGTGCTTACCAGTGAAGAGACTGAGGAGGACGAGCATAACCAGGACGCAAAGAACCAACATTTGCATTGACATCTCCATGATCCACAGGGTTTCTGAAAGTTTCTCTCAACGCGAGATTAATGGCAAATCGTAACCCACTTCACAATTAATAAATCTCGTTAAGAACTAATAGATTTCTCTATGTAACGAATGGCCGACTGCTAGTCAACGGTTGCATATATATACGCCACACCGCTCACTCGCTCGAGCGCGCGTACACAATAGCAGCATTCCATTATTATTTCACCGCGGGAAAACATTTCCGCTGAATTTGTCAACAACAATGCCGAAAGAAACCAGTGTACAGGTAATGGCCTGTCAATCGCCGCGTCGTTCTGCAGGTCTCCAACACCACGTAACAGGCGGTGCGTTGCGTGGATCATTGTTTCGGCGAAAATGTATCAACTGCCACTCACAGCGCCGCCTGTCTTTCACCGAAATTCTGCCGTCTCACGCGGCTTTTATTGGTGGTTGAATAAGAAAGACTAATTCATGATCTCATTCTTAACAAAAAACCCTACAGCCGCGGCAACCCACTCATCAACATTTCGCCGGGCCCAACGCGATGATATCACCGCGCGAAACGGGAATTTTTTTCCGGTCGTGTGGAGCGGCAGTTTGGCACCGGAAACGAATCGTTTAATAGGCAGACGACGCTGAATGATGGACTCAAGTGTGAGGCAGTGTTTTCTCAACAAAGCGGGAGCAGCACGTGAAGAACAGACACGCTGCTGCGCTCTGTCAGTCAAATGAAGAGGCCGGTCGCTATTGTCAACCGCCCGCGTTGTGGAACGATTCATCATTATTCAGCAATATTCCTCTTTCATTTCATTGTCGCCGGCACACGGTCAACATCGTTAGCAATTTACCAGAGCAAATCCTCTCAAAAAACCACTTCAAAATTGTGCCCGCTCATCGGCGTATAAACCATTAAAAAAGCCAAGACAGGAAAAATCAAGACAGGAAGGTAAAACAGTGGAAAACGCGGGAATCGGTCCAACAAAACAGGATAAAAAATGCCAGATTGCGGAGATCCATCGTGGAAGCGAGTCAGAGGCACGTCTCAGCGGAGGCACTGGCGCGCCAGTCCCGTGGGCTGGATTTTGTCGCGCTCGGCCTTCTTGCGCTTCTCCAGGTCCACGGGGAACATGTGCCAGAGGCGGATGGTCTCGTCGGCGCCCGACGACACCACCGTCGACCCGTCGCTGCTCAGGCACACGTCCAGGATGCGGTCCGTGTGGCCTGCGCGCAAGCACACCCAATTCAGGACACAATGCAGCCGAGCAGTCGGGCCGCGGTTAAAAACTGCATTTATTACTATAATTATTATTATATCCACCTCTCTCAACGGGATATCTACCGGAATTTTTCTCTCGTAATTTTGACAATTTTATACATTTCTTCCGGTTGATTTGATGAGATGAATACAGAATAAATCGCTGCCACCGTCGTCCATTGTCGTCATACGCTGATATATAATAATATATTAAACTATATCGTTGCGTTAAGCCTGTATAGCACCTACCGGTGAGCTCGGCGATGCGCTCGAAGGAGGGATATTTCCACAAGATGAGCTCGTTCTTGGCGTAGCCATGGCCCGTGACCACCTCGCGGTACTCCTCCGACCACACCAACCCCGACACCTGCGAGCCCGTCTCCTTGCTGCAGATCAGACTGCCCATGTTGATGTTCCACACCTTCACGCAGCGGTCCGCCGTGCCGCCGCCCGACGCCAACACCGACGACTGCCACGGACACCACGCCACGGCCTGCATCAGAGGAGATTTGTCAGTTGACTGCGCCGCTGGGCTTTGTCGAGAAGATATATAAATAACATATATTTTACCACCGCAATATATTTTTTACCACTGCTACATATATTTTACATGATATATTTTACCACTGCAAAATTACTTCCCGATGGCGCTGCGTTTTCAAATGGGATGTTATTGTAAATGTGTCATTTACAAACCGCTGAACATGGTGGGAATAAGGAACATTCGCCTTTGAGCGTTAAAAGGAACAAGAATTCATTTTCTACCGCATCAGATGGGTTTGAATAAAAATGTCAAAGAAAGATATTTTATTTCAAAACATATTAAATATGCGACCGACGGTTGCATGTCCATCTGGCCATTGTGGCATATGCACCTTGACGGCGGCCTGGTGCAGCGTGAAGGCGTAGAGCGGGTGCTCGTGCGAAGTGTCGCCGACCAGTCCGGGCCCTTTCCCGGGAGCGGGGCAGGGCCAGATGTTGAGGACGTTGTCGTTGCCGCCGCTGGCCAGGTAGCGCCCATCCGGCGACCACCGCAGTCCGCACACTTCCTGCAAGCATCCGCAGTCATCATTCAGCGCAATGATCACTTAATCAGAACTCAAACGTATTACCAATTTTATTACGTATTTTATCAGGGCTGCAGCATATGAATTTCGTTGATACCATACGGCGGAGAGCTTATTTAAGACCGTACTTTACTTTTTAATGTAATATTTATATAATGTTTGTCTTATTACGAGTTACCGGCACGAACATTGGTGAAACAAATATCGTAATTTTTCCGTAACGAGTCAATGTGATTAAAACGCGGTGTACCTGGGAGTGGGCCCTGAGGGAGCAGAAGTAGTGCTCCTTGACGCGCACATCGTGGTAGTGCACCGCGCCGGACTTGCAGCCGCTGGCCAGCACGTGCTGGTTCCAGTCCAGACAGCCGACGCGCTCACTGTGCCCGCCCAGCACGCGCACGCGCCGCTTCTCGTTGGCGTCCCAGATCTGCACCTGCACATGTCACACACATACAGTCAACGACAACCCTCTCAGACACAGCGTTAACAACTGAATACACAGCGAAAACAGACACTTAGTTTATCCAGCGGAAATATTTATGCTATTCTATAAGAGTACACGAGCAAAAAAACAGTCTCGTTGAATTATTGTTCAAAATCTACGAGTACAAACAGAAGCGGAAGCAATGCTCACTTCCGGTTGCGCAACACAAGCATTTCAACCTTCAGCTGAAACAACATTCCTACAACCAACGGCAATAATGCTGCTGATGAGGAAACGGCTCATAAACGAGCCAAAGAAACTCAATTAGCGATGACGAATGCATATACTCAAAACTAATAATAATTTAATAATTATTATTCATTAGTATTTGAGATAATTGACAAGTAGGTATTATTACTCTCTTATTATTATTATTACTCTCATTCATGATAAGTATTACTGTTTTATTCAAGCAGTTTTTTAGCACGACTGACATACACATTCGGTTGACATGCGCATTTACGCACCTCTCCGTTACTGATGCCGACGGCGAGGAAGTTGCCGGCCTGCAGCCAGGACACGCCGGACACGTAGCGCTGCTCGCCCTCGACGGCGCAGCTGAACAGCTCGTCAATCGCCGCCGTCTCCCCGTTCCACAGGTACACCGCGGCGCCCAGCGCCACCGCCAGCATGTTGCGCCCGCCCCAGTCCAGCCGCGTCAGATCTGCACGCACCAACATCAACCACTTATCAATCATTATTCATCTGTCCATCTCGTAATAATTTATTCGAAAGAAATTTGATGAAATTAATTACACAAATTTACTAATGTAACGGCAGAATAATATTCTTTTCAGCATCTTCAGCCAACTGGCTCACTCAGATTACAAGGAAAATTCGATGTATAGAAGTATTAAAAAATTAGTAAGCCATCGAGGTACCAGTTTTATCACGAATTTTATTTAAAGTAATTAATGGAACAAAATCTAGCCAAAAACGGGAAAAATAAGTCATAATAGCGTAGAAATTCAGAAAATCCCCGGACACCTTCTGGCCAGTACAGGTACTCACAGTAATCGTTGAGGAGGTCGGGCGCGTCCAAGATGCGGGAGGGAACGGCGGGGATGGCGCGCGGGATCTTCTTGGCGTTGTGGGCGCCGGTCTTGCTGATGGCGTGGGTGTACAGCGAGGAGAAGGGGTTGGTGGAGCCTGCAAGGCACACTGCATCACCGCCGCATGAGCCAGCGTACGCCGAGATCGAGCAGAAGACAAGCGGTACCTTCGGGCGCGGGCGGCGGCTTGGCGCGGAACTCCAGGATGCGGTCCTTCTTCTGGTCGCCCAGCAGCGCGTTGCTCAGACTGCGCCGCGACTCCACCATGCGCGGACTGGCCTCCCCGTCCTGGAACACCGACTCCTCCAGGCTGCCCTTCAGCGACAAGGCCGCGCAGCTCAGATTGCTCAGCGAGCCCGACCGTTTGGGGATGAAGCGGTCGTAAGCGGGAGCGGCGCTCGGCGATTTCCCTGCACAAAAACACATGCACATCGCTGATGATCTCGCGCGCTTTTCATGCTCACGTTCGTAAATTATTATTTTCCTATTTAGCAGTACAAGAAAATTTCAAATTCATGTCATCATAAAATAGCAAATTAAAAGCACAATAAATATGAAATTCTTATAATAAAATTTGACATTATTACCACAAACATTCCAAATCGATTTAGCAGCATAATAACATTTCAAATTAAAAACACAATCACTATCTATCAAATCAATACTACAATAAAATATTCGTTTAACCGTAATTAGATCTTGATATTGTTATCACGCTATTGAAATAAATTATGAGATTCACTAATAAAATATTAAATTGCAATTTGCAACCATAAAAAATAAGTGAGAATTACCAAATTAACATAATAATAAAATACTGAATTATTCTCATCATAGCAGGTCAAATGTGTTAAATACTTACTGAAATGTGGTACTAAAATATCCAACTAACGTTGTAATAAAGATTGACAAATTACCACCATAACCAATCATTCCACTAATAAAATACTAAACTAATACATCAATCATAAAATTAATAACAGTTTGATTATTATGGCAAGAAAATATGAAAATAATTATTACGTCATAAATTACACAATAAAATACTAAAATTAATTTCCTTTCCGCCGTCCTAATTGCATAGTTTTTCTACACATGCAGGCACAGTACCGAGTCGGGGAGTGCGGGATTTGGAGCTGGAAGTGACGCGTCCGGCGGAGTTGTCGCGCGATCGGCCGCCCGCCCCCGCGTGGCGCCCACCGTCCTCCTTGTTCTTGGGGGTCCGCGAGCCCGAGGCCGTGGTGGCAGGCAGGCCCGAGGTGTTGAGGAGGCTGCGGTCGTTGGCCAGGAAGGAGCTGCTCAGCAGCGAGGTGTTGTGCGCGTTGCTGCTGGCCGATAAGGACGCGTTCAGCGAGGTGGAAGCCATGGCTGTATGCTCCGCAGCACCTCAAATTCCGTCGATTATTCCTCCACCAAAATGGACCACTGCCTGCAATGAACCCACCATAATCATCAATATAGAATACAGATCCAATACAGCCAACACTCCGCAGGCAACACTGTCCGGCGTCCGCAACACACAGCAAAAACCAGAGAAGACTCGATTGCTGGCTGCAGCAGGCATGCAACGAACCAAGTTTTGGCACAGTGTTATGATTATTCATTATTTCCTCTTATTTTATACCAATCCTGTCTGGCATAAATCAGTGCAAGTTTCTTACAAATTTTAAATACCGTTTTTCAGTACAAATAACAAATTCATCCAAGTTTCTGAGCAAATTGTGCAGGGGAATTTTGAAAGACTGAAAGCAGAAAGTGAGAAAGAGCCAAAGACCCATCTTGCTGAATTGCCAGACTACGCTGCCTACTTACACCGTAACACGAGATCCCGCAACTGCCAACGATGGCCAACAGTCCCCGATTAATTTATTTTCAGTGCTGTTTAACAATAAACATTATTCATCAGCGGTCTAAGAAAATATCCAGCATCGCACAGTATAAAGTTGAATTTTTAAAAGACGGCAGCTTGAAAATTGTCAACATGCGAACTGCGAACAGTACAAACGCAGCAAGTCAACAACCGCTGCCGCGGTGCGCGCTGTGCAACCGTGCACGGTATAGGGATGGCGTGCAGTTGTGTTCCATTGCACGCCCGCTTACATATCAATGGCAGACGCTTAAATATCAAAAGAATGCGGTATCTGTACAGACTGTTAACTTACTCCGCCGTTTTTTGCTCACTCACGTTTGATTTTGGTCTCTACGTTGCGGTCACAAATTCGGTGACATTATGCGAATTTACAGTCTAGAAATTGCAACAAATTTTAATTGATCCATATGAGCCAAAATTTAATGTTTTTACGGGTTTCGAAATCGTTTTCCACAAATTCGAAATTTGCTTGAATAAAAAAAAATTATTGGAATATCGTATTTATAAATACGGAGGAGTTGTGAAAGTTATTTAAGTATTTAAAAGAGGATTGAGTAATCGGGTGTGGCTGGCTTATTATTTTAAAAAAATTATTTAGAAAATGGTAAGTAGTAATTTTGCTTGCAATTTTGTGCGTAAACAGCTACACTTTACGTTCCGCCTCACTAGCCCATATACTTACTACGCCGCACAGCGACAGTTCAGATTATCAGATTAAGTACGAAACCGGTAATCGGATCCAGTTCTACAGGGTTTCTGGATATTGCTGAAGTAAAACTGATTTATCATTTTTCGGTTAATTATTTAAAGCTAAATTGTTGGCGTGCAGCTCTTTAGGGATCTTTTTATGCAGTTTCCGGTGCTATATTCAAAACATATTTACGATTTTTTCCCTAGCTTATAATCTGCAGATGGTCAGCTCGTAAATTTCGACGTTCTACCGGAAACGTACGCCTTAATTCGTCATTCAGCTTTCGTGGCGATTATTGTAGTTAATTATTTTATTTGGTAATATATTGGTAATTTATTTGCATGACTAAAATACTGTTGTGTTTTCCGGCGGCCAAGGCGTGCTGCATGTCGGCGGCAGCTCCTTACACATGGCCGTGGTAGTTATGTGCGTAATCGTAATCAGCGTAGTGCATTGGCATTAATCGTAAGGATACTGTACGAGTATAGACAGTGGAACCGGGTACGCAGTAATAACATCCTAAATTTGTTTGCCTTAATACAAATTTTTTGTAGAAATTCTTTTTATTATTACCGTTAGTTTTCTTTTTCGGTCATGACTATAACGCGGGGCCATATGGGCGCCACGCGTATCCTCGACAGCGAACAGCGTGAACCCGGATGAGGCTTTATTGCCGAATCTAATGCGCACCGTGGCGCAGCAACACCAAAACTAATGAGGAAGGATCCTGCAGCCAGTGCAACTGTGCTGCAGGTCCGTCAAAACAGCGCAGCAATGTGCGGGGGGGAAATCCCCAGAAACAGCGAATAACTACTCAGGAGGGCGGGGCGTCCCTTACACCCTTTGCAGGCATCGCTACGTCCTCGGAGCGAAATCTCCCAGGATTCGGAGGATCCGCACCCCCCCGCCGGTTCGGCTCATGTTGGGTTCCGGGTCAGTTCGGTCCGGTTCGGGCGGTTAATCCGGTCGGCTCGGTTCCAGTTTGGTCGGCTCAAATCCGGTTCGGCTCAGGTTGGGTTCCGGGTCAGGTCGGCTCCGGTTCGGTCCGAGTCAACCGTCTGGGTCAACGCACTGTCGCGCCAGATCCAGGGTCCAACCCGGAAACGGGTGAATTCCGTAGTTTCTTCCAGCAAGGGAAAGGTCACGTTCTGGGAAATTTGGGCAGGGGTTTGGGGTCTATGTGGCCGGTGACCCTGCAAAAAAACAAAGCACGCAAATCCGCGGTGAAATCCACTGCTCCGTCCGGGGGGATGTCGCCGTCCCAGGAAGTTCGGGCAGTGTTTTGGTGGGGAATTCTTCGGCGTGGTGCTGGTGGTCGATCCGTGCCGTTGGGATCGGAGTTGGTGCTGCTGTTGGCGGTGTATCCGTTATGGTTTCCCGCTGGTCCGGGTCGCGTTCGCCGTCGGCATCGCAGGAGGCAATTCTCGCTCCACGGCATCGCAGGAGGCGTTTCTCGCTCCGCGGCATCTCCGTCCAGTTTGGGAGGCATGTCGTCGCGGGGAGGCGTCCATCTCCGTCAGTTGGGAGAGGAATCCGTCACGTTCCGCGAGAATGGGGGGGCGTTTGTAGCTCCACACCCAGGGGTTAAATTGGCTCAAATAATCAGAGGAGCCGTGCGCGCGGGCAGCGTGCACGGCCTGGCTCGTAACCAACGATCTGCTACCATATAACGCGGGGCCATATGGGCGCCACGCGTATCCTCGACAGCGAACAGCGTGAACCCGGATGAGGCTTTATTGCCGAATCTAATGCGCACCGTGGCGCAGCAACACCAAAACTAATGAGGAAGGATCCTGCAGCCAGTGCAACTGTGCTGCAGGTCCGTCAAAACAGCGCAGCAATGTGCGGGGGGGAAATCCCCAGAAACAGCGAATAACTACTCAGGAGGGCGGGGCGTCCCGCCCTTACATGACTGTGAATTTGATATCAGGGCGTTGAGCTATTTGGCGAGCTAAAAAAATATTTTTTACACGGCATGCATTCCGTATTATGGAAGTTGGTTGTGATGGGAAATTAAATGCTGGATCTATATTAGTTGGGTACTGCCTGTGAAACTGTGGATCAAAGGTGGGCAGAAAGTTTATCACAGCCAGAAAGTTATAAACAATTAGTTATATTAATTTATGTTATCAGTGAAAAAAAGGATTTATTTTACATTAATTCAAGTATTTTATCGCATTTTAAATTGATATAAAAGACAGTATTTCGTCGCGTATAATTGTTGTATTGACCGTCGCGTTGGCGGTTTGTACATACACTATGTAAAATAACTATAGCGGGCACAATTCGGATTTACATTTAGGTTTTTTTATTAAGTATTTTTATGTATCTGTAATTTGCAAAACATTTACTGTTCTTTTTTTAGTTGGCGTGAATTGGCATTTGAAATTGTGAGGAATCGTAGTATACAGGCTCCTGTCGCATCACTTCAGATTTCGGAACACCTGTTGTGTTAATCGTGCTTGCTGCTAATATGGATGTAATTGAAGATAGTCCTTAGGGTTTTTTTTAAAATTATGTGTAGGATGCGTTTTCCACATTCTTTAAACCTTTATCCTCGATGAAATTCGTCTTAGTTTTATACTAATATTGTTTTGTTTCCTGAAGATTTACCTTTGCTTTATTTCAGTTGTATTTTATTCTGAATATTTATCCTAAGTTTCTTTATTTTCTGCACCATTTTTGGTTGATTAGCAGCGTTTAGTAATTTATAATTATGTATTATACCACGAATTACAGTAGAAAAACTGAATATATTAAATTTAATTAATAATGCAATTACTTACTTAGTAATTCAACTTTGATTTAGCATGTTATTCGGTTTATTTTTTTGTATTTGCCATTCGTACCTACCTTGGACAACCTCGCCCTTGTAATTAATAATGCGGTTTAAATGAAGCGATTTGATAGATTTTATTAAAGTAAATGAATAATGATTGTCATTAGTTATGTTGTCTACGTACTTACAAGTTTCTTGTACCGATTCCGAACCGTTAAGCCGGTACGCTGCAATCTGCATTATTAATTATTTTGTTTTATTTCCGCAACCGTCAGTAATTGTAAGTACATACTGTAAAATCCCCAACAATTAAAATACAGTACGAGTACACGTATTCTATGCATTTGCTGAAGATCAGCATGCACAGATTTGTAAAAAGCAGCAAGGAAACAGCTACGAGTAGGAATTAGATTCTAAAAAACAGTCATACACAACAGGATCGAGTCGCAGCCGAGGCGATGCGTGCCGGGAGAGAGCGACGCATGCGTACAGCGTACGATGCCGGTGTTAATTAACAATGTGAATTGTACATCGCCCCATGGGCCATAACCTGGTCAACAATTCTACAACAAATTTACTAATAACGAACCGGTCCTACTCCGCGTAGAACAACCGAAACAGTCGAAATTGGTCATCGGATTGAGCGAAAACGGGAGAGTGGTGGCATATATATAACTGGCAGCGAAAACCTGCAAAGGTCACCGATTACACACTCGCCGGCAAAACGCTGATGTCAATGATTGATTGATTGTTTATTGAGTTGCCAAGCCGGGTATAATTCGGCAGTCTCACAACGACTTACCATTAGGTTAACCGCCCCAGCGACCACGTCCTCGGCCCCAACCGCCGCGACGACGACGTCCCCAGCCACCGCCCCAGCCACCGCCCCAACCCCATCCACCGAAACCGCCGTAGTACGGCCAGCCCCAATCACCACCCCAGCCCCAGCCGCCCCACATCGGCCATCCCCAGCCGCCGCCCCAGCCCCATCCGCCCCAGCCGAGACCGCCCCAGCCGCCGCCCCACAGACCGCGACCGCCGCCCCAGCCGCCGCGGCCGAATCCCCCGCCGAAACCGCGGCCGCCACCGAATCCTCCGAACCCACCGAATCCGCCGCGGCCACCACCTCCAAAGCCACCGCCGCCGCCGCGGGCGTCTGCACCGCACACAGATAATTCGGTTAGCTGATGCCGGTTAATCATACTTATCTTATAAAAGTCTTATATATATGCAGTAACGCATATATGAAGTTGTATATACATACATATATTTTATATATGCAGCTTTATATACAATTATATTAGCTGATACAGTTGTATGTGTTTTGTATATATGCAATTTTTTATATGTGTATGAAATTTTATACATAAATACTTTTATATATATAAAAGTATATATATAAACTTTTATATATACTTTTATATATATATAAATATATAAAATTTTATATACATATATGTTTTTTTATATATAGAAGTTAAAAATACTGGTTCTGGACCTACCAATGAGAGGGAGGAGCACCAGGGACAGCGCCCCGGCCAGTAAAAAGGCCAAGGAAAAGTTGCGCATCGTTAACAGATTGCCGCAGTAATCCGCGTATACCAGTGCTGGTGGACTGGCGAAGAAAACAACAAAAACCAACTGTTTGTTCTGTGCAGCCGGGGCCGGCTGTTGTTTTATAGTTGCCGCATCGGCAACGGCCGCGTAAACACGAGAGAATTCTTCGCCCGTGGCGAAGAAAGACTTCGTTGTGTATCAATTGGATTGCCGGCCATATACTGTAGCTTGAGTGTTTTCAAAATTGATTTCTCCTTAAATTCGCGGAACATTGGCACCTGATCCGACTCCATCGATCGCGGCATATTTATTCGACAGAGTATGTATCGCGCGGATGGAGCAATTAATTTAATACGAGCTATTAGCAGCTACAGTAAATATTCTACGTTTCAGCCTTGGAGCGGCGCGGATTTTATGACAGGCAGCCGGTCGACCTTCCTGTTAGCCACGCGCGCCTCGTTTTTTCTCCATCAACCAGCCAGTATAGCGTTCCTTAATAGAGTCGCGCGTTTATTTCTTCCTTATCCAAAACCGGTCGCACACTCATCGCTACCAGGCTACATCGAAATGGAGATATACGATAATATTTAATTTATACGGCCGCAGTGTGCTTATGCAACCGGCATCTCCATAATTAATCCATTCATTAATGGGTCGATAACTCATTCTGTATTCAGAATTAATCGGAAAATTGCTCATGGAAAACTGCAGTCAGAAAAAGAACATTATTTGTCCCAAAGAAAAAAATGCTACTGACTGTTTATTTACTGTACTCTCATTAAGCGATAGCACTAGATAGCATAGCGATAGCGATAGCGATAGCATGTGTGTACAGTTACACAGTCAACTCATACTGTTAATTTTAAATTTTTAATTAATCAAACGGAACAATGGAATAAAATACAGTGCACGCCGGCATCGGCTTACCCGCCGAAGTGCTACAAATCAGCTGTCAACATCTCCACGAAAGCATTACCCCCGTCTGCGAAGACGCGCGGAAGCTGCAGGCTCTGGCTTGACCTTTACATTTTAGTATTCCACTAGGAAATTTCCGCGTATATACGTTTTGCATATGCATTCAAATTCTATACTGCTGAGCTGTGCTGACACGTTAATTAATGGACTGCAAACAAACAAAAACATTTCCCTTAATTATATTAATTTTTATGTGTATTATGCAGCTGTTTGTTAGAGTTAGACAGTGAAATTTAGTTGCAGCATTACCAATGATACATTGTCAATCTGAAGCAGAACATTACCGAATATGGAACTACCGCGCCTGCTCTAGGGAACCGGTGAATTAATTAAATTTCTTGCTGCCAGTCTTATGTCAAATTTTAAAATGCAGGTATTTGCCAAACAGTGCGAATGCATTGAAGATGCATATGCGCTGTGCATTGCGGCGGCAGCGTGCACGGCGGTGACGTTGCGAGGTGAATAACACCGGCACTCGTACCTGCCAAGTGCCAAGCTATCATGCAGCCGGCATGGGTCTAACGAGTGCGGTGGACGTGTGAGTGATACCGACACGGAATACCGGCGATCTACCGGCGATACGGATGTGATTGAATGCGAATGTGAGTGATGATGAATTCATGGTGGAAGAATTCAGCTGCCCGCCAGGCACTAATAATCGCCGTTTAATGTTATCGCCTTGTCAGCCAACTATCTGTCCATGTACAGCCTAGTCATAGTAAATTGCGGCTGTATATATATCTCGCGTTGTACTTGTCCCGTGCCAAGAGGTTTCCATAAAAGTGTCTTTTATTGCCATGCTGCATCGTAAACATTTTGCATAGCTTGACAGCTAAAACTGCAATTAAAACCGGTAAATAATAATTAAAACATGCGTTCATTGGCGCTGCTATTTCGTCAGCAGACTTTCATTTTTCATCGGTATCAACCGGAAAATACACAGTATAATCACAATTTAATCAAAGCATACGAATTATGATCTCCTATTTTGTTCCAACAAAAATGGAAAATATGACAAACAGTCTAATACTGCACTTTCGGTCCAGGGAAACCAGCAGGCATCGTCGTTCCCACGCTTTTCGCTGGTGAGAACCGGCACGCGCCGCTTTAGAGCGGAGAAGCTGTCGTTACTACCAACCGCCCGGGCCGGCTGCTAAATCCTCTACAGCGTTTCCGGTGAGGCGACATGCTCCTCCGCGGTGGCAGCTACGTGCTGCAGCGCATGCGGACTGTCGCCGTGCTCGTCGTGCTCCGGCGGCGTCACGGAGCGCGGCGTGGACGACGCGTGCTTTTCTGGATTGGGACGCGGCGTCGTCACGCGACCGCCGCCTGCCGGGTGACTGTCGTTGGCCGGCGCGAAGTGCAGGTTGCCGGTGGAGCCGCGGTGCGTGTGGCGCTCGTCGTGCGCGATCGTCCAGCGGTCCTGACCGGCGTGGTCGACGTAGCGGAAGATGAAGTAGCGGTTGAGCAGGTCCGTCCCCACCGGCATGCTGCCGCGGAAGAACCGGCCCACTTCCTCGATGCGGCTGAGGTTGAACGGGCTGTGCGCCGGCGCCGGTTCCGCCGCGTTGGAAGCCTTGCCCAGCACCAGTTTGACCAGGAAGTACGGCGGCTCCAGCTTGCTGCCCGCCACGGCCGCCGGCTCCTCCGTGTCCAAGGATTTGCCCATGCGGATGCTCATGCGCTTGGTGCGGAAGGGCGTCTTTACGCTCTCTACGAGTAATTACAGAGCGACTACGATTTATGTATGCAGTGCACAGTGAATATAGTGCGTCAATATACACTGTACAATTAAAATAATTTTATTTAAAAGAAAGGGGAATCTTCAACTGGGTTAATTGTTATTCACACTACGAGTAGCATTGGTTAAGCGGCAAATCGCGTAGTACATTACTTCAACACATAATACACTTCGTCCAGCCTGTTACGGATGGCGATATAAGCGAGACAACAATGCAGTAGTTTCTTCGGTTTTGTCTTAATACGTGTATATTAGTACACATAAGAAATTAATGCAGGTCAATTCTGAATAAATAATTGAGCGCATGCGATTGTTATTGATAAACATAGGGTTTCTACAAATACTGCAATGCTAATTACTAGGTGCAAAAACATGCCAGTCATTGTTGTGGAAACGACAGAAGTTCCCCAGCCAGATATGGCCAGAAACAGCCTGCGGCATCCGGCAACGCCTGATTGCAACGCGCTACATTTTCTTATAGTTTGTCTCTGTACGTACCCGCTGCGAAGGCTCCGGCGTGTGTTGGTGATGTGCAGATGCCGGTGCAAATGAATGCCAAGATGACCAATAAAATATAGGCAACGGTCAAGTGACCGCCGCGCGCCAAATATTCCACCAACAGACCATTCGTTGGCTTCCTAACATTCCCGTTATACGCAGGCATAATAGCAGTTCTTCCTGATAAATTAGATCCCATAACCGGTATTAACCAGCAGTCAATAATCCCGCATCGGTAGCGAAAGAAATTATACAAAACTCCACGTTAATCATTTAATTGCACAGTGACCTTTTACAGCATGATTACAAGGCGCAGACAAAATCGATGCAAGAATATTATAGGCCGTTTTTAAGAACATAAAATGGGTAGAAAATTTGATGAATGGTTTTGCTATGTGTGAAAACGTTACGAAACCGGCGTGATTGGGATATATATGTCAGTGTCTCATCGGTGTTTATTTGCCAGACTTCTTTGTCAACAAAGCCAGCAAAAGCGCGGAATGCCATGCCGCGTTTCTGGCAGCGGCATTTGCCGGGCCAGCTTCATGGTCAGCGGCAGCAGCATGGATTTGCCATCGTTGTTATTATTTTCACGATCACTAACAATGCATTCCGCTGCGCCAGCAGAATGCCGCTCACAAGGTCCAGCACCACAAACTGCAGCCAAATAGCGGCACTGTCAATGGCGTATTCAAGTGCGGCATGCCTACCGGAAGTCGGCAAGAATGCTGTCAATACGCTGTATATACACCGGCCGGCAATACGATCCGGGTACGAGCTGTACATGTGCCAAGCCGCGCCACCACTGTGGTAATTGGACCACACGCTGACTCATAGCCGGACAATCACTCTCGATCTGAATTTCATCATTGAACTTAATTTATTGACAATTATTATGTTTTTAACAGAAAGCCAGCACGTACACTTTACGGCGTGCGTATGTATAACATGAATATGTATATGTACATGCGTATTTATAACACATGTAATCGTATTTATACCAAGCAGTAAAATAAACGGGTTATTAACGAAAGATATCCGTTCAGGAAATCGCAGCACTGGGCGGTGTGCGACCGGGGAAGGAGCAGCGATTTACGCCGGCGAATCCGGGAGAGCGTCGGCTGCCGTCTGCATGCGGGCAAAGCGGACAAACACCTGTTCCAGGCTCGTTTGGCTGATGCCGAACTCTTCCAATTGCAACTGCTGTTGCACTGCAAATTTATATGTATGTGGCAGTGTCTACTCAGAAAATAAATCAAATCAAATCAGTTTACATGCGTCCAGCTGAAGGAAGACGGTGCCCAGCGCCGGCAGCTCCTCCCGGGGCAGAGCAAAGGTCACCAACTGCCCCGCCTCCTCCAGTAAACGCGCGTGCGGGAATTCTCTTTGGACGGCCGTGATGATCGTTGTCTGGGCGTCCGTAGTGTCGTCATGATCGCCAGGCGGCGGAAGGTGCGGCGTTTTAATCTGCAGGAGGTAGCCGGAGCCGAATTTGTCCTTGAGGTGCTGCGCCGAGCCGAGGCACTGCAGTTGGCCGTTGACGAGGATGCCGATGCGGTCGCACAGGGCGTCGGCCTCGTCCATGGAGTGCGTGCTGAGCAGGACGCCCCGCCCGCGGGCCGCGGCGCGGAGGAGACCCCACACGCGACGTTTGCTATGCGGGTCCAGGCCGGTGGTCGCCTCGTCTAGCAGCAGAAGGGGCGCGCGACCGATCAGACTGATCAGCAGACTCAACTACATCATGGAAAATTGTGCACATATACCGCTTTAATTTTAATTTGATTTAATTTGATTAGTCAAAGTTGGCGCCTTCTGAAGAAAGGTCACCCCGGGCCTGACCTTGCGTTTAGTGCCGCCGCTCAATTGACAGGCGCGCTTGTCCAGATGCTCGCGCAGCTGCAGAGCGTCCGTTAATCTATCTCCAAAAATTGTTTCTCTTTTAGTGCTAATTTTCAGTGTAGCGAGAAATAGATGTACGTACGTGTGCAGGTAGTCCGCTTGCTGCTGCTGCGGTACATCGTTAAGCAGCGCGAAGAGTTGAAGGTGCTCCCGCAGACTAAGGTCATCCCACAGCGGATCACGCTGGGGGCAGTAGCGCGTACACTGCATCGCCCGCTGCGTTTCCTCCGTTACGCTGTAGCCGGCGACGTGCACCTCCCCGCGACTCGCGGCCACCTGTCCAAACGCACGATCAACCAACCTGTTTTATCCAACAACGACGGAATGTACCTCGGCTGTGACCATGGACAGCGTGCTGCTTTTCCCGGCGCCGTTGGGTCCTGAGCATTCACCGGCGCTTTATTGCTACGCGGTCTATATAACGGTGCATCTGCTAACCTAATAATCCGAAGATCTCTCCCGGACGCACCACCACCGATAAATCGCGGACGGCGACGTGTTGCTCGCTGATGCTCTGCTTCCGTAGGGCGCTGGCCAACCGGCATCGCTTGTTGTAGGATTTGTACAGCGAACGCAGCAACACGGAGTACGACTGTATTAAAACACATTCGTACATTAGTTTTGTGTTTAATAATGTCTTTAATAAGCTTTACCTTGCTTTCCGCTTCGGGATCAATTTTCCCGGCGATAACGCGCTCGTCCTCCACGTCCTGATCCGGTCTTGCTCCGGGGTCTTCCGCGCTTTGTACCGGTGATAGGCATCCGGAAGAGGGCGCCGGGCGCATGTCCCTGCCGTCCAGATAGCGTAATAGCAGGATCAACAGCGGAATATGGACGCTGTGCTGTTTATAACATAAAGGTCATGGGAAGATGCTGAAGATTTATAAGCGTCAAATCGTTACCGCGATAAAAACGACGGGAATATTGGAGCTCCATTCAAAGTATCCCCTGTTGGCGCTGTTCTGGCCCGTCTTTTGTAGGTAGAAAGTGGCGCCAAAGAATCCATAAAACGGGAAGAGAAAGGTCAAGACGTAGTGGACCGTCTGCGCACTACCAGCTTCCCCGAAGGCGTCCAATACACACACGATCAAATACAGCAGAAAGGTCAACTGCCAACAGATACACGCTGATATATATTAATAAACAAATGCCGGTAAATTAGAAATAAAATAAAATAAAACGAAAGAAAAATGCAGTAAAAGCAGAGACTGACTACGGCGATGGGAAAGGGTATCCCGACGGCGGCCATGTCCATCCTGGCGAAGAGGAACGAGAAGCAGTAGGCGGCGAGAATAACCGCCGGCGCGTACAGCAGGAAGAGCAGCAGCAGCGCCCCCACGGCCTGGGTCAAGGCGGCGACGCTGAAGGCGAAAAGCAGGCCGAGCATAAACGCAAAGGCCGCCGCGTAATGCAGCCAGTGGGCCAGGAAGGCGCTGGTCCAGTACAGCGCCGCCGGGCAACCGGTCATCCGCAGTTGCCGGCGCATCCCGATCTCGCGGTCGCGGCACATGTCCACGCCGTAAACGCCCTACATAAAGCGTTCACTGCACATACGTTAATGCCAGATGCGTGACCTTTCATACCGGAATCAGGACGACGGCCACGTTGAAGAGCAGCGAGCCCAGCATGGTGTCCAGCAGCAGCTGCACCAAACCGGGCTTTAGCGCCGGGAACGGGTGGATGGTGACGGTGAAGGTTTCGTTGGCGGCGGTCAGCCAGTTGTGCACGGCGTTTAGCAGTAAATTAACGCTGAACGGCAAACCGTGCTGCGACGTCCCGTTGTATACGAGGCTGGCGGCAAAACCCTGCGCGAGAGGCAACTCCGTTGTTTTAATTATCAAACAGATAGATAAGGCACATACCGTACTTGCTCGCTCGCACTAGAGTTGTGGATTATAAATCCTCCGGCGTGGTTGGGAGAGGACGGGAGCTCCCGGTACGGCATTGTATCGAAGGGAACCCGGCTTCGGTTCAGCTGCTCGACTAAATGATCCAAGTGCGCTCCTAAAACGCGACCACCTGATGCGTTGACCTTTATTATAAATCTACGGGTGCACCTTACCGGCACGATCGTCTACGAAGTAGCGTGCGTTTCTGGAAATGAATTCGTCGCCGATGTCGTTTAAATTAAGCGGCTCCAAGCCCAACAGCTTGGCCTTCCACTGCGCCGACATAATGGACATTCCGCCGTTCATTAACAGCAGCATCACCGGGATGACCACGTGGAAGGCCAGCGACAGCCGCGACCGTAGCATTAACAACAGTCGCACACGGACTAAGTATGTAAATTTCTTCCACCAGGGAATGTTGTCACCGGAATCCGCTGCAGTGAAGACGGTGGAAGTCAAACCCGAATCGCAGATGCCGGCTTTTTTCCTGGTGTTCGTATCGTCGTCCGCTTCCGCCGTCAATGCAAGGAAGATCTCCTCCATCGTGCTTAATGACACACCGTAGCTCTTGACCTTTAACAGCTGCAGGTTGTCGTCGAGGTAGCGAAAGAGTCGCGCCAGCGCGGACGTGTCGGTGTTGGGTAAGACAAAGGTCACATGTGCCGCGTGCGACCGCCCCGGTGCCGCCTCCGCTACAAACTCCCGCACGACCTGTGTCAGCGCCGCTTCATCGGCTTCATCGGCGTCCTTGTCAAGGAGCACCGTGAGGTGGTATCCCTGTCCGAAGCGCTTCTTCAGGAACCAGGACGTGCCGGCACAGCACAACCGTCCGCGGCGCATAATCAGCTTCCGGTCCGCCAGGATATCGGCCTCCTCCATGGACTGCGTGGTCAGAATGATGGCGCGGTCGGTCCGCATCCCGCGCAGCATCTCCCATATCAGCCGCTGCGAGTACGGGTCGATGCCGGACGTCGGTTCGTCCAGCACCAGTAAGCGGGGATCGCCGATGGCCGCCACCGCTAAACATAAGCGCCGCTGCTGGCCGCCGCTTAGTCGCTGCGCCGGCTGTGTCGCATGCGCGTCCAGCCCGGTTTCCTTCAAGACCCGCCGGCATTTCTCCGCAACGACCTCGTTCGAATAACCCTTAAGTCGGGCGTAGAACTGCAGGTGCTCTTGCACTGTCAGCGTGTCGAAGAGCACGCCGTTGCTCTGCGGGCACACGCCCATCGTACGCCTTAGCTGGCGCAACTGCAGCGGATCGCTGACGTTCTTCCCGTAGACGAGAATCGTCCCAGAAGTGAGCGCGGTCAGATCGGTGAGCATGTTGATGAGGGTGCTCTTGCCGGCGCCGTTATGGCCGAGGATCGCCAGGATTTCGCCCTCGTACGCTTCGTAGGTAAAGCTGTCCACCGCGGCTACCGGATGACCTTTCGGTTGCGCGTACACTTTACGGACATCATCGAAAATCACTGCGGTTGTTTCTCGCAGTTTGTCCGAAGGAATTTCCACGTCGCCGGTATCGAAAAGCCGCCGGATGTTGGCATCGTAGCTGGCCGGGGTAAAGGATTCCGTTTGTTTAACAGGACACCAATAGGAAGGTGACAGGAAGAACCACGGCAACAACTTGGCAGTATCATCACCTGTCAAAGAAGGGTAATGTTTTGATGTAACGTAACACCGAAAAATTAACTTAAAATTTATTTACACACTGGGGAAGACCTTGGCAAGATAGACTGCCAGGAGACTGTACACTCCGAGATCAACCAACAGCATGATGAGGGCAAATCCGAAGGAGAACGGCGCTGCCGACCCGCTACCGTCAGCATCCATGGCGTTCTCGAAAGAGATTCCCCAACCGGAAGCCTCCGCCTTCGCAACCTACAACTACCCATGCTCGCCACATTTACATGTTAAATGAACCAGTGAACTAATTTTACCCGTGATAAGGTCATGAAGAAAGCCGCCGGCGAAAGGATCGCCATGCCCCACTTCCCGGCTTCCGCCATCATGGGCGCAAACACTTCGGCCAGGTAGAGAAACCCGAAGATCTCCATCAAGGCAAAGGTCATCAGCCCGGCAATCAACGGTCGTTGGACGAGTGGTAAAATGCAGAAACCGAGCGCGATGACGCTGAGCCCAAAGAGCATGCAGTCGAGCAACAGCAGCAGGAAGCTGCTCCGGGGCCAGATGGACAAGTAGCGCGCCAGGAGCAGTGCCGACACGGAGGCCAGCAGCATGATCCCGGCGTAGATCAGCAGCCAGCTCAACCAGTACACGGAGCCGCGCAGGCCCATCAGGCGCATGCTGTGGATGTGCTGGCGCTGCTTCTCCGTCACCACGCCGATCACCAAGAAGATCACGTAGAAGCCCAGTAGGTTGGCTAGGTATTGCGCCGGGATGCCGGCTAGCTGGGCGTCGCCGCGTAGCACCGTGGTCGCCTCCGTCGGCATCAGTTTTGTCGTCAGGTGCAACGGGGTGAGGCCGGCCAGGGTGCCGTTGCTCTTCCACTACAAATATTAATCTTTATTAATAACCTTTATTATTAACAATTAATAACCTTATATTAACCTTTATTATCAACAAACGACCTTAATCTAACGACTTTATATACTTATTTGAAGACCTACTGTTTCATGCAAACAATATATATTTGTTATATATGTCACGCTGTATAATGGGGTTTGCATAATTATCGTATGATGACCTTTTATTTCATATATACCATTACATACATGTATACTTATATGTATATATGGCTTTACAAATGAAATTATAGAATGACCTTTACTTTCTGTAGAATGAAAAATTTAATCAAAATTAAAAAGATTTTGTAAAGGCGGCCATTACAATTGTGTAAGCGGTGGAGATGAGATTCTGCAGAGCAGTAAATCCTGCCAACGCATAGGAATTGGCCGGGCACATGTTGGGATGATCGGTGGTGGTGGTGTTGTACGGTCGGCAAGATGCTGTTAATCAACGAAACGATCAGTGTGAGTAGAATTCGCAGCTGGTGTCAAACTTCATCCAAGGCTAAATATGACCACGAGTCCGAAAGCACCAAGAAAGGTGGAGTGTTGTTGCGCTTACCAAGGCCGTAGCGGAAGAAGGGGCGAGACGTAGGCGGTAACCACTGATTGGGGAAGCGCAGGGAATAATTCAAGGAGCGGAAGGTGGCGTCGTGGAAAACGAGCCCGATGGCCGGGAAGGTGTCGTTGAGGTAGATGCTGTCGACGTCCTCCTCGGAGGGGAAGGCGGCCGTGTACAGGGCGTTGGAGGTGTTGAGCCGGTTCCACCAGACGCTGGTGTAGTTGAGGATGAAGGCGGCGGCGGGATTGTCCGGTGTGTAGCCGACGGCGTAGAAGCTGCCGTACTCGCGGAAGGGAACGCCCGGGTACGGCAGCGGCTCCTCCACGAATTCGGGGACTGCCGGGAAGGCCTCGTTGCGCGCGGACATCAGGCAGCCCAGGAAGATGAACTCGATCAGGAAGAATGTCGGCACCACGAGCTCCTGCACAAGCACGCGTATAATAGTCAAGTATCAATGCCTCGTATCTAACATATACACGAGCATGAAGGCCAGACATACATATATGATATGCAAATGTTATTATGTATAAAATATATGAGTATATATACGCGTACAAAACAGGCCACCCTTGGGCGACAGTTACCAGGATGGCCAGTTTGGTGGATCGGCGCTTCAGGAGGAGATTCCGGCGGATCATGAGCAACAACTGGGAAAAGTACGCTGACATCCTCGACGATGTATCTACTCGAAGGGAAGACTATCAAGGTATCTTTCTTGTTGGACCTGTACAACCTCCGCAGCGGCGGAAGTGCGGTCTGAAGGACTTTCGGATGGATACGAGCGCCTACCTGTTTCGCACTTCACATCGGCCGCCATTGCTTCAGGATTTGAAAAAACGGAAATTAACGAACGCTCTGCAACTGCGCCGGGAGCTCTACAGCAGTTGTTCAAAGCTGCATGCTGATTGTAGCGAACGTCCTCCACGTGCCGAATAGGCTGGTGTAGCTGCGCACTTGCGAGCCGCTTCTGTTCGCGCTACCGGCTCATTGAAAGTGGACCAATGCAATAATGGACGGTCGCCGGCAGATGCATACTCACAACCGGCACAGATGTTTAATTTGCAGATTGAACCGCGGCGGAAAAATCTGTCGCAGAAATCTGCGTGATTACTAACAAATATACAAGCGCGGCCGCCGGCTGCTCTTCATCCGCTTACTGATTTATCTGCAAATGCGGCAACCGCCATGAAATTGCCGCAGTTAGTACTCTTAATATTCGCTGCGCTGATGATAATTGTACAATATCCATGTACAGTACTTACTATGGTATTTATTAGCACAAGCCAGTAGGAAACAGCAAGATCAACGGACACTGATGTACCGGTACATTTCAATTTTATTGGGCAAAGGCCATCAATGTTACAAAAGTGCATTCGCGTAATACTACTTAAAATGATACAAATTTAAACTGGTACATTGATCATGTGCCAATGCGGTGTCGCCTACGGTGCAAGACGCTGTCGCACGGCAAAAGATTGCCGGTTTTCGACGGAGGTGAAGATAATTACATGACGCAAAAAAAATAAATTTGGCCAGAAATATCACACGTAGCTATATGTTCTTATTTTGCATTCGGAAGAAGCCATACAACAGAAATTCCCGTAACTATAGCAAATACGTAGTTACCGGCATGGACAATACAGTGCCGCCGCGTGAAAGTAGGCAGCAAGTCACACAAGATGTTGTTTTGTCAAAGAAAAGTAATCTCTTAAAAATTAATAAAGCACTAAGCATCCATCACTGTCTTCTTTCCAGTTTAATCCATGTGCCGGCTTTGGGAGTGAGAAAGCCAAAGTCGCGAATCTGCATCGGAACCTGTAACACCACTCGACATTAAATGAATTTCTCCATGCGCAAGGTGTCGCCATCCTGACCTTTGTGCGCTGGCTGCGCACGAAGCGGAATTGCTGCAGCACCCGCACCATGACGTACTTTATCTCGAAGTAGGCGAACCCTGCAATAAGGCGCAAGCTCCCTTAACGCATTCAGCCGCATTAGGTGCTACGTAAATCGGCGCATACTCATCCCGAGGCAATGCCGGGGTCCCTGGCCGAAGCTCAGAAAGGTACAGCGCTGGATACGCTGTTTATTATCCTTGGAGAATCTGCAAAACCAAAGGTTTCACTAAAGGTCACCGGTTATATTACTAAGCACCTGTCAGGGTCAAAGATCTCCGGGTCGGGGAAATAGTCCGGGTCGCGGTTGATGGCGTAGATGGGGACGGCGAAGACGGTGCCCTGGTCGTACTTGACCCCGCCGTAGTACCAGTCCTCGCTGCACTGCCGCTCGGTGCGGGTAACAGAGGGGAACAGGCGCAGCGTCTCGTTGACGCAGGCGTCCAGGTAGCCCATCTGCGCCAGCTGCTCCATGCTCGCCTCACCCCCGGCCGGCAGCACGCGCCGGATCTCGGCATGCAGCCGCTCTTGCACCGCGGGGTGCAGCGCCAACACGTACGCCATACAGCTCAACGCGATGGCCGTCGTCTCGTAGCCGGACACGAAGATAATGACGGACTGTGCCACGATTTCCTGCAGCAGCATAATTCGTTGTTTACTTTTAGTACCGTTAACTACGGTGGGCGTACATCCAGAGTTAAGGAGCGACGGGACGATGACCCGGCTGCTCGTTCGGCTAAACCATCCATCTTCAAGACGTCAGATAAAACGTCGGCGCTGACGGACGCCAGCTGCTCGGCGTCCACCGGCACCGGCCCTGGCTGCTCGGCGGCTGACGCCTTAGACTGAAGGGCCCAGCGTTCCTTCTGGTCCAGGTGCTGCAGCATCAGCTGGACAAAGTCTTTTCGAGTCTGAAAAATCAACCGATGGCACTTGATCAACCAGCCGGTGGGCAAACTAGCGCCTCCGCTTACTTGCTGGTTTCGCACTCGCATGCGGATAATCTTGGTCGTGCTGTTGATAAAGAATTCTACCGGCTCCTTCTGCAGGAAGCGCAGGCCCAGGCGTTTCCAGAGGGGAATCAAATTGGGGAAGAGGACTGCAGAAACGCAAGAAACAACATTAAGGTCACCAGCGTAAATCGGTATAATTAGGAATGACCTTTAGACGTACAAGCTATAAAGAGAAAAGGATTGCGGAGGGAGATGTAGTTGAAGAGGTTCTTGGCGTGCCGCAGGAAGAGGTTGTCGGGATCGCGTTGGCAGTCGATGCGGGCGCCGAAGAAGCTGCTGGCCACCACGTCCAGCGTCAGCCGGCCGAATAACCTGCCGGCGCCCAGAAACACACACATTTAACGAGTCTTTTACACTGCTGAATTAGTGCGAGCGTTGGCTAACTATATATACTCTTTGGCGTCGAATTCTTCCTGCGTGTCGGCCAAGTGCGCCATCTTGTCCAGCGTTTGACTGCAGCACTCGTTCAGCAAGCCGCTCATCTGCACAATGAAACGGCGCGCATTGTTATACGCTGCGCGGTAATGGTAAGCGCCCTCCGCGGGGAGGACGACGGCAAACGCACCTGGCGCAGTTTTGCCGCGGTAAAAGCCGGCTGCAGAATCCCGCGCATCTCCTACAGACATCGCGCTATTTTAGCCGGTCGCCGCTACGGCCACCAAGTGGCCGCTGTTAGATATGACAAGGGCTACGTATATATGATAAAACTGATGACCTTTTTGATATACCTTCCACTCGTGATCGCGCAAGAAGTTGACGGCCATGGACATAATCGGCCCATGTAGATCGAACTCCTAGAGCAGAGAAACACGTTCGCCTGATTACGGTGTACACTGTATTGATGGCGTACCCGGCGGTTGTGGAAGATGCTAAAATCGGTGATGAAAATCTGCTGCAGCATTTCTGTAATAGACCATCAAGGACGGTCAACTGTTATCATGACATGTGCCAGCTGTACAATACACTGTTTTGCAGTAGAGCGCGCAGAGCATTTCCTACCGTTATCCGACGTGACCAATACCGGGGTGGGTCCGTCGAAGTACCTACGACAACACAACGAACAATTTGTGGTGCGCGTAGAATGTAGCCCCGTCCAGATTGTTTACCCAAACAGCCGGCCGTATCGGGCCAGATTGCGCGCGTCGAACTGGCTCAGTCCCAACTACATATACACGAAGGAAAAATCAAGCGTGTTGCATTTACTCATGGTCAGTGGCGGAAAAACATAAGAAAACATCAGAATATATAAAATTAGAAGTATAAGAAACATGATGCACAGATGCAGTATATGTCACTATATATGTGTACTACGGTATAATACTATTGTACATACATAATATATATATGTACCACAACTGGGCAACGTTATTCATGTCCATCGCGACAAAATCAGTCATGACTAACATCACTACGGTCGGCACTGCACAATCAAGAATTAAAAAAAACCCAACCCAAATCACTATTATCAACAACTTTATTCTTGCCCGGTAAAGTTCCTACAACGGCAGTGACAGTACACAATACATATCCTGATACAGGTACCGCGGTACGCACCCTGACCATGTCGGCAAAAAAGCCCAGCTGCGGGAAGAGCGGCGGCGCGGGGATGCCCTTGGCCAGCCAGTAGCGCCGTTTCCAGCGGAAGTCACGGCTGTCGGCACGCGCGGGTGTTGATTAGGCAGCGTGTATGTACTCAAGAGACATATATTACGACGAAGACATTCACCGTCACTTACTACAGGTAACTAGCCAGAGCGCCGACGACCAACAGCGGCCAGGACGCCGCGCAGCGCGCCGCCAGGATGCCGATCCAGACGTGCCAATGCAGCGGAGGACACTGTAAGAAGGGGTACATGATAGACACAGGTATTACACAGGGGAACAACGCAGCGTCCACAGCTCCCTTAATTTCAGTACGTACGCGCAGTAATTTATTAAGAAATAATTTATTCAGTCTTTTTCAGTTGGCTGACATTTGCTGCCATGTGTATTTGTTTCCTGTTCTCGGTTTTTCTCTGATTGACTGCTGTTTGTGTTTCTCTACTTCCGCTATGCCGTTACCCATGACAATACGCAGTGGAAAGTATTGCCGCTGCATTGTTCATGAGCCGAGTGACAGGTGGAATTATCGGGCCGGCGATGTGACCGCTTTACTGCAGCCAACGGCTACTTACTTGCCACCGTTAGCGCCGCTATTTGATACTGTACTATGCTGCTTATTATTCTAGTAATAATCTTGCATACTCGCTTTCTATCGTAAATTACCTCATACTTCATTGTCTCTTTTAGACAAGTTTAACAGATGTTTAGCTTCCTTTGCCTTTTATTGCGATTTGCGTTTAACATCTTAGCGACGAACAAAATAACAAGAGTTCACAACTTTAAACCAAATTACAACAGCGACGAAGTAAATGAATTTTTTAGAAAGTGAAACATATGCGAGAACTATGTACAGAGTACGGTAAAAGATCTATTGCTTTGTATTGAATAAATCGACATCAATGCCTCCTTTCCAGTTTGATCCATACGCCGTCTTTAAGTGTGAGAAAACCGAAATCTCGCAGCGGCAGCGGTACCTACATAATAACGACCTTACAGAAATCTGCAACGCTACACTGCCCAGGATGCTGTGCTGACCTTTGTGCGCCGGCTCCGCACGAAACGGAAATGCTGTAGTATCCGCGTCATGGCGTACTTGATCTCGAAGTAGGCGAATCCTGCAATAACACACCCAGCGTCAGAAAACATTGTGCCTGCCCATCAATAGCCTGCGGAAGCGTACCCATGCCAATGCAATGCCGCGGACCCTGGCCGAAGCTGAGGAACGTATACGGCTGGATGTGTTCTTTGTTCTGCTTATAGAACCTGTAACATAAATTTTATTGGCAATAGCCACCCAGTTAACAAAAGTCGCAGGCGCTGGTATACTACTTGACAGTTACATTTACAAAACAACCAAAGTCTCTGTCTTGTCTCGGGTTAAGGCGATATACTGGTTTTGCTTCATTCCCAGAGAAGTTACAATAACTACATTTCCTAGAATAGAAAAAAATGTAACGTAACGTGCTTATATATATTTGCTGTAGGATATATATGCGGTTTTCTATCCTTTGGCAAGGGAAACGCTGGGTGTTTTCGGTCTGGTTTCAAAACTGGCACATTTTATGGTTGGCAAGATTCGGGATTTAACCGGAGAAGCGCGTTCCATTGCTTTTCTCAAGCAGCGGTTTAGTCTTACTTTTTTACAGGAAATGTTAATAGATATATATATATATATATATATATATATATATATATATATATATATATCTTTTAAAATAATTGTATTCAACAGAATTATACCGTATCAGCATTCAGCAGTAAAAGAACCGTGAGCAAGTATCACCTGTCCGGGTCGAATTTCTCGGGATCGGGGAAGTAGGCGGGGTCATGGTGGATGGCGTAGACGGGAACGGCAAAGATGGTGCCCTTTTCGTACTTGACGCCGTCGTAGTACCAGTCCTCACTGCACTGCCGCTCGGTGCGGGTGACGGGCGGGAACAAGCGCAGGGTCTCGTTGACGCAGGCGTCCAGGTAGTCCATCTGCGCCAGCTGCTCCATGCTCGCCTCACCACCCTCCGCCAGCACGCGCCGGATCTCGGCGTGCAGCCGCTCCTGCACCAACGGGTGCAGCGCCAACACGTACGCCATGCAGCTTAAAGTGATGGCCGTCGTTTCGTAGCCGCCAATGAAGATGATGATGGACTGCGCCATCATCTCCTGCAAAAACGTTTTCTCCTGGCGTTATGCCGGTTTCTTGTTAGTTTCTTCCTGTACTTCTAGGGTTATGGCCCGGCGCGACGATAGCCCGGATGCCCTGTCGGCTGCTTCATCCATCTTCAAGGCGTCCGCTGAAACGTCGGCGCCGGTTGGCTGCTCCACGTCGACCGGAAGTTTCCGCGATTGCTCGACGGGCGTTGCCGGTTGCCCTGTGCGGTCCGGCTTTTCCAGATGCTGCATCATCATTTGGATGAAATCTCGCCGTGTCTGGAGTAAGCGCTTTATTAGGCCACGCGGGAAACCATCAACATGAAAAGCCGCTTACATCTTGCTGATCTCCTCGTAGTCTGACGATCCTTTCCACACTTTTAGCAAAGTATTGCACCGACTCCTTATTGAGAAACTGTATTCCTAGTCGCTTCCAGAGGGGCACCAGTTGGGGGAACAGAACTATAAACATCCAGAACTATATATGTACGTACAACATTAAATGAACATTAGCTTATTCAGCAGTTGATTAACTGGACACATACAGGCGGCGAAGATCAACGGATTGCGGAGGGATACGAAGACGAAGAGGCTCTTGGCGTGCCGCAGGAAGGGATTATCGGGATCGCGTTGGCAGTCGATGCGGGCGCCGAAGAAGCTGCTGGCCACCACGTCCAACGTCAGCCGGCCGAATAACCTGCCGGCGTCCAGAAACACACACATTTAACGAGTCTTTTACACTGCTGAATTAGTGCGAGCGTTGGCTAACTATATATACTCTTTGGCGTCGAATTCTTCCTGCGTGTCGGCCAAGTGCGCCATCTTGTCCAGCGTTTGACTGCAGCACTCGTTCAGCAAGCCGCTCATCTGCACAATGAAACGGCGCGCATTGTTATACGCTGCGCGGTAATGGTAAGCGCCCTCCGCGGGGAGGACGACGGCAAACGCACCTGGCGCAGTTTTGCCGCGGTAAAAGCCGGCTGCAGAATCCCGCGCATCTCCTACAGACAGGCCCCTCATAGCTGCCGGTGCAGTATATGCAGCTGTCAGTATCTTACCTTCCACTCGTGACCTCGCAGGAAGAGGATGGCTTTGGAGATCAAGGGTCCCTGCAGGTCGAATTCCTATGCGCAAAGCACAACGATCAGTACATGGCGCCAGTTAGTAAAGGTCATTTTCCCCAGGCCTGTACCTACCCGCCGGCTGAGGAAGAGGTTAAAGTCTTTGACGAACATCTGCCGGATCATTTCTGCAATGGAACCGGCATCAGGTACGTGAGCCAGCCGACAACATTTTACGCAAGCTGGCGGCGCTTGTTACTGTTGCGTACCGTTATCCGATGTAACCAGCACCGGGACCGGGCCGTCGAAATACCTAGGATGACCGGCACAGGGTTAGTGCGGTGTAGCGGCGGCAACGCGCAGCTTCGGGGCTTACCCAAACTGCCGGCCGTATCGAGTCAAATTCCGCGCGTCAAAACGGTTCAGTCCCAGCTGCAAATGTAAAAGAGGAAAGGATACCTCTATACGCATAAACGCTTATAATTATCCGCATAAACGTATATGCATGTACGAGCTGGATGGTAAATTTCTTGCGTAGAAATACAGGTAGTACCGGTACATATGCGATGCTGGCGCTTAGAAAGCAGCCACTGCACTACGACTCTAACCATGTAAATTTAATTCGAAAATGGTTTTAATAGGCAAGAGCCTACGATGAAGTATGTATTTAATGATAAAATAAATCACCGGGATTTTCTAGTACCTCGTACGCACCCTTAACATGTCGACAAAGAAGCCGAACAGCGGGAAGAGCGGCGGCGTGGGGATCCCCTTGTCCAGCCAGTAGCGCCGCTTCCAGCGGAAGTCGCGGCTGTCCGGCATGCATTATACAGTAGGTCATTGCGTCAGCGCAGCAGAACAAGAAGCGGACACTTACTACAAGTAGCCGGCTAGCGCCATGACGACGAGCAGCGGCCAGCACACCCACAACTGCTCCGCCAGGATGCCGAGCCAGGCGTGCAGCGGCGGGACGTGTACGAAGGTGTACGTCATGATAGATCGGATTATACGACGTGTCCGCACGCAGCGTCCTTCACGCGGCACTGACTGGATACTGGAAATTGCCTTCGTTACCCAATTTTTAGTGACTGTTATTAATGTTTCCTGTTACAATCATTTCCCGCTTTAAAATTACTTGAAGAATAAATTCAGCAGCGAAAGAAGTGCTGTGGTGTAGACGTGTGACAGATATGTTATTGTGCAGATAATTATTTTAGCGACCGGCGGAAGTGACCGGTTTGCAGCAGCCAACGGCTACCGTGATAGTTACAAGCGCGCTGTTAAAAGTGCAGCTTTTGCTGCTGGCAGGTATCTGCTCGTACAGAATTCGAATGTGTATACGACTGATTTTAATTCATAGCCAGTCCACTTCAGTGTCTATTAATGTTCACTTCTGATTATTGTGTTGTTTATCACAATTAATTTAGTGACGCTGTCAACAGTACGCAGGCTAAATAAGGCAATAGTATATAAACTAATTATTGTGCTTCCCTGTCATAAATCAGCGCATTTCGTCCTGGCAGAATCTGATTGATTTAATCAACACAATTTCGGTGCGATATAGAAAGGGAACGAATACCGAATTCATACAATTAATGCAGTTTGTGGGCAGTTAAACAGCGCGGTTAACCAGCGATTGATGCTACGTACCAAGAATAAACCCCAAAAAAGCATAAAACTTCTGAATTAACCAAAAAAAATTTCCAGTAGGAATTTCCAAAAAATTTTGGGTGCTGCAGTGCGATATTAATACGTAACAATATAACGAACCGTTCCTCAAACCGTTCCTGAAACACTAAACAGTAAACATCATTAAACACTACAACTAATAAACATAATGAACATTGGTCTCGACATTAATAAACAACATGATAATAAACATAATCCGCCATCATGTCTCTGCAAGTCACATCCCAAACTTAAAACTAAAAGGATATTTCCAACGTGTCGCTCCATCGGGACGCTTTCCGTTCTCTCGCACCAACCCACTGACTCCATACCGGCATCATTGCACAGCGCTCGCAATATGATATCGTTAATGCCGCTCGTGTATAAATCATCATGATTATTCAGTTGCAAAGTGATATCCGGGCGAGGGGATTTCTATCCACGCCCCGATATTGTACTTTGCAACGTATTGTACTTTTCTCTGGAACGAACTCGGAGCCCCGATGTTATTATAGGGTCAGCCTGACTGGGCGAGTGGGCGTTATATAAAGGTCAACGTGGACAGACCGGATGAACAGCATCGCGATCTATAGCTGCTAGTGTAATAACGGTTCTCAAGCTTCCGACATGATTATATAATTATTACCAAAATGAATTACCACTGGGAACCTCGCGTTACTTCTTAAGTCTCTGTAAATCTTCATTTTCATGATCGATATCCATACAGCCTGTACATATATTACATATGAAAGGCTTAAACGGTCACACTACTTTGTTATCAAGACGAACGTCAAGGCCGTTGAACGTTATATGCTCTATCGCGCTGTACACTGCCGGTCAAAGTTCTGTGTTCGTTAACCCGGTAGATCTACCTAACAAACGGCGAGCGGCCTTTTATAACCCCGGCTGTTTACTGTCCAGGGCTAATCGCTGAACGAAGTATCAATATTATGTACGTACATCGGCTGTGCAAAAGCGCACCACAATATAACGAATCGTTGTCGCAGGCCGCTAATTAAGGAGTCATTAAGGAGAAACCGTATTACCTTGATCCAGTTCTCAGGCTACCCACAGCGACAAAACAGACCCTACCTAATTCGGCAGCGTGAAGAAGACTTACAGCGGTAACTAACGGCAAGTGAAGGTTGCCGGTTTGGCCTAGTAATACCATTGTCCGCGCTTTTTGCCGGTGTGTAGTGTGCAGCCACACGTACCGGCAAGAAAACGGACCTCACGATTCGCACACAGACTACACGATAGCGACACCCGGGACCGGCTTGTGCATCTGCCGGCGAAAGTCGGTTAAGTCGATTCACGCACAACGCGCACCGATTCACACAAGGATCGCTGCAGTCATTAATCTCATTAATTACCACGTCGTATAGCGAAACTATTCACTTCCGGTTTCCTCCTTTCTTCGGCATATACGGCGGTGCAGCGGACACATGCTGAGTACAGAATACCGAGATGGAAAGAAGCCTTTCATACGTTGATTCGTACGGCGGTCAGCGGTCAGCCGGCGCAACGCGCATTGCAGGTTAAGCTTATGCTTCCGTATTTCGGCACCGTCATACTGTTGTACACATGTCGGCGCATACGTACGCCTAGACGAACATGAGGTGCGCGCGCACCTATACCTGTCGCCATGCAGGAACTATGGCTGCGGGGAAGATTGCGCGCCGATACGGCGCGCTGCGACGGATTGAGAAGATGCACATATAAAGATGTATCTATGCACTATCAACAGCATCGACTCGGATTTGTCAGTTGACTGTTGAGCGAGCGCCGATCGCACGGGGACTTAGCCGCGGATTATAACCAGCTACTTCTTCGCCCGGATAAGTGTGTGCTCGGCCAGCGCGGCCAGCCCGTCAGACAGTCCTCTCCCCTTCATCATGAAGTCCCTAATCGCCAGTTGTCTAATAGCCGGCGCGGCCTTCCTCGCCACAGGTAAGGCGCAAAACTTCCGCTAATTGCCCGTACACCTTGCATATACGTATATAAAAAATTATATCCTTTCATGTATATAAAATTAAATATAAACGCATATATACTAATATAATAAAATATAAACGCATATATAATTAAATATAAACGCATATATTAAATATAAATGCATATATATGCCGGTATATATGACACGTGCATATATACATGTACAATTAATACATATTGTCGGTTATATAAATCCGGCAGATGCATGTATAAAAATATATATAACCGGCATATATAAAAATGTAAAAAAATATATAGTATATAAAAAAAATATATATATCAGCCGGTATATATAAATCCGGCATGTGTATATGAAAATCCGGCTGACGGTGTCCCTTTCCGCAGTATACTGTGACGACGCCGCCTCTTCCAACGCCGCGGCACCGCAGGCCCGGCAGGGATACGGCGGCTCCACCGGTGGTGGTTCCTACGGCAACAGCGCCTCCTCCGGCTCCAACTACGCGTCCAGCGGCGCCGGCGGTTATGGCGGCAGCACGGGCAGCAGCGGCGGCGGCTACGGCGATCTGTTCAGCTTCCCCTTCGGTTATTCCAGCGGTTATGGCTACGGCTACCGCAGGTACATCCCCGTGCCCTGGTGGATCTGGTACCCCAGCAGCTTCGGCTACAACAAGGGTTTCGGCTTTGGCATGAACGCCGGCGGATTGGGTATGAACAGCACCGGCGCCGCTGTTGAATAAACTTTGACCATCAATTTTCCCCTTATTTTGCAGGCGGTGGTCTTGGCGGTGGTGGCGGTGGATACGGAGGCGGTGGATACGGAGGCAACGGAGGAGGATACGGAGGTAAGCGCAGCGCAGCGTTCTAGCCTAAGGCAATACGGCGTTAGCACCGATCGGCCGCTTAGCGAATAATTTAATTCAATTAGCGTAGTACAGCGTGCACGGAAGTGACCAGTGTATAGCGCGCTTCCGCTGCACGCGGTCTCGCTTCGGTTCATTGACATGCCGGGTGTGCTAATGCCATTCATCGCCGCCTTCTTAATCACACATCAGCGCTGTATATATTATTCAATCACCGTCCAACCGCGCATTGCGTTACAGGATAACGTGGTGTTGCAGGTGGCAACGGATACTAAATCCAGCCAGCGCCGGCTTCATCCTACTAACCGCTACACTGACCCTTTAACCGGACCGGCATCCCCCCTTCCGCGGTATCTCCTCCTCTCGTCGAGCGGCGTCTGTGGCGGGTCCACACGTATGCGCCTCTTCATTGCTTCTTCCTCTGTGTGTTGTTGTTCGGGCCTGCTTGCGTAGCAGCTGTTGTTATTCCTTTCACTAATTAGTAAACCAGTTAATCACCTACCCGGTATCCCTGACTGCACGCGCAGTATGTGCTCAATGTGGACGCGACTAAGACTAACTGAATAATTTAATTTACAGTTTGGCTTTCTGTGTTGTTTCGTGGCGTGCACTGTATAATGTAGACGCTGAGTGGCCAGTCTCGCGGCAGTCGCAGGGAGCTGTGCTCCTCAGGTGCCTCCCGTGAGTGTACAGGAACCCAATAAAATCACCTGACAAACTGCAAGATGATTCCAGTACATTTTCAAATGTCAAAATTATTACCGGCAGCTAAATATGTTAGACGGCAGCTAATAGTAGAGAAACGCTAACAACAATATTCCAATAATTTACGTATATACTGTACAGTATAATCATATTGGATAATGCTCGTATCTATTTTCTCATGTCAATTGGGACCAATTCTTCAATTAATTTTATTTACTGAGTGGTGCTCGCGGATATGAATACACACTGTGAATAAAATACCCATTATTATATGTTTAGTGTAGATACATGTACACGGCTGTAGTTTCAAGAAAAGCAAGAATCCCTTTATGATTACAACATGTACCGCGAAATGTTCTGTGTGATTAGGCCGCCCATTTCCGTAGTCGGCTGAGGCTGCGTATTCAGTACAATTCTTTCACTTTTATGGAAACTTGTGACTGTATTGTATCGCCAAATTGAATATAAAAATATATACATATGTACATGTACCGCGAGTGTGTACTTGTACCGGTATATCGAGTTTACGTGGACATGGGCGCGCACCTCTCAATTTACGTACGTACAGATACGTAGAGTAAAAACGAACTAGAGCCGGAGTTAGTGAACGGTTACAATTTCCTTCGAAAAAATGCTAACCATAATAACAATTACTACCGAACATTGACCATGAGACTTTTGGTACAACTAGTAACAAAACAACTAGGATCATTTTTTTATTTGATTAGTGAATATTGTTTTTGTGACGCTGTCCACATAAGAATAATTATATCGTTTAAAAACTAGTACAACGTTGAACGTTGTACACTTACAAAGGTGTACAAAACCTTAAACGTAAACAGGCCTGTTTACGTTTAAGGTTTTTAGAATCTTGTTTAATTCATCCATATATGTACATGTAAGTAACTGCCCAACCGGGTCTTGCGAGAGCACACGGTTGTCACACCAGTGTATACAAATCATTCGGATACAAAATGCTACTGTACGACTACGAGGTATAAAGCCATGCAAAAAAAAAGTTTAATGGTGCGCGAAAGCGAGAGTTCGAGAGTTCCCGTGCTTTAAAGGAAGCGGGTACCATTTACAATACCGGGTGCCGCATACTGTAATATTGAGTTACGCACGTTACACAGAGCAACGCACTATACGTTGTCATGAAAATAAAATAATAAATAAACAAATCCAGTTTAAGCAGCTAAACGGCATTGTGCATAGCTGTGCAGCACACAACATCTGCTACTGCTGGTTAAATTAAGTAACCATGACCTTTGCACGTTGCCGTGTAATTAAGGAGAGTGACCGGCTGCCGACTTCCGTAACATGCACCAAAATTTTAATCATTTTTCTTTGCAACAGAGCTGTAGCTAGCAAGAGCTGTACTCCTGTATGAATTACCATTAATACACGAAGGGTCGATCTGCTCTTCGATACTTTGATTGGTATTAATGCAGACAGCAGAAATAAAGTTCGGAAATCAGGAACCAAAGTGTACATAAAACAGCGATGGAGAATTACGTAGGTTTTCTTGTAAATTAAATCTGTCCGGTTGTCAGCGCGTACAGATACATGTTCCGGTTTTACGGAAGACTATGCGCTCATATAGTAGTTGTACAGTTTCTGCGATTACAGAATTCACTGGATACAGACAAGAGCAAGATCTCCTCGGCGTCCTCGCATTTCCCTTTTCCATTGCGATAGTGAAACAACACGATGCCGGCTTTTATAACCAAAGAGTACCATCCCGAACAAGAGACGGTTAGATTGGCGTTTGTACAATTGTCTATGTATCTGTTTGGCGATGTTTGTCGCGGAGTTGGGGGACTGTAGCAACATTAGCGGATGACATTGTTGCAGTGCGCTGCTGGGTAAACAATGATGAATTCATCAGTTATCGAGCGCCGCCAACGAGCGGGCCCAAATTGAAACCCAACCTGTTCCCGCCGACACATCGTTCTCCACATATATACATACATATACACTGCTGTATATACTCCGATGATCCCGCGTGCGTCGTGCTTCCCTTCCTAATCCCGCTCCCATTCCGGTATATAATATTATACGCACAACCATGCACTGGCATATGTACACAGCCACTGCTTCCTGCGTTCCCCAGCGACGGTGGTGGAATGCGCGGGAGGCATCCCGCTAGGATTACGCGTACGGGAAGCCGGCAGTTCATTAAAAATCCTTCCGATGCACCGCCGCACAGGATGTGCACGGTAGGCGCCGCCCACTGCAGTGTTCACCGTAAGTACAACAGTATCATTGAACATTAGTATATGTACAAGCTTGTCCTGTAATTTCTATCGCATCGGCACAACGGCAAATACAATTTCACGGGTTACGCCAAACTGCATACTACGGCGCGCCACGCTACATTGATACGCTCTGTATGCATAGCTGGTGCATATGCATGCCAACTATCGATCTAAATTATAAACTAACGATATAAAAATTAATTTTAGCATTACATAAAATATTAACATGAATAAAATTCATTCGATCGATATAAAATACTAACATCGATATTAAATAGTATACAATATTAATTTTTTTTCTTTACAGTTAGTATAAATTTTGAGAGGAGTGAATTTTGCACCGTGTGAGACGTAATGGCAATTGTTCATAGTACAACTTTCGCGCTAAATACGCGCTATCTGTGCGTTTACGTTATGCATTATGGGACAAGCTTGTACGAGTCGTACAGGCCAGCAACGAGGCGGTTGCGCTCCCGGTCCCGGTTAAATCCATTCTGTTGGTGGTGCCAGTTGCCAGCAACCGCCACGGCACTGCCGCGTTAACCAGCGCCTTGCCGGCATGTATGTACGACTATCGCGCACTCGATCGTTTCACACCCGCCCCGTACGAACGTGCACATGACCACGCCGTACACACACGACACACAGCCACACACAGCGCTCCAGCGCCGTGCATCCATCATCCCGCATCACACACTTGACAACATGAGCGTAACACAACATAAACGTCCTTTCGCACTGGCATTCCTAACTCATTTTTCCGCTCTCCCTAACCCATCATTCTGGCGCGCGCATATATATCCTCCCGCCAACTGCAGCTGACACTGACGCACATGCTTATATACACCGACCGGCTTCCCTGCCACATCATCAACGGCATATTGTCTTTGCCGCGCATCCATTCCCATTTTCTCCGCGCTCCGCTGCAGCACGGCATCCGCCCGCTGACAAACCGCTGCTGAGCGCCATAACGGGTCATACGTGCCGCGGATAACAAGCCAATCTGTTGACACAGCGCCGTGGCAGTGCGGTGTGCACACAATCACCGGCATATAATACACAACTCACCTCCGCCGCGGGCCGTTCCCATTGATGAGCTAATTGCGGCGTTAAGACGGGGACAAGAGCGCCCGGTGAGCAGGGTTAATCCGCCCCGGTATGCCCCGCTGCACCGGCGAATGGGCCCCCATGGCTAGGCGTTCCGGCGGCCAGTTTCGGCATTATCTTCCTCCCGACGCATTCCGGTGAGTGCCGGGTCCCGGCGGACTGACCATGCACCACCCGGACATGCGCATGACCTCGGCGTACAGCGGGACGGGATCGGGCTACTCCGGCTACGCCGGCCACGACCACGAGCCCTACACCATCCCCAGCGTCATCTCCCCGGCCTTCGTCAACTCCAGCTTCTACCAGTCGGCCAACTTCAACCTCCTGACACTGGTGGACGTCGGCGACACCGGCGAGGGCTCGGTGGTCAAGGCCGGGATCATCGCCGGCCTCACCTTCCTCATCATCACGCTGAACGTCCTCATCTTCGGGGCGCTGGCGCCGGCGCTGCACTCGCACTCCATGATCGGCTACTTTATCCTGTCGCTGGCCGGGGTCGATCTGGCCACCGGCGTCCTCATCGCGCCGCTGTCCATCTTCCCGGCGCTGTACGGCTACTGGCCGTACGGGCCGCTGGTGTGTAAGTTAACGGCGTTTCTGGAGATTACGTTGTGGGCCATCGCGGTGTATACGCTGGGATGGATTGGCGTTGACAGGTAAAAGCGGTTAAGACGTAGATTATGGTGGGCTAACGTTGACGCATCCCGACAGCTGGCTACACGGCTGCCCGCAATCAATCATCCCGTTTCCGCTCGCTGGTTGTATATGAGCGCTGATTCATATACGGCGTGTGACGAGGCCTGCATTATATATGCGCATAGATAAACGTTTTCAGGCCAAGATAAACAACTTAATCACGTATCGCTAGCCTATAATTTGATTATACCGCATACGTCGATATGTATTATGCAGGAGCTGCGGTACGGCATAACAGTATGTCTTTCTATACTGATAATACGACTGTTGTAAGAAAAATTTATTTTTCTTATAGTTGCATAAAATTGCCTTATATACCAGCTCAAGATTGGTATATAAAAATCTACGTATGAAGCATAAATAATTCTGCATACGAGGATTTCTCGCATGAAGAAAACCTAAGAAGACATAAGAAAACCTAAGAAAACATAAGAAAATATTCCCTTAAAAATTCGCTTAACGAATATTGTCGTAATTCGTAGGGGATTTTGTTAGCTTGATGAATGAACGTAGTACAAATTATAGTCGTCAGCGTGGGATGCACCCGTAAGGGATTAACCAGACGAGGCAGCTTCCCGTGTGATATCGTATATAATGAAATATAATTACAGCCGCTAGATTACAATGCCGGCATTATGAAATGATTAGCGCGTGCATTACAGCGTTTACAGGGAGCGTATGTTTCTATACAGTAGAATGGCCGGATGATAATAAATTGTGGTGTAATGTACTCTGTATACTGTAGCCGCTAGATGAAGTGGCTCCACTTTTAGATCCGTCCGCTGCCTGCCTCTGGCCGGGCATTGAGCACGAGGCTTCCTCCCACCGGGAGGCGCGCACTTTTCGATATTAGCGCTAACTGCTAACTGTTCTATGCCCCTGCCAGGGGCACCCCAAAAACCACAACAAACCAGATTTGTAAACTGAAAACAATCAGAGCTCTGACATTATGCTCTTACAATAATTATCATGTGTTGCTAAGAATAAGAAAACTCAGTAAACCATACAGAACGTCAGCACCAGAGTGAAAATTTTTTGAAATCAAAAACAATTCTGCACGGAGCAATGTGTGTATATTGGGCCTGCATTTTCCCGTATACCAGACTCTGTGGAGCCACTTCATCTAGCGGCTACAGTATGTATTGTGCGGTGTGTTAACAGATATCTGGCCATCCGGAAGCCGAGCCGGTACGAGACGATCCAGACGAAGATCCGCTGCCAGTGCTGGGTGGTGTTTACATGGATCACGTCGATATTCCTTTGCTCACCAACATTCTTCGCCCACAATAAAGTCAGGTAGGCCATAATGCAGCCGCGAAGAATGGCCCACAGATCGCGTTTCCGCTGCACACGCGCTGGCGCACACAACGGCGCGAGTGCCGGTTGTGTAATCTCCGTTGTATCTGTATATATATGCGGCTGCAGTTGGCCAACAGCATGTACACTGACTGGCCGTGGCGTTAACGTCAACCCTGACTTGATGCCGGCGCTGCTGGAGCGCCGGCTGGGGATAGCTGTGTGTGCGCATATATCCCGTCGCGGATCAATGCCGGGATGAAAACATAACACCGCGCCGTGCAGCCGGCGCTGCGCTGATCGATGGGCGACGTAATTGTGGATGACGTGTGTGGGTGTAATTTGCAGTGTGTGTTCTAGCTACATCGGTCAAGTGCAGCTGTGCATCCTGGATCTGCACTTCATGCTGGCCTACTCCATCACGCTGCTCAGCCTGATCCTGGGCCCGACCATCTGCACGCTCTGCTTCTGCTACTACTACGTCCTCAAGGAGATGGCCGAGCTCAAGCGCGACGTCAAAGACCAGGTATGTACAATACGCCGCTGTCACGGTGTATACTGTAACCGCCCATGTTGTCTGCTCTTGATGTAATAATAATAATAATAATAATGGCGATTAGCTATAGAATTAGGGAAATGCTCCTGCTAATGGATTTTCTGCTCGGATAACAGTGTCAGTGTGTCAGTGATCTTGAATTATTCATTTTTATATATTTTCTCCCTTTTCTCCCCTTTTATGAATAAAACCCATTATTTAGGGACAGAACGAGAAATACAGATTCATTCTTTTCTCTCATAAAATCAAATCAAAAGAAGCATGAAATTTTCTAATTTAACCAAAACATGTCCCAAACATGTAAGATACCTCCATTAACAAGATTTGGCTACTGTAGTGCAATAATATTAGTACTTAATAATCATGGGTTACGGTAAGCGGTATAATCGTGCTTAATATACGATACGTATACTACCCGTGCTTCAGGCAAGAAATTAATCACCCGGCTTGTATAAATTATAACAACTCGACGTACACTGTAATGACTATGTCATGAGCATTACGCAGTCAGCCATGCAACGTCGACCGTTACAACGTCCCGATGCAGCGGAGGATTTAGTTAGTTATATCCGGCCAGCTCATTTCTTATGCAAATAACGCACTACGTACATCGGGATTATGGACTGGCTGTGACTGTCCTTGTCAAGATGGGACTGGCTAAAAAGGCCGGATTGTGTTCCCGTTTCGAGGCGATTATGCTAATTCCCTTCCCGATGAAAGCCGGCATTCATTGCTGCCCATCGCCTAATGCACAGGCTCTGCTTGCACACTCCCTTTTTTACGTATATACAACGACGTGAATCGCATTTTAAACAGATATACACTGCACTGGCAGTTATGCGTTCTCACACCCTGTAAATCGTGGGAAGCTTGACAAGCCTAATGGCTGTACATGCTTATTAGCCTGACAGGAACGTTTATTACCGACAAATCCGATCATTATACGTGCGCTACTCAATTAAAAATAAACAGCGGTAATTGTAATGGATGTTGTTTGGGACCTTTCCAATAATTCCCTGTAATAAATAATCAGCTAATGTGTCTGCTAAGAAGCATGACGTAAACGATTTGCGGTGGCCGTTTGCGTGACTGCGGTTTGATTAAAATGCGAGGAGCGAGGGCGGGGTTAAAGGTCACGCTCTCATTATTATTAGTATTATTACTATTAATATTGTCGCAGTACACTAGCGAATTCCTTTCAATGGAAATATCTTACCATGCTTCTAGAAAATGTTTTTTGGTTAATTTGGAAAATTTTATGAGGTAAAAGTACATGTTCTATGATATATGATGTATGTTGCTACATACTCATAACGCAAGAACATCGATTCCTAATGAGACTTTACTTCCAGGATGTTTCTATCTCGAATGAATCGTCGTGGTTGTGCAAGAACATACAAGCTATGAAATATGCATAAGAAATCATCATTGCAAAGATATAAGTTCAAATGTGTTTTGCAGGAGAAGGAGGCGCTGACGTCGACGACGGAGAACTTGTACAACCCGACGCACCGCATGTCCTTCGTGGTCATCGTGGCCTTCGCGCTGGCCTGGCTGCCGTGGTTCCTCCTCCTCCTCTGCCAGCGCGTGCTGCCCTTCGCCTCGGCGGAGCAGGCGGCCGGCTGGCATTTCGGCTGCGTGTGGTTCGGCATCAGCGGCTGCGCCTGGAAGTTCCCCGTCTACTGTGCCATGAGCCGGCGCTTCCGGCGCTGCCTGGCGCAGTTCTTGTGGTCGCTGTGCCTCAAGTGCCGCTTCCGCAAGTCCCTCGAGGACGACAGCGCCAGCATCGACTGAGCCCCGCTTCAATCAACGAAACCCTACTAGTAATTCCACTGCTGATCAAATTATTCGAGAATTTCTACTGTACAGTATTTATTTGATTGCCCGGTCATATTTGTACGTACGTGTTCTGTATAATACAAATTATTAATCTCTATATAAGAGAGTATATGTGAATTTGTGTCCAGTTCATCTTCCACAGCGACAAGTCTGATCCATTTTGTACAGTAGATTAGTGTTGGTCTGTTTTTTTTATGGAGTCGGTTTGTGAGCGTTATTTTGATTGATTTGTACGTCAGTGTGCGTTTGCATCGCGATTGTATATACGCCGAGTATTAAACGCGCAGTATTACGTATTCTTCCCCTCATTTGCCGGTCACAAAGGGATACTGATAGCGCCCGATACAATCAGCGCGCGCAGCCATGCACGATAATTGCCTCGCTCGGCGTCCCGTCGCATCCCGTCCCGCGCGGCGACGGACGAGCGTTTCCCGCGCGGCGCTGGCTTGATTGGCTTCGAATGGCAGTCATGAAGCGCGCGCACTCACGGTCAAGGCACTGCCAACGACCACTTCCGGTTGCCGTTTATCCGCGCTGACATCGCGCGCATACTGATGCACCCATCCGGCATGCTTCTTCACTTCCGCTCTTAATGCTACTCAACATTTGCTCATCAGAATATACTGAGTAGTGTTTTTTCATCGTTGCTCATCAGAACATTTTGCTTAAATATATTCGGCTAATATTTCTTCATTGAGCATTAATGTTTTTTCATCGTTGCTCAGCCGAACATTTTGCTTAATATTTCTTCATCAAGCGTTTATAAGGCGAATGAAAATCGCATCTACGCCGGCAAAGGTCAGCCATCAATCAGTTGAAAGCTGTGTTTTGCGGCATCCGCACATGACTCGCATATATAATCAGCCGAGAGCTGTTTACCGGTATGCGCCGGACAACAGATCGATGGGGCCCGCGTCAGCAACGCTCAGTCGCTTTAATTAGCAAAGTGTGGCTTCCAGCGCTGCCGCTTGCCGATCCTATTCTCAACAGACAATCGAGCCTCATTCAACGGCTCAAACACAAAAACACTCTTCAATGCACGGCACGGAAGCGCTGGCTAATCACAGACCATTCACCGGAATAGAAAAACTGTAGAAAAATCAATACCGACAAACATTCAAACAGCTAGACAATGCCGGCATCAGCGCTGCATCCAACCGCCCAGGGGCCGGCGCCGTGCCATCCCCACACGGTTCCCGTAGCCGTCGTCCTTGGCGTAGCCGCCGCCGTAGTTCATCCCGAAACCCCCGCCACCGCCGCCGCCGAAACCGGAAAACATGCCCATACCCGGCATCATCATGTCGAGGTTGGGGAAACGGGGCTCCGGTGGGAAGGGAGGCTCCGGCGGGTTCCTAAAAATAACACAGGTTTCTCAAATTTTCTTAGGTTTCTTAGAATGGACGTATGCCGGCCTCACCACATGCTCATTCCCATCCGGTCGCCGTTGTCCATGCCGCCGTAGCCGCCCCACTGAGGGCGGTCGTCCTGCCCGCCGTAGCCGCCGCGCTGCTGGCCACCCGCGTATGCGCTGTTGCCTCCACTGGAAGGAGCGGCTGGTGCGCTTTCGCCTCCCGAATACGCCGACGGGCGGGTGGCGTTCGCCCCAGTGTCGGCGCCGGCGCTGTTAATAGTCAAGGTACCGTTAGCCTTTCGCGTATGTGTACCGTCAGAGATCTATCTACCTGAGAGTGGCGGTCGACGTCGTCGTCGTGGTGGTGGTCGTAGTGGTGGTGGGAGCTTCCGTCGGGAAGGGTCGCGGCGTCGGCGTATACTTGGTCGTCCCGTTAACGACGACCGCGGTGGACGCCGCCGTGCTGGTGCTGGCTTCCGTCACACCTTCCGCCGTAGTCGGTTGACCGGTCTTCATCCGGCGCGCCGTCGCTTCGGCCTCCGCATTCGCCGCGGCGCTGGTGGTAGTCGCCAACGTGGTGGCGCTGATTACTTCCTCCTCGCTGCTTTCCTCCGAATGGCTGTTCCCACCCGCTGCGGTGCTGGTGACGGCCGGCGTGATGGTGGTGGCCCGTGGGCGCTTCCGCCGACGGGTCTCGGCCGTGCTGACCTCCTGCTCCGCGGCCGGCGTGGTCTTCTTTGACACTTCCTCTTCACTGGCGCTTCCTTCTTCCACCGACCCCGCGTTCATCTGTGCCGCCGGCGTCGTTTTTTTCTTCCCCGTGTGCTCCTCACCGGAAGCTTCGCCAGACGCCGACGCCGCGGTAGTCTTTTTGGTCGCCTGCTCTTCTCCAGAAGCTTCGCCCGCTGCCGACGCCACGGTGGCCTGCTTTTCTTGCTCCTCGCCTCCGCCCTCGCTGGCCGCCGATGCTGTCTGGACACTCGCCGCCGTGGTGGTCGTCGCTTTGGTCTTTTTCCTTAGCTCTCCGTTATCAGCCTCTTCCGCCTTGTGTGCGCTAGCAGCGGTGGTCTGCTGCTGCTGCGTCTCTTCCCCGGCTTCCGCGTTGTCTTGGCTACTTCCGGTGGACGCCGGTGTCGTCTTCCTTTTCCTTACCTCCCCCGCGTCAACCGCCGACGCAGCCGCGGCCGTAGTCGTGCCTTTCTTCTTGGCGGCCTGGGTGCTGGTCTCCTCCCCCTGATCCGCCCCGCTCTGCTCCCCGCCTTCCTGATCGCCTCCAGACTCCATGATGGAGGGCGTCGTAGCCGCCGGTTTCTTGGGCTTCTTGGTGATCTGGATGTTGACTTCCTCCGTGCCCGTGTTGATCAGCTCCTGTCCACCCGCATCGGGCTTTTTGATCCGACCTTTGGTCGTCGCTTCCGCCTCCTCTTCCGCGCCGTACTCCGCCTTGCTCTTTCCCTTCGACGTGGCTTGGACGGCGGCGGTAGTGGCCTTGGTCTTCGGGGCCTTCTTCGTCGTGGCTTTCGTTGTCGTGGTGGTCTCCTCTTCCTCCTCACTTCCGGCCGTCGTTGTCTCCGCTTCGGTGACCTTTGGTGCTTTCGTGGTGGCCGGGAGTTTGACCGTCACTTCCTTCTCCTCGGTGTTGATGAGCATCATGAGCTCCTGTCCACCGGCGACCGTCGTCGTGGCTTTCGCCGCGGGCTTCTTGGTGGTCACTTCTTCTTCCGGTGCCTCGGTGGTGGTCGCTGTGGCCTTCTTCTTGGCGGCGGTGGTGGTCTGGGACTCTTCCGTCTCATCACCATAACCGCCTTTACTCTTCGCGGGGGTCACCTTCGCCTTCGTGGTGGTCTCCTCCTCTTCTTCGGCAGCCGTGGTGGTCGTGGCGCGCACCTTCTTCACCGTCGTGGTCTTGACAGTGGTGCTCTCTTCCTCTTCCTCAGCGGCCGTCGTGGTCGTCACCTTGGGGGCCTTCGTCGCCGGTGTCAGCTTGACGGTGACCTCCTTCTCCTCCGTGTTGATCAGTGTGGTCTCCTCTTCCTCCGGGGCTTCCGTCGTGGTCGTGGTGGGTTTAGGTGCCGGTGTGGTGGGGCGCGTCAGCTTCTGGGTGATCTCCTTCTCCTCGGTGTTGATCAGCTCGATTCCCTGGGTCGTCTTCGTAACGGGCGCTTTCGTGGTGGCCTCCGTCGTCTCCTCCGTGACCTCGGCGGTGGTGGCAACAGTTTTTCTAGCGGCTTTGGTGGTCGTCATCGTCTTCACCGGGGCTGGGGTTAGCTTGGGCGTGGTCGTCTCCACCTCCTCCACTTCCGGTGCTTCGGTGATGGTGGTCTTCTTCGCGGCTTTAGTAGTCGCCTCCTCCGTCTCATCACCGTAGCCGGCTTTGCTCTTGGCCTTGGTGGACGCCGGCGTCTTCTTGGCTGCCGGTGTCGTGATCACCACCGCGGGGGTGGTCTCTTCTTCCTCCGGGGCCTCTGTCGTGGTAGTGGTTGGCTTGGGTGCCGGCGTGGTGGGCTTGGGTGCCGGCGTGGTGGGGCGCGTCAGCTTCTGGGTGACCTCCTTCTCCTCGGTGTTAATCAGCTCAACTCCTTGGGTCGTCTTCTTAACGGGCGCCCTTGTCGTAGCCTCCGTCGTCTCCTCCGTGGCCTCGGCGGTGGTGGCGACGGTCTTCTTAGCGGCCTTGGTGGTAGTCACCGCCTCCTCCTCCCCGCCGTACGCGGGCGCCTTGCTCCGCGCCCGCTCTTTCGTCGTTGCCGTTGTGACCTTAACCGGAGCTTTAGTAGTGGTGGTGGTCTCTTCTTCCTCTTCCACTTCCGTCGTGCTGGCCACCGTCGCGGCGGTAGTGGCCTTACTCGACACCTTTGCCTTGGTGGTCTGCTCCTCCTCCCCGCCGTACGGCGCCTTCGTCGCTCGGGCCTTCGTGGACGCCGCGGTGGTGACCTCTTCCACCTCCGCTTCCGTGGTGGTCGTCCGCACCTTGGGCTTCGTCACCGGCGCCTTGGTGGACGCCGGTGTAGTCACCTCCACCTCTTCCGCCTCCGTCGTGGTCGTCCGCACCTTAGCTTTCGTCACCGGCGCCGGGGTGGTGACCTCCTCGTCTTCCGCTGCCGTCGTGGTTGTCCGCACCTTCGCCGGCGTCACCGGCGCCTGCGTGGTGGTGGTCGAAGACCGCGTCAGCTTCTTGGTGACCTCCACCTCCTCGGTGTTGATCAGCTCCGTGCCCTGATCCCCGTAACCCGGCTTCTTGGGCGCCTTGGTGGTGGTGACCTTTGGCGCTTCCGTCACCGCCTTCCTGGTGGTCCGCACGTTCCCGTACGCGCCCGCATCGTCATCCTCATCCACAGGCGCCGCTCCCACACACACCACGATCACCGCTAACACAACGCACCGTGTACTCCACATTGTTTAAGAATCAGCTGCGCCGTCCGCAGCGCAAAGTGTTAACTGTCGCAATGCGCTCACTTGGCTGCTTCACCGAACCGTGAAAACTGCGAAATTACAGCATGAATCGGAATGTCGATTAAGCCGCTCACTGTCACTTTCATTTTTTCCGACTTTCGTTGCTTACGTTAACTGGAGCTGGCCAAGTTCGAAGGGTTGCGTAAGATTGCGCAAGCGCGACACTTCGTCAGAGTTCGCAGCGCTGCCGGTGACAGCGGCGAGAGTGCCGGCCAATGGCGCGCGCCGCTGCGCACAGTGTACGCCGCATGCCGTCGTCGTTAATAACCGGCATTACGCGCGGTTTAACGCCGTAGTAATTGGCCGCTGTGCTGCGCGTGCTAAAGTAACGGCGACGCCGAACTGCAGAAATACCGCAATAAGGTCAACAGACACTGTTTACCGGCGTTTACCGATCTTACGATGCTGCAAAGGTAAAGTAAAGTTTTTACTTATGCAAGCCCGGATATTTCCGGTTAAGCACTCGATCCAATTTTAATTTTTCGGCGTTTCCGGTTTTATTAAGAAGGTTTTTTTTGCAGCTGTATAAAAACTATTTAAAATAATATTATTACTGTATAAATGTTAAATATTCCTGTAGTTTATTTCGGTCCACTATAAATATGATATTCCTGTAGTTTATTTCGGTCCACTATAAATATGCCACACATTTATTTAGTAAAAATAATTAAATTAATTATTTTTACTAAAATATATTTTTTTCTAATAAAAATAAAATAATATAATAAATATACATATCTGATAAGATAATAAAATTATAAAATTCGATCTGTTGATATTTTATAGAATGTTTATTATTATTATATTTATTTATATTTTTTATTTATATTTATAAATTTTTTATTATTATTATATTTATTTATATTTTTTATACATAAAGCGAAATTGATAGGGCACGTACTGCTTACACACACCGTTGCATAATCACAAAAACATTTCATCCGTCAATTACGCCGTTAATAATTTGTTGTTTACGTGTACAGCAAAAAAGTAGCATTTTTCTTAATGCTTTTGGTGGTTGACAAAATCAGCGAATTGACGCGTAATGAGAAGTATAACTGCAGCGTAACTGCTTGAATGACACCGGCACTGACAGCGCTGCATAACGATTACCGAGCTAATTAATGGCTGCCCGCAATGATACTTTTGAATTTCTGTCGCGCTGCATAATTCCATTATCCTCTGACTAATGAAATTACTGATATATGACACACACATAACCAAACAGCAAAACAACATTGTAAAATAAAATTAGCATCGTTATAACGCTATGTATGCACTTTACCGGCAAATGTGTGCAAAAGTAGGGCGAATGTAGCCAGCTGCCGCACAGGGCGCACAATGCCGGCGACACGGATGCCGGGAACAAAAGGGAGTCGCGCAAGCGGTCACGCAGCCGGAACCGTACAGGACGGGACGGTGGCCGCGTTGCGGATGCAGCGAGTGATGGCTGTTGGTCAGTATAAAAGAGCCTGCACGTCCACGGTGACGCCTTTCATTTGGCCAAACCAGAACCGTTAAAACTACTGCTCGTAAGAATTTTTCCTGAAAAAGTGCCGGTTAATTTAGAAATTTCACTGCCGATCGCTTGGGATTATTATTTAATAGTGTATATAAAATATCGGGCAGCGACCATGCCGATCTCCTGCAGATTTTTGCTTTTATTTCTTTGTAGTTTATTTTATTCGTCGCACGGTGAGTTATTTTATACGGCGGTCTGAGTTATACATTGGATAAATTAATATTAATTATTATTTAATAATTAACCGTATTTATAAATTTATTTATTATTATACGGTTGATTAAGAAGTGTTTTTTGTTATAAATCTCGTTCTTAATACTTATTTTGTTAGAGGTCAAAAAATCTGCTTGATTATTTATACAGTTAACTTAATTATGATGATGCTCACCGATAATTGTATATATTTAATTATACATATATATATTTTATATGCCGGTATATATAATTATTTATACTTCTACAATATATCCATGTAAATTCACTGCTGCTGCGTTATTGCAGGTCAGATGAACTACGCCGCGATCCCGGCGCAGGGCTACGGCAGCCAGCTGCAGTCGCCCTTCCTGTCGACCGGCAACACCTTCCAGCCACAGCTGACCGGCCAGGCCAGCGGTCTCCAGCCGTCCCTGTACACCGGCGGCGGGTACGCCCCCGCCTCCTTCCAGTCGGTCCCCGGGAGTTTCGGGCAGATGCAGCCGCAGCTCGGCACCATGGGCATGCAGCCGGCCCTCGGCATGGGCTACCCGCAGCAGACCGTCAACATGGGCTTCCCCACCCTCACCGCTCGCCAACTTCAAACCGGAGACATGACCAACACCAACGGTAACCCACATAGTTACATTAACAATTACTTCATCATTATCTTTACTAACGTATATTAAAAATAAATTAGTGATTTATCAAAAAATTTTTTAAGGTTACGTGGTAAGAGGTATAATTACTTGGTAAGAGGTATATAGAATTTTTCTATATATAGACATTTCTACATATAGATATACAGAAATGTCTATAAAGATATATAGACATTTTTCTAGATTTTTATATATATATATATAGAGAGAGAGATTTTCTATATATAGATATATAATTTTTATATAAGGAAATATATTTTTATATATTTGACATATATATAAATACTTACATCGTATTTAACAAAAGTATTATTAATACGTCTGTTGACTATTAGTATTTTAATTGATCTTCTTGTAGCAGCGACCGGTGCTAATCAAGTGCCAACCGCCTCAGTCGCCGGCAACATTCCGAATCAGAACGCCATGACCACAGCCGGCATGCAGAACCCCAACCAGCTGCAGACGCCGATGGCCGCGCAGAGCCAAGCCGTTCCCATGATCCTGCAGCCCAGCGGTAATATTGTGCAGCCTATGACCACCGGCATGACCGGCTACAGTCCCTACGCCGGCGCCGGCAACATGATGACGCTGCCCGCCCAGGCCAGCGGTCTCGGCGCCACCTTCCCCGGCTACACCAACACGCTGATGCAGGGTTAATTTAATGATTTTACCGCTGTGTTGTCGGTTTATTCTTAGTCGAAAGTGTCGATGAAAGACTGTGTCTTGTATGTGTTGAGTGACTGTCGGACATGTTTATCCACATGACTCGGAAAAAAAATAAAGTTCCAATAAATACTAAAAAAAGGACAAAATTTTATCAATAACGACTCAATATGACTGTACTCAATAATTTCCAAAATGAAAATAAACTTTGGTAAACAACAAAAATTAAATTGTAATAATAACCAACTCCAAAAAGGCGATTTTTATAAATTACAAACGACCAAAAAAAATTAAATTATTTAAAATTAACATGATTTAAAATTAAATTAGTTAAAATTAAAATTTATTTAAAATTACAATTACTTAAAATTATCTGATAAACTCTAAGAGTGGAAATAAATTTTAGTAGATACCAACTCAAAAAAGGGCCCTGAATTTTCAATAAATAACCACTGCAGAAAAGAAATACACTTTAATAAATAAATCATCCCTTTTCCAGTTGTGCAATTTCCATCCAATTGTAAAAAAAATCATCGTCTACGCAAAAAAAAGTGTCATCTAATTTTATTCGAATAAATGCTGCCGATTCAGTATTTCTCACAAGCCACACCCCTTACCAGGACACGGGACGGTTTAAAAATTATTTCTTATCGGAAACAACCCGCAACAAGGGATTGGCGCTGTAGAGGTGCTCCTGCTGGATGCGCATGGCGTTGCGCGTGGCCAGTAGCGAGTGGTACTCGATGCGGCTGAGGATGGCGGCCATCCACAGCGCGCCGACCATCAGCACGACGAGGAGCACGCGGACGGCCAGCATGGCCCAGCGCGGCGCCGCCGACGCCTGCGAATCGCTGTCCACCGTGCTCAACAGGCCCACGAAGGCCGCCGACATGAGGGCGTAGAAGAAGCGCCGGTCCCAGCGCACCTTCTGCAGGGCGCCCTCCAGGATCCCCACGGCCGCCGCGTACGTCTCGCCCACGGTTTTCGGCTCAGGGGTCATGGGTTCCGCCAAGAATTCTGCCGAGGAGAGGACCGCTTGTTATTTCGTTCTTCCAATCCTCACTTTCGTTAGTGATTTCTTTTCAAATTATTCACAATTTTTTTTAAAAATAAGATTTTTTAAAAAATGAATTAGCGAATTAACATCCATAAATTTTTAATTACAATTTTTTTAAAAATCAGATTTTCAGAAAACGAAGTAACGAATCCATCATCAATTTTTTAATTACAATTTTTTAAAGGTTAGATTCGCAAAAATAAATTAACGAATTAACCTTCTGTTTTCCATGAAAATTTTTCAAAGATTAGGTTCAAAAAATAAATTAGCTAGCTAATGTCGCATTTGTGAATTACAGATTTTAAAGACCAGATTTTTAAAAAAAATGAATTAGCGAATTAACTTCCGTAAATTTTTTAACAGCAATTTTCTAAAGGTTTTCTAAAGGTTTCTAAAGGTGTAAATTAAAAAAAAAAGAATAAATTAACGAATAAATCAACGAATAAATTACCATGATTTTTTAATTACAAATTTTAAAGGTGAGTTTAAAGGTACAATGAGCCGGCAGCCAGTTACCTGTGTCGGCCTCGGTGGCCACTTGCAGCGTGACCTGCAGGCCCTTGTGGTCCGAGTAGCAGAGCGGCGAGTCGGGGATGCGGTTGAGCACGGTGCGGCTCTCGCTGCACTGCACCTTCGTCCGCCCTGCCAGCCATTAATTCGGCGCTTTCAACCAACTGATAAAGTGTCGATACATAGAGAAAAGTGCATCCTTCATCACCCACCTCCCACCTGGCCGAACATGACGAAATCGATGCGCTTCCCGCGCGGCACCTTGTCGTGCTTCCCCTCGCAGATGGAATAGACGTTGTCCGGTGTGTTGCACGTGTTCACCTCCGCCGCATCACCCGCCTGCACCAACCAGTTTATAAAAAATGATTATTTAAATTTATTTTGTTTAAATATTTTTTTTTAATTTTTTAAAAATTGTTTGCTTATTACAGAATTAATTTGAAATTGCGGCGACGCAGCGGACACCGGTACCTACCGGCAGCGCGAAGGTGCAGGAGTCCTTCAATTCGGCGAACTGCGTGACGATCTGGTAGCCGAGGTCGGTGGGCTCGAAGTTGAAGTCACCGGCGACGATGTTGATGTCGTCGTCGGCGGCGTTGGTGCAGCGGATGAACTGGCTCAGCTCGTAGGCCTGCACGATGCGGTGCGCCAGGTACGTGTCCGCCTCGCGGTCGTACTCCGCGTGCACCTACGACACACGTGATGATTTTATTATTATTTTATTACAGTAATCTACCTGGATTTTCAAGAGATAACAACGAATTTTTTCGGAAATATTCAGCAAAGCGTCGTAAACCAACGAATTCTATGCACTTCCGGTGAGTGACGCAGTTGGAACCGCCCGGTATGGCAGCTTGCTTTGCCTTCGATTTCAAGCCTTTCTGAAAATTCCCCTTCTTCTTATCTGCCACTTTTCGCATATCAAAGTGGCCTCCTACTGCAAAATGTTTACCGAAAAATGAAGAATCAAATACAGAAATCGGTTTTCAGTAGTGTAAAACTGCCATTTGGACGTAGATTAGTGCAAAGCCAACAAAATGAACATAATAGCAATTTCCAGAAAACCGTTGAGTTAAGCCACATGGCGCTGCCGCACCGGGCGGTGGCAACTGCGTCACGCACCGGAAATCGCTACAATTCGCTGATTTAACAGACATAGCTTGAATATTTCCATCAGTTGTGAATATAATAAAATGGGATAATGATTTCTAAAGGGAACAATATCCACTTAAATTGATTTCGAGGAGCAAAACAAGGAGAGAAAGCCGAGAGAACGTACATGCGTGGCGTAGAGGTTGATGCGGAGGCCCTTGTGAACGATCTTACACAGTCCGGCCACCTTCCCGCCGAACCAGTCGCCGTGCCAGACTTTGTGCGCGTAGCCGTTGAGGGAGTAGCGGTGGCACAGGACGGAGACAATGGGTCCTCGGGAAAACACGCAGACGCCGCTGCCGATCACGCCGCTGTCGAAAAACACCCATCACTGCGCTATCGGCCATTTCACTGTATCAGGTACATATCTAGTTGTCAAGCAGCGCATCACAGATCGATTCAAGGATGCGCCGCAAGAGTAGGCCTACCTGTGGAAATAGTAGGTATGGGGGTAGTTGTGCTGGATACGGCTGGCCAGCTGGTTGTAGTCGCGATCGCTCCACACCTGCCAACACACGCGGGCGGTCGGTCACAGCGACAGGCAGCCAGTCAGCGTGTCTCTCACCTCCTGCAGCACCACCAGGTCCCAGGGCGCTGTCGGCTCCTCCAGCACCTGGATGAGCGCGGCCAGACGCTGCTGGATGTGCTTGCTGATCAGCCAGACGCCCCTGCAGCACAATACAAGCTGGGATTGAGGAGCACAGCAGCCAGTATGTTCATGCTGCGCCGTCTGTACCAAAAGTTCAGATCGAGGATCTTCAGCTCCACCGTCATTCCTGCCAGTCTCCCGCTGGATCCTTACAGCGATGATAAACCAAAATAACCACAATGGAAAACAGCGACTATCACCATCCAGTAACAGTAAGAATAGAAAACACAATTACAGATACTCACGTACTTCGTGCACGTGCAGTGATCTGCAGTCGCACTGCAGCATTATGCAATCACCATTAGGCACGATTCAAGCTGACAACGATAACACCAGTTACACCACCAACCGAAGGAACAGGATAATCTGTGAAAGAAATTTGCCACTTTATCACGAGTACGCTCGTACTGATAAGCGTAGATATCACGTATGCTATTTCTGCAAAGTTATACCCATTCGGCCATTCCATAAGAAAATGTAATCTGAAAAATCAAAATTAAAATCTAAAACGCTAAATAAATCGCGAAACCGTCAACGTCGCTACTTGCTAGTTGCTAGATACAACGCAGCCGCACTACGCTGCCGCACTGGGCGGTTGTCATTGTTTCATAATTCAGATCGCCGGAAGTCCTTCGAATTTCCTCGATTCAGAACGTTCAGTGTGCAGGTTTCTGCAACCATAACTGCGAATAGGTGGGAAAGTGATTTTCACAGGAATACAGAACATCCGGAAGGTAGCGCGATTTCCACAATAACGCATGTCCAAGCGATTCTGTACGTTCTGTTCCCACTGCCCAGGCAGTGTTTAGTATTATCACAGAGTCCGCCATAAGTCGGCTGTCCGTGGTGATCTCAGCGAGGGAGGGCGGTCAGATGAAGTCCTGTCTGTGGAGGAAATTGCGATATTAAAATGGCGATGGAGCGGAATCGAACCGCTGGCTACCGAGTGAGATCCACGTAGCACAGCCACTGTGCCATCGCCGCTGTTGGCGAAGATCAAGATATTTGTGCTTGAGCTTGAGCCAACCAGGTAGGCGGCGGATGGGCGGCTGCTGTGTGTACAGAGGAGTCTCCTCTTACAGTATAAGTAACACTTTAAAATAAAATTCAATACGACTGGATACCAGCGACCACGTACGTACTGTGCGTCTAGAATGTCGTCTACTCAAATGTAAAAAGTAGGTGCTGGACATGGTGCGCTTCGCGGCGGCCCATCACCCCGGCCTCCCACCTGACCGCGGTCCACGTGGTGGGCGTGGCCCGCTGGTGGCTGACGCGTGCCTGGGACCATCGTCTGGGCCCCGCTCCACCAGTCCCGGCGAGTTCCGTTTGGCGGATGTCCTGGGGGCGGTGCGGCGCTGCCCGGGCGACGTCAGCGTGGCCGACTGTCGCGTGCTGCTGGAACTGGAGGTGGACGGGAAGGGGCAGCCGTCGGCCGTGCCACCGCTGCGCATCACCATTCCCACTGGACGGCTCTACCCGGGTGAGCGCGATGTGAAATCTTTTGGAGACGCCGCTGCGCCGACGCCGGGTGACGCACAAATGGCCACGGCGTCCAAGTTGTTGACCTTTCTCATCGGCAACCAGGAGAAGAGTGCGAAGATTCAACAGCGCTTCGACTTCTGCTGTCAGGTAGATAGCGGGAAAGGTCAGGCAACAGAGGAAGTCGTATAATCGGTTGGCTTGTTTTGCAGATGCTGTGTGCCGTGCAGACGGCTGATCCGCGTCCGACCTCGCATTATCGCGGCAAGAAGTGGTGCAAAACGGGACTGGAGGATGGGCAGCGGGAGTAATTGTCGCGTCTGACCCTGCACTTCCTCCTGCAGCTGGCCGGCGTACTGGGCGCCGAGCTGGACTGATCGGCCGACCGTTGCGTCTCGTTTCCCGGGTGAAGTTTGATAGAGGAATTTTTTATGAGTTTCTTCCAGTTTAAATGCTTTTCAAAGTTTTTGCCCGTGAATGTTTTATGTTGCGGAATTCTCGTGACAGCTTGCATCTGTTTTACATTGAATGTTTTTGCTCAGTTTCAAGTTCGGTGTTTAGACGGTGATTTGTATTGACGGTGATGCAGAGTGCGTTCCAGTGCAGTATAAAAAGTTTATGCGTTGACATGCTGCTGTCTGGAATTTTCTCTTCGAACTGCCTATTTTAGTGAAGACCAATTGGTAGAATTATTTAAAATTTTTTTAAATTGGCCATACCGGGTGGTTGTTTATTATGCAGTTGCTTCAACAACCGGAAGTCCTTGAATATTTAAATTAATCACAACTTTTAGTGTACAAGTTGCACTGATTGTACAGAAATATTGATCGTAAAATCATTTCCACAGTTATAAATAAAATCACTCACACATATTTTGAGATGCGCGGGTTAAAACGAGTCTGTGTACCTAGCAAGTGAAACCGCCTGTCAGACGCTAAATACCGTATTTCATAACTTTTCTATGCTACGTACTAAGTACTCGTACAGTAATTGCTGCAATAAATTTCCAATGGATAAATTTGAAAACGGATTTGAAATTTATTAACAAAGCGCCGTGAAAAAGATTACACTTGACTGCAGCTTAAAGTGCAACAACATTAATAAAGTGCCAACATGGCCCTCGTGCGCAGTTTAACAGAACAACAGCAGCCGCGTGGAGAAGTCTACAATCACCAACGACTACAGCGAATACTACAGCTCGTGCACCGCCCGTTAGTTTGTCCCCGCTGCTCCATCCCAGTGCGGACAAATAGAAAATCAATTGCATCAGCCCCGCCTGCTATCCTGTCCGGGCGCGACATCATTGCGGCCCGGGACGTTGAAGGTAAACGGCAGTCCGGCCGCATTCCCGGAGGGCTGCTGCGAGCCCTGCAGCTGCTGCTGCGCCTGCAGCCGCATCATGTTGGCCTTGTCGGGGACGATGAGGGCGCCGCACTGCTGCAGGCAGTCCTCGCGCCGCTCGAAACGGTTCTTGTTGCCGCCGCAGCCTATAAACGGCAAGTAAACCAATTACCGGCATTCGTGACCTTTACATTTGTATCTGCCGAATAGGAAGCAGCAAGCAAAACTTTGGAAATAAAATTAATATAAACTGAACACATAAAAGACCAGAATTGAACACATTAACCGGCTTTCGTGACCTTTCCAGGTATTTATGCTAGTTATGCTTGCGAGGAACCCCGACGGCGGCAAAATAAAGTTAAAAAAATTATTTTAACAAATTACCGGCATTTGTGACCTTTTAATTGGTTAAGAATAGGATGCAGCAACCAATACTTCGGCATTAAAATAACAACATTAATTAGTTGAACAAGTTAACCGGCATCCGTGACCTTTCCAGTTATGCGCTAGTAGTGCAATGTGTTAGACAGTGGCAATAAATTATAGGGAATTGAACTGACCTCCGTAGGTGAACTGGACGCAGGCTTGCTGGTTGATGTCGAAGCCCCACATGCGGAAACTGCCGCGACACGGACCCGTCTCTAGCGTCAGTAAGCAATCTACAATTGCCAATAAAATCGTTATATTTCACGAATCATCAGCATTAAGTGGAATATTGAGACACTTGCCGGGATTCTGGCGGGAGACCTCGTTTCCCACGGTGTTCTGCCCGCTGGGAAGCGCGGCGCGCGTCTGCTGCCCCGGCGACAGCTGGGCGTTGCCGGCGCTGCTGCCAGGTACGCAGAAATTCTGGCATTCGTCCAGTGTCGAGAAGCGGTTAGCATTACCAAGACATCCGCCGTAGATCTGCAATACATACCAAACAAAACCGGAAATACGATAAGACATGAAAACCGCAACGACAAAGTTATTAATTAAAAAAACAGGAACCTACAAACTGCCGACACCGGCCCATGTCGCGATCGTAGAAGAAGGACGGAATCATTGCCAAGCAACGTCCCGGCTCCGCCGGCAGGCTGCAGACTAGGTTAAACAATCCATAATTAAAAAAGAATAATGCGGAATGCGATCACTATACGTCACGAATTACTGTTGCTTCGGCCGGGATTGCTGGCCGCGCCACTTCCGGTCAGGGCGACGCGGTCAAAGACGCTGCCTAAATTAGAGCGCGTGTCGCCCGGCGACGCCCGGCCAGGGAAGAGCTCGTTGGTGTCGGGAGCGTCGCTGCAGGTCCGTTCGCACTCTTGGCGCGTCAGGAAGCGGTTCTCGTTTCCCTGACAGCCTCCTGTTGTAATGCAACGTTTGTATACCGCATAAAAAATTTTATATAAACGTAAATATGTAAAAATATTATAAAAAATTATGTATATAAACTTCAAATAAACATATGAAATACAGTATATATATTTATTTATGAAATTTTTATTTAAGTTTTATTTTGTTATACAGATACACACTTACATTTAATTTACATTATGTTTTTATGCACGTGTGGGCATATAAAAAAAGTAAGCGTTCTGGTACCGTAATAAAACATCTTGCACAGTCCATCGCGGATATCGTGAAAATAAGCCGGCATGAAGGCGCGGCAGGGTCCACGTGTGGCCGGATACGTACATATCGCTGCAACAAATCAACATATCAAGCGAGAATTCCTGCCGCAGAGGACGTTACGCACTGGGCACGGAGAGCGTGGTGTTGGTGGCGCCGCCTGTCGTCCGCGCAGTGCCAGTCCGGCAGGCCATGTCGCACTCGGCCGCCGAACGGAAGTTGTTGAAATTCCCCCCACAGCCGCCGTAGGAAAAGGCTTTACAAAATCCCACCGTGGTGTCGTAGAAAAAACGCTGGACGTTGCCGGGACAGGGTCCGGAGTCCGGGGCTTGCTGGCAAGCGCCGCTGACGCTCCCGCCTCCCGCACCTGTTTGTAACGCCTAATTGTTATGCCAGTAAACTAGGATTTATGCGAAATGATATGCGTACCGGTCGACAAATCCGTTCGCGGCAGGACGTTGATAGTGGTGGGTGGGAGGATGTTAACCGCATTGCGACGATCCCCCGGCGCCACCGCCGCCGACTGACACTCCATTTGACACTCCTCGATGCTCTCAAAGTTGTTGGTGTTGCCCTCGCAGCCGCCCCAGACGAACACCTCGCAGGTGCGGCCGTTGAAGAAGTAGCGCGGGAAGAAGGCCTTGCAGGGGCCCTCGTCCGACGGCAGCCGGCACCGCGCCCCGCCCGCTCCGCCGGACAGTCCCGTGCCGAAGGTGGCCGGTGGTTGCTGCTGCTGCGGACGCGGCTGCTCCACTTCCGGTGCCGGCCGGCGACCTCCGCCCAGATTCCCGGCGATGTTCCCGCAGCGGGCCTGGCATTCGTCGCCGGTGCGGAAGTTGTTGGCGTTGCCGTCGCAGCCTGAAAAAAACGCAGCGCCAGCATTAATACGCGACAGCCGTAGATTTACGTGCTGTACGGACCGCCGTAGATGAACTCCTTGCACTGGCCCAGATCGAAGTCGTAGTAGTAGCGCCGGAAGGCCGACCGACAGGTGCCGGTGGCGGGCGGCAGCAGGCAGGTCTGCAGGTCGGTGGAGCTAATGTTGGGGATGAGGACGCGCTCGCCGCCGGCCGGCGCGGCACACACCGTCTCGCAGTCCTTCCGGGACGAGAAGCGACTGTGCGGAACATTGCGTAAAAGGTCACCGATCATGTTGCTGACATTAAGTGTACCTACTTTTCATTGCCCATGCAGCCTGTAATTAAAGCAATTATATCAAGCCGATACCAGTCTATGCGAAATGTTAAGCATCGACTGACCACCGTAATAGAAAGGTCGGCAAGTTGCAGTCCGTGTGTCGTAGTACCAGCGCTCCATGTCGATCACGCACGGCCCACGGTCCATCTCCGCCAGGCAACCTGCATTAATAAAAAACTACACTGTACATAAACGACGGCGCCGGTTATGTGCGACGTACGTTGTGGCACGTCGATGTTTTTGACTCCGCCCTCCAGCGCCTTAGAGGCGGGGCTCTTGGCTGCTTGGTCGGCCGCTAGATCGGGATGTTCGGCCGCTTCGTTGGCCGGCCACGAGCCCGGAAACAGGACGTTGGCGGGAGATGCGCGGGACTGCGTGTCGATACCGCGCAACCGGAAGTGGGTTTCCGGATCAATATTTCCTTCCTGGAGTAAAATTATTCCTTGCATTTAGCAAAATTTAGGTTGTTAGGAGGCTCCGTAACCTTACCGGCATCGCGTTGCCGCCCGTGGGGTGGTCGGTAGTGGCGCAGCGTGCTTGGCATTCCTGCTGGCTGGGATAGTTGTTCTCGTTGCCGTTACAACCTGTCAAATCAAGAGCGACAAAAAGTCCCCAGTAAATAATTAGGCTAACTTGTTTGATTTTCTATCAAGACGGAAGGTGCAGGCGTACCGCTGTAGACGAACTCGGAACAGCGCTGCGTCGCCACATCGAAATACCAACGGATTAGTGCGGAACGGCAATTACCGCGCTGTGGTTTAACCGAGCACCCTGTGATTACAAACAGTTGCTTATAAATCGCTTATACTATGTATAAAAAATATACAGAAAATATTACAACTGTCCTAAAAAAACTACGGGCAATCAGCTGGAGCTTTTCATGGTAATAAAAACGTTTTCTAGTTGTTTTTATAAAACCGCTAAAAATAGTTGTTTATGTAAAATTGTATATATAAAAATACTAAAAATGTCCTTAAATATAAATAGTAGATTTTTCAGGAACTTAAAACATGCATGAGAATTAACGTTAATCTTTAATTACGTGACCTTTTGCGTTGGTGATAACCGGAAACAGGAAGCCATCGCCCTGCGCGTTCGTCCCCGTTCCCGTTCCGCCAGCAGCCGTCGTCCAGTTGGGCAGCGGCGGAGCACAGCGCTGCTGGCAAGTGTCGCGGGTTACGAAATTGTTGGCATTGCCGCCGCAGCCGCTGCAAGTTGCAGATGCGCCACTCAATTACGCGTGATTAGCCTAACTACGCCGTCGACACGTTCAGCAGGTAAGTGATGCCGACACGGTAATATCGCCGTCTTAAAGTCAATTGTCCGTTGCTTAACGCATAACGGACAGCCGTTGCATATGTCGCTACTAAGTACTGCTACTTTGCCGCTTGTACAGATAGTTTGTTATACAGCTGAACAGATTGAGATAGCGTAATTGGATATGCCGGTGTCTCTGGCTGCGGACACTTGACAAAGTACAACAAACTATGAACAACTTGTAAACTGATCGCTTTACTTTGTAGCCAGCCGAAAACGCAACAAACTACACCAGCGGGACATTAACATAACTTGGAAAACTTACTGCACTGTATGCCTAATCAGTAAATGCGGAAAAGAAACGTTGACCGGAAGACGACTGGCCACAACGTATTATCGCCGACGATATGATTAACAAAAAGAGCGAAAAATCTGGACATTCTCTGCTGCTTCAGAACTATTCTAATGCCGTAATGTATGAGTGTCATTCGTATTTATATGATATATACAAAGTAATAGCTTATTACTGTACTATCTACAACTATTTTAAATAAAATATTTGTTTATTACTGTACTATATACGATACAGATGTATATATAAAATTTTTATACGTATACATGCATATATAAAATTAAATTTATGTACTTATACATTTATCTGTATATAAACCTATTATATATATAGATTAATTTTATATATAAAATTTTTATATACACTCGTATATTTTTACATTCACTCAGCGGTGGACGTATGTGAACAGCATTTTTTACCTGTAATAAAAAAGGCGGCAGGTGGGCGCCGGCACTCCCGCTGGCGAAAGGGACGCGTTATGCTGCCCGCCGTCGGCGGCAGTCGGGACGTGGAAGTACCAGCGCGGCACGAATCCCGAACAAAATCCTCGCTGTACCGGCTGCTGGCAGATATCTGCGACAAACAAAAAATTAATTTAATTTTCTATACTTGAAGTATATGTATTTAATTCGATAGCTTACCGTCCAAAAGCAGTGAGCCGGCCCGTTGTTGCTGCAGCAAGAAATTCGCGTCGCTGTTATCCTGTTGCTGCTGTACGGCGGATTTGGTCAGCTGCTGATTGCCACCGACGGCAGCGAACAGCGTCCGTTGGGCCAACGAGCGCAGCGCTTCATCTGTAAATTAAACGGGATTATCACGCATTTCCATGGACTATATACAGATCGTATTAGGTCCATCGGCGCGCAGTAATCCGCCTGACCGACATTAATTGAACAAGCCGGTGATCGTATTGTGCGTACTCTGGAGATTAAACAGCGTTGCCGGCAGTTGTTGTGCCGCCGCCGCTCCCGTCCGCTCCCTCCGCGTCTGGCAGCCAGCCTGGCATAATTGCAGTGTGAGGAAGTTGTTGCTGTTGCCCTGGCAGCCGCCGTACAGGAACAGGCTGCACTGGTCGGCGTTGGCGTCGTAGAAGAAGCGCAGATGGCTCTCGCGGCACGGACCGCGTTCCGGCGCCAACAAGCACGCTGACACAACGGCAGACATTTAAACCAGTGCTGATAAATGAATTATATTGTACATACTACATATGTATATATACGCACATAAATATATAGATATACAAATACATATAATTATATAAATACATATACTAGTATATAAAAACATATATACATAAATACTTATATATAAATACACATTTATAAATACCTACATATAAATACATATATGTACATACATATATATTAATACGTATATATAAATATATATATAGTATATATAAATACATATATATAAATACATATATATAAATACATATATATAAATACATATATATAAATACAAATATATAAATACATATATATAAATACTTACTTATATAAATACGTATATACATACGTATATTTTTCGTATTAATCGTTTATATTTTCCGTAATAATCATATATTTATATGCGTATACATTTTCCATATTAAGCATATATATTATATATACAGCGCAGATATTGAAGCGTACTTACTGTCGTTGCTGGTCAGCGCTTGTACGCTACATACACTCTGAAGAAAAAGGCAACCAGAAGTCAAAAACAAGGAGAGTCGACTGGACGCCGGCGCCGCGCAACGCTGCCGCTGCGGCTGGCGTTGCCGGTCATCCGACCACGCTGCCGGCCGCATTTCCGCTCAATTCCGATACGGTTAATTCAATATGATTCCCTGACGCCGTTAACACAGTGCCGATCAACCACGCCACACATCCACTTGTTCTCCGATAAACAGTTATCCCGAAACACCGATGCGCCGAAGAATCAACTATCCGTTAAACAAAGCTCGGCACTCGAAGGCTTTGACTTCTTCATTGACTGGCGAATGAATGGCTAGCGAGTGGCTGGTTTCCTGAACGCCTGATGCAGACCGGTATATAATAACGCGGCAACTGCCGGCTGGATATGACATCCGGTTGAAATGGACACCCGGCGCGGCGCTCCGAATAGGAGATTATCAGAACATGATGGCGTGTACGATGGCTGTCGTACAGGCTGGTACCGCTGTACCGGGCCATCGCGATCAGTGAGTGCAACAACATCTAAACAAGCATCGGCTTACGCGGCTACTCGAGAGCACGACGCGTCATCGCTGACCAGCTGACTCGCGCTAACGCGGCACAACGCAACCCAAGTGCCCCCTTGTTTACCACCGTCAGAGAGTACTGTGGCAACAAGTGGCAGGTCCGTCTTGCGTTGTGTGTATCTTCCCTGAGTGTTTACCCGTAATTTGCCGGCAGAACTGCACAGATTGTAGTCATTGTACAACACAACACGGGTGCATCCTTATCCGCGTCCAAGTGCGCACTCCACTTCCCACATAGATCTAATACATGTAGGCTTATTGCAACGCATTTAAAGCGGTTCTTCTTTCCTGCACGTTTCGTCACTGCCGTCAGGTAGTTTTCCGCTAATTAGTTAATTTTATTTACATCAATCAACATCGTACATATAATTACATATGTAATGATTAGTACTCTATAGCTTCAGTGTTAACAGCGATGTATATAAAACGCAGCGCCAGTCAACAGACAAACTCAACGAGCGCCGTAACACAACCGGCACTGTCGACAACAAACAACAGAAACATATTTCAACCGACAACGAAGGAAGCAGTTAAGGGGAGTCAGTCCATAGGAGCGACTGCATCAACCGTAACGCAACAACCATGGCCATAATCCTCATCCACTGCACGCAGCGCTCACTTGCAGGCGGCCTTGCAGCGCTCTTCCGTCAGATACCGGCTGCAACGCAACATCCATTAAACACATTACGGCGATTACGCTCTTCAGCAAAAATATGCCGAACTACTGACTTTTTATTGCCGCCGCATCCGCTGTAGACGAAGGTCTGGCAGACGCCGGTGGCCGGGTTGAGGTACCAGCGCGTGATCTCCGCGTGGCACACGCCGGTGTCCGCCGGCTCCGAGCAGCCCGGCTTGCCCGCGGGAGGGGCCGCCGCCGGCTTGGCGGTCACTTGCAGCACGCTGACCTTGGCCGTCACTTCCGGCGCTGCCCGCGTCGACGCTGGCGTCGTGGCAGCTGTCAACCCACAGACGTCACGTTTATTACAAACAAAGTAAGGGAATTTCTTAATGTACCGGTGGTTGCGGCTTTAGTTGAAGTTGTCAGCGTTGTTGTTGTTGGGAGCGTCGGAAGGGTCACGGCCACGGTGGTGGTGGGGACGACGGGGCATTCCACGCTCAGACAGCATTGATTGGCCTGTCAGTTATTTACATTAATAAGTCAATAAAATTATAAAGAATACAAAAATATATATGTATATTCTTTGTATCAATTATATAAATTTGTGTTAAATATATATATGTATAGGTACAAATATATATCTACATATATATACATATATATACGTATATACATATATGTATTCTACTGAAAATAAATGTTAATGAAGAGGCAACGGCTGACCAGCTGTGAGATGCGGCACTTGCGGCGCTGTTCGGGCGTGATGGGTGGACACATAATCTGGCTGCAGTTAGTCAGGCCGTTGACGCACTGGCAGGATAGGCAGGGATTGGACGAGCTGATCTTGTCGTCGGCGGTGCAGGGCACCCCCGTCCCGCGGGCGGCAGTCGTCACCGCCGTTTCCGCCGCTTTAGTACTAGTCTCCTCTTCCTCCTCCACGTTCCCGCGGGTGTCTACAAAACAAAACAGGATAACCCCGTGACCTTTGTAGAAGATCTCTCCGTGGCCTTTGTAAAATAAGGTAAAGGTCACATACTGCACTGAATGGACGGGCAGCACTCGCCCGGGACGACGGCGCGCGTACACCCGGCGCGGAAGGTCGGCTCGCGGCACATCACCCCGGGGCAGAGGGCGCTGCGGCTCTCGGTGACGGCGGGCGCGTCCTGCGTGGCGTTGACGAAGGAGCAGTCGAACTTGGGGCAGCACTCGCCGGCGACGGGGAGCGCTTTGCAGTCGCGGTTGGGCGGGCCGCCGCAGGTCAGCGGCGTGCAGGCCACGTGGCCCTGCTCCGTGCACTCGCAGCGGGCGCACGCCGGGTTGTCCACGTCGTCGTTGGAGGCGCACTGCTGTTCTGCGGGCGACGCACATGGCGGTTATTACGGGACAAGAAAAACCGGTGTTAAAAGTACCTTTAAAGAGACGGCGCGGCGGCATGCAGCGCTGCTCGCACTGCTGCCGGTTCTCGAAGTTGTTTTCATTTCCGGCGCAGCCGGAGTAGACGAACTGCCGGCATCCGGAAATTCGGCTGTTAAAAATCAGATTTTAAGCACAGTCTCTTGTCGACCGCGTGTTGATACGTACGAGTCGTATTGCCAGCGCATGCCAAAGTTCTGGCAACCGCCGATTTCGCCGCGCAGTTGGCATTCTGAAAAATATATCGTTATTAAATAAAGAAACGACACCCTGGTTATCTGACTAATGTTTTACCGAAGGGCTGTACGAATCCGCCGGTAATCTGCTCATCGCAGGCCTTCTTGGGATCTCCGTTGAAGCCGCTCATGCACTTGCACTCTGCCAATCGAACCGGCTTAATAAAAAACCGTGCAACGAAATGATTGCTGATGACTTACGAGGTTGCCCGTTGAGAGCATAGCACTGGGCGTTCTTGCCGCACTTGATGAAGCGACAGGAATTCAGACCCGACTTCTGGCTGGACAGGACTAAATACGCAACAAACATAATGAACTTTCCATTTAGAGCGATTCCTTGGTGACCTTTGGCGTCACTTACCACAGGCGATTTTGGCGTTGCCTTCGAAGCCGGGTTTGCACACGCAACCTAATAAGAAAACGGTATAAAAAAATAGAAAAACTGTCTTAAAAATTAATATTAATAAAAAGAATGATAAATCAATAAAAATAAAACAATATAAAAAATGAATTTTAAAATATTTAATAAGTATAATAAATGATCTTACTAGGCGCGCCGGTGCGTGGATCAGCGATGACGCAGGTGGCGTTGGCGCCGCAGGCGAAATTCAGGCAGCCGTTGTTCGAGGCGGTTCCAACGGCGACTGCTGGTTTGGACGTCTCTTCTGAAACAAACACAGGCAAGTTAATTGGCCGCTGGCGTAACCGTTGACGGACAGCGGGCGCCGGGTTGCGGTGACGCACCGTCCTGCAGGCCGGCGGCGGTGGAGGTCGGCAGGTGGCGCTGGCGCTCCAGCCAGGCGGCAGACGGCGTCACCACGCCCATCTTGTCCGGGATCAACTGGTCAGACTCACTGTTATCGCTGCTGTCCGCCGTCTCCTCCGTCCCGATCGCTTGTTTCCTGGCCGCCTACATCGGTGGGTTGCTGTATGATTCAACGGTTTCCGACGTATTTAAAGAGTCTTCTTACCAGAGCCTCATGGGTGGTGGTCGGCGACGCGTTGGCTACGGAGGCCAGCGTGGTGAGGAGAGCGGAGCGGGGCGCGGCGGTGGTAGCCGGCGGCTGGTTGGGGCACTGCCACTCGGGACAGCAGACGCCGACCTTGAAGAGCGGCGTGCAGCCCTGGTGCTGCAGGAAGGTGTCCTTGCACACCACGTTGACGCACTGGATGACGCCCTTCTGGCAGCTGCAGTTCTGGCAGGGGTTCAGCGACACCACGGCGCCCTCGTTGGCACAGTGGCCGCCTGCAGTCCCACCGGTGTCATAATACGTCGCTCGTGACCTTTGGCTGTCTGTGCTTACCGGTGTTTCCGGAAACGGCGACGCTCTTCTTGGCGGATGCCGCCGTTGAGTCGGCGTCGTCTTCGGACTCGTCGGCCGTGGTCGGGTTGACTGCGGGTTTCTGGGTGGTCGCCCCGGCAACAGCGGTGCGCGTGGGCGCTGCCGACGCCGGCGTGGTCGTCGTCATAAAGTGGACGGGCGTGGTGTCGACCATTGCTGCCGCGGACATAGTAACAGCGTATACATGTAGCGCGTGTAAAGGTACATATATTGCGTTTATATGCGTATATTATATATATAATATGTTTGTAGCGTATTTATGTAGCGTACATAAACGCACATATATTGCGTATATACGTACACGCATATTTATAGCGGATATATGTAGATGTAGCGAGCATAAACGTATACACATAAATCGCGTTTATATACGCGTATGTATATGGCGTATGTATAAGTGCAACCATTCAAACGCGTCATATAATTACCAGTCTCGGCGCACTTGGTGATGCACACCCCAACATCCGACATCTCCGGATCGTCGACATGCGGCTGGATCTTCATGGTGAAAGTGTCGTACGCACCCCCGCGCACCGGGAAGACAAAATACGGGCAGTTGACGTCATCCACGTGGACATCCTTATCGTCGCCGCTGCGCTGCCGGCGCGTGAACTGCAGCGTAGTCATCTGGCCGACGCGCACACCGCGCAGGTTGGCGATGGTCTGCTGCTGGTCGGGCAGCGGCTGGTGTGCGTCGCCGTGCCGGTCCTGGATAATGATCTTCTGGGCGGCGTCCACCCAACCGACTACCATGTCCACGTTGGCCTACAACCGTACACACATTTTAACCTTTTTGCTTTACCGTCGCAGAAGGGCAGCGTCTTACCAGGGATTTATTGTTGGAGAAGCCGATGCCGGTCCACTTGTCGGCGTCGCGCGTGGTGATCTTGAACTGCACCGTCTGGTCCATCGGGTTCTGCCGCCAACGGGCGATGTACGTGCAGTCGCGGTTAATGTCACAACCGGCCGGGAACTTCCAGCCGCCCTGACAGTCACGGATGACCCCCTTGGACGCCGACGCCGCCGTGACCTTTGCGGCGGTCTTCGTCGTCGTTGGCGTGGTGGTGGTCGTGGTTGTGGAGGTTGTCGGCTTCGCCGTTGTGGCGGCCGTGGTGGTGGTCGTCGTCTTCGTAGTGGTCGTGGACGTGGTCGAGGTAGTCGCCACCGTGGTTGGTATCGTTGTGGTGGAAGCATTGGCCTTGGTGAGCGCGCTCGGCAAGGCGACGTTGTTCTCTGCCGCACCTATCGGTGATTCCTTGTCATATTGCTCGACCGGAAATAAGCTACTGTTCTTACCGGAAACCTGCGAACGGATCTGCTGCGCGCGCGGGATGTCGGCCTCGGCGTCCGGAGCATGGACGATGGCCGCGCCGGCCGGGCGGAACGCCGGCCATGTTGTTGTCTCGTCGTCCCCGCCCTCCTCATCGGTGGTGGCCGTCTCCGTGGTCGTCGTCCTGGCTTTGCCAGTGGTGGCCGGCGTCGACGTGGCCGCAGCGCTGGACGCGGCGGTGGTGGTCGTGGTGCTGCGGCGGCGTCGCGGGTTCCACACGGTGGTCTCCCCGGAACTGGGCGTCGTCGTTGTCGAGGCCGTGGTCGAGGTCGTGGCGGCGGTAGGGGTGGTGGGCACGGTCGTCGGCGGCTGGGTCACCGGCAGGACCTTGATAACCATGGGCTCCTCGGTGGTCAGGGCCTCCTCGGTGGTGACCTGGGTGGTGGCCGCCGTGGTGGGCGGTTTGGTGACCACCGTGGTGGTCGGCTCCACCGTCGCGACGTCCTCATCGCCGTCATCCTCGTCGTGGTGGCCGTCGGCGGAGGTGACCTTGCCGGCGGGGTGCAGGCAGTCGTACTCCGGACAGCAGGCGGCGGGGTTCTTGGGCAGGCGCTCCTTGCAACCGGTCTCCGTGGGGGCCGGCGGGCAGGTGATGGTCTTGCACTGGATCTTCAGTTTGCTGTTGCACTTACAGGCCAGACACGGACTGCTCACCGAGGCGGGAACAAAGTCGCCCACCGCGCTGCAGTTGTCGCCGTCTGTCGTCAACACACACGGAATGACGTATGATGGACGGGGATTAATCTGTGTTGCGCAATAAGCCCTTACCTTGGACTGCCTTAACCTCCAACGACGGCACCTGACCTCGAGCGGTACCTACAAGAAAACCACCATGATTATGCATCGTCCTGGCTAATACACGTGCAAAACATATATGGATGTTTTCTGCAATATACATAATAATTTATGTATATATAATTATTATCAATAAAAAAATAATAAAAAAGATTAGACTTAAATAAAGTAAAAATATTATTAATTTATTATTACTGTAGATACAGTAATATTTATTTAATAAAATTTATTGTTTATTTTTAAAAAATTATCATTAATGAAAAAATAATATTTATTATAACATTTATCGTGATCAGTACTGCATCGTGTGAGCTTTTCGTGGCGATATAATTACAGCTATTGTGGCGCTGCATTAAAATCAGTCACGATGCAAAGCTGTTAATCGTTTGAACGGAAAGCTTTTCAAGAGAAATGTAGCGTGGACAATTGAATGAAGGCAGTAATCAATAAGCAACAATTATTATTTATACAGGAAGCTAAGCGTGAGCGCATCACTGCAGCTGCACATGTCGAAAGGTCAATAACCGGCAACACATCTATCAACCGTATGTTAATAATAATTTTCTATCAACTGTAATACAGCACACATTGCTAACAAGCTTCGAAATTTGATTAACTGCGATAACAAAAAAAATGCGCACATATATTAATGATTAAATATATATGCTAATGCAGTATGCCGTAAACGATGCTTGAGTGCGCTTAATTTTCCCATTACACTAGTTAAGGCTGGATTATTTAGGGTCCCACCTACTTTCGACTTTCGCCGCTGCGGTGGCAGCGGCGAAACTAATTCAGCACACTCGGGCCAATTAAATTTACACCGGCTATTAATCACACTATAACGACATATTACTCTTCTCGCGTTTATCATCCGCGTCCAGCTTCGACACTCGTCGAAATTGACCACTGCTAAGTGCTCTTTTTATGCGCAAAATACTATGCAAAAATACGCGCCGCACTCGACCTGAATGTAGACTAACCGGCCTGATTATCTGCTTATCGCGCGTTACTTACCGTTGCACTGGAAGGTGGGACAGCACTGCGTGAAACGGTACACGGGCACGCAGCCGGTGTGCGGCGGCTTCTCCGTGCACTGCACCCGACTGCAGCTCGTCACGCCGCGCTCGCACACGCACTCCTCGCACACGCTCTTCTTCCACTTCTCCGCGCCGTGGAAGCCGCAAGTCGGGCCGTTGGGCGGGATGTCCGGCAGCGCCGCCGAGGTCACCGCCTCCGTTGTGGCTTCCTCGCTGACGGCTTCCGCTGCGGCGGTGGTGACGGTCGCCAGCGGGCGGCGGTCCGGCGCGGCGGTGGGGACGGCGGGCACCGGGCGGCGGTCTAACGGCACCGCCTTGACGGTGGCGATGACCTCCTGGCCCGTCTTGGCCATGTGCTGGGTGGACGCCGAGAGGAGCTGCTGGGCGTCGGCCTCGTGGCTCTCCTCACTACTGCTGTACGTGGCGTCCGCTTCCGGCTCCGCGGTGACCGCCGGCGCGACCTCCTGGCTACTTCCCGGCTGGCGGGCGTTCTGCCGGTGGATGGCCCGCGCGGGGTCCATGAAGTCGCCCTGACCCTGCTGCAGGTTAAGGAACAGGGAGGGCTGGTTGTCGGCCACCCCGTTGCCGCTGTCCAGCGGCGCGGCGCTCAGCCGGTCGTCCAACTGACTCCCGAAGGCCAGCTGCTGCAGCGGGTTGTTGGGCGGCAGACCGGGGACGGCCATCTGACCCGGCCCCACCGGCCCGTTGGCCTGCATGTGGCTGGCGGTGCCCTGCGGCCAGCCGGTGGCCACGCTGGCCATGCCGGCCTGCAGCCGCTCTAATCCGGAAAAGTCGAACTCCGGCTCGTGGAAGTTGGGGATGGAAGGCGCGTTGAACTGCATGTTGGGCGCGCTGACCTCCGGGAAGCGGCTGTTGGGCAGCTGCGGGAAGGACTGCCCGTCGGACATGCCGAACTGCACCGGCGGGCCCTGGCTCTGCGACGGCTGCGGGATGGCCTGGCTGGCGGCCATCTGCATGGACATCGACTGGGCGGGGTCAAAGTTCTGCTGCGGCTGCGCCGCGTTGAACGGCATTTGCTGCTGCGCCGGGTTGTTGAAATTCTGCTGCGCTGGGTTGAAAGACTGTTGCGGATTGCTGGCGCCGAAGAACTGCCGCGTTTCCGGGAACGCCTCCTGCCGGTACGAGTAGGGGGACTCGGGTGCCACGTAATCCGACTTCTGGATGTTGTTGCCATCTGCAATGACCTTTGCTTATTAAATTCAAATTGCCTACATATTTATTATATATTTCCTAATTTTTAGTTTGTTACTATCATTAAAAAATCTGTGTGTTAAGGGAAGTGGCCCGGTACATGGTACCAAATTCGTGTACATGCACGAAATCTCTCACTTTCGCGCGCTCCCAAACCCTTTTTTCTCTTGTTTTATGACAATCTGTAGTCAAATGATTTGTATACACAGGCCTGAAAACCGTTTGCGCGCGCAACATCCGGTTCGCGAGTTATGGCTGTAAGAAAATTCCAAAAAGTTTAAATGCATTCAGGTGTACCAAAAGGCTCATTATGGACCGATCTCTTTGAGATTTTGCACGTAAATGCACATAACCCCGAAGAACGTTTTCACATGTACACCGATCCACCGTTCTAGCATGTTTTTCAAATTTTAAAATGAATTTCAAAAATTAAAAAATTCATTCTAAAATTTGAAAAAAATCGTGGAAGTCTGGATCGGTGTAAAAACGATCTTCATGGCCATGTGCATTTACATGCAGAATTCGAAGGAGACCGGTCCATAACGAGACTTTTGGTACACCTGAAAGCATTTACACTTTTGGGAATTTTCTTACAGCCATAACTCCCGAACCGGATGTTGCGCGCACAAACGGTTTTCACACTAGTGTATACAAATCATCTGGCTACAGAATGCCATAAAACGAAACAAAAATGTGTTTGGGAGTGCGCGAGAATGAAAGTTTCCGTGCATGTACACGAATCTGGTACCATGTACCGGGCCACTTCCCTTAATTATGTCATAATACACATATATTTCTGAGATTTGAATTTGTTTATTCAAACTAAATTATCTACTTATTTATCTTACAGTTTACTCCAGTTTTTCAATTGTTAATTAAACTAAACTATATGGCGAGTATCTATTTTGTATATTTTCTGCAATTAGATTTATTGACAAACCTAAAAAATTAAAAAAAATCGATCAATTACTAAACAATCCTTTTATCAAGCAACAACCGTCAAAATACCATAAAGTGTACTGTTAAAATTTTAACTAACTAACTAGTTTATTATTTAAATAGATTTATGTTTTAATATTTTTTATTATCGCCGGCATCATGCGAAAACCGAAAAAAAGGAGGAAGTGCATGGCATGTTTCTTATTTCGTGCAAGCAGGTCTCGATTGAGCTGGTTGTTTTCGGGCCCAGTTGACCTATAACCATACTGTCCCGATGGACTGTCGGCCAGCCTGTCCCTGGCCCTACCAGCGTCTTAATTGGATTAGCGGGCCAAGTTCAAAGCCACCTGATTACATGTGCGGCTGCCGTTGTCGATTTATTTACAGAGAAGCCTTAATGCTATTACGTACAGACAGCGCTACGTTATTAAGCGTCAACAATATTGTAAACCGGCCGATGCTGATAATAGCGATAATAGTAATAACGCTAATAACACTGTCATGGCCGGCAGTAAGCCGCATCGCCTATCGTTCAATGGACTGACTCGTCTGCTGCCTGCTTCTGCTCGGCTGCAGTTCCGCGACGGATCGGTCAGCATTCATTCATCCGAGTATGGACATATACATACAGCTAGCTGCATATATGTATTTTATTGATGCTCCACTAACATGACGGCCGATCATATAATAATATTATCGTCGGCGGCACTATAACTAAACGCTGCCGTTGATCAAGCGCAGCGCCAACACCCGCGAAGAAAGACAAGACAGATTTCCGAACGCGAGATGAGATGCCTGCGTGTCCCGCGGGCATCGCGGCGGCGGTCAAGGCAACGCTTAACTTTAGCGCGGTACTACCTCTTCCTCTATCCTAATCACTTCACCGCATCCGCTCCAATAATCACCTGTACTTCTTATGTAAAACCTAGTACGATGCTCTAGTAATTAAACAAATGACATCATTGGTTACCGCCCTTCCTTGCTAAATACCAAAGGTCACATTCTTAAGAACTCAATTTTCTAAGTTTTGCGAAATTTCAAAGCTTCCTCAGAATTCTAAACGCCTTTTAAATGAATTCTAAATGCCGATTTAAATGCGAAACCTAAGAAAACATAAGAAAACCTAAGAAATTAAAATCCAAGAAAAACCTAATATAAGAAAACCTAAGGAAACCCAAGAAAACCTAAGAATAACCTAAGAATTACCTAGGAAAACATAAGAAATCTAAGAAACATAAAAGCATTCGCAGTGTTCAGGCAAAAATACGTTAGGTGGACTTGCGTTCCCATACAAAAAAGACCGTGGGAACAAAGACGTACCCTGAGCATTTATGGTGAAAAACTCACTTAAATTGTCCTAATAGAAGGTTTTACGTTAGGCAATAATTTAAACTGACCTGGAAGATTGAAATTAGGTGAACCGCCGTTGCCGGCGAAGCCTCCCATGGGCATCTGCGCGCCCTGCTGCATGCCCATCATGGGTGCCTGCTGCATGGCCTGCGGATTGAAATTGAAGTTGTTCTGGAAGGGGGCGCCACCCTGGCCGCCCATCTGGAACTGGGCGTGGCTAATGCTGACCAGGAACAGGAATACAAGACCGACGGATCCCGCAGCGCCACCTGCCAATGGCCGGCGCCTCTCCGACGGCGCCATCCCGGAATCAACGGGATACCAACGCTCCTCCCGAGGAACTAGACAATAATCCCGCTAGCGACGTAATCCTTCGCAACAGCCGATGAGCAAGAGCGGCAGTTAATTAAGAGTGAAACCACGGTGATTCGATAAACAAACCATGCGCTATAATGTCAGGTAGTGTTGTGCGCGGCACTCGCGAAGTGATGACCCGGTATATCTGTACAGTGTTCCGGCCGATGCAGCGGCGCTGGTCGACGTCAACGGTATTGTCCTGTCGCTAAGAGGGTGTTGATTAATAGATTTATTAATCAATAACTACCCAGCAGCGGGCGTACCTGTACCATACGCCGCATAAGTCAGATTATCACGCTGTGTGCAGAATTTTTTATATGCACTGTATCTGTACATGTGGTGTACGAAGGAATGCGAGTATGTCTTCTCATGCAGACCGAGATGAGCAAGATGCAAGATGGCTGACAGCGTGTGTCGCATGCGGATATCGCGGCACGTCATAATTTGATGAATATATGTACATATTGTATTTTGCTTATGTTTTTTTTACGACTAGCCAACTGTTTCAGCTGTGGCCTGCAATGGCGAAACGGTCACTCTGCTTACTGCTGATAGGGCACCGAACAAGGCTCTTCTGCAGCTTGTTCTCATTTTACTATGACAAGATATTGTTGTAATTCGTATATTGTACGAGTACCTAATAAAAAATGCGTATTTGCGTTCAGCATCGTACGCAGTATCGGTACAGTGCTGTACTGTGCGCATGTACGTACATTCTGCCGATACGTTTATACTACGCATTAACCACCAATCAAGGTCATCAGCCGACCGGTGCGTCGGTGATTGGCTTGACCACTCATCGGTACGAGTTCCGGTCCGCTTGCTGCTCGCATGTACGTACGTACGCCTCCCTCAGTGGCGCTCCCGAATGCTTCCTCTTTCCGCATCATGAGAATCGCTGGTTGCTCGTTTTACGGTGTGGGGCTTCATGAGAGTAATGACTTTCTAATTAGGTAAATTTCTGCTTGGTGAGCGGGACAGTCGCTTGCCTAGGCGCTACCGGCTACACCTATCTACCGTCTGGCCGGCGCAGTATTGTAGCGTTCACGAATTCGAGGTCAAGTGCACAACCGACCTACATTTGCCGGCGCAGTCGTCGGAAAAATCAGTCACAGTCCGTGTGTACAGATGTTGGCACTGGGTCACATTCTAAGTATGAATCAGATGAAGAGCTTTAATACCGATGAATCCTTTCCGATTAAGTCTGCATTAACAGCATCTCTAAGAACATAAGAACATTCCCTTCCCCGGAACTAAAACAGTCACACTTAGTAAAAACAGCAGACGAGTCCCCATTAATTTTCAGGATATAAGCAGCCGCCGGAATCAGAAAGCTAACGCCGGCTTTATGCAGCAGCATACATTACGTTAATAAATGCAGTAAAAAGTCAAATAAAATCATTGAGTAACGACAGCGAATATTGGCGATCAGGCGTTATTCCTTAATGAGTAGTACGGGCGACTCGTACATGTCGATGGGATAGAGGTTGCGGGCCAGCGGCATCGGCTGGGCGTCCTTGTCGCCGAGCGGCAACGCCGGCGACCGGCCGCGCAGCACATCCTGCAGCGTGATCCAGTACTTGCACAGTACACTGGCCTCCTCCGTCTCGTAGTACACCCGCCGCTCCCCGCTTCCGCCGCCGCCGTCCAGCAGGCGCTGTGTCGTCTTCACCAGCTGGAAACCGGCGCGGCCCTGTACGCAGCAAACCAGGCAATCACGTCAATACAACCATGAACCGGCCAATCATAAAACTCATGAAAATTATACAGCTACATATAAAAAAAAAAACATTGGCGTATGATAAATACTTACATGTAAATCATATAGCAGTCATAAAAACTCAATACGTCAATACAGAGTGCAGTACATAGCATTTGGGGAATAGTTTTACCCGGTTGTCCACCCAGACGCCGCACTTGGCTCCGTAGGGCACGAAGAAGGTCAGGGGCGCGGCTTGCGCGTTGAGGCGCACTTCCGCCTGGCAGGGGGAGCCCTTGACGCTCAGCAGGCCGTCAAAGGGACCGGAGACGCTCACGTCCATGCCCTTGCCGCCGCATTTCACCACTAGCCAATGTACATACGTATGCAGCCATGCTGATACAGTTTTCACACGAACAGTTGCTAATCAGTATGATATCAGTATATCTATATAAGGACTATATACTTAGGTAATACGCGCTTAGAGATTGTTGTAGAAGTATATATGTTTGTCTGCGCAGGTACCTTGGACGTTCTGTCCGCCGGTGCGCCCCAGCCAGCTCAGGCCGCAGCAGCTGATAATAACGAAAACAACCGAGTGATCGCTCCTAAAGCGCAACATAATCATATATTGGCTATGTCTACAGTATGTCGCCAGCATCGACGCGTAATTACGATATCCGTTATACTCACTGTTTTTCTGCTCGTGGTCGCCGTTATCCGCATCTCTTGCCGAATGGGTACAAGACGTTTTTACATCTTTCTGTATTTCATCGAAGTGATGGAACTGCATGTAACACACATGCATTGTATCAATATCGGCAATCACTACTTCTACCGTACTTCCGCTTCGCATCAGACACGCCGACGCCGGCACATGGCGTTATTGTTGTTGATTTGTTTGTCTAAATCTGTGTCAAACTCATCGACGATGAAAAACACAGCGGCACTGGTATGTTCTGTCCAAAGGACTACGCGTATTGTAATTTGTGTTCGAACGGCTGAAGTATCGAGTAAAACATAGGTGATATCACAGCTCTATCTAGCTTGCTGGCTCGCGCCTTTCGTAAATGTCCGGCTACATTCCAGTCCTTATCATTTTTGTACTGCTTAAGTTTCCCTTGTTTTCGTGTGGAACGTGCGCATTTTTATGTGTGCAATACAGATCTGTAGGTATATTTATATACATTTTTTGCCGATGTGCAAATCAGTACAAATTAACATGAGCGAGAGGGCAGTTAGTCGCGGGGCGGTTTACTGATGAGACAGTGGGCGTGGCCGTTGACGACAAAGTGCTGGAGGCTGTCGGTGCTGCAGCGGGACCAGCCGGCGCGCTGCCGCTGCGGCTGCTGGATGGACATGATGTGGTTGCCGCGGCGGTCGCAGCGGTTGCCGCTGCCGTCGTGGTACATGCCCAGCGTGTGCCCGGTCTCGTGCGCGATCGTCTCGATGTTCCCGAACATCAGCGCAAACTCCGTCACCATGCAGTTCTTCTCCACGCTGCACATCCCGCCGCCGTACGACACTACACATACATAATACTGTGTACGAGAAATATACGGATATTATATGTAAAGATTTATATACTGTACATATCTGTACATCCAGATATATGTATATACATTAACATATCTGTACATCCGGATGTCCACATATAAATAAAGATACGTATATATATACATAATTATTATACGAGACATATACAAATACATATGTAAACAATATACACATGTAAACAATAATTACTGTATTATTGTATATATATGTAAACATACTGTATATATATACTCGTATATCTGCATATGCAGATAAATGACATATACATACTTGTACAAAAAATATACAAATATACATGAACTAATAAATAAAAATATACATGTCGTGCGTATACAAATATGTGTAACAATCATATTATATTAGATATTAATTGTTTAAATTACATAATATTACAAACTCAATATATTAAATTTAAAAAAGTGTATATAAATGCATACGTTATTATTCCTTATATTTGTTGTATATATATATATAATTAATATTTATTTTAAGCGTCGGCTTCCGGTGAGTTCGTTACTCGTCACCCACCTCCCGACACGGTGAAGATCTTGCGGGCCGTCCCCTTCAAGTTCCGGTAGGCGGCGTCGCGCGTGACGTCGGCGGCGTCGGCGTAGACGTCCAGCCCGGTCAGCGCCGTGGTCAGGTCCCAGTCGGCGCGCGCCAGACCGAGCCGCGCCAACAGTTCGCGCTGGTAGCGCCGGCACAGATCGCTCAAGTAATCGGTGACCTTTTCGCTGCGCGGCATACTCCCGCTGTCGTCCAGGTGCACGCGCTTCACCGCCAGCCGCACCTTCATCGCGCCGATCGACGCGTCGTCGTACAGCATGTTCACCGCGTTGTACGCCGCCAACACCAGCGTCACCTGCAAGAATGTACTTGTCGTGACCTTTCTGTATTTCGAAGAAACTGCGTTGATTAAATGAAAGCAAATTAAAAATAAATAAAATAAAAATACTGTGCTTTTTTAACAACTAATTTAAAACTACTAAAATCACCTTCAGCTAAAATAAATGGAAATTTTTTATATAAATAAATATTAGTTCTATAATTCTATTTATTTAAAGAGATACATGTAAAAGCCTAGAAATTATTTGACTAAAATCAAGAGAATTAATCTTAGTTGATGCAAAGTAAACAGCAGTGCAGTAAATCGGATAAAATTAAAATATACTAAATAATCGGTAGTTAAAGAACGCGCCATCCACGCACCTGGTCATTGACGTCGGCGAAGACTTTGGCCAGTTTGCGCAGCATGGGCGTGTCGACGAGGGCGGCCACCTGCACTTGGAGGCTGTCGGGTGGCGTGACGGTGATGGGCGTGATGCGCAGCGGGTGCAGGTGCAGAGCGTTGGCCAGCTGGTCCAGCACGTCGAAGCGCTGCGGGTCTGCCTCCATTTCGTCACCGGCGTCCGTCCCGCGCGAGTCGGATGTGAGGCGCCGACGGGCGATGTGCACGCTGCTAAATCTATTTAATACAGACAAATAAAAAATAATAAAAATGTAACAAATAAAAAATAAATTTTAATAAAATTAAATAAATACGAGAAAATTCAAAAAATCAAGCAAATTCAAAAAATAATATTAATACCAGTAGTAATAATACGGGTGATGCTTACCAACCTCATCCGGCGCGCCAGCAGCGTCTCGGGCAGCGGCTCAATGAGGATATCCTCCCCGCCGATCTTCAGGACGCCGCGCACCCCCTGCGCAAAACGACTCAACGCCGCCCGCCCCTGATAGCAGCGGCGCGTGGCCGGCTGGCAGGTGGTGACGGTGCCGCGGTAGTGGCAGGCCCGTTGTGCCGCGCTGACCGCCAGCCGGCTCAACTGCCCGGCCGGGCTCATATAGCTGAGCTGCAGGTCCGCGGCGGCCACGACGGCCTGCTGCAGCTGCAGTTTGTAGCTGGCGCCGAACATGTCGATGGTGTAGCTGAGCTGCAGGGCGTCGGCAAGGTCATCCGTGCCGGGGCTGCGGACGCGGCGGAGGTGGATGGTCTGCGCGGAGGCATTGAGAAAAGGTAGGGAATAGCAGCATCCGATTAAATGGAGGGTGGTAGTGAGGAACAGCAGCGTGTCAGAGGCAGCATCCGTAAAGGTCACGGCCAGCATCAATCGGCGTGGATGACGGGGCACTGGCTGGAGATGCAGCGTCCATATATGAGGGGGATGTCACGATGGGTGCCCTACACTGACACGCAGATATCTATACTTGCAGCCTCTCAAAATTAATTCTAATAAATTAATGTATTTAATTTTAATTTTTTATTAAGTTTTATTTTTTTTTAACGTTTTAATAGGCTTTTAAAATTACAAAATGCAAGCGCGGGCAAACTGCTTCATAGTTAAATTTGGACATTAAAAAGCAACCAAAATCTGTATCCGCCCGCGGGTTAAAAGGGAAAGTACTCTCAAAATTCAATTATACCAAGATAATTGCAAAATACTCGTATATACGAGTACGTGTGAGAAATATCAACGAATAGGAGGAACGTTCCATTATTACTGATACATTTTCATACCTTGCTTAGTGAAGAATACTACCAGCATGCTCTGTCCTCCAGAATAGGCGTAAAAAATGTCACAAAAATTGAAAAACCGTACAAATTACACCACAAAATAATAATAATTAAAATACATATGGTAAAAAACAATCAAAACAAAAATAATATTAATTTTAAATACTCGATTGAGCGTTAATACGAGATAATGCTGGCGTCCAGTAATCATCATTTTATTAATATAATTAACATAATTACTCCTCCATTACCCGTAGACGTATACGAAACTGCGCGAATCGTATAAAAAACAACTGGTCATGTACGCACAGAGCCTGTATTTTCGGGTTGCGTCGCAACAATAATTCATTGACTCAGTTCCATGGATTCTCTTAACGTACACGTCGTACGGTCGTACAAAATTGTAAATAAAATAAATTCATTAATTAGAGAATCGATCAGTAATCAATCAGGTTATTTAATACGGTCTGTCACCTGACTGCAATTCAGCATCGCAAATCATTTTTATTTGCATTGCATTTTAATTGTACCCATTCCGCTTATAGAAAAACAAATAAAATCACAACGAAGTACTTTCAATCAGCACAAAACAGCCTCGGGAGGTCTAAGAACAGAGAACAACTGATCTAAGTTCGCTCCCGGTGGAGCTGTTCCCTGGACGGAGGCCGCGTTCCCGCGCTGGATTTCTATGCTGATTCGCTGGCGTACATACTCCGATGCTCGTGCCTCGCCGGTTTCTTGCCGTACCCTCCTACCCACTTCCGTGATCAGGCGGGTGGCTTCCAAAAGCGCTGAACAAGTAGTCATGGGTGATGTTCTGGTACTTGGTTACCTTATCCCGTTCAGCTTTTGCTGCCGCTGCTCCAGCTCGCACGGATGTTGCCGCGATATGCGATAAGGCCACCGTACAGACACAGGTTACGTCCCAAGTCAGCATTCTTCCTCTTTCCCATGGAGTCAACGTGACGCCATCCGGTCGTTTGCCATTCGTTCGGCACAAGCCCGCTGGTAAAGTTCTGTTTCGATTCCGGCTGATGTGAATGCTCGTTTACAGACAACGTTCAGGCTACTGTGTCTGGGCTTTCTGCCGCGGCTTTTCTTGCAGCTAAGCCCAGGGTAGCCTCGGGCGTCCACCCAGTCCCCGCAGACGCAACGGTGTGGAGTGACGATAGCTGCTCCGAGGCGAAGCCCAACAGCGATTCTCAGGGTAGAGTCCGTCAGCAGATTTCCAAGCGACTGCTGCTTCAACACCGCCTTTTGTAGGAAATCCTAGCTGCTCGGGCCGTAGCACGTCATCGAAGTGGGTGCATCTGTATGTCACGATGCGGCATACTATTCGCCGAAGACAAAATCCGACAGCTATAGGTCTGATGCCGCCGTCCTTTTTCTTGAAGGCGAAGAGGCTGGCACCATAAAAGACGTCTGCAATTTCCTGGGGAACACCTCCTTTTTATTAAGTAGTTTGAACGGTCGGTATACAACGAAATATGTAGAGTCGGTAGACCAGCTACGGCCAAATGAATGCCAACATCACGCAAATTAATCACACCGCGATCTTAGAATGTCTTAAAACGAGAAAAACCGGCCAATGATCACGGCAGCAACTGCTTTACGCCGGATACAAAAACGTACAACCAGAAAAAGCTCACGTACATTTTTAAAAAACCAACCGACGTACTCACCTACTTGTTTTCGCTTCATTTCGCGATCCCTAACGTCAGGCGTGGTCCAGAACAACGAAGGCGATCAAAACATTCAGGCTCCAGAATTAATAAAGAGCCATAACATTTAACAATAATCAGTGCAGAAATAGAAAAAAAACTTGCGCAGATAAATCATCGACAATAAAATGCCGCTATTTTCAGATCAGCTGGACAGATTCCGTCGACTGTGTGGACTGCGGCTGATGGTGAGCCAGCTTGTGAAAAGCTGGCCGATTGGTGAGCCGATTGTCCTAAACTCATTCACAGTTTGGCCATTTGTTTGAACAGCCGCCTGTCTGCGGTTGCTTTGTTACTGTGCAGTATGAACTTTACTTACCGTAATTATCGAATTATAAGCTCCCCCCGAAATAGAAGCTCCCCCCGTAATTAGAGCCCACCCTAAGGTTGTTTGAAAGTTATAAGCTCCCCCCGAAATATAAGCCCATGGGCTTACTGTAATTAAATGCTATATAGCCCATACTAACCAATGCAAAAAAAGCTAGTTTGAAAAATTGAAGCCCCCTCCGAAATACAAGCCCATGCCCGTAATTGCCCCGTGAGACATTTGAAATATTTGTAACCCTGGGCCTCTAATTCGATAATTACGGTACATCAGTTACATGTTAATCTACTCACCGACAAATTAAAGTTTTTGATTTAATATACGGTTAAAATACTCTTAAAAAATCAGTTTTACATTGATCTTCAACATTTTGTCTGATTAGGAAGTCGCCGACTTACGTTGTTATTTTAATATTCAAATTGTTTTCTTAAATTACACCAGTATGCCAACGCAAGGCAGCTTTCCTTTCAGCAAGTGATTGCCGAAATAAAATACTTTTAAATAATTTGAATTTTCAGCAATAATAATAATAATTTCTACTAACTAATTGTAATAGCCGCTTAGCAGAATTTCTACTTTAGCGAGTCCGTTATGGAGTTCTTAGTACTCTAAGAACTCCATAACCTTTGGTGTTTTCTGCGTTACATGCGCTAGCATATAAATTAATGAATTTATTCTATCGTGATCGGACACGATGGATCGTCTGAGCAAAACTGCAGCTTATTGAACAGCACGGAAACACAAATCACTCGACTGCCCGGCGCCGGCCACCTCCCGCAACAGACTGACCATCTAGAGACTCTGAGAATTCAAATAAAACAACATCTTTATAAATGAACGGGAACGAGAGAGACTGGGTGAGAGATGCATAATACCAAAAAGAGTCCAAACACCGAGTGAGAGAGAAAGACAAAAGGGAACGCGTCAAACTAAACACCAACTAAACCGCCGCGCACGCCTCACTCGTCGTCCTGCGCCAGGAGGGAGCGCGCCTCGGCCCCCTCCCGCCGCCCCGCCCCCGGGCCCACCCCCGGCTTCAGTCGCGACGGGGAGCCGGACAGGTCCTGCATGCGCACCGGGGTGCGCCGGTTGTTGGCGTTGGCCAAGCCCACCTCCACGTCCGCCTTGCTGGCCGCCCGTCGCCGCCGCATGTTCACGCAGCACAACACGAAGAAGCCCAGCATCAGCACCGATCCGCCTGCAACCATATCACATCGCCAGGTTTGTCGTTGAATTTTCAAATAAATTAATTTCTCGAATAACCATGACATCAGTTTGAAAATTATGGATAAGAAATTATTTAACATTTTTTTTGCAAATTAATCCACAAATTTCTTAACGAGAATATCGAATTTATTTATTGAAATTATTTAAAAATTAATTATTCAAATTTATTTCATATTAACCGCTAATCTCGAATTTAGTTTTTTACGTTTATGACTGTACCAAATAAACATCCGAATTATTTTTCAAAATATAAATTTTCCAGTTAAATTTCAAAACAAATTAATTTTCCAAATAACTCTTAATAAATTAATATTAGCTACAGTAGTTCAAAAATTTTGAAAATTAATTATGTAGGCTGTGCTTACAGAAAAACAGCAGCATGATGCCGAAACCCAGCCCAGTTGAAATCTCCTCCTGGCCCTTTTTAGTCGTCAGCGCCCCGACCTCCCGCTTGGTGGTGGTGTCGGCCTCCAGCTCCTCCACGGGGCGCTGCGTATTCAGCCGCACCACCTCCATGTCGAACTGCACCTCATCGCCCGGGCCGGCGGTGGTCATCCCGGCTCCACTGCTCTTCAGCGTGAAGTTGACCACGACAGCCGGCGTCTCCGCCAGCACCGTCACCTTGCGGCGCTCCGTCTCATAGCCCTTCTTGTAAGCGAACAACCGGTACGTCCCCGGCACCAACAACCGCCAATAATCCCCGTCCACCGCCGACGTCACCACGTGATCGATCCCCTCCACCTGGACACTCACGCCCTCCAACGGCTGCCCCGCCTCGTCGCGGACGAAGCCCTTGACGCCCTTGTGCACCTCCATCATGAAGGCGATCAGCGGGCGCTTGTTGGCCTCCCAGAAGGATGCCAGGTGCTCGGCGGTGGGGTACTTCCAGCAGCCCAGCTCCAGGGTGATCTCGAAGGCGTTGCTGTGCAGGTAGTTCCAGTCCTGCATCCCGCCGGCCACCGGGTACCATTTGGCGCCGTTGGTGATGCCGTCCTTGAAGTACTCCGAGTCCATGTAGCGTCGGCAGGGATGGCCTTCGTACATGGTCTGGTGCGCCTGTGACGGAACGTCAGCCATTAGTACTGTACGTACTTTAATCTCTTTACTCGTACTTGCTATTATTCCTTGTACTTCCTAGAACGTTCTGTATTATTTTCGGGTGTGTTTTGGTTTTCTACACAGAGGTGCCTTGCGACTACACAGTAAGTCCGTGAGTGACAGTATTTTGGGCATCAGTCAGTCGTGATCAGCTTCCTCATTTTAAAATTTGTAATTAAATCTCAACTTTACTGGTGAAATCAAACACAGGGCGCAATGTATCGAAACATACTACCTAGATTAATACAAGAACGAGTTACAACAGGTAATTAAATTAAATTAAATTTGTATTTAATTAAAATTTGTGATTTAGTCTTCGGGGGTTGTAGTATATATAAATAACTTTCATAAGATGTTTTACAAAAGGCAACGCCTAGCGTTCACGCGATCTAGCTGAAGAAACCATTCCAATTAACGTGAGATGGAACACTTTCCACAATACTCTGAGTTTTTAATTAAATTATCGTCGGACGTGCAGTTTCTCGCTTCGCGCAGATTCTTAGACTTAGATGCCGCATTGAGATTATCAGCTCATTCTCTGCCGTTGAGTCAGGTCGATAAGATAGATTATTTACGGCAATTATTCCTATCGTACTGGTCTCTCCGTTATTTACGGTAATTATTCCTATCGTCACCTGCGAGTACGCCTCGGCCAGCTGCTTGAACACGGCGTCATCCGGGCTCTGACTGTACACCGCGGGACCGGTGGGGTTCTGCTGCAGGTCATCGAAGGGGTAGTTGGCCACCAGCGAGCCCCCGTGGAGGTTGGCGGACAGGACGAAGGGGTAGCGGCGGATCCAGGCCATGACGGCGGCCGTCTCCGGCTGCTGGCGGGCGTTGTCGTTGGTGGTGAGGAACTGGTCGGGGAAATTGCGGTTCAAGTCCACGTTGTTGGCGTTGCCGCGGCCCTGGACGCTCTCGTAGTCCCCGGGATGGCTGGCCTCGAAGCCGTCGGGGTTCATGGAAGGCAGGATGTGGATGCGGGTGGCGTTGACGAGGGTCTGGACGCATGGGGAGTCGTGGTAGTTCTCCAGGAGGGCTTGGATTAATAAGAGGAGTAGTTCCCGGCCCACCACCTCGTTGCCGTGCATGTTGCCCACGTACTTGAATTCCGGCTTGCCTGTACGGGAAATAAATACATCTGTCAAACGTTATGATTATTCCACGGACGATAAATGCCGGCATCTTGTTATGACGCACGTCGCATACGTATAAACTGCTTTTCGACGCTGCCTACATTCACGAGCAGCGAGCGGAAGTAATTCCTTCACCCGTGATGGAATCCCGTCAAATAAAAACGCCTCTAGCATAAATAAATTACTGCTAATGGGATCGGCACGTCTCACCGTTAAATCATGAGTGTAAGAGAAAACAGCAAAGAGAACTTTTTATAAACTTCTCAGTAAATCGGTGCTCCATCGACTGGAATAATTAAGATCCTATGCAACGTTAGGAAAATTTACACAACTTCAGGAAAATTTCTTCGTCTTAATGCAATCCCAAAAAAATTTACAAAATTCTAAAAATATTACAAAAAGTTTTGGGAAAGCAATGTGCAAAAAAGAATGCAATATATAATTTCCTCGTGATAATCAACGAAGATTAAGCACCCTATGAAAGGCACTGAATGTTACGGAAATAAAACATTCGAGAAAACGAATCAACGGCAAATTCACCACAAATTTCAGTGAAAATTCAACAAAAAATAGCTGACCAAAATAATGAGAACTCATAAAACGAATTCCAGGAGAAGATGCGAAAAAAGTGCTTTAAAAAACGGAAAATCTTACATCTATAAAAAAATGGCACTAAAAATGGAAATTATATTTTTTAAAAAAAGGAAAAATCTTCCATCTGTACAAAATCACACCAAAATCTGAAATTGTATTTTCCAAAAACTGAAAAAAAAACTGAAAAACCTTCCATCTGTACAAAATCACACCAAAAACGGAAATTTTATTTTTTAAAAAATGAAAAATTGTCCATCTACAAAAAAGTGACACTAAAAATGAAAATTAAATTAAAAAAAAATTAAAATCGTCGCAGCGCAGAAGCCAAGGAGAAAACCAGTAGCACTCCAAGACATTTCCCCTCTTACCCGGCTGGTGCACATTAGGCTGGCTGGAGATCTCCATAACCAGCAGCTGCCGTCCCTGCACACTCTGCCCCACCGTATACAGCCGCGTGATCCCCGGGAACCGCCCGGCCAGATCGTTCATCTTGGCCAAGAGATCCTGGTAGGAGTGGTACTTGAACTGCTCCTTCCGCGGCTCATGCAGCCAGTCGCGCGCCGCCAACGTGGCGTTGCCCCCGAGACACGGGAGAATGCGGTCGATCAGGCGCGGGACCGTGGTCTGGCTGGCGGCGCTCTGGCTGCCCTCCGGGACGCGCTCGTCCAGGTACAGCTGCGCCGTCTGCGCGTCGTTGGGACGCGGCAGTTGGTTGATCCCCAGCATGTTGTTCATCATCATCTGCTGCTGCATCGGGTTGAAGAAGGGGTTCTGCAGGCGCTGGCCGCCGGTGGACGCGGTCTGCTCCAGGATCAGCAGGAGGATGGGGAGCATCAACCGGAAGGCGTCCATCGTCGCAGCGGTTTATTCAGTCAATACTGATTATAGGAGATCGTCGTTCGGGCCACTGTCCATCCACCGGACTATCGAGTTCTCTATTAATCTACTAGCACCTACGGAAATTAAATTTCTGGACTGTTTTGGGAAATGGTGTGAAATAAAAAGTAATAAAAAAATGTGCAATTAAAACAGTGAATTTCTACAATTTATTTTCCAAAGAATTTTTCTTATAAGTTATGGGTAATTAAAAACAAAACTGTGATGCAGGAAAATTCGCAGAAGAAAAATGAATGTGTAAAATTATTTTTCAAACCTTTCTGCTTACTGCTTACAGATGGATAGAGATGAAATTAAAAATAAAATAGTGACAATTTAACAGACAGGTATTTCTGCTACACCATCATTATTTTAAACGGTTACTCCACTGTGTTTAATTCATACATTTAATTTTCATGAATTTCTTCATCTAAAAATTATTTAAATAACAATTTCAAATAATTCGATATCCTATCGCATCTTGCCAGGCAGTGCCAGCATCAGGCATGTCAACAAAGATCACGAAATCAAGGAAAATTTTTGAAATATTCTGCAAATATTCCGAATAATTTATAATGCACCCGTTTTTCTTACCAGATCGCCTGTCCCGATCGTCCCAGTGGCCACAGTAAAAAGCGAGGATCAGCGTGTGTCAAACAGTTTTCCTTTTCATTCTTTTTTACAGGTATAAAAAATAAACAGGAAGATTAAGAAACGAGAAACTCGGCGCTCGCAAGAGTCAACTGCACATGCCAACAGATTTGCGTTCGGAGTCAGTGACGGATTCCTCAACGCTTCATTCTTGGAGAGACATCAAATAAACTCCCCACTGCTTCAGTAAATAACAAACGATCAGAGAAAAATTTCCAAATGTCCCAAAGATCAAAGATGAAAGGATCTGATCCAAATCAGATCCGGGAGAAATTATCGGATGACGTCTGTCCAATTTGCCAATACATATTGGAAAAGTGGCGTGCCATTACGTCACTGAACATTCACCAGCTGCCGTACGCACGCTGCGCCGTACGTAGTACGCACTGATTCGTCGTACATCGACCCCACGTAACCGCAGCCAGTTAGCGGCTTTTGCTTACGCTGCATTTTATACGCTACGTCACACGTCCGTACGAGGGTGTGTCTTGAGACTTGAACTGTCTTCGCTGTGTGAGCGCTTCAGTGACTTCGACTCCGACTCGCGTTGCATTTGTGTTTAACCGCGCCAGCCAGTCCGAGTCGGTGCAGTCAGCCAGCTGTTCCGTCGTCAGTTCGTGTTGGGTTTGTTTGACTTTGGAGTTCCCAAAACTGCGCGCGACAACATGCGACTTCAGCCAAAGAACTTTCTAATAACCTAATCTTTGTTGAATAATATTTTGCATTACTGCAGAGTGCCTATCGAGTTTTTGCTCAGTTTTTACCCTTCTGATTTTCGTCGTTGGTCCGTGTGTTTGACGTTGCAGGCCGAGACGGGATAACGCTGTGTACTGACAGTATTGTGAATTTGTGAAGAAAGGAATCGGTTTGCTTGAGGCGCACTTGGCAGCTTGACTGTGGAATGCACTGTTTCATCAGCCAGAAAAATTCAATCAATTCTTATCCGCCATCTTATCGTTGACCTGTTGAGCGTGCTTTTACGGGATTTTTAAAGTTGGCTCGCATCTCCTACAGCCAAAAAAGCGCGAAAGCTTGGACTGTTATTGGATCGAGCGATTCGGGAGTCGACAAGAAAATCGGGATTTCGTGGGGTGATGCGTTGGGGCAACGATAAATTATTTTTGGAAAAAGCATTGTGAAGTCGCCGCGTGTATTCCCTGGTTGAAGCGTGGCGAGGCGATCCCGAGTGCCGTCGTCGGCGATGACATCGACCATGAGCCGGAGCGCGGCGCCCGTGTCCTCCCTGCGACGGCTGGACGAGCGCGCCTCCCCGGGCAACTCCCGCCTGGCCAGCGCCCTCTCCGGCTCCCGCTCCCCCTCGGCCGGGCGGGGCCCCGCGCTGCTGGGGGCGACGGGAGTGGGGCATGCTCCAGGGGGCAAGGAGATCATCCACAGCGGCCACTTCATGATGAGCAACGTCCCGCAGGACGAGGACGACGACGACGAGAGCGACGAGGTGACCACCGGCTCGGAGGAGCTCCTCAGCGACGCTCCGGAGGACCCGCGCCCGGCTCCCAAGGCGCCGCCGCAGACGGCGCCGGTGGCCGCCCAGGCCGGCCCCTCCCGCCCCGCCTACCGCGCGCAGCAGGCGCATCTGCCGCGGGGACGCAGCAACTCCATGACGCACGACGGGATGCACCGGTCGCGGATGAACATTGCGCCGCAGCAGCAGAAGGGGAAGCTGATCGATTCGTCGCTGAGCAAGCTGTTCGAGTGCATGACGCTGGCCTACAGGTGGGTGGCGGCATTTACATGTCTCTCTTACTCTGTCAGCCGCCAGTGTCAGGGGAATATAAGTTATATAACTGGTGGTAATTTAGGGCGAAATTGACGTCTCCCAAGTGGAATAATTTCAAGGGATTGAAGCTCCGCTGGACCATCAAGATCCGGTTGAATAACGTCATTTGGCGCGCCTGGCACATGCAGTGTAATTATTTTCGGATTAATTACTTTCCTTTATTAAGTTTATTTCTAATTTGATTAACTACACTGCTAATTTAATTTTAAATCTTTTAATTATAATTTTTATAAGATCGCCACCATCAGATACCACAAAAAAATCTGTCTCGGCGATTCCGAAAATTTCTGATAATTATTAATTTTTAATTTATTGGAACGTATACAAGTGCGCAGATTTTCGGCTGGAATTTTAAACATTTGATTTACATAGAAAGATAATGAGGAGATATTTGAGAGTAGAGGCTTAATAACTGTAGCGAATTTTATTTCTTTAAAAAGTTCACATGCGCCATTAAAACAGGAAAATAATTACGGTGTAGTACGAGTACAGAAGATGTTTGTGCAGTTATCAAGCAAGTGCGGCCGCTGATCGCGCCCTTCTCCATCGAAGTGGACAACTCGGTGCACAACAAGACGGAGTCGGTGCTGGTGGAGGGCAAGTACTGGAAGCGCCGGCAGTCCATCGTCTCCTCCGAGTACCGCCGCTGGCGGCTGTGGTACAAGGACCGCATCTCCGGCGTCCGCACCCGCACCGACAGCATGGGCGCCAGTGTACGTTGTCCTCATCATTTACTACAATAATATCTGTATTCGGCTGCTCTGATGAGGTATCTTCACGAGAAAAATTGCTGTAAAATGCAGGCGATGAGCTATGACCCGCACAACGAGGGTATGCTGCAGCAGCCCTGCCTGGAGGAGCCCATGATGCTGGACGACGTCCTCCTGCCGGACTTCACCGACGCCTTACTGGCCCGCCTCGGCCAGCAGCCCTTCGCCTTCCCCGATCCCAGAGAAATCGGTATCCGCTATTTCTACCTTTATCATTATAATTTTTCTATAATTAACGTTTATTTGATGCAGCGCAAGCCGGGTACGCGGATTTCATCCAGCCGGGACTGTTGCCGCTGCAGCCGTCGCTGGAAGACCTGATGGACACGCTGGAGCCGTTAAACGGTAGGGCACATGCAGCACTAAGCAGTTCTCTGTCTGAATAACGTCTTTGCTGTGTTGCAGAGTACTTTGCGCAGCAGAATCAAGCGTCGTCCGGCTACAATCCCGTGGGACAATTCGGGATGGGTAGTTCGCAGGAATTCATATCTCAGGATAATTACGGCGGCTCCGACGCGTACTGGAAGGTCAGTCTGAGCATCCTTGTAACTCTTGTGCATTTATAATTTAATTATTATTAATCGTGGGCTGTGTAACTTATTTTGATTAATGATTGCTATTGGTTTTTTAATTATTAGATTAATTTTTTACTGATACTAGTATACTAATTTTTTATTAATTGCTATAGAGTTATTTCTTGTCGGTTTATTTTACAGCGATTTAACTATTATTAATTTATTCGTATAAATATTATTTTTATAATTCTTGTTCATTTATTTTGGCTGTTGTACAGCAATCGCTGGCGCTGCCCGACTACCTGGTCCAGTCCGTCAGCCCCCCGGCGCCCCACCAGCCCTCCTCCAACCCCTCCCGCGCCCCGCCCGCGGCCGGCACCTCCAGCGCCTACATGTCCGACTACGCCTCTCCACAGTACGCTCCGCCGACGACGTACTCGACGCAGTACAGCGGCGGCACCCTGGACGCCATGCAGCCCCTCGACACCTTCCGCGCGGGCCCGCAGCATCCACAGAGCGGATTATCGGAGTTCGAGCTGCGCCGCGAGGACATCCGGCAGCGCTCGCTGTCGGGGCCGACGCCCGGCGGGGGCCCGCTGATCCAGCCGGACGTGCTGGCGGCGCTGGCCTCGTTTGGCCGGTCCATCTCGGCGAGCAGCGGGAATGTGGCGCAGGCGGGGTACGCGCCAACCGACGCGCAGAGTGGGAGTGCCAGTGCGCCCGTCAGCCGATTGAACTCCATTGTGCCCAATAGTAACGCGTTTGTCGTACCGGAAGTGCATGTTAGTGCTTTATATTTTTATTATAGACAGTTTGAGTAATATGTGGAAATTTGGAATTAAATTAATTGACATTTAATTTGGCATTTGATTTGTAATTTGATTTTTAACTTATATTTTAAATTTAATTTGGCATTTAATTTTTAGCTTTTAATTTACAGTAATTTGGAATTTTAATTTTGCATTTAATTTGGAATGCAGTTTGTAATTTAATTTGTAATTTAATTTGTAATTTAATTTGTAATTTAATTTGTAATTTAATTTGTAATTTAATTTGTAATTTAATTTGTAATTTATTTTTTAAGTTAATTTTGTCTGTCGTTTAGCCGATCAGCAAAGGCCGGGGTCGCGGCAAGAAAGCCGCAGCCGAGAGCGCCTCGACGGCGGGCGTCCCGTCTGCGCAGTTCAACGCTCCCGGACGAACGGCTTTATCCGTCACGCTCCCGTCGTCCAACGAGGGATCGACGCTGGCTCGTCTGCTGACAAGTAAATCTGCGAACCTGAAAGCTGCCGGTTTAAACTCCAGGGATTTTATTTTTGAATAAGCGCGTATTTTTCACCAGGCGGCCCGGTGTTCCCCGGCGGCGTCATCCAGCCGGCATCGGGATCGCCCTCCAGGAAGAAGCTGGCTCCCAAACCCGCCGCCAACGAGCCCAAAATCCGTCCCGCTCCGCCGACGCTGACCAGTGTGGTGCTGCCGGCGGAGATCGTCAGTGAGCCGCTGGTCGTGCCCAAAGTGGAAAACACGTTTCTTCAGGGTACAGATTAATTTTTTTTTAATTTCTTAATCAGTTTTCGGATATTTTAAATAATTCTGAAATGTTCTAATCCATAGCTGGTTATATACGACTGGTTATCATTATGTTTCCAAGATACTCGTAACTTTTAATTTCCTAGAGTAAAATTTTAAATTAATTCTGAAATTTGCAGATAAATTTCGAGTTTAAATAATAATATTAATTATTTGCACATTGTAGATAAATAGATATTTTTTGAATTTAAAATTTTAGGAATTATGAAAATATTAAAAAATTAGTCTGCATCAAATTGAAAACCATGACGGTTTCTTTTAACTCCTTTTAACTACACTAATTAATCTGTCTTGTCTGGCTTGTGCTGATCATCACTCTGCCAATTTAAATAAGTTCATAAATCAATTGGGAAATGGGGATGTAATTGGAAATTTTGAACAATTATTTCTGAACGTTTATGGAAGTCGGCAAAGTTTTTCTGGATTTATGGCTGTCAGGATGGAAAAAAATAATTACGATGGTTGAATATGGATAGATTCGGGGTTGTTCCGGCGGCGCATGGAGGAGTCGGTGGGGGAGCGGCCGCGGAGTCGCGAGAGCCGGCGCATGAACCACATCACGGCGGAGCAGAAGCGGCGCGGCGACATCAAGAGCGGCTTCGAGATATTACAAGGCATGGTGCCGCAGCTGGCGGCCAGCGCCAGCCACAGCCCCGGCAAGCAGGTCAGCAAGGCCGTCATCCTGCAGCGCGGCGCCGAGCACATCCACCGCCTCAAGGAGGAGCGCCGCCAGATGCAGGCCGAGGCCGACGCGCTCAAGCAGCAGATCGAGGCCATCAACCACGCCGTCACGTAAGCCACGAACACACCATCGGAAACACTGATTTTCTGCGACTAATAATAAATCAAGTTTTAATTTTCTTTAATTTATAGAATAGTTTTTAATTTGCGGAATAATTTCTCAGTGCCAAAATTAAAATTTGCAGATAAATTCCAAATTAAGTTCTGAGTCTGTTGAATATTTTTTTTCCTAATTTTCACAACCGGTACTTGTAAATTTTGTGACTTTTGGTTAGCTTTCAAATTACGGATAAATTTTTATAACATTTCAAATGTTTAATGAACCATAAAATTTTTTAATCTTCAAATTTTGTTGCTCCTGTTAAAAGACGGTGGACGGGTGTTTGCAGGGTGTGCCAGCAGCAGCTGCCGGCCACCGGCGCCCCCGTCAGCAGTCGCGCCCGCAAGGACCGCATGAACGAGATGCTGGACGAGCACATCCGGGCGCAGACCATGCACAACTGGAAGTACTGGCTGGTAGGTGCAGATGCGTTTCTTACCGCTGCATATTCATTCAACCCGTTCACGCTGCAGTTCAGCCTGACGATGCGGCCGTTAGTCGATTCGTACGCGTCCAGCGTGGCCTGTCGCGGCGTGGAGGAGCTGGGCCAGAACGTGCTCAACTGGGTGGACCAGCAGTGCACGCTCACGCAGCTGCGGCCCTGTACGTAGCGCTGATTGTCCCTCACTTAACTTTCGCAATTATTCTGTTTTATTATTATTTATTTTTCTTTAATTTATTCCGTTTTATTATTCATTTTTTATTCTGATTATATTCATTATTAATGTTCTTACTAAAATGTCTTTACTGATGCTCATACCGTGACATAACTGTCGTAATTTTTATCATTACGGCCAGCATTGCACAATTAGGAATTTCAAAACAACAACCAAAATCAATATTAATAGTTTTTAATTTAAAAAAAAGTTGGGTATTTACTATTTTTATTTTTTTATATTGTTCTGATGCATGGTTGGTTGTTTGGGGTGGCGCAGTGATCAAGGAGTCGATGCGGAAGGTCAGCACCAGCACGCACATCCTCAGCGACCCCGGCCGCCTCCCGGAGGAGGCCCGCCAGGCCGTCCAGCCGAAGCCGGCTGCCAAGGCCTACGCCTCGCCCTCCACCTCCTCCTCCACGTCCTCCCTGGGCAACAGCACCACCCTCGGCTCGCCCAACAACACTCGCGGGTCGCCGCACCCGGGGACGCATTTCTCCTGATCAACGGACGGCGAATCGAGGAACGCGCCTTATGACAGTGCCTTGCGACGGAGCGTGTGTGCTTCTCGTTTATACGACGGATTTTATTCACTGGCGTACCGACAACCGACACGAAATGGCGGAGGCCGGTTGCGGCTGGTGTTTTTGTTTGAGCACATAGGCGTTATTTTGAATTCATAGTGTCGTTTGTCGAGTTGGTTATTCAGACCAGAGGAATAATTGTGCGCTGCGTCAAGAATCGCTTCGTGTCACGTGTGGGGTGTGCGTGCCGAAATTTCTGCAGTTTTTCAATTGCATACCAATTTAAAAGGAAAGTTTATTATTCGGGTCAAACTTGGATACGAGTGTCAGAAATTTATGACTCAAGTAGGAAATTATTTTATTGGCAATGGCCACCCAAATAACAAGAACTGCAAGTGCTGGCACATTACTTGATACGTAGTTTACATTTTACTGCAGCATTGCAGTACTTAGCTGTCCAAAGAACTTTTTCCTTCTCTTTTAATAGGCAATAGCCAATGCACACATCGGTATGCTTCCGCAGGTTTACACTAATTAAAATGAATAAATTTTAAACATTGAAAAAACACCCATAATCATTATTGATTATTGTAATTCAAAATCTTATGACGTGCATTCAAGATACCCAAAACAGCTGCTGCGTTTCCTCTGACTACATGTCTTAAAAGGCCGTGGATCGAGGCTCTCCTGTAGCGTCGCGGATCTTCCGGCCAACAACACGAATCAGTTCCGTAAACGATGTTCCAAAAGTTCCGAACGTCTCCACCCCCAGAGCGTAGAAAAAGTAGCCCAAACCCTCGACGAAAGCGTGCTTCCGCCGCCAAAGACCTTGAAAGAAGCGCAACAGGTCGGTCGATACAGGCAAAACGACTGCGCCAGCACAGAAATCCAGCCAGGACACGCAACATCCGTATTTGGGAACAGCATCACCAGCAGCGAACTCATATGAAATTTTGTCTCCTGTTCGACCGCCTTTTGTTTGTAGATGCTGCTGCGTAACTCGCTGTCATGCTGTTTTTCGTTAATTTAAGAGAACTTTCAAGAAACTGTTACAAAAAGAACATCCATGGACGACTTTAAATATCAGAAAATCAAAACTGGCCGCGATAATACGGCGCAAGCCACTGTCGGCCTGTTATCACCCGGGAAACATGCAGCGGCTGCACTGCACAACCATAGAAAAGAATAATAATAATACAGTATTATTCTTTTCTATGGCACAACCGTTACGAGACGGCAGTTACTCCACCGATTCGCGTGCACAGTCTGCAGAACGGCTTGTTCAGAAATCTGACAGTTCTCACTTTTGTGGACTTGCTTTGAGAGCTGATTCTGCTTTTTGTGACGAGAGCCAGCTTTCTTTCGTTCTATCATTTGGTATCCTCACAGGCTACGTATTTTCCGTGGAAATTCTCCTGTTTTTGCCACTACCACAGCGTCGAGTGAGTGGGACTCAGCGTGCTCTGTTCAGTCTCTTGACTGCACGCTGCTGCTGTCTCGTTTCTGTTGGTACGTACTTACATCGTACGCTAACTCTCGGCGTTGTTTTCGCAGCAGCATGAGCGCAACGCCACGCTTCTATCGGGAAGTGTGGACGGGTGCGCGGGAGACCAACTACGCCAACACGGTGCTGGTGCGGCGCGACGGTGGCCAGTGGTGGTTAGGCTACGTTCAGGACGTCCGAGGAAAGGAGCTCCTCGTGGACTTCGATGCCAGCACAGTCCAGCCCCAGTGGATCCATACCAGTCTCATCTGGCCGCACCACTCACGATATTATACGTTGGATACGTACGTCAACACCGTCGTGCAGGTGGCGCTGCGGGAGCGCCCGGGTGGACCGCTGGTCTTCCGTCCCGCGCGCGTCGTGGCGCAGTGGCGAAGCGTGTTCCTGGCGGTGTGTCTGGATGAGCAGAAGCCTCAGGATTGCTTCTTCGTGCATGGCAGTCTGTTCGCGGAAGCCCTACCCGTGCCGGGTGATGGACAGAGTTTCTTCGCGCGCACGGATGGTCTGACGTACACCAAGCACGTCATCCCCTTCCCCGCCGCCGGCCAGCTGCGCCACGTCGACCACCTGCCGGAATTCGTGGGCCGGGCATGCCAGTTCCGTCTGGGCAGTGGAGAGCGTCTGTTCCGTAATCCGCCGTTGCTGCGGGTGGAGGGTGGTGGCACGCCGTTCTACGCCGTTCCAGCGTTCCGGGGACTCATCGGGGGAGTTTTTCGAGGAGTCGAAGTAGTGGTGCGCCTATTTGTTCGTGCGGGAACGGACTCTGTGACGTTTGTCTGTCTGGAGATGCACAATGCGGCCGTCGGGCGCCGGATGTCCTGGAACGAGGAGGTCCTCAAGGAGGTCTGCCAGAGTTTCCTGCAGGAGCATTCAGTGGAGAACATTGCCGTCGTACCACAGCAGCTGGAGGGCGGTCAGTGCCTGCGTATAGTCTACAATGGACTTCAAAATTTTGTTACATTCGGTCCGGGACCGAATGACCAGTAAAAATAAATGGCCGCGACCAAATGACCAATGAAAAGGGAACGTGCAAGACTTTGAACACCTGCACCTTGCGCATTTCCCAACGAAAACCATCAACCGATATACCAAACGCAAGAGAAAAGAATTTTGAGAATTTCGATACCAAACAGGTCATCCTTTATGAGATCTAAGAGAAAATCGAGCCATTTTAGTTCGTCGTAGACAAAGCACACGATTTCTGTGTGAAAACTGAAATCAAACCGTGGATTCAAATCCTATGCTATGTCTATGAGAAACTTTAGATGCGTCGATTTTCTCTTAGATCTCATAAAACACAGCTTGTTTGGTATCAAAATTCTTGAAATTTTTTTCTTATTCGTCTGAGATATCGTTCGAAGGTTTCCGTTTGGGAAATGCGCAAGATGTCAGCGTTAATGTCAGCAGGCCGATGGCCAGTTCAAAATTTGGCTGTTCAAGTACAGAAAAGTGCCTGGTTGCGCGCGTTTTGTGATTATATAAGTGTAACAAAATTTTGAAGTCCATTGTAATGTGAATTATTCGACATGTTTTGCACTGCGGTCCACGAACGCCTTTTCAGTGTGGTTGCGCGTGCCGGTCAAAAACGGCACGGTATTGTATAGGTTGCTCCACGCTAGAAAACTTGATATTTATTCTTTTAATAATCTCGTGTTTTTAAGAATAATTTAATCCATGCAGCCGTAAAACGTAAAAAATGAGCACCGTAGCCGTAAAACGCTACGGTAAAACCGTACGTAATAGTATGAAAATTTTGTACGGTTTGAGACCTCTAATGCACACGTAGTATTACAGTACTATGCTCATACTCGTATGCTTTTTGAAGGTGCCTCCGGCGGCGGCTCAAAAGGTGCGGAAGAAGCGTCCATAAAGGAACTGGCGATTCCGATCCTGACGTGCATCCTGACTGGTGTCGATGCGGATGCGCACACTCAGCTACGCTTTTCCAGGCGAGTTCTCCCAACTGAATGCGTTTGCCGCACGGATTAATATGCAAACTGCATCAGCAGCATTAGCGACACTGTTGTAGTGGTATCTTATGTTGCTGTCTTTGACCAGGGTGTGCGGGCTATGGAATGAGGTTGTGCGGACATACGGGCAGCGCGTCGTCATCCTGGACAGCGCCCAGATGTGGCCGCAAAGGGCCTGTACGCACCAATTCTCCTTTGAGATCTATCCCCGCTTCTTCAGGCTATTTACCGCGGTGGACCACGCCGTCACCGCCAACACTGCAGCACTGCTGCTGCTGGGCGACCGCGACGAGCTTCTGGATGACCAATGGGGGTTGATCGATCTCAAACAGAAAATGAAGATGGTCCGCAGTGTACTGCACACTAAAGGAATTCACCTGTCCTTAATCGTGGTGCGGAACAAGGCTGTGGTGCCTGCGGACCCCGGGGATCGCTTTCTAGCCATCAATATCCCTTACCAGGCGGAGTATGGCATCGATGTCGCCGACGACGAGTACACACTGCGAGCGGTGTCGTACATGATGAGCGTTTGTGATGCGCTGGTCTTTGTCAACTACAAGGCGTCGCGCTCGATCCTAAGGTCAGCGCGGAACCGCATGTACATCCGCACCGACGAGAATTTCATACCAGCCTCCCTATACACCGACTGGAAAGAGGACTCCCCCATCGACGTGGGTGTGACGATTCCGCTGATCCGCTTCCACTGCGACGAAGCCGCCACGGAGCAGCGCCGGCGCTTCCTGGCCGCGGCCAACGACAACTGTCCCGCTGTGAGGCAGCACGTCCGGGAAAAGATCGCCGGGTTGTTTGCGCGATGGGCGGACACGGTGCCCGATGACGGACGGGCAGGAATGCGCAAATTCCTGCAGCTGTAAGCAGTTTCTTTGCTATTTGGACGTTTTTTCGCGCTTCGGGCACTTTCGCGATACGGATTCGCGTGGTTGTTTCACCTTACTGTGACCTTAGAAAACATTGTCAATAATTTCGTGTTTTGTTATAATTTAACATTTTCATTCATCTCGTTAACATTTTCGTTAATCTCTGGTGTCCGTAATTACCGTGCAGCGGAAATGATGTTTGTTGTCGAATTAGGTTCAACAGTCTGGGAGCGGGTGATGATGGCCGGCAGTGGGAGACGCTGGATATGCGCCGGCTGGATGTGGGTTTGCTCAACAACCTGACCTTCGCCGCCCTCAACGGATGCTACCTGGACGACGGCGAAGTGGAAGAAGTCGAGGAAGACAATGAGTAGTCGAGGAATTACGGTGCTGGTCATGTCCATTCGTCAGTTTTTTCTGGAATTTGTGTGGCATTTGGTTCCTGCTAACCCGTTGTGTTGATGGGTACGTCACTTTTCACGGGGTTTGTGCTTTAATATCCGGTCACATATAAACTTTAATTTCAACCTTGTACAAGCAAATGCCATTTACAATTTAAAACTCAAATACCGAACAGCTAGAACAAATAAAACAGCTCTTCTAGCTCTTTTGAACAATGAGTAGTCGAGGAATTACGGTGCTGGTCATGTCCATTCGTCAGTTTTTTCTGGAATTTGTGTGGCATTTGGTTCCTGCTAACCCGTTGTGTTGATGGGTACGTCACTTTTCACGGGGTTTGTGCTTTAATATCCGGTCACATATAAACTTTAATTTCAACCTTGTACAAGCAAATGCCATTTACAATTTAAAACTCAAATACCGAACAGCTAGAACAAATAAAACAGCTCTTCTAGCTCTTTTGAACAATGAGTAGTCGAGGAATTACGGTGCTGGTCATGTCCATTCGTCAGTTTTTTCTGGAATTTGTGTGGCATTTGGTTCCTGCTAACCCGTTGTGTTGATGGGTACGTCACTTTTCACGGGGTTTGTGCTTTAATATCCGGTCACTGTTTTCGGACTTTGTTGGTCAAATCAAAAACGCAATGCATAAGCAAGAAAATGAACACATTTGACTATAACAGAAAAATTTCGTTTAGTTTACCTAGCCCTTCCATCGTGCCCAGCACTGAAGCCGCATTTCCCCGCTGAATTTCGATGGACAAACGCTGTCGCAGAAATTCGTGCGAGCGTGCTTCCCCGGTGTGCTGCTGCAGTTTTTTTCCCAGCTCTTTGATGATGGCGATCGCCGAAGGTCCCCACGGGCCCAGTGTTTCGAAAGCGATCGGGACGAATAGGTAGCGGCCGGCCAGATAGAAATATAGTCCTGCTTTCTTTCCTTCTGCCTGCACAGCGGCCGCTCCCGCTGTGGTGGAAGTGGCTTTAAGATACTGTCACTGTTTGGTTAGTGACTGGTTACTGCCACCCAGCGAACTGAAATGGTCAGTTGGACAGGACAGTAAGGTTTAACTTTTACTTTTTTTACAGACAGATTATCTGTTTAGCAATTCAACGTTGAAATTCCGCTTCTGTTATTGGTACCGTTGAGAACGCTGTTTTGTTTTAACCGGAATTAGCTCTTGAAATGTTTTCGCGCTTAGAAATTTAAGTAACAGTACACGGTTAACTGGCCCATGAGTTCTGTGATAAAGTCGGGTGCCGTTGGGCGTTGGCGTCACAGCTCATAATGATCGCATCGACGCATGCTACACGAGTCAGAAAAGCCAAAGATGAAAGGATGCCGATACTTATTGTCGTGCACTCATGATGGTCATAGTTCGCGATCGTACGACAACGCACAGATTTTCATTAAAATAATTGTGTAAATGAGTACATATGCTGTTAAATACGTACTGCAGATCGACAATTCGGTTAATAAAAGTCACCCGGCATCAAACTAGTGCGCATGCCCGGAAACTACGTTCGGTGTAGAAACGATTTCTATGTTTGTTTTTGTTTTCAAGATTTGAAGAACTCTTCAGATGACTTGATAATGAGATTTTGGTACCGCTCCGTACGTTTAAACGTTTGAAGTTTGATTTCACCCACAACTTCGCAACCGGATGTTGCACCCACAAACGGTCTTCACGCCAATGTATATACAAATCATCTGGCTACACAATGTCATAAAACAGTGCAAAAAACGGTTGGAGTGCGCAAAAGCAAAAGTGTTCGTGCATGTAATTGTACACTAATCTGGTTGTTCTGGTACCACGTACCGGGTCACTTCCCAAAATAGAGATATTCGCACAGAAACATCGTAATTTGTGACTGTTTCTTCCGCGGTTACCGGTGCAGATGCATTGCAACAACGCTCTTTATTATGAAAGTAATGTGGTAATCGCTTTGAAGTCAGCATACAGTATTATGAAACATGCTTAATCCTTCGGGAAACGTTCAGTCACATTGGCATGCCGCTGCGGACCTCCGATGCGGACATCCTACAAATTAAAGTGCCGGAAAAAGCCAAGACAGAAAGCCAGAAGGTTCGCGGTCGTGAAAGGTCACCAACTGTATACGGGATATCAGTGCTCGTTCCGTGGCCGCTATTTTCCAGGCGGCTGTTGTGCCGGATGTCCGAAGGGGCAACGCGCATAAATACTGCATACGTATAGCAGCTTATGTATCTGTGTATCCGGTAATATGCCGTAATTCACTGAGCGCCTGGAACGAGGAATCGACGTATCGATACAGTCTGTTTACGGTTACACACGCGCGCGTAGGGTAGGATAACGCGCGTTCCATGAATTGCGGCGTTAACTGTCTTCCAGAGTTTCGCGGCTGGTCATTGCGCAGCGGGAATCCTCGATGGAAATGAGCGCATACGACGAGCCTCGCCGGTCATAGGTGTGCTGCCGCGGCTGAAATACATGTAGTCCGACAGTGCAGCAACCGCTGCGCCGGTTCGAAGTGGAACCCCCAAATGCCAAACTAAAGACCATGCCAGCGCCTGAACGTGCATCATCCCGCTGGCTTAATTCCTATTTAAATCCCGCAGGGCGCCACTGCCCGGTGTGCCCACCTAATCAGCGCACATTCTGGATTCGTGTATTGCGACAGGCACACGCGACGGATGCAGGCAACGTGTGGTGTGCTGCGTTAATACCGGTGCAACATTTTTCTAATTAAAGTAATTACTTTTTTCACTTATTTCGAGAGGCATGGCTTTACGCATGTGGAATCATTTCGGCAACGGTCGGGCAAATATCCAGAAATTCACCCTCTCTTCGCATACAGATCTCTTTGTTTTCTGCTGTAAACCGAAATGAAATGTATGCCCAGCTTCGTAATATCTATCCTATCGAACAGCACACTTCATCGCCGCTAAGATACCATGACCTTAACGTGGCGATGGTGGCATGATTTTGTTTGTGCTAGTCGCTAAGGGAAAACGGTTTTGTGGGGTGACCTTTTATAATTCTTTGGGTTTGCTCTCATCGACTGCATTGATAGAAACGTTGACAGTTAACGAAGCCATGGCTAGGATCTTGCGAATGTACGTTGGTGCTGTTAGACCGCTGTGGAAAAGGGATTGTAGCGTTAACTCGCCGGGAAAAGCGTTGCCGACTGTGAGCATCGACACTAGTCAGGATGCACGCCAGGATCGGAATTGGTAGGTCTTTTACGGACGCTTCTTCCACATCCCGTGAACATTCATCGGAGGCTACTTGAAAAGCATACTTACACACTAGTAAGAGCACAGTGATACCGATATGAATATGCTACGTGCGCAACTGGCACACTACTAACAATTATACTGCAAAAAAAAGTGAAAACATTAATACTTGTACAAGCAGTTCACATGCATTAAGCGTATTGGCGGCATCAGAAGGAGGGCCACTGCACTACTTTTATCGCGATAATAACTACTTCATTGTAACTTGCAATAATTAGGTTGTGCATTTTCCCCTTGTAACACAGTAAGCACTTGTGCGACTTGATCGCGTTCCAGAGCAACAGTGCCTTCCTAACCGATTGCACTAGCTACAGGCTGTTCTGGCTTACCTTGGCACAGCAGTCATGGACGACGAAGGTCCCTGTGGAGGTACTGCGCCGGGAATCAGCCGGCGGGGCGGGGCGTGGCGCTGGTGGCCCGCGGAACTGCTGCACCCGTCCACCGTGCCATTGGTTGCATCATCGTGCCGTCGCTTCTTCCACGCTGTGGCCGTCGTCCAGGGGCAGGATCAGCGCGGCGCCGCCTGGACCGACTTGGCCCCCTTGCAGCGCCTCCGCTGGCGTGTGCCTAGCGACTGGTGGACGACGGGTGCGCGGGCGCAGCGACAGGGGGAGAAGATGGTGACGCTGCCGCGGCGCCGGCGGATTGCACCGGGACGCTTTGTCAAGTACCGTCGGCCACTGCCCGGGGATTGTCAGGGCGCGGCAGCAGCACAACTGTATGCGCTGCTGATGGAGACCGACCCCGGGATCGTGCGCGGCGGGGAGGTGGTCGGCATCGACGTCGTGGACGGGCATGTGCAGTATAGTGCGAAACTGTGCGAAAGTGTTGCGGATGAGCACTCGCCAGACATGCCACAGGTTCGTCAGTACACATTCTACTCGTAAGAAGAATGTCTAATACTGTAAGCCGAGTGAAGTGCGCACTATTTCGTCCAGCGTGTTAATCTGCAGCTGTACATGTGCCCTATGTACATTGTACAACCTGTTGGCTAAACTGGCTGAAGAGCGTCAGATATTGGTAATTCCATAGCGTGATAACAATATCAGGATCTAATTACGGTTAAACAAAACAACATTCTTAACGGTCCCGATTACTGAAGTAGCATTACCACGTTGAATTGCTAAAGAGATGTTCTGTTTCAAAAATTCAAGACTACGATTCTCGCCGGTTCGTCGTCTTGAATTTTTGAAACAGAACATCTCTTTAGCAGTTCAACGTGGTAATGCTGCTTCAGAGCGTCAGATTGTCAGTGGCTGTCGTCGGTTGACCGAGTTACTGGTCTGGTTGTACAGGTTCTGGTTGAAGCACTGCACCAGGCGCTGATGCAGCGCCTTCCCGCCCTGCTGCGCCAGCCGCGGCCGCTTCCGGTGTGCGCTGCGCCGTTGGACGAATGGCGCGCCGTGAAGACGGATGTGTGGCAGCAAGTGTTCGGCCATCTCGATGCGACGGCGCAAACCAAGTTACGCCCGGTGTGCTCCGCCTGGAACGGTGTGCTATCCTCGACGCGGCGGCGGTGACGGCCACCATGGTCATCGAGACGGACCGTAGCCGTCGTCGTACTGAGCTGCAGTACACTCTGACGGCGCCCCTCTTCCACTGCCTGAACCGCTCCACCACGCACTTGGTCATCGATACCCGCAGCGGTCCCCTGGACACCATGCACTTCCTGATGGTGGCCGGCCGACATGGTCCATAACGTGGCGCGGACCCGGCCCGGGATCCGCCTGGCGGCGCTGTACGTGGTCGGCGGCACGAGCGTCCTGCCGGCGTTGGGCGGCTGGGAGGGATCGGCGCACGGGTGGTTCACCTTCCTGACCCGTCCGGACCCGTGTCGCGTGCACCATCCCCACGGCTG